ATATAAATAAAGATTACTTACTTACTACCCACTGCATTCCACTCATTCCGCCCTCTGCTGTCACGATCCATGATGCATTACACTCGCCTCCGCTCTCGGAAAGGAGATCTCAACGGACCGTCATTTCTTACCCCTGATAACCTCCCTATGTCCCCCAACTGGTTCAGAGCCCAACTCAAGTACGTACTGCTGCTTTGTAAACTGTCTCCCCATCTCTACACAGCCCACTCCTTCCGGATAGGCGCCGCCACGCGCGCCGCGTCACTGGGGCTCCCCCATTCCGCCCTTCAGCAGCTGGGCCGCTGGTCATCATCGGCCCTCTCCTCATACATCAGGCCTGACACTCGACCATCCTGGCAGCCCAGCGGCTTTTGGCATCTCCATAAAACACTCGCTAAACTCCTGGTGGCGGCTGCAGCTGAGTATCCGCAAGTTTGGTCACAGCAAATAGCGGTCACAGTATATAGCGATAGCGGTCACAGTATATAGCGATAGCGGTCACAGTATATAGCGATAGCGGTCACAGTATATAGCAAAAAATGGTTAGCGGTCACAGTATATAGCAAAAAATGGTTAGCGCATGATGGTCGTCAGCATATAGCGATAGCGGTCACAGTATATAGCGATAGCGGTCACAGTATATAGCGATAGCGGTCACAGTATATAGCGATAGCGGTCACAGTATATAGCGATAGCGGTCACAGCATAGAGTAGTCCCGTCGTTGTCCCCTCCAAACCAGGCTGCAAAAAACTCCATCAACACAGCTTTTGGGGATTGGCAAGCTCCTTCGCATGGAGGCCCTCCGCTCTGAAGGCCGCACCGGGGCCTAGGGCGCCAAACCTCCTCCTAAATAAAATACTCAAAAGCTTCTTGTTTCACGTCTCTCCAAATTGAACTGGTGTGAGGTAGAAAATAATTCAGAAATAGGAGAGTTTAGAGCAATCTGTCATGGCCTCCCTCAGTCCGTTATTGTTGGAACTTTGCAGACATTGCTTTTAATTTGTATTCTCTGGTCAGGGATTGGTTCCCCTGTTCATGTCTTTTTGTTGTATTATCATTATTTAGTAGTTTAAATCAAATGTGCCTTCAATCACATGGTGTTCTATTTAAAAGCCACAAGTGACATGGAAAGACTTTAATCAAACCCTGAAGAAGTCTACTACCCATGTTTTTTTTTTTCTATAAAGAGCTTTTATTTCACAACCGTCAAACATCTATTTTTGACCACACATTTCAATACTTTTTTTTTTAAACACTTCTTTTTGTTATTATGCCCTTGAGCTTGAAGTGCCCCATACCCTCTACCTTTTACTAGAGGTGAACAACACTGGTGTCGGATATTGGTTCCAAAATTGGAACTTTTGTTTGATCAGGTTAGTTTAATGGCCTTTCAGTTGGTATAATATGTATGTTTACTTCTCTGGTATCGGCAGATGTTGAAAGCCACTGAATCTAGATTGCTGCATCCCTACTTGGATTTTAAAGCCGGGGCACCTAACTTTCTTCTGAATTGGTGTTGCTATATAGTATAGTATAGATACAAGTTACAACCTGTATCTGTAGGTGCTGTTTGGCCCAACAAAAACAGTACAGTAAATCTAAAATGTTTTGAACAAATCCCACCAGAGCATGCTGTCTTCATCTTATTAGAAAATGTTTTTTTTGCATACTTGTAACAAAGAACCCTTGAGTAACTGAGCTGATTGGGCTGAGTGAGGGTTGTCCTCTCTTTTTCCACTTTTCTGTCTGAAAACGATACGACAGAAGCCAGTTAATGTGAGAACTAGTGATAGAACCCAACTGTTTTTTAGAGTAGGTTTAGATGCATGGATTTTATTACATAGTTCCATATTTTGTGGTGTGAAAGTTTAGATACCCCAGCTTTAAAAATCTAAAGAAAGTGTTTTGACCTTGATGCACTCACATGCACCTCTCTAGATTTAAAAAATAACATGGACAAAAGTGCAGGCTTTGCAGCTGTCGCATTCCCAGCCAATGCTTTCTCACCCCCACCCCCATCCTGCAGCCCCCACAAATACCACTCTAATAACACTTGTACACGATACATATATATGACAGCTATGCATTGTGGGTCAGGGTCAAAGGCTGGTGTCCTGCCGTGACACATCCAAGATCTCATTACACCGAACTCTGGCGGTGGCTGAATGTATACGTTCACAGCCAAGTGCATGTGTGAGGCTCCCTGTATTTACTCCATATGTGTTTGAAAGTGCCTGTTTATGTGTCTTTCGGTGCCACGGCTGCCCTGCCCATGCAAAAGGGCCTTGTAATTACGCCTCACCCCCTGTAGCACCCGTCCCGCTGTAGAGTGTGCAGTCCTGAGCAGACGCCTGCATCGCTGTCACTGCATCCACATTCAAAACCAGAACCAGATGTGAAGTTTTGATAGAAAGTTGCCATTTTTGGAGACATGATGCTGGAATACCTCAGCACTCCTATGTAATTAAGCTCAGTGGGGTTTTGTTTTATGTTCAGTTCATCATCAAGTCAGTATTTTGCACAGCATTGCTTTGTGATGCTGAAGGACACACATGATGCAAAACAGTCTTTTCAGCTTAGCAGTAGAAGTAACTTGTAGGGACAAAAGTCATTTTTACTGGTTGGGTTTATTCTGAGTGATGATACTATCAAATTACATTCCCTACTTTCTTATGTTTGCATGCCAGGGTACTTTCAGTTTAGTTAATTCCCGGTCAACTCGTAGATTGCAGTACTAGTATCGACTCCCAATTAGAATGTTTACAAAGCATAAGAAAACGGAATACGCTTGAAAACGGACTCTCTTTGGTGTTGGTTTCAAACCAGTCTAACCACTCTGGTCCCAGTCTACACCTGAGGTAGGGATGAAAGATATTAACATTCAAAATAATATCAAAAAGGCAACAAAGTAAACAATATAGTTTTCCAATATCCAATAAAATTTGATGCTTTTGTATATGATGCTTAAATTTATGAAAAATTATTTGCCTTAGCCTTCATGCCTTGTAACAACTGGAACAGTAATTGTGATCACAATTTCTATGATATACTTTGCAAGCACACTTACGACATATGTAATGCTACGACACATTTCCACTCAACAGCAGAACAGAGACACACACGTTTCTTGCTTTTTCCTTATAATGAAGAAAAACTAGAGACTGTACTTCCTCCCAACATTCAAAATGAGTGTGAAGCCTACATGTGTCAGAATACATATATTTCTAATAAACAGTGGGGCCAAAAAGTATTTTCTCAGCCACCATTTGTGAAAGTTCTCCCACTTAAAAGCTGAGGGAGGCCTGCAATTTTCCTCAACTGTGAGAGACAGAATGAAAAAAAAAATCCAGAAGATCACATTTATTTGCAAATTATTGGGGAAAATAAGTATTTGTCATCTACAAACAAGCTAGATTTGTGGCTCTAGGACCTGTAACTCCTTCTTTAAGAGGCTCCTCTGTCCTCCACTCGTGACCTGTATTAATGGCACCTGTTTGAACTCGTTTTCAGTGTGAAAGACACCTGAACTTGCACAATTGTTGGCTGGCTAAATACTTTTTTGCCTCACTGTAAGCATGGCATAAGTGCTGGCAGTGTCTCACTAGTATCCATTTTCTACTAGCACCTAATAAACATTTTTTTAAATTATTATTTCCATAATGTCGAAAAATCCTAGCAAAGCTACTGAAGATCCTTCGAAGTTCCTTTCTGTCTTGTAAATCCTCCTCACATTGCACCCGTATACTGTAGCTGCACTAACTCATTTCTGTTGTTTTGTGTTTTCTATCAGTCATACTTACAAATCGTTTCTCACACACTCCCGTTTCATGGAATGCAGACTTGTTGCAGCATGGAACAAACATGTCTACCAAATAGTAATTTCACTCAGAATGCAACATTTAAAGGTTTTTTCTTACGGTAAGCACTAGCTTCTCACTTTACTGCGTTGTTGATTTTGTTTTGTGCAGTTATACATGTATGTCTTGCGAGTGTTGTTCAAGTCCTCATTTGACTCTTCCTGACATACCATAGACTGCTCTGACTCATCCACGTGAAACATTAGACTTCTGAACATATTCTTCTAATAAGGCATGTTACCGGTCGACCTGTCATCATAGTGCCCTGTCACACCTGTCTGTTTAGAGGCGGGACAACTGTTGGAAAACTGTTAACACAAAATCATTTAGATACATTGAAACGTGATTTAAGTTATACACAATGCAATTACTCTGTATATATTGTTGTACACATACATATGTGTAATTTATATATTGCCTTGGCCAATGTTTTAGTCTATATAGTAAATATAATTGTTGTTGGCTTGTTGTTGTTTTTAAGATTGTTTTCATGGTGGCAAGCACTCACCTCAACTATTTACTACATCCTGCAGAAATGCAGATCAGAGTGTTTGTGAGTTGTGTGTACTGATTGTCGAAGAGCAGGATAGGGGGAGTTTACAAGTCTCCCGCGGCATCATGTTTATGATGGTTCCAGTCAGCAAAGGTTTGGCATGACTGCAGTGAAGGAAGAAATATGAGCTTTTTACAAAATGAGTTTGTCATCCGCAAACGTACACACGCAGAGCTGCACTCTGTGTCAAAGTTTGATTGTATCTCTGAATAATACATGCTTCTTTATTATTTGTCTTAGGACTCGGGCCGTGTGCATTGCCAAGTATCGGCCGATACGATTCACATCACTATGCATAGGTCACGATACATTATGTTTGCATCATACTCCGAAGCTAAACTATAAGGTGACTACGACTAATAACAAATACTGTAAGCTCTGGTGAGATGCTGCTGTTTATGTGTAAGTGCAGGACAAATAAGACGCTGAATTGAACAAAATAAGTGTAATGATATGTGTAATAACCAAAAATGTATATTATTTGGATTGATTTTGATGCAAGAATAGTGCATAGAAAATATCGCTATAGATTTCTGAATAAATGTTTTAAACACCCTGAAATCCTAATTCATGTCTATTTTTCCTGCAGGACGCTGTTGTCTCACTGAAGACTTTGAATGCAGAGGGAGCCTCTCACAGCCAGAATGGACCCAGTCCATCCTGGAGTATCCCACAACCTTCAAACCTTTGGTGAGAACTTCGGACTTTAATAAATATTAAAGACATTTTGGGCGTTGTCTTGTTACTGCTGGTTGTTAAGGCGGCGACCTTATTAGTACAAAGCATTGAACAAAGTTCATCTTGTTCAATCCTGAATGATTTATTCCTCTTTCATATAAACACTTTAAATAATAAGGAGACAATATGGATGCACTGCTCAGGGACCAACATCTGATTAGACCTAGCTGTGACTCAATGCCAGAGGTGCATTTGTTCATACTCGTTAGTTCTGCTGCCTTGACTATCACCAGTAACAAGATAGCAGCCGTTTTGTTTTAGCGATTTTGATGTAGGACCCTTTAACACATTGTAAGGGGATAGTTCTATTAACATATAAATGGTAAATCTGCTCTTCATGTGATGTGAAAGTCATCTTTCAACCCAGCCCGATTTTCTTATTTCATAGTACAAAAATAAACCAATGCAGTCACAAACATTGAAAAAAAAAAAGTAACTTTCATTATTTCTTATTCTCATTTATTTGTTTTCAATCTCTCATTCCCCAGTGTATTGTGTGCACAGTCGCTGTTTCACTTGGATGAAGTGAAGTCTCCAGGGCAAGCTGGACAGGCCTTGAGATTCTTGAGATTCTTCATGGTGATAATTTCTTGACATGTTCCCTTTGTGCTGTTTAGATGTGCAGCTGAGCCCGTGATCCGTGAACCGTATCCAGCAGCAGCTTCAAGCTGACCTTCTGTCAGGTACAGCACAGATGCCTGCACACAAGACATAACACATGCAGCTTTTGCATGCACTGTTGATTACAGCCCCTGGTGATAACTTTCCAAACGTCATAACGGTTTTAGTGAAACAAACCCAATATGCTCATTTGCTTTTAGGTTGAGTTTCTTAGAGAACATTTATTAAGAAGCAACAGTTACTCAATAACAAAGCACAGGTTCTGTGAGTGTGTGGTTTGGTAACATCACCACCAAAGAAAGGAGAGCTCTAAACAAGGTGCTCCGCTCTGCAAAGAGGACTGTGAGCTGTAATCTGCCTGTTCTGGATGTTCTTTATGAATCCAAATTCTTAACCGAGCTCTTAAAATAACTAATGGCCAACCTGGTAAAGCCATGTTACAGCTTCTTCCCTCTGGCAGAAGATATCGTTGGTTGAGATGCAGGACATCTAGTTTTGCAAACAGCTTCTTTCCACAAACTGTTATCAGTTTAAACAAAGCACTTGATGATCTTGCACTTGTATTCAAACTGTTTTTGTTGGTAAAATTCACAGTGAGAATTGTTTTCTGCACCTCAGAAAACTGCAGGAAACACTAACTTTAGCTTGATATATTCCGGTACATTTTGGTGGTTTTACTGCAAATGGCAAATAAAATGAATCTGATATGCAATATAAATCTACTTGAATGTTCCCTTTCTTCAAATACAACATGTGCTTTTCCTGCAGGTACCCTACCTGGATGATGATGATGTCAGTGGATGTGTCCAATCGTAACGGCCCACCTGCCACACCCCCAACATCACTCAGCCTCCGATCTTCACACAACCAACTCCTCAGCAGTGACATAAATAACCAGGGTTCGTCCACACCCCCAAAGTGTCGCAAGAAGTATGCACTCACCAGTATTCAAGCCGCCATGGGGCTGGGTGAAGTGGCAGCATCTTCATCCTCTTCACCCGTTTCACCCTCTCCTCAGACGTTAACCCCAAATAATCCGAAACTCGCCAAAAATGGGGTCAACCAACTTCGAAAAGCTGGCCAGGACCACAATCAAAACTCAGAGCCACTAGAACCTGAGAGCGAATCTGAGACTGTAGAAGCCGACATAAATGTCAATACTAAAGAGGATGAAGTCCACGCTCTCACCAATAATGACAGAGAAGAGAGCTTCACACCTGCTGATCTGCCCGGTAACGCAGACCAACCAGAGGCAACAGAATCTGACATAGACTGCAATATTAACACAAGTCTGGAGCTCAAAGTGAACGGCAACACAGCAGATTTGGGATTTGATTTAAACATTGAAAGAGAGGAGAGTGATGACATCAGCATTCTGTCTGAGAAGGAAATTATGTCAAAGATTCAGATTGAGGAAGATGAGGACGCGATGCTCGAGCAGGAGGGGGAGATGGAGGAGAAAAAGCCCTTACTCATAAGACCAGAGACTCCTGTGCTGAACAATAAAGAGTCCTCAGACCTGGAGCTCATGAGTGACCTCTGCTCAAACCTGAAGCGTCTCAAGTCGGGTATGGACTCTCCTGTTCCCCCGCCGCCCTCTGCTCCTAAACAGGCCAGCCCAGAGGATGCGCCCCTGCTTTCTGTCGCCTCTTGCTCTTCTTCCTCCTCTTCCTCTCCAGAGACCAAAAAAGATAGAAGGACAGGAGCGAAAACGGACTGTGCTCTGAACCGCATCCAAAACCTGAACCCCAGCGACGAGGAGTTGAGTTGGACGACGCTTTCTCAGGAGAGCAACTCGCCAGAAGAGACAGGTACTTCCCCACACTGCTGTCAGGTCCCGACTATAGGCTGTACATTGATATACTGTATGTGTTTCTGCGCTCTATAGTCCTGCCGTAGACTGTATATTATGCTCTATGCGCCGGGCGTAGACTGTATATTATGCTCTATAGTCCTGCCGTAGACTGTATATTATGCTCTATGGGCCGGATGTAGACTGTATATTATTCTCTATGGTCTGGGCGTAGACTGTATATTATTCTCTATGGTCCGGGCGTAGACTGTATATTATGCTCTATGGTCCGGGCGTAGACTTTATATTATGCTCTATAGTCCTGCCGTAGACTGTATATTATGCTCTATGGGCCGGATGTAGACTGTATATTATTCTCTATGGTCTGGGCGTAGACTGTATATTATTCTCTATGGTCCGGATGTAGACTGTATATTATTCTCTATGGTCTGGGCGTAGACTGTATATTATTCTCTATGGTCCGGGCGTAGACTGTATATTATGCTCTATGGTCCGGGCGTAGACTTTATATTATGCTCTATGGTCCGGGCGTAGACTTTATATTATGCTCTATGGTCCGGGCGTAGACTGAGTAGACACTCTATGGCCTTCTATGGTCCTGACATAGACTTTGGTCTGTGCTAGTCTGGGTTCATCCCTGGTTATTCCGTGTTTAGATCTGGGTTCAGTTCCAGTTTAGTCCTGATTTATGTTGTATGTATTCAAGTATGACCACACCCTGAGAGCTCTGTGGTTTGCAATAACAAACTAGCATATTAGGCATTGTAAACTAGATGTGGCATCTATTGTCTCCCCTCATATTGTCTACTTACGTTTCTATCATTGACTTTTTATTGACCAGCTGTAATACTGTTCATGGAAAAGCTGAACATGCAAAGGGCAATTATTTAATAAAGATTATTTTCTGGTACTCACAGTTCACAATAGACATTGGTCATATAGAGGATGGCTTAGATGGCATTATGTGAGTCATCAGACCTGTCAGTAGGTGTTGTTGCTTACCTCTGCTGAACATCTGCCTAAATCATTGCATTTCTTTGTCAGCGTTATTTACAAAGCATATTGTTATTCCTTATTTGGATTTTGAGCCTTGTTTTAGTGGTTGTAAAGCGCTGTAAATGGACTTCTCTACAACATCAAAAGAGGAATGCGGATCATCTCATCTCATTTCTGCTCTGCTTCATTGAAATCTTTAGACTCACTTTCAGTTGACTCTTAGAGCATCTGTGCATCTCATCTGCATCTGTGGCTTTCATTACCTTTATACCAGCCAAGCCTTTTACCCACAGCAATGTCAAAATAAATTAATTCTTCTTCTCCATTCCCCTCACTTCCAAAGGCCACACTGGTTTCTCATCAACTGTAAACGTTTCAAATGAACAGCCCTCAAGTTGTTTTTATTCTTTGATATCCTGTACAAAGTTATTTCTGAGCTCCTGAATGAGTTTTTTATAGACCTGCTGCATGTGACTTGACAAGTTTGCTCAAAATTGTTGATGGAGTCTTGCTTTTTGGCAGATACAAAGTGTTGTTGTTTTCTCAGGCGTGTGTCAGATTCCTCTGCAGATGTTCGGGGTTAGCAGCCTTGTATCATGCTACTTTCACACTTAGGAGCCGTATTACACACATGCCTACACACACGTGATACAGGCCTCTGAACCAAGAGCGCCGACTGTTGAGGCTTCACTTCTCCCAATTTCACGTTGAAGGAAACATCATCTGAGGATTGAGACTAGATGGGGGGTTATAGAGGAAAAAAAAAGTGCGTTGTTGTTGTATCTTAAAATCATGAAAACTACACTGTTGAAGATGGAATACAATAGATAATGACTACCATTTATACTCAATATTGTATAGCAAGTTACAAGTATGTGAAATACTACCATTAAAACATTACATTACTGTATTTATATTTATGGTATGTTTCTAAATGTATCTGAGAAGGGCTTATTCTTGAATTAGGCCTGTCACAATAATTACTATATTGACTCATCGTTCAATAACTGTTGGACAAAACAATATATTTTGGCCCCTGAAGAGAATCAGCCAATGTCTGGGATCGCGTCTTTCATTCAGACAGAAGACATGTTTTATTGTCGATGGTAGAGACAGCACGAAGAACACGAACAACAGAATGCAAGTGTATTATACAGAGCGGAGGCATGGAGACCTCTAATCAGCAGCTGCCACAGTGCCATGTAGCTTGGCCTTCAGATAGACAAAACAAGGGAAAAGTACTGGCTCGTGCATTTTCATGTGGACACATTTGTTTCTATTTTCTTTTTAAAGCTCTGAACTGGTGCCAGTTTTGTTGCTCGTCATCATATCTTCTGGGAGTGTTTGTGAGAAGCTAGTGCTAAAAACACAGTAGCACACATGCTACTTACCCTGCTCTCCAGGCAGTTCAGGGGCGCTCTTCAGAGGCTGACTGAATTATACTTATTTGACTGAATTTTAGTCTAAAACACAAAAATTAAGTCACTGGTGTTTGGTCAGTTTAATTTTATATGATCCAGCAATTCAATTGCATATGCAATTGAAAAGGCTTGTTTTTGTAATCTGTTACATTACTGAGTTACTTCAAAAAGTAATGTACAATGTTTACACTAGTGAGTGTTTTTAACGTCTTTTGTAATGAGTTACTCCCAATAGTGGCCACAACCTACAGAAAGGTATTTGTCAAGTATTCATGTGATTTTCCCCTGTGCCTTCTTCATATTGTCCTTCTCTGCCTTGGGCTAAGCTGGTAAACTATAATACTACCCATGAAGGACGTCCTTTGAGTTGATATCGGACTGATTGATAGAAATTGATAATGGACGATGGTGACTGAGCCCTGTCTTCTGCTTGAAGGTGATTGATGATTATTTCAGTCAAAATATAATTATTTGCTCTGTAGAAAGAAGAGGCTTGTTCGTGCTTCCAAAACTTCTCCACAGTGTCAGACTTTCTTGCTTTAATCCACAGCCAGTGATCTATTTATGTCATCACACACTCATTCATTCAGTCCCATCCTTCCCTTTGCTCCCTGCACACAGACACATTTAGGCTATCTTGCTTGTAGTTGAAATGGCGTTGACCTATTTCCAGGCACAGCTCTCATTATAGTTTGAGAGTTGTGCATGTGTCAATTTGTCAGGCTGATCTTTTAGTGGGTCTTAAGACAATCTTTGTTTATTTTCATTTACAGGTGCGTTCATAACTTATCTTTGTGTACGTGACTGAAATTCTTGTTTTGGCCTGTCTCAGTCGTCACGATGAGATATGGGCGTCTGTTGGAGCTACAGGCCCACAGGCAGTGTTTCATCAGCCTGGTCAGCAGTTTGAGAGGTCACACAAACAGTGAGATACACAACTTCACCAGTTAGCCATTCCTCACATCTTAAATCACCTTTACGAGGTGCTACACTACACCTATTACAGGTTCTGCTTTACTGAATGTGCTTCTAATGCAGCCCAATGTAGTGGTGAGTTGTTATCTGTGTCTTTTTGTTTCCCATTCAATGCATTTCTGCAATACTATTTTGTATTGTATTTATTTTCTAAAAATATAAGTAGCGTTCATGAAACATCACAACGTTCCCAAGTATCAGTATCAGACGAGCTTATTTCTACAATCCCTGGGACACAAGTTCCACATCTTCTTTGTCGGCACATATCAACTACGGTCTTATTTATATATAAGTGTTTAGTAATGGTGACATTAAAAAAACATATGCCTGCAAGTGCTTTCTCTTAGTCAACAAGAAGATAAAAATGATTACGGCAGGTTTGTTGGATTACTTTTTCATGTTGCAATTTTCTTTTAAAAAATTCCCACATTTTCATAGTGCGGTATCTGCACCTTCCCTGTAATTTACCAAAACAGATATATTAAATAGTGCTGTGTTTTTTATGGTTCAAATAACATGAAAAAAAACTTCTGTGTTTTGTCTTAGATATCTGGAACGATCAGTCATTTCAGACTGACACTGACCTGCCTCCAGGATGGAAGAAGATCAAAGACATGGCTGGAATCTACTACTGGCATATTCCCACAGGCACCACCCAGTGGGAGAGGCCTGCCACCCACCCTGTGCCCCCCAGTCAGACAGACACCCTGATTCAGGTGGCCCACACGGAGTCCACACCACGAAAGCAGTCGCTGGACTCCCTCAGCCCTTCGCCTCCTCCTGACCTGGAGGTGAGACACAGCCACACGTGTCCTACACCATTTTTCTCTGTGTCTCCTACCTGATATCGAGGGGGGGTACCCACTGTTGTTAAGGAGGCGACAAAAGGCTTTCACATACCCCAGGGGTCTAACTCAGTTTGGCCGTGGGGCCTCAACCTTTTTATGCTTTATTGTTATACAAAGGTCTCATCTTTTATGGAACATTTGCTTTAGTTCACCCGCTTATTTCAATCTGTTTATTAAATTGTTTTACATTATGGAGGTCCAAACTATTTATTATATTCAACTTTTAACTTGAGTTTAGATGAACTAAAAGCCTCTGTTTTCACACCCTTTGTCTTATTAGAAGAACACTCTAGCAAGTAAGCAAGTAATCTTTATTCATAAAGCATATTTTACAGACCAAGGTCACTCAAGGCGCTTTGTAATTTCTTTGGAGTTCAGATATTTTTTCATTCACTCCACACACGATGATGACAGAAGCAAGACGCCGAACACATCAAAGCCTCAACCAACAGCATCCATCCCTTCACTCATTCTTTACATGCAGACATGTTATACATGTTTTTAGTGGTAGGGGAAACCTACGCAGACACAAGGAGAACATGCAAACTCCACACAGAAAGGTCTGGAGCACAATCTCTAACTGCTGCGCACCGTGCCTCCACTCTATTACCAATATTGTTAATTGCATTATGGGTTCAATGAGAGAAATTGCATTAAAATTTTAAAAAGTTAACAATACTAAAACTCCTCATGAAATCACTCTTGCGTACCCCTAGAGGTCCGCACACCCCTGGTTGGGAAACACTGTTGTACTGACCTGAGTGGTGTGTGTTTCTGCAGTCGTGTCAAGCTGAAGTGTTCTACAGAGCCTCCACCCGATCCAGCAGCACCACCTCCGACAGCTCCGTGGAGCCCCCTCACGAGTCCTTGCTGCCCACGTGTGGATTTGTCAACAGCTGTTATTTCGTATGTATACAAACTTTTGTCTGTTATCTTTAAAATTATATTTATATAATTGTGTAATAATTGATCTACTAAAAGGATAAGATAAGATAAACTTTATTGATCTCACAATGGAGAAATGTACGTGTCACATTTGGTATAGATAGAATCACCCATATTTAGCAAGTGTTCAAACATGTTAAAGGTTAAAGACTGTGTTAGAAGTGGAAAAAGCATTAGTTGAGCTTATGTTGAACCAATAATTAATCCTGATTACTTATGTGGTACCACTTCCTCTGTCTGTTGATTAGTTTGCACATTTATCATTTTAATGCAACATAAAAGAAATGATCAAAATAGCACTAAGCTGAGGGAGGATGCCAGTGTTAAGTCAGTAGGGGATTGCCAACGCTCTCAAGTCATTCAGCCAGTCAATCATGGTCACTGATGGAGAAACAGGAGCACAGCATAGACAAAATATTGATCCACACAAAATGGACTGATGCCGACAGATGGATGAGGCTCCTCCAGCAATCTGATCTGAGCTGTGACAAGAGTCAAGATGTCAAACTAAGACTGTTTATGCCACAGGGTCCATGATAAGACGACCATTTAATTCATGTTATGTGTTTATTTGAATCTAGCCTCGGTCCACGTCTCTGCAGGGCATGTCCGATCAAGAGAGTTCATCTTCTGATCAAAGAGATGAAGACGATAAGGTTAGTTGTAAATACTTCTCTCCTCAGTTTGATTTCTTCATGAGGCAACAGTGTAATCCACTTTAAACACAATAGATTTAAAGAATATTCAGAAAACATTTTCTTTTCATTGTGACAATAGAATGTGGAGTAAAGCATTCGATAACAGCCCTGTTTTTGTTCTTTGACCCCTCCACCCCTCGGCCCTTCACTCTGTGTAATTGTGCTTCAATATTGTACGTAGAAACCACTGTGGAGTGAATTTGGCGGAAAGATTGATAGTGAGGTGTGGAAGGCAAGTATAATGCATCATCCACAGTAAACCTTGTTCCTTTCTAACGTCACTTTCTCCACTACATTTAAGCAGTGTGTCAAACATGCAGTGCCTGAGTGAACGCATGTGTGGCTGATGCTTCAACTTACAGCTTCACCGATCACAGCATTTTATCATGGCCGTTAATATGAACCTTCCTCTGTTTATTGTTTGACAGTAAACTGTCTTCTTCTTTCTGATTTGTTGTACATCTACAAAGATGTTTAACTCCCTGCTCAGCGTTGTTGTCTTCTGGATGCAGCATGCCCCATCACATTAAAACACTGATGCCTGCATGGACGCATGCTGGCAGTCTGTGTGGGGTCTCATCATGCTCCTTCACTCTGAAGCCTCTGGGTTACATACTTAGTAGCCCAATCCAGACTGTCTTGCACATTTTTACAGTGTGCAGTTTGGGAATTTGCAACTTTAGCATTAGTAAATGAGGCTTGCATGTAGACATTCCTATGATAAATCATGGGCAGGTTTATTCGTGTCTTGCTCACATTCATATTTTTCTTGGGTTTAGGACCTGCAAGCAGCGACAGTGAACCCAGACCCCAGTCTGAAGGAGTTCGAGGGGGCGACTCTTCGCTACGCTTCCCTGAAGCTAAGGTGAGGAAAAATGAATCCATAAAAGTATAGCACAAAACCCTTTCTTGTCGCTTGTAATCGTTGGCATGAATCCAACCAAACAGGATGTTTGGTCAGGAAGGTGAGGAAATGACCACATGTTTCTGCAGTTAACATAATAACAATCTATCGTCTAGTTAAAGTTACTACAGGACTGCAGCCTTGTTAACAAAATGGCAAAAAGCTACAGCGCCGACAAGTGCTTACAGATGGTCTGTTACTGCATCCTGCTTCCCAAAGTCATCTGTCTTTTTTGTGTTTATTTTTTACCAGGAACCGTCCGGCAGCAGAAGAGCAGCACAGCAGCGTGAAGAGGGATTCAGAAGTTAAAGTAAGTTACTCTGTGAAACAGGCTATTCTACTTCTTTAAGGGACAGATTTTTTATGGGACCATGGTCGAATAATTACACATTGTTTTCTACTCTTTTGATCTGTTGTTTTCATGTTTTTACTATTTGGACAGTGGGCCAGATTTACCCCACCCCAAAAGTCTGTAAACGAGTTTTAAAATAATATTCCTGATTATGAAAAGAATACCGTGATAAAACAAATGAATAATTTTCACTACAATTCAAGCTATAAGGCAACACTGGATTATAAATGATTAAATATGAAATAATACACATAGATAATAAGTTCAAGTTGACTAGCTCCTTGTTTATCATTATTGTGAACCATTGTTCTATTAAAAATATATAATTATTTGTTTTAATTTGTTAATCACAATTGCAAAACACTATATCATTGCCAGTTAGGTGTTCCTGGACCTTTACTACTTCCCACTAAGGAGTGATCCTTGGACGCTCTGGCCAGTTCACCTGCCAATGTGAATGAGAACAATAAATTAATGTCGGGAGTGTTGTCATTATCTGTTTTCTGCTGCCCTCTGGTGGAGAGGGAATAAGAAAACTGCAAACCTTATTAAGTGTGCCAGAAATAGTCAGTTAAGTATTATCACTTTCATGGACTTTTCTAAAATATGCATTTCTGTGTCTATGGTATAAACAACATGCAAATATATAAAACCGATGGAAATTTGGATTACAGTGTTTGGAGTCGCCAGGACCTTCATGTTCAAAGAAAATTGCATTTGTGAAATCTAAAATTGTGTGTTTATGGCTGGTTAGACAACAGTATAGTTAAAAGAGTAGTATTGTACGCCAACAAAATCTTTATGAGGTGCGAATGCCAAAAGTAAAATTTCTAAAAGCAAGAAAGCATTGCATGCTCTAAATGCAGATATCCAAAGTATGTCATTCATTGTAAAAGTACAGTTATAAAATGCGGTCCAAAGGAAAAAGAAAAACGTGACCTGATGAAGGCTATAAAGGCCAAAATATCATGCAATAAAAAGTAAGTTGAGTTGCATTTTGAGTGTGCAAGTCTTGCTTTTTGAACTTGTCCCTGGACACTCAAAGATGCTTCACGTGGCATTAGTCTTTCACTACATACACTGTGGTGGAAACAGCTGCCATTTTTAATAGATGTTTGTGTTTTTTATGTTTATTAATTCTGTTGTAACATAATAGTATCTAAATAGGTAATTTTGCAGAGCAGTGTCTGAAAGCGCTATATAAATAAATTATTAATAAATAAATTATTAATAAATAATACATTATGCAAATCAACAGATAAAATGTACAGAATCAAGTTTGCCATCCACCCATCTGATCTTCATTGTTATGTTTCCATTTTTTTTAACTTTCATTATCTCACAACAAGAGACTTTAACATAGCCATTACTTGTACAAAGGTGGTGCACAACATTTTAAATTCCGCCCTAAGGTAACCTGTCTTTATCATTGTGCTATGGACTTAGCAGGCCTTTTCTTGAATATTTAGCATACCTACATGTTGTTTTCAGCAGCACTAGTCCAATCTTGGTTGCTCAGAGTAACTCAGAGACCGGACCTAAGTTTTTGAATTGCAAATGACTAATGTAACCGTTGGCTTGTGTTGTGTCCCAGTGTTTTGCAGTGCGCTCTTTGGGCTGGGTGGAGATGGCAGAGGAAGACCTGGCTCCTGGGAAGAGCAGTGTGGCTGTTAACAACTGCATCAGACAGCTGTCCTACTGCAAAAATGATATTCGGGACACTGTCGGCATCTGGGGCGAGGTGAGGGGATAATTCTTTTGTCGCTCGGAAATTAGAAGAATAAGAAGATCAAAATATCTTTTAAAAAACAAGCAAGGGGTGTAGGAGAAAAAAAAATCCAATATGAGTTATGTCAAGAAGAAGAAAAAGAAGATGGGTGCTGTGAGCGGAGCTGCTTTTAACTTGGCAGAGTTTGAGTTTAATTAGAACTGACAGGATGCAGACAGCAAGTTCATCCCCTTGAACAACCTCCCTTACCCCAGATACTGTTCATTTATTTAGAGTAGCCTGAAAAAGCACTCAAATCATGCATGTGGAAAAAGTCTATTATTTTGAAGAAGCATTTACAGCTATTTATATTATTTTATGTGCGCTGCAACGGCAATATTTCCCAACTGTGTAATAAATAGAAACTAGGGCTGTCAAACGATTAACATTTTTAATCGAGTTAATTACAGCTTAAAAATGTATTAATCGTAATTAATCGTATTTCAAACTATAGGCAAAATTATGCCATTTCTGTAAATGGTTGTTTGAATGGAAAAATAAATGACAGCATAGTGTACATATGTACTGTATTTGTTTATTATAACGACAATAACTCCATATAAAATGGCATTAACTTTCTGTCTTTCTGTTTAGACTCAGACAAAAGCTATTGTTTGTTACAGATGAGGGACATTTCAAAACGGTCTGAAATGCAGAATGTCATTAAATCTGTTTGAATGGCTCTCAACATTTTACTTTTGGGCTCAACCAACACGAACTCGGAAAATTAGGTACCCCAGCTTTAATGTAGCAAGTGCGCTTCGGGAGAACACACGGGGGAGGAGACACGGAGGATACTGAGGCTCCGTAGTCCCGCTTCAAAGGTGTATTTATTCCATGCACAGGTTACGCACACAACAAGTAGAAAATAGTCCTGTGCTCGTGACGCTACGGCGGCGCCATTTGGCGTGTTGTTGTTAGCGGCTCACAGGCGCTGGAGGTGGAAACCTCTGTCCAGAGCGGCCGCAGCTGCCCCGGGTCAGAACGCTGCAGGAGGATGCAGACTCCCGTTCGCGGGAGTGCCTCGCGTTTCCTTTTTAAAGTTGAATTCCCAGAGACCTGCTCTGTCGCCATCTACACACGCATGTGTAATAGATCCATGGCATGTGTCCGCGGCATTCTGGGTGTTATTTTTGGGATGATTGGACGGGTCATTCCGTACATGCGGCAATGCGTTAATTTTTTTAATGCGATTAATGAAAAAAATTCATTAACGTGCGTTAACGCAATAATTTTGACAGCCCTGATGAAAATCTTATCTTATCTTATTACCAACTGTAATCACTATATCAACCCATCATTCAATAATTGATGGATGAAATAATATACTTTGGGCCTCAACATTTATTGCCTGTTTGTTTCTTACAATAGTGGTGAGATTGTAGCAACTTTCTTTTTAAAATGTTCCAGTTTTAGCTCCAGACGATTAAATATGACTAAATCTGGACAATATGATCCTTGTACTCTTACAAACCCACAAAAATTGACCTATGCAAATAAATGCATCTACCTAGTTCCTGGCTCTATCATTTGTTTTCACTGCATGTGATCATGGCACAGATCAGCTTTTTCAAACAGAAAAGTTAAAAAGTGAAGATCACCACAATTATCTAAATGTTCAAATGTTTTGTCTAAACTTCATAAGGAAAGGTTTTGAGTTGAATCATCTGTGTTGCTTTATCCCCAGGGGAAGGACATGTATCTAGTGCTTGAGAACAACATGTTGAACCTGGTCGACCCCATGGACCGCAGCGTGCTTCACTCACAGCCCATTGCGAGCATTCGTGTCTGGGGCGTAGGCCGGGACAACGGAAGGTGAGTTTCTGAGGAGGCTTATGTAAACTTTTCTTTTCGACCCAAACATTATGACATTAGTTTGCAGTTGGTGCATGAGGTAAAAACGTATTGAAAACAGCAGACAGGTGGCAGTCTGAGAGACAGCGGAGCTTAGTTAAAGATTGATGATCATCAGAGTTGCTGCTGAAAGATTCACTCATATGCATAGGCGAGCAACAGAGCTGGAGGGAAGAGAGCGGTCTATTTTGTTACGGGCCATATTCCCACTTGATGGACGGTTCCTAGCTTTCACTCCAGCTATTCCCACTAGTGACTGTTAAATTGGATTTATTAGCAAGCTCATTCAATGCTTCTACTATGGAATAACTACATGTGTTGTAGTTGTTCGTTTTTTGTCCCAGTTTATAGTTAGGTCGTTCTAGTGAAGTTCATCTTTTAACTTTGTTAACACGGGGTCCTCCTCAGAATTTTAGTGTATGAGTTTGAGTTGTGTCGTGTTCATGGTGTATGGTAATTGTATACATCATGGGGTATACATGTGAGCCAATATTGTGTGGTGGTGCTTCTGCATCATGACCACATGAGGGCGCTGTGCTTTAATTTCCTGTGAGAGGAGAGCCTATTAAACTCACAGCTGTGTAATGTTGACGGTAGCGGTTGAAGGCTGCTGTATAATTCAGACTGTCACACACACACACACACACACACAATGGGACAAATGCACTCTGGAACAGGAGGAAGCACTAATAGCTCCTGACACTTCTGACTGTGTGTGGTGCATGTGGGACGTTTGAACACACAGGCACACGTGGCTATGGCAAGATAAAAGGGGCACATAGTATTAAACCTTTATTGATGCTGCCTACAGAGAGCAGAGAGTCTGAACAGTGGAAACAGTTGAGCCGCAGCGAAGGGAGGAGGATGTGATGGTCGAAGGGGGGCGCGGAGGGGGATTTTTGGCAGGAGAGAGGCAGATAGAAAGAGGGGGAGGTATGCTTAGTGCTCGCTGGGTGCGGAACGGACAGGTTGAGGAGTGTGTGCCTGACTGCTGCATCCCCCAAAAATAGATGCGGTGAGTGTGAGGGTGCATAGGACTTGCTGCCAAAAGAGACAAACAAAGATCAGTGAGTATCTTACTTTGTTGTTGATTGGCAATTTTAGGGTGACAGTTAGGGCACGGGTTGGTTTGGCACGTTGATAGTTTAAAGAAAATGTATTGTTTTGTTTTGGTGATTGCCTCTGTCATTCTGGTCTTGTATCTTGACTTAACATGCAGAAGATAGGTTGTTACCATATGCCTCTGAGGAAGTCCATGTTTTTAGTCAGTGACCTCTGGAAAAGAAAAGTGTAATTGTCTTTCTGTTCTGTTTGTTTTGGTCAACAAAAAATAAAAAACAAGAACAAATTCACATCTATAGATTGAAAGGGGTTTGCGCTAAAGTTCTTGAATGGCTGTTTTGTACTTGATCCTTGTGCATCCAGGTTTGGGGCTACCGGAGAAATACTATGGACCCTTTTTAGCATGATTTTTCTCTCGTCCAAATGCTTTCAACTGTGTAATGACTGTCAGATTACAGTTTTTATTTCACTAATTTAATATTGGTTCTCCCAGTGCACAGCGGAACTTAATCCCACATTGAAATTGTGATTGTTTTACCTGCTCACTCTGGTCCCCTAGATAAAAGCGTACGTAGTAACCATATATCCCCTTCTATTCCCTGGTGCCACAAAGCTCATTATCACTGCTGAGATTAGACATTCCCATAGTAACCTTGACATTTCAGGGGCGTTGGCAAGACGATGAGATTATATTAGAAATGAGAAATATCCCATCCTGATCCCCCCTCAGCGTATTCTTCTTTGTCCTGATACTTTTTTGTCCCCAAAGTTTTTGCCTATTCTAGTTTTATTACTTATGTCCTTCCTAGATTTCCACAAGTTCAAAGAAAGAAATCTCAGTTGTGGTTTGTCTTTAATGCAACTATTGAGGCTTATATTTAAAGCAGTGATGTCCTCCAGAGCAAGAGTCACAAAAAGTAATCTGGAGGTTTTCACCATAGATGTGAAGTTTACATTTTAATTGTTTGGTTGTCAGTTTTTATCAATCTGTTTTATTTGCAAACAATCTTTTTCTCCCCCTTTCTCAGTAATGTTTGTCCTATTTACTAAATGGTTTGTATTTTCCCCTTGCCTCCCTTGGATGCAGAGAGAGGTAAAAACTATTGCATGTCTTTAAAAACTCATTCATTCTTCACTTTATTGTTTAATTTCCTCTCTATCTGCCCTCTGTGTTCAAAGTGGAGTTTGAAAACACACTAACGGTCATAGGAAATGAAATCTCTTTTGTCCGTCATTTTGTGAAGTATGCACAGACACAAACTAGACAACTTTTCCCCCAGGCCACAAGAACATTATTAGTCTTCATGTTAGTATTTCCTATTAGTTTGCAGTTCTGCGTTCGTGTTATGCCTCTGGCGTAAATTGAATTATTTTATTTTTTAAAGCGTCTTGATCCTCTTTTCCGGGATCACTTGGTTTCTTTTTATTATTATCTTTATTGGTCTTGATTGATGCTTTTAAAAGTTGTCCAATATTTATCAAAGTTATAGAGGTCCCTTGTGTCCGCTTCTAATGACAACCTAAAACAAAATATCCCATCCAACTCCTAAGCTATGTGTAACTTCTACTTTGAATATTTCATCATATTCTTTCTTTATTTTTCTTTCCTCAGAGATTTTGCGTACGTAGCTCGGGATAAAAACACCAGGATCCTGAAATGTCATGTGTTCCGCTGTGATACACCGGCCAAAGCCATTGCCACCAGCCTCCACGAGATCTGCTCCAGGGTGAGTGCTCTTCACTCTGCAATAACAACCAGTCTCTGCTTTGTGTGACCAAGAATGAAAGATTTTTTGTGATTAAAGCTGGGGTGTCTCACTTTTTTTGCATTTTGTTTACTGTCTTGTGAAGGTAAATTGATGTTATATGCTGTTGTTATATTATTATTAGACATGTGTATTGAACATTATTGTCTTATTGTATAGTTAAGAAAGAGCTGTGTGATCTTAAAAGCTTTTAGATTTTAAGATTAATGTCAAAATACATGTGAAAACTAAAGAAGGATCCAAACTGCTTTAGTGCAAGAAACTAGTTATTAAGATTGATTTTGCTACATAGTTCTTTATTTATTAGTTTGAAAGTTAGGCACCTCATCTTTAATCCGGTGTTGTGCCAGAACAAGCGTACACCATGTGATAGGCGTCTGAGTTTCTGATTTAACTTCTGATCAGTGGCAAGTGAAATGAAATTGTGGCCTTCATGTTGCGCATCCTCAGTTCCTTATGTAGCTTCAATGATCAGCTCTTCGAAGCTTTTAAAAACGGATCTCATTTTTGTCCGCAAATACATATATGTACAGTTTCTCTATTTTCTCTAACCTGAATATATAGTACATGTCACTAACTTGTTAACTTATGCTTATAGACGGTTCTCTATTTTTTTTGGATTGTTAAAATTTATATCAAAGTCATTGATGAATTTCTGTTTTTGAAACTGGCAAAGCACATTTTATTCTACTAATTCCTCTAATATTTATTGAAAATACATTTATAACAACATTTCACAAACAAATAACTTCATATTAAACCATAATTTCAGTATTGCTGCAGAATTTCTGTGTTTGGAGCGACTGCATTTATAATATTGTTATTGATGGTTCCTATCCATTCCGCCCCTTGTAAAAGCACAAAGCATAGAGCTGTCCTAACTCTAACTAAAACGTGAACTAGGGGCCCATACCCCTTTAACACCACAAATCCTCTCTTTAAGTTTAATGGGGTCTTAGTTCCTCCCAATGACATTCAACCTACACACCAGATTTCAGCTCAAACCATCCAGTGGTTTTTGAGCAATCCTGCCCAGAGATAAACTGACATTACACACACAGAGACGATCGCAATACCTCCTGTTGGCCAAGTACAGAAAGTATATCTATGAAAGTCCAAATTTTCTTTTGTCATTTGTTTTCTTTGTAAGCTTAAAAATCAAGACGTGAACTTATGCAGAGCATTCATATTCCAGGTGCAGTGAGCGTGGACATAAAGCAGCCTTACCGCTTGGCTTGGACTATAAAATGCTTGCTCTAGTTGGGAAGTATTTACAACGCTAAAATATAGGCAGCAGCTCCTTTCATCAGGCACTGCGCTCACAAAATCCAAAAACAAGATTAAATATGTCAATTGCCTATAAAGTATTATCTAATACTTTCTTGCGCTGTTTTTCAAAAATAATACAAACTTTAGGCGTGTTTCATTTTTGATGATAAAATTCTGTCCTTGTGCTGCGTTTGGCTATTAGAAAAGCTTATCCCATAATGCCTGGAGTTAAGTCTGCATGAAGTTCAATTGAAAGTTGGTTCTGGACTTTTGACAATATGTTAAATTAATCTGCACCGCACTGATAGACATAATTCAAACACTTAATGTTATAAATCACAAAACAGCTGTTCTTAGCTTTTTCTCTGCATCCTTCATAAGATTTGTGCCTCATCCTAAAGCTGCACTGGCATCGTCACAAAAAAATTGCTGATGCGACTCCCAATGTTCGACAGGCCTTCAAAACATCAATTATACAGAGATGTGACTTGGTTTGTAGGGAGAGAGGCACTTTTGTGTGAACTGGTACTGATCTTTATACATATTCATCCTTTTTGACAAAATGACTTCATAGGATTTAATTCACATGTTTTACTCATATTCTAATCTTGGAGTACTTGTTGCACTTTTGCAGATAATGGCCGAGCGAAAGAATGCCAAAGCTTTGGCTGGAGGTTCTCTCCAGGACCGGATGCAGGCTGGACTAGATCTGCCTTTACAAGGTGGGCCGCACAGCCACCCGGGTTATTCTCCCTGTAACGCTGTTATTCATGTAGTTTCTCCCTTTCAGAATTCCCCACTCCAAAGACAGAACTGGTCCAGAAGTTTCAGGTGCTTTACTTGGGAATACTTCCTGTGGTCAGACCAATAGGTAGGTTTAATGGGTGGAGTTGTGATACTGTCAGTGTCTACTAATATAGTGTGTGTAAATAATTTATACTGTTGAATATTCAGGGATGGATATTCTGAATGGGGCCATAGACAATTTAGTTGGTTCTTCAAACAGAGAAGACTGGACTCCAGTAGCACTTAATGTGGCAGATGCTACTGTCACTATCAGCAAGGATAAGGTGAGATCCGTCAGAGCGCATTTTAATTCACCCTATTATATCATTTATTAATCATAAACCTCTTCTGGAGCAGGATGAAAAGGAGTTGATAGTGGAGTGTCGTGTGCGTTTCCTTTCGTTCATGGGAGTTGGGCGTGACATACACACTTTTGCCTTCATCATGGATGCCGGTGGACAGCGGTTTGACTGTCATGTCTTCTGGTGTGACCCCAATGCTGGCTATGTATCAGAGGCAGTACAAGCAGCATGTATGGTAAGACCAGGCAGCTTTTCTTATTTATGATATGGAAACCCTGTTCAATTGTTACAACATATTTGATTAAATACTAAATAGTGCAGTGCCTGTAAAGCCTGTAAGTATTCCTAGTTGCTACCTGAGCTAAAACTTAATGATTTACGAGCTTGTATTATGTCACCTGTTGATGTATAAAAGCTTTCCGTTTCTTCTCATTTATGTACCATTGAATGTATCACATTCACATTGGGATTTTCAAGAACTCAACTTTTTAAATAAGACTAGAAACTATATTTTGTTAGTAGTTCATTTGTGAAAGTGATTATGACAGGGGTTGTTCTTATTTTTTTTTTATATTGGTACACACTTCACACTTTGTTTGTATAGTCTTGGTGTAAATTCAGCATTTGTGTCTTTGCTTGTATTTAAACATGAGTCTGTTTCTGTTGCAGCTGCGATACCAAAAGTGCTTGGTGGCACGGCCCCCGTCTCAGAAGGCCTGTGGCTCTTCCCCCCCAGGAGACTCTGTGTCCCGCCGTGTGTCTACCAGTGTGAAGAGAGGTGTCCTCTCTCTTATTGATACACTCAAACAGAAGAGACCAGTCACAGAGCTGCCGCAGTAGACCACTATCAACTACAGTCCCCTGTCACCATGGTAACTAGTGCGGACACCCCTCACCATCTATTACAATGGAAACAGAAATGTCCAGGGGTCTGGAAAACTTTGTGCTGTTCTGAACTGCAAGCCTCCATGAAATGTAGCTGTGGATTGTAAATGTACTCCATCTCCATAAATGAAAGTGTTCTTCCAATGTTCAGAAAGGCCATCTCCCATAATGCACCGGGAGGCGTTGGTGTACATAGAAACATTGTTCACGCAGAGTTCACACAGACAGTGACTCTACAGTATAAAACGTGGAACATAGAGCTGATCTCAGAACCTTTGTCGTGTCCGTGTCTGTTCCTGTCGTATGACCAGCATGATCTTGTGAAACCTCCATCTGTTTGTTAAACCTGTGACTGTCAGTTCAAACCTGAGAGGTGCCGAAGAAAAGATTCTCCGCCCTGAATTCTCTGTAACCTGCTCAAACGCATGACCTTTTCTATTGTAAACAAGCACTCAAGACAATTGCATAGAGACTGGAGAGAGGGCAAATCCACGTCTTCTTATTTTTGTAGCCTCAACGAGAGGTGATCCTTCACCTGAAGCATTTTTCATGTGGCAGGGACAGAGGGCAGACTCAGACTCAGCATGCTGCTACTCAGACACCACCCATCACTGCTGATCTTCAATCACATCTCAGTATTTGACTTTGGGACTGAATTTACCCCAAAAATGGAAGCTGTAACCACGAGAAGTATGACTGAAGGACTGTTGTGTGGTTGAATTTAGACTTCCAGGGCTGCTAGTGGTCTGTCTCCAGGAACTTTCCCTTGAATGTGTCTGAAGTGTTTTCATAGATAATGTAACAGAAACACAGTATGTTCGTGTTCAACAGTGCCACACATCACACTCCATTGACTTCTTCACACTTTTTTGTTGAACATCGCTTTGTATATACTGTATCCGAGCCTGTAACTAAAGATAATTCCTAATGATTAAAATAAATGTACAAAATGATGACATTAGCAAGCATAGACCGGGAGTGTGATCGTGTATAAAGGGTCAGCCTCATCACCTTATTTTTGTCAAATGGTTGATGAAATGTGAATACAACTAGTCTGTAGATAATATTGTTTTATTGTAACTTTCAGGCTTTTGTTTTTGTTATAAGCTATTTTTATTTCTGAATGTCATTTTTCTATTTTAATGTAATGAGAGGCCTTTTTGAGGATTCGCCAAAGTGTAAATGATCGACATGTAGATAAGAAAACCCCAGAACAAATCAGTGAAAGTAACAGCAGTTGGAAATGTTCCCAGTTGCCAGTTAAAAAGTGTAAGCAAATATCTATGCATTATTTTGACTTAGCAAAAAAATAAGTTGTATAGAGCCTTGCATGCCCATGAACAGTTAAGTAATATTCACTGAACAGAAATATGTTTATTTTTATTTATTATATTTTATACAGATATATAGTGTACTGATTAGTTGGGACCAGTAATGTCTCGTTTTTTCATTGTCTCGGTCCATTTTAAACCCACAAATTGTCTGCAGTCAGACAGAACACTTGAAGCAGAATCCACAGCTGCTCTGAGAGGCATCACTGGCCATAACAGCTGTGGACGTCTGCTGTTTTCTGATCCTGACATGTATGATTCACGTTATAGAGGTATACACCTGCTCACTGGTTTGAACACTTTATCAATGTAACCGACTGTGACAATAAACAACATTAAAAGCAACAAGGTGTGAGGCTCTTCACTTCTATGGTTTGTTATACTGTGACATCAAGAAACGCTCATAGTTGCATTGTTTTCAAATTCACAAACTATGAATACTTTATATTATGATAATTACATTGTATAAATATGGTTAAAATAAGCCATATGCATAGATTTTGCAAAAAATTGACAAATATGCCAAAAAGCTTGAATTAGTCAAAACTGAAACTAAAAAGGCAAATTCAAACTCTGTGTACATTATGAAGAATAAATCACAGCTATTTAGCCAAAGATTTATTCACAAACACCACAAGGACGTGTCGGGCTACATTGGCCTCTGGGGCCTTGAGATCTGCCAATTGGACAAGACTGAATGTTCACTAGGAATGAGGAAATAAAGCACTTTAAATGGAACAACAGAGGCTTTTTCTTTCTTTGAGAAAGCCCTAATTCCAAGTCTATCAAGTCAATGAAAATAAAAATTCTCAAGCATTTGTTGGCTTACACAATATATAATGTTTTGCAAGATTGCAATGTATTGATGCCCATTGCTTAGTTCAGCACAGTTCCATTTCTATTACAGTAGAGTTCAAATAGAAAGTTAAAATTAAGAGCAGAGGTTCTGAATTGGCATGAAAAGATTAAATAATGTAACTCAGGTGTAACTCAAAGGAAAAAGCCATGGGAAAGCAGATAAAAGAGGCTAAACACACTGATGTCAGAGATGGGTAGTTATTTCATTTTCTGTCAATTTTTTAAAAACTATTTTAAACTCAAAACATGATACATAATCCTGATATGATAAATACAATAAACATACCATTCTTTCATGCTGGGATCTGTCCTGAACACAATAGACATGTACTGACACAAACGTTACCTGCATGTGTCTGCAGCGTCATGTTTCAGCTCTCCGTGATACTGATGGAGCTGTTTGAGAAGAGCGACTCGAGGAGGGGCACAGAGTCCACAGGTTTGTCCTCGTCTTCCACCTCTACCTCACCCAGATCTATTTGCCCTTGAACAACAGAGATAACTTTACTTTCTTTCCCTTTTTCACTGGCTTCGCTCTTACCCAGCTGTTTCTGTGCTGCTTCAGCTTCAGTGCGTGTAGCAGAGAGGGCAGACTGGGGCTGCTGAGTGGCAGGTGTGGAGGATCCCGAGGAGGTCTCAGAAGATGTAATCATGGCCGTATTGTCTTTGAGCTTCTTCACTAAGGGGGTAATGAGAGACAGACGTGCTGAAGCTTTAGCAGAGGACATCAGTGACAGCGTGAGGCGAGGTATTCGACGAGGCTTTCGCTTGCCCTGGATTCTCTTCTTGACCTTTTTCTTATCGCCTTTGGAATGACTCTTGCTTTGCCTGGTGCTGGCTTTTCCTTTATGTCCTTTCCCAGCCTTCTTTTTCTTCCCCACGTTGCTGCTCTTATCGGGTCTGTCCCCCTCCTCCACGTCACCCAGCTCCTCATCTTCAGCATCACCTGTGCCCTCAGCCTCCTGCTCACTGCCTGCTTGTTGACTTTTCTTCCCTTTTCCCTTCTTGCCAAGTTTTGATTGCTCTGGGAGTATTCCACCCAGGAGGCCCTTTGCCGCCGCCCTTGCCAATACGTCCTGGACCGTTTCTACTTTAGTGGGATCAGCCTGGAATAAAGACAAGTCAGCTTTTGATTATTTGTGCAGATAGAATACATTACAAACAATTGACTCATGGGACCAATGATGTATAACACAACAAAGTTTAGTAAGGGGCGTGGCTGTTTAAGGACATGCTTTAAAAATACAGTACACTGTTTTGTTTGCATTGTGATTCAGAGGCATTTCATGTTCCATTTTAAAGTGTCCACTGACAATTCTCTTGTCACTATCTGTGATTTATTGTATCCATATTCTATGCTGCTAACGTATGTACACTCTGAGGCCTCTTTCCATTGAGAAAAACTGAAGGCCCCTCACAAATAAAAAAGCCCTGTTGAACCTATTAAGGTGCATAATGGAACTTTATGTGTAAAAAGTTTATAATATTGCGTATTTTAAGAGCATGGTGCCTTTACAGCGCTCCAGGATCAGTTGTTTCTGTCAGCAGAGAAAACCCTCCAAACAATTGATCCTATAGCACCCGAGAGACATTAAGACATCATGCTGACCACTCTTACACCCGCTGGATAACTACAAGGTCAAATATGCAACAGAAAAAAGATAAAAGCACCTTTATATTATTGACAACAGTTATAGTTATACCTATATCCTGATCACCTATCGCTGCGTGTTTCTTCAAACACAGTATATTTCTTTCTTTCTCTATGCCATTTCTGATACACTGGATCATGTATCTTAAAAGCCTGATTTGAGCTGCCTGGTCTTATTGTTTATAATGAAACATGGAAGTGTTTGCCAAGACCCGATTGAACATGATTGATGTGAGCCTGTCAGAGCCTCTTCCGTTTTTGTGCAGTCCTCTGTCTTGTGCTTGTAATGAAGATGCCTCATGTCTCTCTTTAATTGTTTAAATAGATAAAGTATTATTCTGCCAGTGCAGTCTGCCATGTCTAAATTTCACATTACTTTAAGCGGTCCTCTCTAGAGTAAATTGCCTCGGGTCGAGCGATTCATCTGAACAGCTTTGAGCCAACTCCTGAAGTGTGACTCAATGTGTGACAGTGGCTGATGTAGGTGCACACTGTCAATAATTATACACAGCACAATGAGATTGGAGACTATTGCTACTACAAACTTTTGGACTTGTCCCCAAACCTCATTCTCACATTTCAAATCATATTTCATCATTGCTTGTACATTATATTGTAATCATTTTTATTTATTATAAATTATAATATGGGTATTGAAAAATCCAATTCAGCAAAAACAATCTTGAAGCAATACCAGATTAAGGTTTCAGAATCCAGTTAATTAATGAAGTTGTATTTAAAACCCAGCCGTGCCTTGCCCCAACTTCTAATTAGCATTAGCTCATTAACTACAGTGTCTTAAGAAACATTATCTACTTTGATTTTTTCTTTCTTTTCTTTTCAGGGCAGTGGGGAAGGTGCACAAGGCAAATGAGGTTCTCCCTAAATTGTGGACTTTTATAATGTGGAGAATTACACCTCCATCTTGACTGCACAGTAATGAAATGTTTCAGAGACGTGTGTGTATTTCATCTATATCTTGTCACCTATTTTAGTGGAATAATGCTGCAGATTTTGCAGCCTTTGTGTGCCTGTGTGTGTGTGTGTGTGTGTGTGTGTGTGCACTTGTTTTCAACTCCTGGTGGGTTCCATAACCTGAGATTCCACTCACGTCATGGGGACTGGTTTTACGTGGTGGGGCCCGAACACCGGACCCCACTGGTCCAAGCTTAATAATCAATGGGTAATGCTTTTCTAACGGTCCTTATGCAGTCTCTGTAAAAATATGGAAAGGACCCCTGGAGGTTTACTTTCCTGAAAAAAGTGTGTTATGTGTCGGAACCCTGGTGGTGGGTTGCGGGATATCAAGGAGGGGCACACTGGGGCAATTTCAGTCCAGCAGGCTGGAGCCAATCATGGAGCAGCACAACAGAGGAAATCAGGTGTCAGGCTAGAAAAAGGTGCAAGTGTGTGGTTCATTAGGCTGCAAGAAATCATGGAGGAGCACACTGAAGCGCACGCTTACAAACCACTGGTAAGTGCTGACTACAAGTCATGACTTCAAATTGTTATATAGAATGATTACAAATTATTTGTTGTTTGTGCAGCTTAGTCAAGAGTCCCTAATTGATGAAGTCGACTCAGATTCTGACGATTTAACTGTCAAGAAGAAACCTGTAAAAAAGTATGGAAAAAGAAAAATCAAAAACACTTTTCTTCAAGACTCGGAAAGTGACGAACCAAAGGCAAATAAGATTGTTATCATGCAGCTGCAAAAGAAGAAAAATGGGGGGCGAGTATACAGCAAGAGACACTTCTGCCTCTACTGTTCAATGTCCTGCCACAAAATGTCCCGTCATTTGACTAGAAAACATGGAAATGAAAGTGACGTAGCCAGAGCATTGGCTCTACCTGTGAAATCTAAAGCACGTAAACTTCAGTTTGATTTGATCAGGAATAGTGGAAACCGTGAGCACAATTTTGAGGTTTTAAAGGCCGGCATTGGAACTTTAGTCCCAGCTAAACAGCCAAATTGCCCAGTTAAATCCAGTGAGTTTTTGCACTGTATAGACTGTGGGGCATTGCTTAAGCGAAAGTCGCTGTGGAGGCATGTGGCCAGGTGCCGGCTTTCACAGAAAGATGCCCAGGCTAAACCAGGTAGAAGTAGGGTCCAGTCCCTCTGCTCCCTAGCCCAGCCTGTACCGGAGGGCATCAGCAAAAAGCTGTGGTCTTTAATTTCGGCAATGCATCAGGATGAGGTCACGGGTGTTGTCAAAGCAGAAAAGGGGATTCTGAGACTCGGAGAGCACCTGTACTTAAAACACGGGCATGATAAGACAAAGCATGATTACATTAGGCAGAAAATGAGAGAAGTCGGTAGGTTAATTAACGAAGCAAAAACCGCAGGGAAACTGAAAACAATTAAGGATTTCTTTATTCCTTCCAACTTTAACCATGTGATTGATGCAGTCAGGTCTGTGGCTGGATATGATGAGGAAACAAATCAATACAAGACTCCATCCTTGGCCCTCAAACTCGGCCATAGCCTCAGAAAGCTAGCAGATATTCTTGAATGTGACTCAAAAATGGAGCATTGTGTTGATGAACTATTTATTAAAAACCTCCAACGAAGCCGGCTGCTTTTTGAGAAGAGGTGGGACGTCTGTGTTTCTTCTGCTGCCCTACAGACCCTCCGGCAAGCCAAGTGGAACACTCCGGACCTGCTCCCTCTGACTGAGGACGTTAGAGCCATGCATGCACATATTGAGGTATGTCGACCTGAATATGTGCAAACCCTAATAAGTGAGCCAACGTCTAAGCATTGGTCTAAACTGGCAGTTTTGACTCTTTGTGAGGTCATCATTTTCAATCGAAGAAGGGAAGGTGAGGTTTCAAAGATGCCACTGACAGCCTTTACCTTAAGAAGTAAGACTGGGATCCATTCTGACATTGCTCTGGGACTGTCCCAACTTGAGAAAAAGCTGTGTCAGCATTTTCAACGCATTGAAATTAAAGGGAAAAGAAGTCGGAAAGTGCCGGTTCTTTTGACTCCTGAAATGATTGCTTCGATGGAGGTGCTGGTGGAGAACAGAAGGGCCTGTTCCATCTCTGACCATAACCCATACTTCTTTTCCCGCCCGGGCGCAGACACCCACATCAGGGGATCAGACTCCCTACGCCAGGTAGCCAAAGAATGTGGTGCGGTGCATCCAGAGATGCTATCCTCAACCAAACTTAGAAAGCACATAGCTACTATGTCTACAGTTCTCAATATGAAAGAGAATGAGATGGACATACTTGCCAACTTCCTCGGCCATGACATTCGCATCCACAGGCAATATTACAGACTACCAGAGGGGACACTGGAGCTGGCCAAAATCAGCAAAGTGTTGATGGCCATGGAGCAGGGAAGAGTGACGGAATTCGAAGGAAAGAGCCTCGACCAGATACAAATTGAGCCTGAAGGTAATTCTTGATATTATTAAAATATGTATGATTTTTTTCCCCTAAAGGCCACTTGTATTTTTATTTTCTGTGCGACAGGGAGAGCAGTAGAGATCCTCTCACAAACGGACGGGCTAAAAGAAACTTCAAGCGGAGAACCTTCAACCATTCATCCAGATGCACCCCATGGTAGTGGCAGTGCCCCTTCTGGTAAGTGTACCAGGTGGGGGATTACAGCCAGGCTGCTTGGTCCTCACCCTGGGAGTGTATATTGCTAATATATTTTTATTTCTCTCCCTAGAACGTGTAAGAAAGCCATGGTCTGCATCTGAGGTGAAGGCTGTGGAGAAGACCATGACACCTTTCATACAGACTGGAAAGGTCCCTGGGAAGTCTCACTGCCTGGCCTGCATTAATGCCTCACCAGATGACCTTAGACATCGGACATGGAGTGGCATTAAATTCTATGTCAAAAATAGAATCACTGCAATTCGAAAACAAAATCTAAAATAAAATTCCTTTAAAATAGTTGTTTGGTTTCTATTGACTGTTTTGTATTACTTAAAGTCTTGGTAAAAAAAGATTATGTCTATGGGTCCCATTCTGAACGGCCCTGTCAAAGGGACCCACCAGGTAACAAAAACGTGTATGTGTGTGTGCGTGCGTGCGTGTGTGTGTGTGTGTGCGTGCGTGTTTTGTAGATAAGCAACCTCCCCACAGACAGACAGTAAAAGACCGCTGCCTCAGCATTTTTCCTGTAGGCCTTAGTGCAAATCACACAAACCTTTCTCCAATAGTCTGTATGTGCCCAACTTCACATGTAACATGTTATTTTCTATTTTATGATTTCCCAATTTCCCACCTGTCGAGAGAGCCTGGCTATGAAACAGCCATTGGTGAACGGAGAGGGTTGAAGGTGGAAATACTTGGACTCAGCAGTCTCTTCAGATTGCGAATCGTCTGGAAAGATGGGTCCATTAACCCTAACACAAAGGCGATGACACATTTTAAATCATTGTAGTGCCACATTACCAAAGTAACTTCAGTTAATTGACAAAAATATCACAGTTTTAGAGTTAAACATTGTAATTGCATAAAAAGTTTCAATGGCGTTGTTCAGTGGTTTAATATATAAATGTTCTTTGTACATTTATCATCCTGAATAATGCTCCGTGGAATTCATCAAATGCAATATCATATACAAGTAAATACTTTAATAGTTACAAATATGAGGGGATTACTTTGAGACAGAGCAGCCTAGAGACACAATCATACATTTCTCCTTGCATCCTAAACTTTCCTGTACACTGCACATCTCCCCTAATGGATCAAGATAATGTCTGCAGACTCAACAGAGTGACGCCAAAACCAAGACTCTATGACCTTGGTACATTCTTTGGAGCAAAACTATTAGGTGAGCCACTAATAACGGCTTTCACTTTTATGTATTCAGAGATAATACAGTATTGTGAGTTAGTTACAATTAAAATGGGCTGATCAGCAGTGCAAATGCTTGGATAAATAAGGGTGTGTTCCATGGGGTGGATCTGAACAAGTTGTCATTTGAATGAAAAACATGATTACTTGTTTACCTAAAGGGAAGCAGTTTGGGAGGAGTGCGGGTTCTCTCTATAACCCTCTTCACCAGCTGTGCATTTTCCTCAGGGTACTCTGAGCGCGTGCAATAGACCACAGTCTGGACCTTGGGGACTACATCACGGAGAAAAGGAAGTGAATATGTTTAATGGTGGTCTATTGAATCACCATGCAGATAATGTTTAGTCCCCAAATGTATATTGAAAGCAAGATACTAACAAGACAGTGCATGTCCCAGTAGTCGTGTTTGCTGACCAATCAGTGTGGTGATTTTGGATTTTGATACCAATCCATGAGAGAGATCTGTGAGAATTTCCCAATCTGGATATGAAGAACACACAATACAAGATTATATATTCAAAGTTCTTTGGGGACTTGTGAAAAATATGCAACCATATACCTCCATGTTCACGATGCATGATGGGCACTGGATCATTAAGGCCAGAAGACGAGCACTGAGGTAGTACAAGGATGACCTTTAAATGCTGCACAGTGTTTTCCCACTCGTTCAGCTCAACGAAGGACTCAGAAAGTATTCGAACGTCTGAAGTAAAAGCAGTATTAGGCCTCTTTTAATGTATACCACAACTTATATAGATATTGTGAAATGGTTTCATGACACACTTTTTAAGTTCATTTGAGTAAGTAGTGCTTTGACCTCTTCTATCAGTGAAGGAGCATGGTCAGCAGAGCAGACCAGGACGCGCCCAGCTCGGGCAGCGGCTGCGACTGCTACATGGCACACCGTCACAGCAGAGAAACACCCGGCCACCAGGACATCACCCGAATCAAACAGCAGCGGCCGCAACACATTCACTGCCACACACAGACCTCTCTCCTGGAAAAAAATATATAAATGAATTTATATTTATACAACAACAAAACTGAAGTTACACGCTTAGTTATAAGCTTCGTCTTGAAATAGAACATTTTAATGGGGAGAGTTTGTTGATGAATAATGTATAAATTGAGCATATGGTGGTTGTACCTGGATGTTGATGATACATGATGAAGTGAGAGTGCTCGTCTGAAGCCAAACGTGAAGCTGCTTTGGAAAGACAAGGGTGTCTGAGCAGAGGCGGTCTCTACAGAAAGACATCTCTTTTAGCTCGGCCACACTCTTAACTTCACAGAGGCTGGCTCGTTGCAACGCTTCGCAAACGTCTTCCACACTGATAGAATAAAATAATGTAAACAAACATAATATGATGGGATGAATAGCACTCCAATGAAGATAATGACTCCAGCACACATTCTGCCTACCTGTACATGAGCGTGTTGACCCATGTAAACAGTGGAAGCGATTTAGCTTGGTGTTGTTTGGTCCGGATCGGATCGAGAAGGAAGGATGAGACACTCCTTAGGCTCTGTTTGACCCGGAACCGGGCCAAGGATGCTGCAAGTTTTGTCTTACACCTATAGTGAAATCCATGCACATCTGTTAATATTCTTTAGTTGAGACGTTCACAGCTTTTCAATAAATTGTACTGTGTAACTTTCTAGTGGTGGAAAATCACCTGCATGATTCCATGTAAATAAAAAGTTAAAACCACTCCATGGAATAATCTCTGATATATACTGCATGTTTAATGCCATATTGTGCCAAAGGACAATCTTAAAGGACGTATACGAGTCAGGTTTGGGGCATGCAAGCACACATATGTTTTGGTCTTTTGTTCAGTGTCATAAAATCAGGCTATTTTATCTATAGTCTATTTTTTGACTATAACATTCCATACTGGGGCTTTAGATTAAGGTATTTTAACCTTTCTAAACTGTTCAGAAGATACTTGACATCCTGATGGCGTTCTTGTTCATTTTCAGTTGAAGAAAAATGTGGTGAAAACTTGTGTTCCTGGAAGTCACACAGCATCACCATGGCTAAAGGCAGCATTTCCCCAGACTAAAAAAAAAACACATGGTCAAAACACAGTTATATATATATATATATTTAATCTCAAATGTTATGTAAAGAATTGTGCCTTTTGCATTCTTTTCTCACTGAATAAAACCTCTATTTGCATACATCACAAAGTTTTTTTTTTAACGTATCATTATACGGTTTTTATAGGCCTGGTGTAATTTGCAGCTTCCAGACATGCACACACTGTTGAGGATAACAAATCTCTACACAGCCCAGTCTGAATACAAACAGCCTCCTAATGCACATATGGTTTTCTGTACTTAAGTGGGGAAAAGAAGAGAAGACTTACAATGTTCTGAGAAGTGTGGAAACAGCTGTCAGTTATCATGTATTCCAGCACATCTTGATCTAAATTCAAAACAATTTAAAGTATCAGTTGTAGGCCCGACCTTCCTAAAAAATATATAAAAATACATATACGATAATACATAAAAATACATTACATACAGTATGCCTAAATACATGATAATAATAATAATAATAGTAATAGTAATAATAATAATAATAATAATAATAATAATAATAATAATAATAATAATAATAATATATTTTTTAAACACCTGCTTTGACCGTCGACTTGATGTGGTCATTAGCCAACGTCTATTTCGGGACAAAAACACTTATTTAGGGTCCAAGTAAGAATTTACAGTGCAACTTTCACTTCTTTACTTCTTTAAACATACTTGTTGACAGTAATAACGCTACTTTGCCTGATTCTTCTTGTGCACATGTCGCAGAAAAGGTAAGTAGCATGTGTCAAGATTAGCATGATGCTAATTATCAATGTAGATTTAAGGCTGCTTGAAAATGTAATGTGGGTTCATATTTACAGTCTATGGTGGGCACTCACAAAACTTATAACATCAAACTGGAATTAGGACAGATCATAATAAAGCTCTTATTTTCAAACCCAATCCAACACCCAAGCTAACAAATAAAAAGTAATAAAAAGTGCTAACAAGTTTAAAGGTGTTTTACATCCCATGGCCTGGGCCTTTTTTCTTTTAAACAGATTCTGATTTTCGAACTAATTTCCTCAGCTTTGAAAGAGGAGGTTAAAACTGTTGGTCATGCTACTATGTATTAAATCCAAGCTATTCTCTTTTATATTTATGCAAGTTTTAGGGTTTAAGACGTGAGCACGATCTGTGCAAAAAGAGAATGATCAAACTCTAGAGTTAATATGTAATCAAATGGCACAACTACTGGAGGAAGGTCCAATGAGCAGAGGTTTGACCAAATAAATGCAACCAAAAAATATGATTTATAAGTGTATCTAATGACTACTGTAAATATAACAAAGCCATGAACATACATTTTAGCGTGCTGAAGGCAATTTGGTAGGCCTGCATCTCTGTAGTCTTGTTTGTGATTAATGGCAGTGCTGCGTCTGTCTTTTTTCCATAAAGCAGAAGTTGTTGTGTGATTGGCTTGTCCTCCCTCAGCTTCTGGAATACAGCGGCTGCCATCAGGAAGGTGTCATCTGAGTATTCATCTGTAGACAGGTTGAATAGGATACTTCAGCCATAGGAGTACATAATCTATTGGGTTGAATAGTGGCCACAAGAGCACCGGTGTGAGGTTTCATTGTTGAATGAGTATTTGCTTTATTCTATAGTCTTGCAGACCTACAGGTAACTGTAACATGAGGCTGTGCACCGGTATTTGAGCCTCGATACATTTCACTATAATCCCTTCTAATGTTGAGTGTTGATGGGGCGGCCTTATTATGTCTGGATTATCTGTTGTGACTCTGGCATCATATTGATTTAAAAACCCATCAATTAATGAGATGCAGCTAAAAGGTTTTTAAAAACATGGATGAAATTAGGCAGGTTGAGCTCACCCAAGGAAGATGCAGACAAAGATGGTGGTGGTTCACAGGACAGTGGTTTTTTGTCCCTCAGATCCTGAGGTGACTCACAGACGACCTCCTCGTTATCACAGACACTCCTCAATGTTTCGTTCGAACCATCTACGTAAGATTATGCAAATAGGTAAGTACACGCACACTCACACAGGTTTGTGAAAAACATAGCTCCTTACCTTGATCACCCATGATGAAGTCTGGGTAACTTACATGGAAATCCTATTAATTGAACATTTTAGATTCTGTTGAGCCAACATGTTGGCCTGCGAGAATGGTCCACAAGTGACAAAGGTAAATAAGATGCTCTGCGCAAGCCGTATGTGACATGTGATCCGCAGGTCACTCTCTGAGCGTTGCTGCAGACTGCTTGGGTGATTGGGCTTCACCAGCTGCAATTAGGAGCTCAGTCTGATATATGAGCATAAATATTTAATGTCTGCTCCTCGACCCTGGACAAAGGTCCACCTTTTCTGACCTGCCATACCCGTCTCCAGGCAAAGCCAATAACCCACACCAGTTTGGACCTGACACACTTCTCTCCCTCAACAGCGAGGCTTTAGGGATTAAGAGTCACAAATGCAAGGACCATTGGCTTCCAATTAAAGTGAATTTATCTTGAGACACCTTGTAGTCATCTTTGCAACAATATGCAATATATATAATGTGGAGTATTTTGGACTTTATTCTGTCTGTGTAGACAAGGCCTACAGTAAATATAATGAAAAATTCAAGGCAAGAGCAACTGATCTGTTTCAACTATTAATGGTAAAGAGTGAGACTGTATTTGGGAAAGATATTGAAGCATAGTTAATTTATGTAGAACAGTTTAAAATTACATGGGGTTCTTCTACCTTTGTCATGGCAAGTCTTTAATGCAGCAGTAACTGCTCCTCTTATCCTCTCAGATTACAGCATGTGAACTGACCAGTTATCCGCTTTTGGATGCTTCGTATTTGAATTGGTAATAGTAAACCCAGCACAATTAAATACTTCATTGTTGAAATGTCATGGTAACAATGTGTAATGCTCTTAGGACATTAAGGAGATTTAATGACTTTAATGGCAGGTACATGTTACAAGTGCTCTTAAGCTAATATTAAAAACAAACAGCATAAATGACCATTTTCATTGCTGACTGATATACTCAAGTGCATTAGTATGCACAAATCATGTACATTAGATTTGTATAGATATTTACTACATTTATGTGGTGACCAAGGAGTAACTATAGGGAGTATTAGGACTATACATAAATTAGAATAACACTGCCCTCTGCTGGTTTCTGTTTTACATCCACCCCACCACTGAACCATACAAATATATTTATTTGTTGTATTATAGGGACAATAAGGCAAGGCAAGACAAGTTTATTTGTATAGCACAATTCATACACAAGGCAATTCAAAGTACTGAACAAAACAAGAAAGCATTAAAATCATAAATAATCACAGAACATTAAAAAGAAAGATAAAAATATAAAATCCCTCAGTTGTATGCACAGCTAAACAGAACTGTCTTTAACCTGGTTTTAAACATTGGCAGAGAGGAGGCCTGTCTCAATACACATTAATGAACATCAGTATAAACTATGTCAATTATTATTTGGATAATAGCTACAGCTACAAAGCTAGTTTTTATCTGTAGTTCCTTGATAGGCAAATACTCACATACATGTTAAAAAAGGCCTGGTATGTTTTAAAATGTTTTAGGGGGCGACATGGTGACCAGCAGTTAGCGCTTGTACTTCACAGCAAGAAGGTCCTGGCTTTGAGCCCACCTCCAGGCCTATCTGTGTAGAGTTTGCATGTTCTCCCTGTGTAGGTTTCCACCGTGTGCTTTGGTTTCTCTTACTAAAAACATGGATAGGGTTATCTATTTCTTTTTCATCCATTTTCTTCCCCTTAATCCATTTCTGGGTCGGTGGGGTGGCAGTCAGAGCTGCACCCAGTACACAGAGCACCAGCCCCTCACTGATCCTCCTGCAGGTGGTGAGGCCACAGGAGCTGAGATCTTTCAGCGGGGGCTTCAGGCAAAGTGGGGTTAAGTGTCTTGCCCAAGGACACAACGACAGCAGTCATCAGTGGGAGTCGTGCAGTAGGTCTCATGGTGGGCTCGAACCCACGACCTTCAGGTCCAAAGGCCAATGCTCTACCAACTGAGCCACTGTCGCCCATATTTCTCTTCTTTTATTTTTCATTTTCATTAATAATTAAATTATTTTTTAATTATATAATTATTATTATTAGTATTATTTTTACAATAAAAACACCTGAACTTGGATTAAATGGAAACGCAGGGTGAGTGGTTAAAAGAGTGTTGACTTCCTGTGAGTGAAGTCCAGCTGCAGAGCTGTAATCCAGGACTGCACGCGTCATTGGTGTGGCTGCTCCACAGGCCCTCAGCTCTGGCGTTTGCGTGTGTGCTGGACGCTGTTTGTGTGCTCGCAATAATCAGCCCTGCTGGAGATTGTGGGTCGTGTGGTCATAAGCTGAGCTGGAATTTTTTCAATAAGGGCTAAGCTTTACGTGAAAATATGCTACTTATTGTGATTGTTGTGAATTTTCCTTATCTTTTAACTGTTTGATGGAAATAGTAATGTATTCTTTGAGTAATATCTCACAGATCCAACATTGATTCAACAACAATTTACTTTTTTTTAATCAATCAAACACTTACGCAACAAAGTTTTCCATAAGATTTTGCAACTTGTTGAACGGATTTAGTTTCTCTTAGCCTCGAGCGCATTAATGAGGCATTCAATGGCCCCAAGCTTTGTGGCTCAGGTCAGAGCTTTAGAGACAGTCAAACTGCAGTCCTTTGCAGCTAGACATATCTACCTTAAAAAGAAATGGATATTTAAAATAGATTCATGGCTATCAAACAGGTTTGAATCTATCACTAGGTTTATGCACACCAAAAAGTTTGTATTTTATTTTCATGACTATGAAAATTATAGATTCACACTGCATCAAAACTGTGAAGTAACTCTGTAACAACTGAAAATATGTCATATATTCTCGGTTCTTCAAAGTAGCACCTTTTGCTCTGATTACTGCTTCACACACTCTTGGCTTTCTCTTGATGAGCTTCAGGAGGTAGTGACCTGAAATGGTCTTCCAACAGTTTTGAAGGAGTTCCCAGAGATGCTTAGCACTTGTTGGCCCTTTCACCTTCACTCTGTGGTCCAGCTCACCCCAAAACCATGGGTTCAGGTCCGGTGACTGTAGAGGCCAGGGCATCTGGCCCAGCACCCATCACTCTCCTTATTGGTCAAATAGCCCTTACACAGCCTGGGTGTGAATCTACTGTACAGTCAATATCATGAAAAGAAAGGAAACTCATTGAATGAGAAAGTGTGTCAAACTTTTGGTCTGTACTGTATATTACATGAAACTAAAAGGTACCCCCATTAGGTACACCCAATTTAAATGAAAAGGTGCTTAAAGTTTTGGACATAAATGCAATTTAAACAAGAACATTTACAGATAATAAATTGCAATGTCACTGGTTTATTAGGGCATAATAATAGGTTTATGGGGTACTTGAGAAGGTTGGAAAATGCTACTCTGCTGCTAGACAAGAGTTACATACTAGAGCTACACAAAATAGAAGATGCTTTTATTGAACAACACACAAATATATACATCTAAATCCACATTTACCATGAGGTAAAGTAGTGAAGTGATCCCAGTTTCCTCTTCTCTCAGCCTCATGCTGCATGTGTGAGAGCTTGATTGTGGACACTTGCTGCAAGTGAATAGATACAGTGGCCTTTGTCTTTGTGTGTCATTGTCAGGCGTTCGGAGTCTGAGCGCCACCTTTCCTGGGACTCTCTTTGCTCTGTGTCTCAGATCTCTTTCTATTGTGCAGGAACCAGGGCAAGGTCGGCCGCTTGCTTTTGTTTAGAGCCGATGAAAAGACCTGTAAACACACATGGGTTTAGTAGAGTAATATTTCAACACTTAAACATGTTATAGTAATGTTGAAAAAAAATAGTTCTCTGAAGATATCCTGTGATGTAGTTTTCTTGTTTAGATTTTTTTGACTAAACTGCAATAGCTAATAGAAGATGGGGTAGAATGACAAGGTTGGTAAAAGAACCTGAGAAGACACAGAGTTGGTAAAAGGGTTGAAATGATTCATCAAATTAATCAATTACCTCAACTGCCTCAATTAATACAATTATAATGTACTTAAAAATATGCTAAATTTTTGTTTTTGTTTTGTTTAATCATGTGGTGGCACATGATTAAACAATAAAACGGCTTTTAAATAATATTACAGGATTTTTTGTTTAAAATATGGACGATATTTCTTTTTAAGTGTGTGATTTTTTTTTCTTCCTGAGTGGTCATGTGATGTTCCTGTGACGTGTCTTGTCAGCAGTTACACAGGACTATTAATTGGGACAAGGGGTGTTGTCTTTAGGAAGTCAAACTGCCTCTGGTGGTAGTAAGACAGCGCTTATGGCGAAACTGTTCTGTACAAAACACACAACTTCAGTAATAATCTGCAGCCCGAGTTGATTCAAATCTTAAAATTGTAAGTGATTTGTTACTTCTCAACAGCTGAAAAGAGAAACAAATGTAGCTATTCTTTCTTTCATTTGCCACAAGTTACTCAAGTTTTGTTAAATAAGCATTAAGTGAAATGCATTAAGCAATGTGTTTAACCACGTTGGCCGCCTCCCTGCCAGACTTCAGTTGCTTGTGTTGAAACTTTTTTTGTTCTCATCTGACTCAATCTCAGTTTTCTATACACACACCAGCTCTCTAGTTCCCCACTGCTTTGTGTGGATGTGCAATGACTTTATCTCTGTGTGTGTGTTTGTACTCTAAACAGCCTTCTTTGCCTCTCTCTGCTGCGACCAGAAGTCTGAGCAGCCGTCCTGTGTTCTCCTTCATGACTGGCGTCCACAAAATACGTCACACTTACAGCACAGTGCACCTGACACAAGGAAGAGGGAAGTACCAGGCTCCGCCTACGCTACTGTCTGCGAGGAATTCAGGTAGGCAAATGCATATCTTAAAAAAGTGTTTGGTTATTCACACAATGGTGAATGAGGCTTGAGTTCAGCAGTGTTGAAACTCCTCACAACATGATTCAACAGGTACAATATTGTCCAAACTAAAGAGATGAGTGTTCAAGCAGCTGTATATAAAAACAAGTTTTCCTTTTGTTTCTTTTTAAAAGGTGCATTACACAATTATTCTGTAAGAGGCTCTGCACTGCCTTTGTTTATGTATAAGATACAAGTAATATCTATGAAGAGGTTTTTACTGCTGTAATTAACATATATAAGATTGATTCCACAATCAATTATTAACAATGACATAGTTCCCTTTTTTATTTTTTCCTCCCCCATTACCCGCAAAGATGTCATCACTTCTTACACCACCTGTCAACCGAGTATGGCATACCGTCATGTAATGACCCAGGACCCATTTACAAAGCTTAAGTCGGCTTCTGTATTGGTCATTACCGAGTGGTGGCCAGTCACATGGAGTTGTTTCATGGAATGCAGCTTGTATGATTCAGGACATTTCTAACAGGAGGATAGCGTTTCTCATCTGACATGATACAGTGGAGGAGGGAGGAGTAATTTGGGGATTGGGCAGCCTCATTCTGGTTTGGTGAGTTTTAGAAGCAGGTAGTGTGTACACCATACACACTGCAGAGACAGTTGCCGACATAGAGTCGACTGATGAGGATCTGACATGAGAAAATTGAGCCCTAGAAGTGTCTGCAAGTTTTAGATGCATGTCTGAGCTCCCCTCTCATCACTCAGGCTTGACCAGAGAGTGTAGCCAGCGATGGTGTGCCGTAAGGACTTTTTTGACTTTCTTTTGAGTGGAATAGTGGGTGTTCTGTGGGATCATTAGTGTGTTTATGTCTCTGTTCTCTTCAGCTCTCCCCCCTCCTCACTTTGGTGGAATGCGGGGCTTATGTCAGTGAGAGTCAGGTACAGACTTACTAATTACTCGTGGCCTTCCTCTCTCCGCGTCCTCCTCTTCCACCCTCCTCCTCTCTTTCTCTTGTGTTCTGTCTTACACTCCGTCCTTACACGCCACCTCCTCTCCCGCACCACAAGACCTTGTGTGCTCCCCCCTCTGTCTCCCACTGTTGCGTCTACACGTTCTGTCGTGACTGGAGCATAGGACAGAGACAAGCACACAGGATCTGAGTCACTATCCAAAAGAACTAGTAAAAAGGAGAACAGAAACTCTGACCTATCCACTCCCAGTCTAACTGAGAAACTGGAGGTGTCTTCACTCCGAGCTCTGGGGCCTAACAGTGAATGCGGCCGGCGCGTTGACAGCAAACACAAGGCTGGGGTGAACCTGTTAGACAGCTCACAGAAGAAGAGAGGATGAGAAAGTGACTACCGGAGGCTTGCGTTGAATTGCGGTGGAACATTTCTGCGGCTTTACATCCCATCATCTCAACAGGTTAGCTTTCATATGCATGTGCTTGAATGTCCTTTATCTGCGGATGAATGCAAGTTGTGGTTGTATGGGGCTATTAGAGTGTTTGTTTTCTCTCCTGACACTCGCTCAGTGGGTATCTGGAAGGACATTTCTTCAGCTGGGCCAGTCTTGACCCGACTGACTGCGCTAACCTTCACTACAAGGTTACAGGACAGGCACTCAATGTTTGTTTATGTGGAGTGTGTGTAGCTGCCTTGTCTCCTCATTCAAGTGTGTTCATTTCTTGTCCAAACTGGTCGAGCGGTGCAGAAGTGATCACCTTGGATGTCTTGTTATACAAATGAGATTTAATTTTGAAAAACCTTTTGTGTGGAGTTATCCAACTGGTTAATTAATGGTTTCACAAATATGGAAAGCACTTTAAACCATTCATATTTCTATTAGTCACTGTTAAAAGTCCCCTATTAAAGAAAGGTAAATGCCATGAATAGAGATTTCCTTAGAAACTAAAAAAAGAGTGTATTTACTGTATAAGAAAAATTATACACACACACAGTTTATGGTAATAACTATTCTTTCTCTCTCTCTCTCTTGTCTTCATTTTTGCGTAGGAAGATAATGAGTGAGTGCCCTTCATCTAAACTGAAGATCAGTTGCCTGTAAATAGTTGCCCCATGCAGCTCTAGGTGTGTGAAAGACATGGGTGTGTTGAAGTGCTGGTCAGACCTGAATACTTGCTCTGCCAACAGAAATACCGTAACTAAATCCAGGCTTTAATAGTGATTCATCAAATGGGTCTGGAAATGTTTATTTAAAATACTGGTTATGACGGTGTAAGGCTTAATTAAACAAGTGAACTACATTGCTGTCAGTTGTATCTCCACTCATTGTAGCAGTAGAAAAAAAACTAGACTGTCATCCAAGAAGGAATTTATATCGGCATTTCATATTCTTTCATTGTATACGTGTGACCTTAATGGGATCAGTTTTGTTTGGGGCTGCTCCAGTTTCAGTAACACAAAGCAGATAAAAGATGCTTCTAAAACAAGGGCAACAGGAAGAGCATGGATTAAAAGATATAATTTTCTTTACCTAAATGATGTATTTCGTTCCAAGTTCTAGTAGAAGAGAACCTATACACAGCACATATCTTACATACACACATATAGTATTGGATATGTCACGTGGTTGTCACATGACCTTCCTATTCTTGAGTTGAGGAAGCCAAAATTCATTGTGGAGTGCGTGAAACAAGTGCATGAGATTATTCCTGCTGTAGCACGAGTGGGAGACTAATGGTTTAAAAAGGAAAGAGGGAGATGGGAAGCTGTTCGCACTATTGTGTTGTTTATGAAACACCTGTAACTAGATCTGACACCCCCACACACACACCCCAACGCACACACGCACACACATACACACACACACACACACACACTTTCTGTCACAAACACACATACCTGGAAAGCACAATGGTCGCATTCTTCCCTCCTGTGCGCCCCATGTACCTCCCTCTTTAGCTAACACTCTGTCGTAGAAGTATCAAGGATTCAATAAAGAGAAGTTACCCAAGCTTTTTTTTTTTTTTTAAATACAACTAATAATGTTAAATGAATTCATTTGTCTTTGTCAACTTTTAGCATACCTAGTGTTGTGTGTTTCTTGTTCACATGACAACATATGGATTTTCCCCACAACATTTGTGGAGTAACTGGTATTTCAACTTTTTCATGGTATTTAATTTTAATTTAACAAAACACATTTGCCTAAAATACATGCAACTGTAAATAAAGCTGTATTAATGTTCTGTCTGAGCACCCCCCACTTTTGTCCTTAGTATGACCTTTTGTCCCCCTCTTGGTGACACAGTCCTCCCGCCTGTGTGTGTGTATGTGTGTGTGTGTGTGTGTGTGTGTGTGTGTGTGTGTGTTGGTCCCTCTTCAGGTCTTCACTCTCCACAGTTGAAGACCCGCGTCTGTCCACTCACTTTAACACTCCTGCTCTTGGTCAGGCCTCTGCATATCTGCTGCTTTACACAATGGTCTTGTTGTCTGGACTCCAGACCAAGACACAATCCGTGTACAGTGGACAACTTCATCATGTCCGGGAAGCCACATGAAATTTGAATCTACTATTAATTCATTTTAACTATTACAGTATCTATATTTGAAGCTCTCAGTATGTAAAAGATACAGTGTTTTCTAACAAGATAAAGACAGCATGTTGTCTGAATGTTCACAAAATGTTACTTAAATAAGATTATTTTTGTTGGAACAAACAACATGTATTTATGAAACAAAGAAGATTTAGAAAGTAACATAATAAGGGGGTCGCCGTTTAGACTGTCCTTGGTGCATAAGGACTTATTTCTGAATATATTTTCACCAAAATAAATTACTCAAAACACAAACACATAACCCTGAGACATACAATGCAATTACATGAAAATATATAACAAAAGGACATTGAATATATTTGTCTCCAAACTCCTGAAGGCCTCCTGAATCAAAACTCAACAGACAAATTAATGATGATTCAAGAGGAAAAGGGGAAAAGTAAGCATTTAAATCCGAATTGAAAAATAGTGTTTTGTATATGTATTTTGTTGAAAAGTTGCCTGATTAGATATCTAGAAAACGTGCTTTGCTGTGCAGTCAGAGGTGGATTTAAGTGCGGTTTGTCCATTGTGCCTCAGCCTGTTATTAAAAGCCCTCTCACATGCTGATGAGAGTCACAGCTCCGTGCGGGCAGAGATCTGGGATCATGTTGACGTTCAGCGGTGAGCGGCCACATGATGAGAGGCTCCGGTCAAAAACTTGCGATGACGACCTGTTTTGTTCAAGTTTTAGCTCAATATTTTGCTTTTCGACCTTGGCAATGAGTGTAGCGGGAGTCATTGGTTTGCGACGGATCATGTGACAAAAGTGTTCTTGGCATAATGGAAACATCTTTCTTCGGGATTGAAAAAAAAAAAAGTGTAGTGTGTTTGAAGGGGAAGGATTGTGCTGAGTCATGTTTGTTCATCAGAAGCACAGATTGGTTGACAGGAGCATCAGGATGTGAGGTGACACTTTGAATGAGGAAGTGCTCGAACTGGACCAGAGCAGACATTTCCTGGTCGGCACAAGTCAAATCTTAGTGTGCAAACTTTTACAATATATCAGCACTTTCACAGGCCATATCTGACATCTGTGTTTTCTCTGTCCCCTTTTCTTTGTGCTGAGTTTGTTCTGCATGTGTTGACTTTCTTTGGCTTCCTCTTGTGGATAATTTTACCAGCCTTGGAAATGAACCGCTCTTACAATTCCAGACATAATTGGGTGTTGCTTGAGTGTATCAGTTTCTGTTTCCATTTTGAAGAAGTGTGAATGTGTTCATGACTATCGATTGTTTCACTTGTGTAAATAGTCTTGAAGAGACATATCCCAAACAGTTCTCATTAGTTTGTACATGAATAAATATGCTCTCTGTTACGATGTTTTTATATTCAGCACATATTAGACAAGAGACAAACAAGAGAGTGTTCAAGGGCAAAGCATACGTTCATCTATTTCAGTTAAGTAATTTTGTTCACATTCAAGGCATCTTGTATGAAACTATTGTTAATCGCTGCTCTGTATTTTCTTCATATTAAAGGATGAATCTTGTTGGGGGCAAAAAGGTTTTAATATAAGGACAAATGTCTGATAAAGTTGTTGTCTTTACTACTCCATTCTTCAGGTGAATATGGTGTAATAAACTCACAATTGCCTTTTATAAGCTTTATGGCTCTCTCTGCGGCCTTCAAGCCTCGTCTCATCAGTAGTGGACTCTGGACCATCTTATGAGCGCTGGCAAAATCTTAAGAATCAGTGATTGCTCGTCCTTCATTAACAGAAGCCGTGGTTAATGTGTCACTCATACAGTGTGTTTGGTGGAGCCCCCCTGATAAGAGCATAGATGTCGTTCTCTTTTAGGGTTGCTTAAGGTCACACACACTTCCATGCATTGTCACAAGGATGGCCACCTTTTGCCTTAAGTAAGTCAACATTATCTATATAGTGCCTTTCACAGACCAGGGTCACAAAGTTCTTTATAAAGACACATAACAGAGAGGTACGTTACAGACAACAAATATTACATTTGATGAAGTGAGCCATCGCACTACTCGCGGAGAAGCTCAAGCAAAGCACATGACTATGGACTGCACCCCCCGACCCGCCTGGGAGCTGCTTCAGTCCTGCGCCGCACCTGTCCTTGTTCTACAACCGCTGCGTGGCCTTGGTCCTCGTTCTGTAGCTTAGGTCCTGGATCTATAGCCCATCCGTCCGTGTGGAGCGGATCCCTCTCTCAATGTGGATCTCCTCGATGTTTCACACTTTTCTCCCACAGGATTTCAGGGTTTTACCTTGCAGATGCCGGAGGGTCTGTAGACTGTTAATGGTCTAACAAGAAGGACTGTAATGATGATCCAGGACACTTTAACATTCTACAACATTCATGGACATTGGTCTCTCCCTTTGGACCAGGACATGTGTGTTCTATATTTTTTGGTTTTATATATTTTGTGTTTGAACTGTTTGATTCTTTGATCTGTGTTGGAGATTTCAACAGTTTTGTCCACTGAGATTTAGGGCTATACAAGAATATATTTAATTGAATTGAAGAAATATAAACAAAGACACTAGCCATTGGAAACAATATCATTTTCATTTTTCATATAGACTTGAGGTTTAGAGAAGACACTATTTATCCGAATGCGTTGTCTTATCTTTTAAATAAATACTGGCTATACATACTGATGATACACATAAATAGTATCAGATAACTCTGCTTTATTATTACATAAACATTTTGCCATGATCATCACTCGTAAAAGTCAGTGGTTAACAACAAAAGAACATAGAAGGTAAAGTAATGCACACCAAAAAATGTCTTAAGTGCAACTGCAGGTGCATTGCAGTTTTTTTATTCAACAAAATATTTCCCATTTTGTAAGTTATGTTAGTACAGTTTAAAACTTTATATCCCAACCTATTCTTCAAATCTTTCCTTATCAGTGGCAAGTAGAGGGAGGGGGTACCTGTGTGATGTAGCCCCACCTCTGCGCTGGCTATTGAGAATGAGTAAATACTAAAAGCGCCTTTACTTTGCTCGCCACAGCCTGGGAAGGAGACCGTCCTGCTGCCACAGCTCATCAGCATCTGTGAAGAGGTGAATGGACGAGAGTGTTTGACAGCAGTGTGAATGAGCAACGTGCCTCCAAAGACCAGGACTCCGCGCTTGCCTCTGTCTGGTCCACACTGCTCAGTTTTGGAGACAGGTACACTGACATACTGACATTTTCCAACAGAGCAACAGTTGAGTATTGCTTAATATATCATCCTTTCAATCTCTATGGTTTGTAGCTGCAATGCTTGTTCCACGACTTTGTCAAAGCCTAAATAGATTCATGTGGGCAGTTGTTTTAGCTCTGACCGTGTTGGTGAAACCAGTGGAACCAGTAGAGTGGCATGACGTTAGTGAGTGTGTAGTGTGAGTCTAAGGTGGGGGATAAATGCTTCAGTGACTACGTGCATGGTCAGTGCAATTGCTTTATTGACTTCCGGGACAAATGTCATATAATGTGTGGACTTTAAACCCTGTAAAAGATCAGTACTGTGCTGTTGCATCAAGATAATTAAAAGAGTAATTTCACTTAGATACATTTTCTGTGTATGTGTTTTGTTGTGAGCAACTAAAAGTGCATTCATACAAATATGGATTATTGTGTGTGATAATTTGCAGGGTGGATTTCTGATTTCTGTTGTTGTAATAGCCAATGTAGCCAACTAATGTAGTCTGATTTTCTTTAATAATTTTTTATGCTTTATTCATACAATCTCACAGTGACACCAAGGGCCTGTCACGAGTGTGACGCCGGCAACGTCAGTGAAACAATGTCTGCCTTGGCCTTGAACAGGCTAGCTGATTAGCCTAAGGAATGTGTTTGCAGAGGCAAGTTAAGCTCCTTTGAGCTAGTGCTTGAGCTAAACCGGCTCTTCTGATTAGAAATTACAAGATATTGTTTAGCCATGTAGCAATGTGCAGCCTCATTGGCATTTGACATTTTCATCCAACCCTTTGAGAGAACAAATGCATTCAGTAGTTAAAGTTATGTGCCGTACAGACACTCATTGTTGAATAGTTTAGTTATGACCATCATTATCCTAATCTTGTTTAAAATGTTATTGTTGAGTTCTTGCTTTGAGTTGACACGTGGACCTATCTTTGTGGAAGGACATTGTAAAGCCAGCGGTACTGAACTGACATTGTCCAAACTCATTCTGCTTTCTTTCTCTGAGGGAGGCCCAAAGAGATGGTACCAGGAACATAGGGTCCCCTCTTGTGCTGTTATTAGCCTCTTGTGCTCTGATCCATCTGGGCTTTTCTCAGCTGAACCCCCTCCTCTGTCCTCTGCGACCCCTCCGTGCCCACCGCCTCCCCACTGCTTCGTTTTGAGCATGAGTGAACTTCAGGAATGAGGGTGACAGGTAAAGCAAGTTCTAAAAAAGTTAAAGGAAATGAAGAAGAAATTGTTACAGGAACAAGATATTTAACATACGCTCAAATTACCTAGATTAACTCTAACATTAACATTGTTTCTTGATTCAGCTAACCAATGGATTAATCACTCAAAAAGGGTTTTGTGTGGGTATTGTTTTTTTTTGCTCTCCCTATGTATAGATATAATCGTAAGAGACAGAGGGAAAAGCTGTAGTTTTGAGAAAGAGTTGCTTCCAGGAAGGCCAGCAGGAGGCTGAACACTGCGGTGCGCTTCTCCGTGTCATATCACTCTTCAGAAATAAACATCTGCACTTGTGATCTTGTGACACGCTACTCATTGACTTATATAAAGCGATGACAGACTCCTGATACTGATTAAAGCTAGTTTTATCTTTGCTTTTAATCCTACTCCATGATATTGTTTGCCTTTGTGCTGAGTTTCAGACTTATCAGACGCTCACTGTGGCAAGCAACCTCATTAAATTTGATTAACTTTACTACAGTCATCATTGCTTTTCAGGGGTTTGGCCATGGAATGTTTAAATTCCTTCATCAGCAAAACATAGCAGTACGATGTAAGGATGACTTACCCACATTACTGGGGATATAGGGCTGACTTTGCAGCGTAACAGTCTGTCCTCAAGTTCCTGTCTTAAACAGAGGTGCACTGATCCAGGTTTTTTATGTCAGATCCCAATACTTTAGCATTTTTCTCCAATACATTTTTTGCTAACTTATTGCGAATCAATCCAATTGTGTTTTAAACTATTTGTATAGCAACGACACTACCGTTCAAAAGTTTGGGGTCACCCAAGTGTTTTCCATGAAAAGTCACACTTATTCACCACCATACGTTGTGAAATAAATAGAAAATAGAGTCAAGACATTGACAAGGTTAGAAATAATGTATTATTAGATTTTGGTTAGAAATTTGTATTTGAAATAAGATTTGTTTTACATCCAACTTTGCTTTTGTCAAAGAATCTTCCATTTGCAGCAATTACAACATTGCACCAAAAACCAGACATTTGTAGCTAGAAAAGTCATTTACCACATAAGCAATGTATAGAGTGTATTTCTTTACAGTTAAGACTAGTTTAAAGTTATCTACAGTGCTTTTCCTTCAAAATTAAGGACATTTCAATGTGACCCCAAACTTTTGAACGGTAGTGTACATAACTACTTTCAGAGTTAAACCTACTGTAAGTGACATTCTGGAAGAATAGCAAAAAACATTTATTACATACACAATAAAATGCTCAGATATTGACTGAACCAATACTTGATCCAACAAAAGTTCCACCATCAAAAATCCTGACCTGCTGATTTTTACAGCATCTAGAGGCTTGTGAGAAAATAAATAAACACGGTTAAGTAAATATTGTTTGATTATTGTTGCCCTGCAGTTGGGTTTCTCTGTTAACCATTGACCTGAAATGACTGACCTTTGATTATGCCTTAGAGCACTGGCCAGAACGGGCTCATCTGAATCTTGATAAGACCTGTATGGTGATTTGACATGTTTTCTTCCTTGTGAATGAATCAAAAATTGCGCTGTTGGTCGCATTCCCGACTAATAATCAGCCAATGCGATCTAAGTTAATAAAGATGAGTTGACTTGCTGCGTCATTTGTAATAGTTAATAGGCCAGCGTATACGGACCAAGGTCGCAGAAAGGAGAATGTATGGAAAAAGTTGAGTAAATGATAAGTAAATAATAGTGGTTTAGTCGTCTGTTCTGTTTGTGGATAGTATAGTATAGTCCTCATCACCATTTGGTCAAACAAGATCAACTTCTGTACTTTGACAACTTTTTAGAATTATTTATTTATGGATGCTTGTATGGACACCTGGATTTCTACTATGCGCAGTGAAGTATACACATCTATCTAATTGATAAACACAAATTTGTCAAAACCAATAAACCACACCACATGGCACTGCTTGAAACAAAACACATTTCAAACATTACATCAGCTACATAACAAATAACGTATATGTCATAAAATAGTTCCTGAGATTTGTACGTATTCTCTGTTCACATTTCGTTCGCTGCTCATACTACCTTTCCTCTGTGGGTTTTGTGTTCTCAAGAAGTGGGACGAGTTTTGATTGCAGCTGAACAAATGTCTGTGAACACACGCAGACACTCCTGCCCTTTTACCTCATCTGCACTGTTTCCTGGGTGCTAGATTTATAAAAGTACTTCACATAGCTTCTTTCTTTCTGCACTCTTGACTGCCCAGAAAGGTGTGTAATGTTTGCTTAAGTTAAGCCTTGCTCGGTAAATGCACACTCTTATGTTGTTCAAAACCACATCGGCCTCATGCGCTGACATGACAAATTGTTTCTTTTTAAACCTCCATAAGAAGCGGACATTATTCAAAGACCATACTACATACTGTACATAACAACTTATCTTTACTCGCAGTGCTGTCCTGTGACAAAAGCTTAATGAGTTGCACATAATGAGGAAATCATAATTAAAATGGCAGTATAGCTTGAATCAAATCTTCAACGATATTCAGTGGGAGTTGCAGAAAGGAGGAGCCCCTCTAAAGCTACCTGTGTAATGCCCGCCCTCTTGTGAATGAGGAGGAGGCCGGGCCGGCTCTGTGCCCTGCCGTACCTGTCTCTCATGGAGGTGGGCCCACACTCCCACAGCAGGCAGCAGGCAGCGCAGCAGAGTGGAGCAACAGAGGTAACTATTCTCCTGCCTGACCTCTCCAAGCTTCTCTTCCTCTTTCCTCTCCGCCACCAGCCAGAACACAAACGTTTCCCAGGGCTTTAGCTTTAGTCTCACTTCCTTGTGCTTTAGCTGTTATCTGATCCGTTACGTGCTGCAGTTTGGTCTCTTGAAATCTGTTATTCCTGGTAATATGTCAAACTAGTTTTGTAACTATTTCCTAGCCACATTGGTGTGTGTCTTATCTGAATCAAAAGCTGTTTTTAGAAATTACCTAACCTCGTAAAATAAAAGAGTAGATCTACTTTGTACTTTAGACCTACAGGAGGCTGAAAGTGACAAATTTTGTATTTTGTAGTAAGTTGTATATGTATTTTTTCTGATCACATAGGACATTTTAATTGACTATGGCTTATCTTTTTGAGGCATTAGTCTATGGCCTTATAAAGTGTAGATATAGAAAAATATTGCGGAAGCTTTTACTCGGCTCGTAAAACAATTCCATCTCCCATAAGTGTCTGTTAATACACACAGAATCATGTGCTCTTGTCAATCATGAACACTGTTATGTGCCATCTCAGCCACATTTTAACCCTTGGATTTGCCTGGTTACCCATTCTACCACATGTTGTCTTAACCATTGACCTATATGTTGAACCCTGCATGTTATTGTTTTGTAACATTTTACATTTATACATTTTGCGTTAATCCTCTCAGTGTGATGTGACTTAAAGCTGTGCTGGGCAAAGTTAATCATCTACCTGCAGCCTCAGGTTTCCTTCTGTTCACAGCACACAGAGATTGGGTTGACATTTCTTATGGGGACAACAACCTCCTAACATCCTAACTACTTGGCTTTAAATCTAACTCCATCCAAAATGCTATGTTTTTACAACACAGATTATAAATAAAATAGGATGTGATTTTTTTGTGACACAGGGATGTGTTTATGGTTTGTAAATTATAGTTTATTATTTCTTCTGTCATTAGTCGACAGCAAAACAATTTTTCAAAGGTTGACTATTTTACAGACTGAAAGGATTTGGCTGAAGTAAGTTGACACTTTCTTTCCTCATAACCCTATTACCAAACTCAAGATCAAGTCGCACATACTGTGACAACTCCATAAGACATTAAACCAAATGTTTAATTTTATTTGAACTCTGAACATACACATGCACACATTCACTCCGCTCAGTGTCATGTTGAGATTTAATCAAGAGATAGTAGCTTCTCTGTCCTCATCAATACTGTGGACCGCGTCAGGCTGGAGTCTGAACTCACTGGAACCTAAAGGTCTGGAGTAGAAAGCCCTTCGTTATCGCGGAGCAAAACTCCCAGTGTGAATATTGTCCTCCCTTTGTCATCAGCGCTGCCAGATAAGACTGATAAGAGATGTAGTCAAAAGAAAAAACAATACAAGAATGACCTGTGCTGAGCTGGCTGCTACAGAGAAAGACTCATTGTGACTCAAAATGCAAAAAGACTTTCTTGTCTTGTATTATTATAAATGCCAGTTATGATATAATTGATTTATATAATGTACAGGATATTATATTTAATCATTTGCTCTCTTGTATAGAGGATTTTCCACCGTTGACTGCAATAAGGAACAGGTGTAACAGACCTAAACAGATTTGTTTGTTTTGTGCCGCTTCTCATTGTTGTTTGTTATATTTATTGTAAGACCAAGTTTGGTGAAACCTGTATCGGCAGAAGTCATAGTTTAGTGCACGATGGTGTTTGTGCTGTGAGTGTTTGTGAGGAGGGATATTGAGTCAGGCTGAATGAGAGTGACCGTTACCATGACACCCGGGCTTTGTAGTGTTTAACCTTTGTTAACTGTCTCACCTACAGTATCTCCATCCTACAATCTGGTGACGCACTCCCATTACTTACTAAACTTTCACTGTTTTTGACACTGACATTCAGTTTTGTATTGCTTACCTTTGTCCTGGTCTTGGTTAGTAAATACACATTTGTTATATAAGTGTGTGGCCTGTGACAGTCTGTGGAAACAACAGTTCTCTTTGGTCCAGTTATACCAATACTTGTGCAGATGTTTATTGGCTGGATGACAAAGTCTTAAGTGAACCTTGATCTAGTGTTTTCAGGGTTTACAACCCTTCATTGTGGCTGATAGGTGTCAGAGGTCAACACAGAATCTGAGAAACCTCAAAACAAGGTTGTAAATGCTCCGATAATGAGGTTTATAGAGGCAGTATTTCTATATTTACGTTCAGGTCACATGATGTCTTTATATAGCTAATCAGAGAAGTGTCACATGATGTCTACATATATGCAATGTTTTTCAACACAGATTATAAATAAAATAGGATGTGATTTTTTGTGACATACAAAGCTAATTCAAACATTATTCAGTTTTAAAAATAAAGTATTAATTCAACAAGAATGAATACTTTGTGGGTCTTTAGGAGTATGACTTTGCAAGCTTTGCACAACTGGAGACCGAAGGTTTGCACATTCTCTCTGCACTCTGCCAGATTAGATGGAGACCATTTGGGAACAGCAGTTGTCAGGTCTTCAGTGTCAGTTTTGCATCTTCTTAGCAGGGGACACACTGTAGACAATCTTTCAACTATGGCTTCCTTCTTGCCACTTTTCTATAAAGGCCAGATTTGTTTAGTGAATGACTAATATTTTCCCACCTACAGACTCCCGCAGGTTAGCTGCAGTTCCTCCAGGGTCGTCCTGGGGCACATGGTTGCATTTCGGATCAGTGCTTTCCTTGTTTGAATTGTAGTTTAGTTAAAAGGCCGACAGCCATGTATTGGTAAGTTTTTAGTGGTGCCATAGTTCTTCCATTTCCGGATAATGAATTGAACAGTGCTCCAAGATGTTCAAAGTTTGGGAAATATGTTTGTACAACATAATGCTGCTATAAATTTAAAAGTTGTCTGTTGTGTGTTTAAAAAAAAAAAAAAATCATAATATAAAAATGAAACATATTGTTACTTTTGCCATTTAATGTAGTCAATCTTTAGGTATTTTCTTTATATGCTTGTATTTATATGTCATATAATTCTAATGTTATCTGTTTTTTTTGCCAGGCACAGAATCGGATGGTTCTGTCAGAATGACTGCAGAAGATTCAGCTGCTGCTTCAGCCATGAGCAATAACGCTGCCTTGTCCAAACCCTCCAAATCTTCGAGCACATCTCACAACATGCTCCAAGGACAGATGAATGTTCCTGAAAGTGTTGCTGGTGCACCTAACGAAGCCACTTTGTTAGCACTGATGGAGCGCACTGGATACCACATGGTCCAAGAAAATGGACAGCGTAAATATGGCCCTCCTCCAGGCTGGAATGGTCCTGCTCCACAACGAGGTTGTGAGATTTTTGTGGGAAAGATTCCACGAGACGTTTATGAAGACGAGTTAGTTCCAGTGTTTGAGTCAGTGGGCCGCATATATGAGATGCGTCTGATGATGGATTTTGACGGAAAAAACCGTGGCTATGCATTTGTGATGTACACAGAAAAACATGAGGCCAAGCGTGCTGTACGGGAGCTAAATAACTATGAAGTGAGGCCAGGAAGGCTACTTGGCGTCTGCTCCTCAGTGGACAACTGCCGACTTTTCATCGGCGGTATACCCAAGACCAAAAAGCGCGAGGAGATAATGGAAGAGGTCTCCAAGGTGACAGAGGGTGTTCTGGATGTCATAGTTTATGCTAGTGCTGCAGACAAGATGAAAAACCGTGGCTTTGCCTTTGTTGAATATGAATCCCATCGGGCAGCAGCCATGGCTCGCAGAAAGCTGATGCCTGGACGCATTCAGCTGTGGGGCCATCAGATCGCAGTGGACTGGGCGGAGCCTGAGATTGACGTGGATGAGGACGTCATGGAGACTGTGAAGATTCTCTATGTCAGGAATCTGATGATGGAGACTAGTGAGGAGATAATAAGACAGGTAACATACCTGTTGACTGCTCTTTCTACTCTCATTCAAGGTTATATTATAAAGGTTATATTTGAACATAACTTTCTTCCCAGGTGTTTAGTCAGTGGAATCCTGGGTGTGTGGAGCGTGTGAAAAAAATCCGTGACTATGCTTTTGTCCATTTTACCTCACGGGATGATGCCGTCCTGGCGATGGATCACCTTAACGGCACAGAGGTGGAGGGGTCATGCATTGAAGTGACACTCGCAAAGCCGGTGGATAAGGAGCAGCACTCACGACAGAAAGCTTCTAAGGGCGCATCTACCACCCCTGAGGCAGCCCCCCAGAGCTATGTGTACCAGTGTGACCCCTACACGCTGGCCTACTATGGCTACCCCTACAGCACTCTGATTGGACCTAACAGGGACTACTTTGTCAAAGGTAAGTTCTAAATTGTTTTTCTCCTTCCTATCAGTAGAGAATATCAATGATTTTTTATAAATACAAATGCAGTATACTGAATTCATGGTAAATCATAGTTGTGCTAAATGAGGTAATAATGGACTAATTAATGCTAATGAATGCACATCTTTTAACAAGTGATTACATGTGGTCTACGGGTACTTGGAAAATCTTGAACAATCATTTTGTTTTCTCTTTAAAGGATTCCCACTGATACAAAACAATGGTAATTTTTCACATCCTTATTTTTTCATTATCTTCAATGAACAATGAGCTTCTCTACCACATGAGACATTTTCTAACACCATTCTTATCTGCTGTGCTGTCTCCTCCCATTCTATGCCGGGACAATGCAGAAATACCTGTGGGGTTACTCAATGACAATATACACAACGGGCCAAATGCAAGACTCAGTGCAACCCCAAACCCATTAGATTATAGCATCAGCTACAGTATTATTTTAATTATTTAATAGTCCTACTGTATTTAGGGATAAGAGAAAGGGTGCAGTATACTTCCTCAGTAATAAGCCCTAAATCCCACCCCCTTGTCATATTTTAAGCAGGTACTGTGCGAGGGCGTGGGCGTGCCACGTCAGGTAACCGTACCCCTGGACCACGGGGCTCATACCTGGGGGGTTACTCTGCTGGTCGTGGCATCTACAGCCGCTACCATGAGGGCAAGACCAAGCAGACCGAAAAGCCCTATGAGCTGGTGCCCACTCTGGAGCTCGCAGCCTCTGTCAACCCAGTTGGCATCAAGCCTGGCACAAGTCAGTGAGATAGCTCTCAGTCATACCCTGGCACATCACTAATACTAACACTATCCTCTTCTTACCTCTCTGTTTTGAGTTCTAATTAACCTGATGATGTTTGCATGCTGACAGTTACAATGATCCTGCTGTGAACGTGCTCAAACTGAATCCAATCCAATTACCAAAAGTATTTATTTATTATGTTTTAATGTATTAAGTTTGGTGTCAATTTGATTCTATGGAGGCAGAACATAACAATCCATGTGTAACTTCAAAAAGCAATTGCTTGTGTATGTAACGGACAGTATATTGTGGATTTCATACCTCACTCTCCTGGGTATTGAAGTATGTGTGGAGTTATAGGAACTGTATTTCACTCAGAAGCCCTTTTTCTGCACAACAATAGTCTTGTTCTGCTCTTCAAGTGTGTTTGTGTGTGCGCGTGTTGGGGCTTTTGGGTTAATCCACAGTTTAACAGCATCATAATCCCAATTACTAATCACAATCACACTCAAACTGCATGTTTTCTAAACCCATACCTTTTTAACTCCTTTACTCTGGTTCGTAGACTTTCGTTTGGGGCTTTTTGAGGGAAAAACTGCTTTTACCTATGTTTTTTGTTTTTCTAATATTGGTGGTTGTTCTGTCCAGTGGCATTGCAGACTCTTGGTGGACAGTACCCCGTCTTCAGCGCAGCCCCTGCAGCTAAACTGATGGAGGAGGGAAAGGTGCACTCTGTGGAGCACCTGATCAACCCTCTGACGATGCAGCACACGGAGCACAGCAGCACTCCTGCAACCGCCACAGTGCTGCCCTCTGTCTCCACCCCTCCGCCATTTCAGGTGCATGTCATAACACATCCTCCTATGTTCATTTCAGATAATTCAACCAAAACTTTAAAAACTTGTTTTCCACAGGGTCGTCCAATCACACCTGTGTATGCCATGGCACACAATGTGCAGCGTATTCCAACGGCCAGCAGTCTCTACGGAGCTGGGTATGTGCCCATCACAAACTATGCCAACACGGCTGCTCTGGCTGCGCTGCAGAAGAACGCTGCGGTGGCAGCTGCCGCGTATGGAGGATATGCGGGTTACGCCGTGCCCCAGGCCTTCCCAGCCGCTACCTTCCAGTTGCCTCTTCATGATGTTTATCATACATATTGAACTATGCAATCATTCATGGCCAAGAAGCTCCTGTCCAAACAAATACATTTAAACTTAAATTCAATTTTTTAAATGTCAGAAATGCTTTTCACAAAAAGACAGTGACATGATTTCAGGTTGACATCAGTTTTTGACCTACAATTTTACAGATTGCTGTTAAAAAATTGACTATTCCTTTTATAGTCTAAACATAAACAAAATATCCTACTTTTAGGCATGTTGGTGGAGCAACACCTCTGAAGGTACATACAAGTATTTATGAAGAAAAGAAAATATATTTAAGTCTTTGTATTTACATTAAGAAAATGTTTTTAAAACTTAGAGCACACTGGCTAAAAGTACATTGTGCTGTAAATTTGTCTTAAAACCATGTAACAAAAACAGGATTCACAGGAAGTAAATTGTCAAACTACTGACGCGGACCAATAACACTGAAGACTATTGAGAGACAATGTATCATTTATTAGTATATGTTCTTTTTGAGTATTAACTGTGTTAGCCAATTCTCACCGTCCACACTGGCTGAAGGTGTTTGTTTAGAATGTGTTTGGTACTTTTTGGTTCATTTTTCTTTTCATTGTTTTATTTTTATTTTTAATGAAGGTTAAGTATTTTAACTTTGTTTTATGATCTCAAGATATTTGGTCTGTCACCAACTTAATAATAACAAGACAAATTTGATGAGGAATCATAAATGGGAAAGTTTTCAAGTCTCATAGTAAATGGAGATTTTCCATCCTCAGAAACTGTTGTCAGGAGACTAAGACTGAACGTTGTTATTGTTCTGTGTTTTACAATTGTCTTTTTAGACTTTTTTAAAGGTGAACAAATTTTGACAAAAATAGGTGTTTGTGAGGATAGCACCACTCTACAAACTACACTCCATTTCAACTGACACCTGAAAGTGCATTATTTCTACCCACAGCGCCTTGGGCTGTATTTTTATATCTTTTATTCTCATCTGTTAATTTCTGCCCCTATGTGCTTCATCTTGGTGCACTTAAATGTATTTATAGAAGGTTATTGAGTGCCACTCCTACATTGAATGCTTATTTAACTGCATTAATGTCAGTATGACATAAACTTTAACACACAGCCATTTTTCTAAATGTACATTTTATTTTATAGCACAAGCTGCTTTTCTGATGATTGAAAAAGAAACAACACAAAGGTGCCTTTTAAAGATAACGGAGAAGCAGCACGTTTGCCATGTGTGCTGAAGGTGCATTCAGTTGGAGTTTCTTTTGGATAACTACCACAAAATTAATAAGAAAACGTATTGACATGTTTTTGTATGACGTTCTTTGATAAGGTTAGGATATATTTATATGCATTACATGAGTTGTGAAGACAAAGAGATGCTCTAATATATTACTGCAATTTATTTTCATTTATTATATGTGGTCTAAGTTTAGTCAAGAGTGACAATGTAGAAGAAATGCCAAAGTGTCCAATAGCTTTTATTGTTTTGTTAAGCTTTATTTCTGTTAATGTTTCAACTAGATTTGGTGTCCTTGAATGAGAACACTAAGTCCTTTCTTTTTTGACACATTTTGAAAATGTGCTTTGGCCTTTTAAGCTCAACTAGCTTCACTTTGATGTGTATGTCTTTTGAGCCGATGAAGCCTGTGCCTGTTTGAAAGAAGAAAAGTAAACTAGTGTCCCTCTCTAAAGCATTTTACAGTCTGCATGTATCGATGTCTTGAGTCAGGTGCCTTAGTGTAACAAACATGTTACCTTTTGAAGCAAGCGCCTTAAAGCCAAATTTCCCTTTACACGTTTGCGTTACGCAAGACTGTTGTAATAATATTGATAACAAAAACATGTTTGGCAATATTGTATTTATAGTGATAATGTAGATATTTAGATAAATAAAGCATTTTCAGCATAACTGTCTTTGTCTCATCTTTGTGTTTTTTGAATTGAAGTGTCACACAGACAAAGCTGGAGAATAAGATGGAATGCGAAAAGGCCAACAAGGACCAGATTTTCAGAGTATTTGAGTACCGGTAATGAACTACTACCTTTGATTAACTTTTTACACAACATTGTTAAATGCAGTATAAAAATCATGTAACAAAAACAGGATTCACAGGAAGTAAATTGTCAAACTACTGACGCGGACCAATAACACTGAAGACTATTGAGAGACATACATACATAGAGTACATGAGGAAATAATGAGTTTGTGCAGAACATGAATCACGTTCAGTGCACACATGGAGACAAGTTGAAATGTTTAAACAGCTTCACATTGTTTTCGATTTTTTTATGCATTTAAAGTTTAATCAAATCAATTCGATTCATTGTTTAAACCCCAATTGAAAAAAAATACATAATTTTCTGTACATGGTTCAGATTCAAAGGATTTTGCCTTAACGTCATCGTCCAGTAAAATTTGTGATCACCAAAAAGACACCATCAAATATTTGGATTGGTTTAATCCATACAACATGTACATATTTAATCTGTAAAGAACGTCATTGGGGAAATGCCAGAATATTCCTCACTGCACTGAACAGAGAACTCATATGATGTAATACAGCCCATAAAAAAGAGGATGTCTCCATCTAGTGGATATACTCAAAATCACCCATACAAAGGCCGTGTACGAATTATTATTATCATATCATAGCTTAATATAAGAGTTGTCTTTTTTTTTAAATTACATTGGATCACTTGGACTATTTCACAATCACCGCAAAAGGCACTTGTTTCCGATCGTCCCGGATGCCCATTGTAGATGTATAAAGTACCTCCACTAGCCGGCTAGCCTTAGCCCAATAGACAGCGGCTGTATCCAGTTTTCTGTAGATCTGCAAGCACACTGTGTCGCTCAGAACGTAACCCCGGTTTATATTTGGCTTAAAGGAGACGTAACAGAGCGCACAAAATGGCCGCACTCGAGGCCCGGACAAATAAGTAGGTTTACTATAGCTTTAAGAAGGCAAAATAGGGTCTGCTTCTTTAAAACGATATTGGATTATAACAGAATAGATAATTAAGTAAACTTTTCATTTTAAATTAACAAAGTAGTCCTCAAAATAGCCGAGACATCATGCATTCGAAGAATATGACCACAGTTGGAGGCCTTTGGCTATCAAAACGCTCTTGAAACCAACACAGACGCCTTCTCAATGTGCACGTAAACCCTGTAGTGACTGTAGTGAAGCCCTGCTGGACCGAACCGAGTCCACTGTGATGGAAGTGACCAGTGAGCGACAAGAGGATGTGAATACAGGAGAATTCTCGGCGGAGGACAAGGCCACAGTGCAGACCCCGGACCCCAGTAAGAGCTCGACACCGCGCAGGGGTCTTCGGCAGCGGGGAGGGTTGAGACTCACAGATCCCTCCGCTCCTGATGCAGATGTGAACGGGCTGACTCTGAGCACGGCCGGGGGACGGGTGCTGCGGGACCGCTCTACTAGGACGGTCCCTGCGTGGCTGAAAGAGGCGAAAAGTGAAGAGGAAAATGATGAAGTGTTGAGCACGGACACTGCGGCACTCAAGCGGCGCAAAGTATCAAATGGAAAGAGAAAGAAGCTGACTGAATGTGCACAAGAAGTAGCACTCACTGGTGACCTGCCACAAACCTCAGAGTAAGTTTTACAGAGACCCAAAGTACGACGTAACTTGTGCAGATATTTGGTTTATGGTCCTGACAGGAGAAGCTCGTCCCCTTTTAATGGGAGGAGTAACTTAGGCTACCTGTTTGTTTTTATCCACCTGTTATTTAATTGTTTTTGTCAATGCAGGAGAGATTCTCACCTTGTTTTGATTCTGCAGGTCACAGGATCAGAAAAGCTTCACAGATGCGCCAGGTAATAAATAATAGTTAAGTTATGTTCATAGAAGGGTTGTCGAGAGAATTAAAAATCAGTTATTAATCTATACTAGTATTTGTATCTAAACTAGATACTTGTTTCAGAAAGTAGCAAACAGGACAAATTGGGAGAATCTTAGAACGACTGCAAAGCTTTTGGTACCATTACCACAAGGTTTTACTACACTTGCTATCACAGTAATATCAAGTGTCTAGTCTCTTTCTTAGTATCAGAATCTAGTTTGTAATTTTATCTATGTATCTTGACAACGCTACATAGTGGTAACATGTATGTGTGTTAATTATCTGTTGGGTAATGAGTGAGATGGGATGGAGCCTAATAAGTATCTACTTTGCCCAACCCCCAAACAGTGAATACTATTATGTTATTTGAGAACTTTTAAATAAATATATATTCATAATTTCTTCTCCTAGCTCCTCCTTCTCAGAAACCTTCAACTCAGACCCGAGCCAAGCCTGGCCGGGCAATTCGTGGAGCTAATGTTAAGCTTGTATGCAAGACTGAGCCCACAACAGAAGGACCTGTAGGTGAGTTGATCAGAAAGAGATGTTTAATATTATAACCTTTTTTTGCGGAATTATGTTCATGCGATTTTCCACATAGAGAAAACAATGTCTTGTCACTTTAATAATCATCTAAAATGTGCAATTGTCTCAACAGTGGATGAAGTGAATAAGTTTGAAGTGTAAGTACTTTTAAATATTCATGTTTTTGATGACATGAAAATGCTTAACATGGAAAAATGTCTTTATAACAAGTTAATTACCTTTTTCCTCATGTTTGTATAAAATTAATCAGTAAGAAGAAAGAGGAGGAAGGCAGTGACGTCAGCCAAGATGAAATAGACAAAGAGCCACAATTTGAGGATTTGACAAATGTCAGGTAATAAAAGTAACTGGATAATGGGTATCAAAAAGAAGAGAAAGACCATTTTCTTTTTTGTCTCCAGTAATGAAGATGAAGAAGCTGACAGCAGTGAGGAAGATGTTCCCTTCAGAGACGATCTTAACGACCAGAGCTATGATCCAAAAGAAGAAAGGTCAGCGCAGTTAAAATTGTCTTCATATTTTAATAAGTTTTAATAAACCATTTAAATGTTTAATACAGTATATTTTCATTCAGGGAATGCCCAAAGCCGAAGCGCCGGCTTCCTCCAAGACAAAGGGAAAAGCAGGACAAAGAACCCGATAAATGTCCCAAAGCAGAGAAGGAGATAAAAAAGGAGGGAACAGACATTTTAGAAAGTGCAGATGATGAAGTCAAAGTTGAGGAAAAAAATGTGGAGGAAGCAGGGGGTTCAAGGAAGTATGTACTTACATTCAAAGTGGCACTGCAACAAATTCATTATTTACCATATTTTTTTCCTGGCCCACCAGGAGAGGCAGAAGGAAAAAAGATGACAAAACTCCACGCCTTCCGAAACGACGGTACATGCTACAGTACATGCCTAGTAATTAAGAGTGTATGACCGTAGCGATAATGTTTGTGTGATGCTCATCAGGAAAAAGCCTCCCGTTCAGTATGTCCGTTGTGAGATGGAGGGCTGTGGCACAGTCTTGGCACATCCACGTTACTTACAGGTCTGTCTCACTGTTGCATTTTTGGATTCAGTGTATTTGAAGTAGATAAAATTCTTATAGTTGGTCTGTTTTTCTACATGAAGCATCATATTAAGTACCAGCATTTGTTAAAGAAGAAGTACGTATGTCCACACCCATCATGTGGAAGGTTGTTCAGACTGCAAAAGCAGCTGCTGCGTCACGCTAAGCACCACACTGGTATGTAATTTATACATTACAATTTAAGAAACATGAACACCATAAACAACATTCTGTATTTGCAGATCAGAGAGATTACATCTGTGAATACTGTGCACGTGCGTTCAAGAGCTCACACAATCTCGCAGTGCATCGCATGATCCACACAGGAGAAAAACCTCTCCAGTACGTGATGTGTATATATATATATTTTGTTCGTGGATCTGGTTTGGTATAGAATTATTTACAAAAGATGATATTGTTTCTCTTTTATTTCTAGGTGTGAGATCTGTGGCTTTACGTGCCGGCAAAAAGCGTCACTAAACTGGCACATGAAAAAGCATGACGCCGATGCAACTTACCAGTTTTCCTGCTCTATTTGTGGTAAGAAGTTTGAGAAGAAAGACTGTGTTGTGGCCCACAAGGCTAAGAGTCATCCAGAAGTTCTAATAGCAGAGGCCCTTGCAGCCAATGCAGATGGTATTATCACAACCCCAGCTTCTTTACTGGAACTACAAGGAATTCCAACACCAACAGAGCTGGGACAAATAGTAGCTGACAGTCGGGAAGCCGCAGCTGAAGGCCACATAGAACACATGGCCCATCAAGTGGGTCATCAGGTAGTTGTACTAGGCCAAGAGCAGAACCTACATGAAATGCAGGTGCCTGTTACTATTGCACTGTCTCCCATAGACCCCCCTTCCCCTGCTCAAACTCACCTGCAGCTTCAGGTACCTGTGCAGTTTGTGCAGGGCCCTCCGCAGCCTTTGCCAAGTGCAGCAACACGACAGCAGCCTCTGTTCCCCTCTCAGCAGAGCGCTCCACAAGCACAAATTCTACAGATGACCTTCCAGCCTGTGAGCCAGCTGCACCTGCAAACCACCGGCTCTACTCTTGTGTCTTCTTCCCAGTCACAGATTACTGTCTCCCCTGATGAGGAAAGCTTTATTCTTGAAAATCCAGTGATGTCTTCCACCACTCCCAACAGCAGCTGCCTCCAGCAGACTGAGGTGACCGAGGACAATGTAGTGTGGGAACACCAACAAGTAAGCTCTGATGTGAAGCAAGGATGGTGCACACAAGCAGAAAATACTAGCTAATTAAATCAACAATAAACTGCTTCAACCCTGTATTTAACATTCAGAAGTGTAAAGGCACTCGTATAGTAACACGTACCGTTTGTTCTACTTTAGATACCTTTGGTAGCTTTTTAGATTTTCTGCATCAGGGAAAGTATGTGCAAGTTGTTGTATTTGTACAGTAGGTCTCATTAACACAAATTATATTCTTTCCCAAGTAAATGTTCTATCTAATCAACCATGTGACACATTCAAGGATTTTATCAATATGAACTGGTTGTACACATAAAACACTTTAATAAATTAGGCAAGATTAACATAGGAAAAGATACATTGTGCTGCTGTTATTACCATACATGTTATACAGGCACTTTACACAATTGTGAAAGTTTGAACCTCTTGAATGCACAATTATGTAAACTACATGTGTTGTCGCCTCATAAAAACATTTAGTAAAATAACAGGTCTATAGTAGACTTGTAGGAAGGACCCAGGACTATTGATTTGTAAGTTGTAAATAAAAGGTCTTGACACCAATTGTTGGGATGGATGAAACTCAGATATGGCTTCCCTCTTTTCCCCTTTGCATGGCATACTGCTTCAGTGCCCTTTTCGGAGGAATTAATGTGTTACTTAGTCCAACCTTCCTTTTTGTTACCTTATGCACCTCTGGCTTATCCTCTGGGTCATGTTGCGAACCCTGTGGCCCACGAGCCCCGCAGGCTCTGGTTTGAGTGTCTTTACTCGTCTTAACAGAGTCCATGGGAGCGGTTTGGAGGTCACTATCATGAGCGTACTTGCACTTGATGCCAAATCTGCATCTGCCTTCCTTCCTGTAGGACACACAGACGCGGCGTCCCCCGATGTGGGAGGGTCGGGCCTGCTCTGTCAGGGGCACGTGCTTTTGCAGGGCGCTAAGTTTCTGGTCCTGCTGAGCCTTGAAGGGGTTTGTGAACACACTGGTGTCCGAGCAGGTCTGCAGGGAGGGTGGTGGCAGTTTAGTGAGCCCAGAGGACAGTGTGGGGCTCGGCAGAGTCCGCCGTGTGGGTGCACGATGAAGAACACGCTGCTCTTCTTCTAGCTCCTCTGACTCACTGGACTCAGACCCACAATCCGCCTCAAGAAGCAAGTTCCTGCTCTTTACAGGTTCTGGACACACCTCCTGACTGGACCTGTTTAAAGAAAACAAAAGATAATACCCAGAGGTAGCAAAAGTGTCAAGAGTGACACATGTAGCATCTAAGCACTGAATAGTTGACTGATGCAATTCACCAGCTGGGGTTTAGCTAGAAACAGTACAAACTCTGTATTACCGATACATAATCTTGCAAACAAAAATTGTAAACACCAATATCATGGGCCATTGTATTATTTTTAATATATATAAAAACAGCTCATGTAAACCTTTGTTCAGAAAAGGGCACCTATTGTCCCATTATGAGGACGCCTGTAAAATATATTGGATGTCATTTGAATGAAAATATAACATAGGCTTTGAGCCTAGAAGCGCGGCTAACCACAGTGCATACACAGGAGCACGTCTGATCTCTTAAAATCTGTCTGTGTCTGCCAAGTATCTGGTTAATTTATAATGTAAGGACCAGTGAGCAGAATTATAAACAATACATCTATCACTACTAAAACGCGGTGTTCTGGAGGACAGGACTTGCCTGATCCTGTCATGTTCTTCTGGCGCCTCTCCATCGCTGTCCGAGCCTGAGGACACGCCGTACCCGACCAGGGCGTTCATGCTGCTTTAATGTAGTCGTTTTCAGACAACGTACTTTGTTAATATTTTTATAAAGCACATCTACCGATTAAGTATCCCAAGATTTACCACTGCATAAAGTAAGCTGTGATGTTGTGACCCTCTGAGTGAAGACTGGCTCCGGTCCTTCATACGGCTGCCTGCACTGACGCCTGCTGTTTTGGCATGGTACTGCAGTCATAATAATCATTTTGACGGTTGAGACCATGGATCTATAATAATAACAGACATGTTTGTTCAGACATGACATACGTTATCATTTTTTAGGCCCCGCTGACAGAAGCTGCTTGTTTTTTTAAGGCCTTAGCTAAATAGTAATACTGGAAATGTGTATGTTATGTTGTTGTCTATTAATATACATTCTAAAAGGGTACTTACACGGCTGATTTCATAGTGTGAGACATTACAAACAGAAATTAAATTACCATTTTTAAATTAAATTGCCGCCATATCTGGCCGCTGTGTGTACAATGAGTACGACTCTGCATAAAGACTGCCATTTACTACGTTGCCGTGTGCTGGGCCCCGGGCAGCACAGAGCGGGACAGAAACAGACTGAACAAGCTGGTCAGGAGGGCCAGCTCCACTCTGGGCTGCTCCCTGGACTCTGTGGAGGAGGTGAGGGACAGGAGGGTGTTAGCCAAAGCCACCTCCATCATGAACAACACCTCCCACTGCACAGGACTGTAGAGGAGCTGAGGAGCTCCTTCAGTGGAAGACTGAGGCACCCTCAGTGTAAGAAGGAGCGCTACCGCAGGGCCTTGATCCCCACCGCTGTCAGACTGTACAATAAGTCACTTTAAATGATCACTGTGTGAAAACCTGCACTACTATTGACACTGTTTCCAATTGACACTTGTCACTTTTGTTGCACATAATTATTGTCACTTTATTGTACATATATCCTGCATGTAACATGTTTGCACATTTCCTCCTTTGCACAATCTGTGTCTCTATCCATGCCAAATGTGACATGTAAATTTCTCCTATGTGAGATAAATAAAGCACATCTTATCTTATCTTAAAAGGTGGGTTAAAAGCTGGTATGACCGGGGTTTTCATCAGTGATTTTTCCCCCATGAACAATTGTTCTGCTTTTCCCATTTTATTTATTTTTTATTTTTTTTCCTGAAAATGTGTTTTTTCCATAGACTGTATCTGAAAATACTCAAATCTTTTGACTGCTCAAGCTCATATATTATATTGCCATTGTCAGTGAACAAGATTTACATACTAAGAATTGAATTACTTTTTTTTTTACATAAAATCTTTTTTATTTGTAAAAAAAAAAAAAAAAAAAAAGCCCTTTTATGAATGAGTGGATGGAACTTAAGTTTCCCAAAGTAAAAGGTGCTCTTTAAGTGCCGTAGCGTGTCACATGCTGCATTGTGTGTCGATCAAAAAGAAAGAGTGTAGTAGTGGAGGTTGTCAACGAAACACGTGGAGATTGTTGAAGAAAGTAGTTGAGTTATGATGGGTCATGTGACAGGATCATCTTATCTTCAATTTCAAATATTTTAGTAATCGTATATTCTGTCAATTAATCGAGTAATCGAATAAATCATATTTTTGCTTAATTTTGGCATAATCATAAATATGCAGAATCAATAAATAAACAATCCGTGCGAAACATTAGCTTTGACTAAAACATTCAAAAAGAAAAAAAATCTGCAAAAAACTATCTTGAGGCAGCCGAAATTACTCAAATAATTCTTTTACTCAAATTACTCAAGTTCTAAAGGTGAAGATACTCCAACCAACCAGTTGGATGTCTGGAGTTGTTAGAAATAGTTAGTCTTTTATTGGTTTGGTGAGTTCCAAACAGTTCTAACACGTATAGGGACAGTTACAGCATGCTCCAGACGCCCAACTGCCCGGTTGGTGAACCTCATTCGCAGAGGGAGTCAGGAGGGTGTGAGAGAGGAATAAATGATCGCTTCCATGAATATGGACCAGTAATTGTTCTGCCAGGAATCATTTTAAATACTATCAGCCTGCAAACCAAGTTACACAGTGCACAATTTGATAGAATGAATGTTACTCGTTTGACCCTATTTAATTGCATCCAAACAGAGTGCCTGCAGTAATAATGAAGCTCTACTTCCAGTAAATCTAACTATCTTCTCATGCACAAGGTGATGAGCTCCTCCTTTCATCCCAGGTCGGCACATATGCTCCCACTGAATTCCTCTGGCCTGGCATCAAGTTCCCTGAGGAAAAGGGCGGAGAGTTGGCCATTACTGTGTAACGCAAGTAATTCAGTGTAAGCAGAGAAGCATGAGCTAACTTGGAAGTTAACTTTGACTATCACCAGGAAACCAGCACACAGAGTCATTGTACACAGGAGAGTGGATGAATTGTACTGTCACTGCTTTATAAAATAGGAGGCTTTTGAGTCAAAATTTCTCCATCAGAGATGCAGACCAGAAGAATGACTTTAAAGTCCAATGCTGTTTCCATAGCTGAGCAACTGCATTATGAATGCACCATTCTGCTGGAACTTTTTGTGAGTACTGCATTTGTTTTCCACTTACCTAAACCTGTAAAGCACACTGTTGTGTTTCGTTGTTGCATAATTTTCAGTAAATTTACAGTATAAAAATTGTGACGAAAATGTGAGAGAGAATGTCATGTGTAGTATGAGATAAGAGTGATGGTGTGCGCCATTTGAAAAGAACATCAAAAAGAATGCAGGTTTTGTGTAGAATAGAGAAAGAATTCTATGAGGGTTTATATGTGGGCGTTTCTTGGACAGACATTGCTCAATTGCCCAAAGCTCAAATTCTACGTAATAATGCACATGTCGTTACTGGTGTCTTGAACTTTAATTTCAATAGTTTCTCCAGTACTTCACACGCAAGTTGGATGAAGACAGTTACCAACATGTTTTCACTGGTCACAGACTGTTTTCATGTTGACTGCAACACTCAACAAAGGAATGAGGAAACCACCAGTTATCTCACTATGCAAACTACGTTATTTATTATTTTCTAGTGGGGACTTTAAGAGCTCTACAGAAAGCATGTTCAAGACAAATTATGTCAAGCTCTTCACTGGCTGTGACTGCAGCAGGTCACGTTTGGGCTGTGAGTCACATGGTCCAGCCGTGCTATGAAATGCTGATCACGCTCACAAGTGAGAGATTGAGGCAGAGTTAAGCCTGGGGTAACAGACTGCCAAAAGGTAAAAGGTGCAACTATGTATTCATTTCTGTCTTTCAAAAAAATTGGGTGACACTGAAGTTTGCACTTGTGCGTCACAGCAAGAAGGTCCTGGGTTCAATTCCACCTCTAGGGCCTTTCTGTATGGAGTGTTCCCATTCTCCCCTGCATGGGTTTCCTCTGGTTGCTTTCCCCTACCACTAAAAATATGATAGTTCAGGGAGAATAGATGTAATCAAGCATTCCACAGACTTCTGGTGAACAGTTTACGGCCACCTTCTGTGTTCACTCTCAATGTCAAGGGCTCTGTGTTTTAGCTGTATGTATTGATAATCTGTATGGCAATTGAAGGAGAGGTCTTCCTGGTGTTCTGGCCCGGTCAATGGTTGAAGGTCAATTATATTTCCTGCTTGTGTGGTACACTTTTTTTTTCAAGAAATTCTATTTTTTATACATGCCTTTATGTCTATTTTACACATGTACAACTTGCAAGCTTCATGTTACTTACAATGGCAATAAAAGGTATTCTGATTCTGGCAGCATAAAACATTGTATAATAACACATCCTGACAGTTTTTCCACCTAATTCACAAAGTCAGCTCCCTATGACTTATTCTCAACTCAGATGTTTGTGTGAGAAAAGGCATACCATCCATTTAATTCCAACCTGATTTTTTCATCTTTTCCAGAGGAAGAAGGAGAGTTTTTCCTCCAGCTTGACAGGTGCAGATGTTCGACTGGTGCCTGTTCAGCAATCTTCTGACAATGAAGGCAGACTATGGGGTCTGTACTCTGCCCTTGTCCTGTGTCAAGCTCTAATGGACAAGGCTATGTCTAAAGAGGAGGAGGAACTGGGCAGTGGGGAAATGGGAGAGTACGAGAAACAAAGGAGAATCGTGTATGAAAGACTTAAATATCTGATAGCAACAATTTGGAACCTGTTGGAGACTAAGCTTTGTAGCTCTGTAGGAACAGAGGTAAGACACTCACTGTAATAAAACAAGGTTGTACGTAGATATAGAGTTGTGTTTAGATGGCACTTTTCACTTAAATCGACTATAATCAGTCTTACCCTGACTCTTTAACCATCATATTCGGTATGTAAGAGTTGCATGCTCTGGTAGGTTTACGGTAGAAAATGCGTCTTTTCATTTATCTGTACACACAAAAGGCTAGCACCTGGACCTACACCACTGAATGCAAAAATATATCTAAACATACTCATATACAGTTAAAGAATGTAACATTATCCCGTTTTTAATTCCTTGTAGAATGTACAAAATAGATAATATCACGATTTGAATTTGAATAATGGGCAAAACATTTATGCACATACAGCAATCTATGTGTCTGATTGTTTTTATTGTTTTAGGTGGAGTGTCCCACACTTCTATTTGAGTTGAAGCTGTGGATTTACAGTGTTTTCAAAGAGATCCACTTCTGGGCCGAGATGGCTGGCAGTATCTTACTACAGCTGGAAAGCGCTAAAGGACCCAGCAGATCCAGAACCGGCAGAAGCACTGTGATTGCGGAAAACAGGGAGAAATTCGATATCGATGGAGAGTGCACCAGAAAGTATTCCACTATCTTCAATGTGATGTGATCTGAGCAAACTAAAGGCTCTATTATTCACCCCAAAAACATATGTTGTTTAATTGATTTAACAGTTGCATTAGTTTGTGTACCATATTTAAGACTTTCTATATTTTTGTTTAATAAAACACAATATGCACATTCTACAGCCTATATTGGTTACTATGACAACTTTATATAACTGTCAAATCAATCAATCAAAAACTTTATTTTTTGCAGAAGCTTGAAACACACCAGTCCATCACATCTTTTCAAGTCAATTAAAGAAACAGTATGCATATAAACGAGTATAGGGCCAAAGTGCAAGGAAATGTCTCTGTAGCTAAGAGCAAATAATTTAGTGTTCAGAGTTATAAGAGCTCTAGGTGTTGATTGTTCAAGTTAAAACTATCAGTTTGAGAGTCATTGAATCAGGATCCTGATCTTTTTTGCACATAATGAATAAAAAAAAGATAGTCCCAACAAAGCAAGCTGACTTAATTGGAAACTAAAAATAATACAAAAAGGTTTCCTTGAGGAAAAACACTATTGGTTTCCAGCACATGTGACATCATCAGAGCATTTGAGCAGGTGAACATCACTGTGGTGTTGTACATTATTGTACATAACATCCTGCACGAAAGAGACTATATCTTTTCACCTTTAACATGTTTGCACACTCCCATGTCTTTTTGCACAACCTTTTATCTATGCCAAATATGACATGTACATTTCTCCATTGTGAGATTAAAAAAGTTTATTTTATTTTTATAATTTAACCATTTTTACTGAAACCACCATGTTGTGGATAGTAATTACTAAGTCACTAATTGGCCTCTGTCATGTCTTCAAACTATTGATATATAGTTGATATTTGAATAGGGAATTTTGCTTCCATACCCTCAAAAAGGTTAATTTTAGTATGTTAATGATCAATGTTTGCACATAAATGGCTGCAGGACTGAAAAACAAATAAGAAACTGAGAGACTGTAAAAGTAGACCTCCTTAAGTCCTGCCCACTAAGGCTTACACAACTATTTTTTTTAACATTTACTTTGGGGATTTGACACACTTATTTTCAAGAGAAGACGGAACATTCTGGACAAGATGAGTGCATTCTGGTGAGTCTTTTTCAACCAAATCTATAACAGACAATTAAAATGGTTACAATCTATTCAAGAAATCATCAGTCAACTGCATGATTGTAATTTCATACTTGCGAAGTAAACCTTGTATACCTGTAACATAGATATCAGTTTCAATTCAGCAGTACATTCCAACTTTCTCCGACCCTGTCATTGTTCATACCAAAAATCCTTGTTTAGCCTACTACGAAGTGTACTATAAACAAAGGCTGAAACAACAAGGTGCAGACATTATGAGCCTGGAACACGCTGTACTGTTAGCAAAAAAAGTCATTGATAAAAACGAATATAGTATACTTGATAAGCAAAAAGTTTCTTCAGTAGTAAGGCAAAGGCAAAGTGTGATAACTATTTTCCTTATGGTTTTCTCTCCTCATAAAGGCAGATTTACTCATTGGTAATTATCCAGATCGCTCTGCTGGATCACCTCTGTATCTCAGCTGGGATCCCTTCAGGGCAGGGCCAGCACAAAAGCCCTCTGTATGCAGCCTGCAAGATAAAACCGAGCAGCGGGGCAAAGATATTTGGCATGGTGCTGTTTAAACAAGAATCCTCTAATGGCACGCTGTCAGTGGTCCTCAAGCTCCGTGGTTTTGACAGAGAGTCGGCTGAGACCAAAGCGGTACACATTCATCAGTTTGGAGACCTAAGCTCAGGTTGTGCCTCCACTGGGGGCCACTACAACCCTCACAACGTCAACCACCCGCAGCATCCAGGAGATTTCGGCAACTTCATGACCAAGGACGGGCACATTAGCGCTACACTCCAGTCTGAGGCAACACTGTTTGGAGAGCACTCGGTCATTGGCAGAGCCGTGGTCATCCACCAGCACCAAGACGACCTGGGGCAGGGAGGCAACGATTCAAGTCTGCAGAATGGGAATGCTGGCCCCAGGATCGGCTGCTGCATCATCGGGATCACCTCTGTTGCTCCTTGGATTAAACACACTACATCTAAAACCTCTAAGAGATTGAGAGAGAATTAGGCTAGTGACAAACCAGTGATGCAAAATTAGGACGTTTATTCAACTCCTCAATGTGGCTTTGTGCGACAGGCAATTACAGGCTGGATGTATGTATGTGTTGCAATAATCTCTTAGTCACTAGGAAACGCTTTATGGCCTAAGTAGATATTTTTGTGCCGTTTTGTTCTTCAATTAGTTCTACACTATGGAAGATCAATAAATACAATTTCAGCATTTGTTGCCAAAAGCGAACACTATTACAATTACAGTAGTGAACATTTATAAAGTAGATATTTTTTTGATCCACCTGCCAAAACACTCTTTTCACGCAGCCACTGGGTCTGGTTATCAAGCATACATACTTCCTTCTATCTCCAACATTGGGGCCAACATTCAGAATAAAATATAGATCTAAAACGGTCAGCAAACAATGAATTTTACAAAAGTATGTGATGATAAAGGAAAGTTTCTGCTGCTTGACTAATGATAACAGAAATTACACTGATTTTGAATATACATTGTGTTCTGAAAACTGAAAAAAAGGGACTCGACAATTTTGAAGCAGAAATCTATTTTGGTCCCAATTGTTGATGGTAGAAGGGTATATAATGCCTGTCAGAGCCTCTAGCCTTTCTCCCCTCAATTCATTAAACCACTTACTGCACTGCGTCTGTTCTAAATGGTCAGTTTTGTGTCCTCTGATTAAAGAGATTACACATGAACAATCTTGGTCTCTGTGATAAATAAAAATACATTGTTATTCAGTGTTGTCTTGTAACGGGTGTCTATAAGTGTTGTCGTCATTTGAGGAAATGTCAGTTCCGTTTGTATTGGTTTCCTCCATGTTTGAGTCCGTGATAACAGATGGAAGATCTTCTCCAGTTTGAGGACAATGCATAGTTTGAGCCTGTTCACCGTCAACCTCATAATCCAGATTATCCAGACGGTTAACAACATTGTCCTGAGTACCAGTAAAAGTAGTAACTGAAGTATCTTCACAAAGACTATTATCTTTGCAAACAGTAGTATCTTCACAAAGACTGGGCACTGGGCAGCTGGTTGGATGTTGATCCTTCTGGGGCAAGTAGGGCTGGCTCAACTCTGACGCCTCCATTATCCCTGATGAGTGTGGAACCGGTAAAATATTTGGATCATCCGGGTCTTGATTTGATTCTCTTTCACCTGATACAAAGAAAACAAAAGCGGTCACACTGACTAGAGATTACTGGACGTCCATCAGTAATCACAACAATCTCGAGGTCACAGCCCAACTCAAGGGACATTTAGAACAGATACAAATGTGTGATTAATCAATAACTATGACATTAATGCTGTAGGAGCCAACAGCGCTCTAGGGCCATCTAGAGGTCATGCTGGGGTAGTGGCCGTAATTAAGGTAGGAACCTATGCCGTTGGGAGTTGCCAGACGGACGAGACACACGTTTGTTGACCGTGTTTGTGGTGGTCTCTTTATATGAAGTATTGAGCATTTTATGACATTAGATTTTAGTTTTGTAACAATAAAGTGATGATTTTAACCACACCTCAAGCCTCAGAGACGTTCATTCTACAATACGCGTTAACGAATATGTCCGTCAGCCACGAGAAGCGGCTCAGATCAGAATTAGCTGCTACAAATGCAATAAAGTTTATCGCATTCATGTCGGCTAAAGTTTATCTTATCTTATCTTACATATTTCAGTTGTTTGACAGCACTAATATACATGAATATATATAAATATATCCCACTACCTTTATTAAAGTTGAGGTCTGGAGATTCAGGGGCCTGTTCATTTAAAATGTTGTCTCTCACTTCTGTTTCAACACAAAAACAATGAAACATGACATTACAGCAATGTAAAAGGAAACATGTTGATTTGAAAGATGTGAAGTGCAGTTCAGAAATAAAGAACCTACTTCCGTTATATCCCAGAGAAACATCATAAGTTATGCCTCCAATAAAGAAGAAAACAGCAAGGAAAGCAGTGAGGAAACATAGCTGTAGCAAAGGACATCATATAATCTAAATGTAAATACCAGGTAGACTCCATATTCCTGACATCTCCAATGATTTAAATTTTTTCTCCAATTCTGCCACACGATTTCCAAGAATCCTGAAAAAAAAAAAGTATTCAGTTTAAAATATGTCTATACAAAGCTTCAACAGCTGCTGATGTATAGTGGCGTACTTATTGATTTGCCGTTGGTGCTGTATAACCATGTTCTTCTCATGAATGGTTTCCAACAGAGCGGTGGCCAGAGATTTGAGATCGGAAATAGACTGAGGAGTGACTGGCAAACTACAGCCATTTTCTTCAGAGAGCAACAACTCCTTGACTGAAATTACAACAAAACTATGATATTAATAATGAATACTCAGAATGAATTTGTAGTGTTATGTGAGCCGGACCTTGTTTGGCAGAGAGCACACCTGTTAGTGCACTGCTGTTTGGTTTACCGCTAAATTTAGAGTTTTTCCGGCACTCCAAAGCAGTCTGCAAGCAAAGAGAAATCATTTATTATTATTTAAAAAAAAGGTTAGGTAGCTATACTGCAAGATATCCATTACCTTATACTTGGACAGATTTGATTTTAAAATGGTCACTTCTTCCTGGAGCTGATTTAGTCTCTCATGTAAATATCTGTCAAAATCAGTGACAACTTCATACCAACATAAAATCAGATTACCGAGAAGCAGGAAAGATCTTCAAACCTGTTTTCCATGCAGAGCGCGTCTACGTCCAGCATCCGGATCTCGTCGTTGCCGAGGATGTGGTTCATTTCCACGTTGAGCCGATGAGTCTTTTGTTGAAACACATCCCGCTCTGCTCGGATGTCCTGCAGCTCATCGGTCAGGGACTTCACACTGTGGTCCATCAACTCATTCTGCAACAATTAGTAAAAATACAGACACGCGTAAATAATAAACTCTGGAAAAGTGAACGTAATAAAATACAAGCTTTAATAAGTACATGAGAAAAAGCATTGCAGATAGTTAAACGGAACTGTTGGAACCCTTCTACTGGTTTAATAGTCATTACAACTACTTTTCAATGTGACACATGTAGCTCCAAAGCACTGATTACAGACGCAATCCAACTGCAGGAGTTTTGCCCGAAATAGTAGAAACTGTATTACATATGACTACTCATTTGTGTATGTGCTTTCATTTAAACGTGAAATGTGAGGTACTATTTTTTGTTTGTGAATCGCTCATAAAAAGAAGCCAAAACCAGCTGAATTTTTTATTGGAATTACAAGCACAGCTAACCACTTCAAACCTGCATTTATGAAGTTAAAAGCATAAACATTTCAAGAATGACCTTGAATCAATAGAACTTGTAACTTTGCATTTTTGTGCTTTTTTCATCTGCAAAGAAACTCACCTTTTCCTAAATGTAATGACTATGAATACAAAATGTGAAATATAGAAACCAGAATGATAATTGTTTCATGCGACCTCTGCATATCCACTCATTATTAATCCAAGTTCTTCATTATTCAATAGGAGCAAACTAACCGAATTACCTGTTCTCTTGCTTTTTCCAACTGTTTGACAAGATCTTCTCGTTCGTGAGCAGGAAAATGTCGCGTTCCAACATCGTCGTCCCCCAGCCTCTGTTTAGTAATGGTCATCCTCAGCAGCTGTGAGTAGAGTGTTCATTTAGAGAGTTGTGATGTAGGAAGGAGTTCTTTAAATCTGTCATCAGTCAAATCTGCTGTGAAATCTTTAATCGTGATTTTATATTTTCTTTGTCCCAAAAAAAAGAGTCTTGTATAACAATAATGTTCCATGCCGTATTTATTGTATCAGAAAACATGTTTAATTCCCAACTCGCAAAACAGTTTTTTTTTGACCGTGCCCATGGGTGGGACAGCTATAAGCTAGTAATACAGCTATAAGCTAGTAATACCCTATCCAGTTATTGTTATAGATCCATGCTCACAGGGCTCCTTCTTAAAAGTATGATATTTTATTTTGTTCACAAAAGTATACTTTTTCTCTTTTTGTTGGAAAAAACATGTATTGATTTATAAATAATAGATACCCCAAGTCAAAAACGCTGATAAGATACAAATGTATTGTACCTTATTGTCTCCTTGAGCTTCTGCAAGTCTTTGATTCACTTCCTTCAGTTCGTCAGAAAGTTGCTGACTTCTTTCTCTGGAATCTCTGAGTAACTGCGCCAGATTTACCTAATTTATGGAAGCAACAATTATTTTGTACACCTGTCACACGACAATGCTGCAATAAAAAGAAAATACCTACTTGATTACGTTTTTCAGGAGGCAGAGAGGAATCTCCATCCTATAGCGTAAGAATACAATCAATTTATTTAAGTAGCAACGCAATGCAGTGTAAGGGTAAAAAGGCTTACTATGAGCTCCCGGTACTTCTTTTTGAGCCCTTGGTGGCGCTCTCTCAGCTGGTTGGCCATCAGTTTGTACTGGTCCCGTTCTTGCTGACAAGTGTCCAGCTCTTTGGACAGAATCAGAAGAGCCTCCTTCTTGCTTTCCAGCTTCCTCTTGCAAACTAAAAACTGTAAGAAAGTCTAAAAGGTTAATTGCCATCGAAATTGCATTAGGCTACGAATCAATACATTACAACCACGTAGGGTAACCTTTACAATTAAGAAAGGGTGGAAAACGCGTGTATCAGGTCACCTATCCTACGTGTCAGTACAAAAACTATATTATATTTGTCTCCTGATATCAAACCATAGCATAAATCTGAGCACCTGGCATCCCCCTCATCATGCAGGGAACACCTCCTCCTCCTCCGGTGTTGATGCACTCACCTCGGCCACCATCCCCTGCCACTCACTCTCGCTGCGCTGAGTCCCGTCCATGTCCGTATGACGTTATTGCTCCTCCAAATATATCTGAGCTACGGTCATGGATCTACTGTCCGAGGCATGGCTTTATTTTCTTAATAAATCAGAAACGTTAAACCGAACCACGTAAAAGGAGCGGATAAGCCTCTCTCCAAACCAACTGCGTCACTTCCGCATGGTGTGCGTCATGACGTTTATCCCAGACTGTAAATATTGGTTTATCCATAATATTTACAGTCCATGGTTTATCCCATGGATCTATTGGTTTATCCTGATAACTAATACATAAAAAAATATATTTTACTTAACGGACACAACAACCCGCTAAAACCATAGACTGTATATCTAAAACACAAGAAGAAGCCTAACTACAAACCACACAGACACACGGGTAAGTGTTACCTACTACATAAGCATCTATGGGCCTGTTATTTTGTTTTAACTCATTTGCAAAAGGCTTTTTCTTGCGCAAATTCTAATATTTAACAGACTGCAAGTTGGGTGTGTATTTAAAAAAAGAAAGATTGATTGCTTCCATAAAGGCTGTACATTATTCTTATAAGGAATGAATTACAAATTTTTTGAACAACTTGATACATTTTTATTATGACATGTCAAAATAGCACACTTAAGCTTGTACATTCACCATGTGTTGCAGCAAGTTTCAAAGCTATATTCCAGCTGTCATATATTGCTTATCCAGCCAAGACTACTGGCTGGTATGGGGAGTCAATATACGTAAGCTATTTGCATAGAGATCTGTAATCTGTAAGTTATCTCACAAACTCACATACAGTTATAATTCTTTGAGAGGCCTATAATGCATCCCCCTTTCGCTTATTCTTTAATATTATTTTCATCACTACTTTCCTTCATATGCAGTAAGCATTGAATTAGGCATTTTGGTATTACATACAAACGTGATAATTGTACCATTGTATTCATTTCCATAACCCTAACCCTAACTTCATAAGCTCAAATCCACTATTATATGCTCAAACACCATCGTTTTTCCTTTGAAGCTTGGAGAGAAGATAAAATGTCTCCGGTCTGTGCTCACTGCTTCAAAGGATCTTGGTGACTGCACATAAAAATCCTTAAACTTTTGAAACATATTTGCTCTGGAATTCCATAAATAAATCTGGGTAAAGGAGTAGTCACTGCCCAGTGCCAGATAATGTCTATTTGAAAATGTGAAGGGCTGCAGGATCATAGCACCCCGAGAGGGAAGAGGCTGAACTTCATGGAACTGTTTATTGGTCCATTTCAGAACTTTGGAATCACCAATGTAGCACGTCATGGCGAGATACAGATCATTCTCCAGCCTGAAGGCTTTGACCGCAACTACATCTTCCATGCTTGGGATCTCACTGTGAACTATAAACTTCAGAGTGCTTTTGTTCCACAGGTAAATGACAGGAGACTGCGAGCGACTAGCTAAGATCAGATAAGACTTTCCATCCACCTGGACATACTCAGCATCAGTGTCTCTGAACCACTCATGGAGAAACTGGTAAGTGTAAAAGCCTGTGTCGTTGCGGTCAGGTTCATCACTCCATTTGTACACAGTGGACACACCTGCTTTAGAACTGTCCACTATCACAAAGTACCACTCTTGATCTATCTGGAAAACCTCAATGTCATTTGGCTTTGAGATGTTGAAGACCTCAATAGTTTGAAACTTTGTGAACTTGTTTTGTTGAGCATCAAACTTGTATATGTGAGAACCACCAAAAAGCTGCGTAAGAATGATAAGGATGTGGTTGTCAATCAGCACAGACTTGCATCCTACAACAGACTTCCCTTTAAAATGAAAAGGAAAACAGACAAAGGTTAAAAAAAATGGCCTATGATTAACCTTTTAAGACATTTGTGTAATCTTGTAAGAAAACCTCCAATGTTGTCAAAACTTCTGAATTTCATCTCAATGTGATCCCATTCCATGATGGTACAGCTGTTGGTGTTTGGTGAAGCCATGGCTACATAGATGTCCTCTTTGAATGAAAAAATGTTGCCGGACATGGCCTGGACGTTGATTGACTGATGACGCACAAAGTCTGTTTCAGAAATAGACAAAGACACAAAACATGTTAGTTTTTGTAGACAGCATTTCACATTTTTAAAACGAAAGGGCTTTTAAATGTCCTTGGGAGTCAAAATTAGACACATTAGCAAACTGAGATAGTAGAACATATTTGAAGTTAAATAGTTTTTAGTAATTACAAACACAGAGAAAACAAAGTGTTTAACAGTCCATAGTGCCCACGTCAACATTGATCTTTGGGTAATTTATTTAGACATTCATTGGTTAATTTATTTGTTGTGTATGTAGTAATGCAAGCAATAATACAGGATTGCAGGCTGAAATGACGTCTCGAGTGAACCGCTTTGGTTAATTAATAAAAAAGCTTAAAGTATGTAAAACTATAGAGAACAGAATGAGTAATGCTAATTTTTCAAATGATAAGATAAAAAAACTCCATATTTTTTGTACAATATATATATATATAATATGTACAGTATATTATGCGGAAGGTAAAAAAGGTATAATGATGAATGGAAAACATGATTGCTAAAATGATTTATAGTTGCATCACTAGAGAATTTGTGGTTGAGAAGAAATAGACTTTAACCTGTGGAGATGCAGTGTCCTGGTGCCAGAGGGAGGTCATTGAGGCGCTTGCCCTTCATATCAGTGGGACCTGCACACATCACGTCAGGTACAGTGGCATTTGTGTTCTTCAGCCACACCATTAACCACTTATTCTCACAAGTACACTGGAAAGAGTTTCCCCTGAGGTCCCTGGTGAAAAAGAGAAAGTGTAGGATCAGCAAACTTACATGGAAGCCCGCATAGAGTCATGTATTGACTGTTTATGTAATTCTACTAATGGACACCATCAGATTTTGTCCAGTAAGTTGTATTTTATCACCACAGTGGATTCCAGAGAAAAGCAAAGGCCTATAATAATTGTGCCAGCTCAGCCTGAGTCAGCTTCACTCTGGAAAGCACAAAGGAAAAAGACATTTAAGCATCACTGATGGCACAACTGCTTACTCACAGCTCCAGTAACGAGTCCAAGTCAAAAAAGAGGTCTCGTGGCAATGACTTAATTTTGTTGTTGGCAAGTGACCTGAAACAGAGCCATTCAATTCAATTTTACTGTACTGAATCCAATGCAGCAAATGTGTTAGATTGAATCCTTTTGAAATGGACAAAGATCATATATTTACAGATGTGTGAGGTCTCTCAGACCACGAAAGGCATTTTTTGTTATGCTTTCAATTTTGTTGCCTTCAATGAATCTGTAAAAATAGCAGAAGAACCTCAGGACATTATATTAAAAGGCATTGATAACTTTTGTAATGTAGACAATAATCTAACAAGTATTCAAGATGTGGAAGTCCTGAGAATGCATCATCTCTGATTGTTGTTAAAGAATTCCCATTCAATAATCTGTCAAATAAAAATAGATCTGTTATAAAGCAATGTCATTTGCAAGTTATGGTTACTGTTGGATACCTACAGTAGCTGCAGAGAAGGCATAAGGGCAAACATGGCCTCAGAGATTTCAGCGAGGGAGCCGTTTACTACGCTCCTGGACACAGACATACAAATCAAAGTCAAACTTGGACGCTCAGCTTCATGCATATCGGATGTCTGCAACCCCTTGACCAATGACATATGTACTTTAGGCTATTCTTCTCACAACGAAATATGATATCACTCTTAGAAAGGACCCAACTGTGGGCAGCTTACAGTGAGTTGATGTCACTGGGTATAGTCCGCGGCATCTGTGACGCGCCCACGCACACGATCGTCTCCTTGGAGCACGAGCATCCTGAAGGGCATTTAAAGTTTCTCTTGGATTCTGAGCGAGAAAGAATAAAGAAAAACACCACAACAGCTGTCCGCCAAGTCTGAGTAACCCGCATGTTGTTTACGTCTCTCGCCAAAGACTGCAGATGGGACAGAGGCGCTGAACAGCACTGGCGCTGCGCTGTCCGTGCGGGTCACTTCCAAACAGCAGCCTTGGCACTGACACAGGCTGATACGGCAGCTCCCGCAGCATCAACAAGGGGCCTGTGGGGGCGAGGGGAGCTCTGTCCGCTCCTGCCGCGAGGAAATCCTCTCTAGAGTCGTCCCATACCAACACAAGTACATACATAAGATGTACACCGATGCTTTTTGTATTCAAATGTTTACACCATAGACACATAGATTCGTTTTATTAATCGGTATAACATTATAATATAAATAATAATTTTAGAAACAATTACCATAACAACAATAACAGTAATGATTGATGGATGGAGTTTTCTTGTAAGACGAGTATAAAACAACAGTTTGCAGCAGCGTAATTGCTGTTAATTGAATGCACCACTAGAGGGAGATAGGAATCATATTTTGAATATTGAGGACATACTCTCAATATTAATCTTGGTACGGGAAGAAGCCAATTTCAAATAATAGATTTATAAACAATTCTTTGTTTTTAATTAGCATGTTTTAAATTCCTTTTTATGCAACAGCCTTATTGAGGTGGTGACAATAACATTACTTCCTTTTGTGCATAGGCCTAACAAGGTGTTGACCTTTGCTGGAACTCCAGGGGTCTGAGTTGGAGTGAAACTGAAGCCCTATTGCCAGAAGGCAATGAGGCTTCAGTCGTACATGTCTGTCATTGCTGGCATAATCTGTGACAGCTCTGCATCTAACATTGCTGTTTTTAGTCTAGAGTATCTCTGAAACACTCTGGACACGTGCAAGGTGAAACCAGATGATGCCACAGCAAACATTTCTTTGCTATTTCTTTCTAGACAACCATCGAACTGTCATTAGGAAGTGTGGAGCGTAACCAATGTAGCTGTGATACACAAGGAGAACCGCATACATGTTTAATTACATATTCACAAGTGGCTCCCATGTGTGACCTCTAACCCCTGGATGTCATGTTATCACATTTTGTAAACGACTAGAATGTCTATAAATGTGTGAAGCCAGTCAAGGAATCAGAGAGGACTTTTTGACCTTAGCTTTCTCACAAATCATAATGAAGGTTTTACACGCAGCTTGTGAGTTCAATTCTGCACGTAAAAGCGTTCAAGCGAAGTTTTTACTCCCTCTGCTCCATGTTTTGCATAGCCTATACTTCTAAACCATGGCTTTGTATGTTACAAGTTACAAGTTAGTTAATGAGGGCACAATAGTTGACTGTTGTGCGCTCCGTGATGTTTCTTTATTTTAATTTTTGTATTGTGCTACTGTGCTGTTCCTCATCATTCATGACTGATCCAATAATGCTGTATAAGTGTAATAGTTGAAAAATGATTCCTTATTCTTGCGATATATATATTAAAATTAAGGCTATTCATACGTTTTGAGCTCTGAAACAGGCTTAGAAATAGAAGGATAAAGGAAGTGCTAAACAGGTTGTATTTTCTTTAATTTGAGTGCATTTTGTTTTATCTGCAAATGGAAAAGGCAAGTCCAGTCTTATGTAACTTAGTTTTATACCTAGTGGGATTTTAGGTGAGAATTTGTTTGTCATTTAATTTCAACAATGGATATATTGCCCAATAAAGAAATACAACTTAACAATATAGAAAAATCATGTTTTAGTTTTCTCTCAAATATGATCCTACTTGGACATTATCCAAGATTCATTCACATTTGAAATGGTTGCCTGATTATTATTATTTTTTTTTCAATTAGGCATACATTTAAAATATAACTATATTACTATACTCAAAAGTGACACTTTTCAATCCAAAATGACATCCAAAGTTGGGATAGGCAGGGGGCTGTGCTGGGGCTGTGCTGGGGTAACCTGGAGCCCTCTGGTGCTGGTGACTGCCTCACAGCAGGTGCTCAGGCTTTCAAACTTCTCTGGTTCCCAGCAGCAGAAGGCTCACTCGTCAATATATGAGACTTAGCAGAGCTACACAATCCCCCCAAAGAACATAAACATGTCATAACAGTGCTGCTAAAATCGAGCCAGTCAGCACTGAGCAGGTGATACAGGAGTCTGCATTCATTTACTTTTAGCCTGACATGCATTAGTACAGTATGAAATTTATGATGTTTCATTGTTGTGAAACTTGTGAACCATTAATCCAACATTTCCCCACTGGGACAACAACCTTTTGGGGCCAGGACTCTCCTGAAAAGGAAATTCTGAAATCAGTAGGACAAGGATAAATAAAGGTATACATAAATAACTATACAATAAGGTTTAAGATGTTGTTTAAACTTGCTGTTCCCTGTGTGAGGTGGACAGTGGGTGAAGCAGCAGTCCCTTTATAATGCTTGCTTAATGATGATTAACCCTGATCTTTAACTCATCATACAGTAAACTAAAGACTGTTTTATCCTTTGGCAGCAGTGCTAATATCCCTTTTGTTATTTGTTTTGTTACATGGTTCCTTGTGATTCATACTGAGTTGGACATTTTATGACCTCATTGATCAAAATCAGTCCAATGTAATAGTGGCTATTTTTCAAGTTGGATAAAGTAGATTTTTTAATATACCAAGTTCATAACAGTTTTTGTGCATAATGTCCTGACTATCTGACTGCAAAATCTATCGGTGTTAGGAGGAGCATGCATGATGTGCAAAAGCCCGAGCAATTCTCCACATGGTCTCCACATGCCGCTGATTAATGATGCTCATGATTTAACACCTGCTGTTTTAATGTAAGAAACTGATCTCAACGCGTGCGCGAGAGCTGTCCCCATTTTAAATAGCTTCCTAAATTTATCATCTTTGTGGAGGTCATATTAACCTGTCTAACTTCACATTGGGCATGGCACGCATGCACAATGCCAAACAGAGTATTATCAACATCTGTTTGAGTTGTACAGATTTCGTTTTTATCTCGGCTTCTTTGTGTCTTGGACCTTTTGTGGGTATGTTTGTGTTTCTTCTTTAAAAAAAAAACAAAGACAAATGCAAATGCAATGATATTTGAGAAGTGAAATAAAGTTTGTTTGATTTACAGAAAATTTGCTAAAAAATATTTAAAATTATGGATGTGCATACATTTAGACCCCAGTGACACTTGACATCCATACAGAGGCGAATCCAATCACGAGAAAGGATATTTAAGTAGGACAATTTTAAGTGTTTGTCCTCTTTGCATCTTCTCTGAAGAGTGGCAACATCGGAGCCTCAAAACAACTCTCAAATGACCTGAAAACAAAGATTGTTCAACATGGTTTAGGGAAAAGATAAAAAATCTATCACAGAGATTTAAGCTTTCCGTTTCAACTGCAGGAACATTGTGAGGGATTGGAAGACCACCGGCACAGTTCTAGTTAAAGCTGCATTACCTCACTTTATTTTTGTATTCATTAGGAAAATGCAATCCATATCCATGCAATGCATTTGGATATACGTCCTTTTGAAGAATAAGTAGCACAGATTTGTGTAATTTTATTTTAGATCGAGTTTTCGTGCAACAAGGAAGATCATTTGTTTTGGGACCAATCACAGCGGACCACTGGCCCCCACTTTCTTGAGAAAAGCCACAGGTCTCTTGTTAGCACAGATAGCTGAGGTAAACAAGCGGCGGAGACTAACCTGAAACTTCCCGTGTCTTCGTTACCGGTGTCTGCTTACACAGAAAAACAGCCATCCAAAAGAAAGTCTCGTTCCTCCGCGCTTCCCAATTCTATCATTCTATGGTCACGCCATCCACGTGCAAATGTGCGATCCATATTGTGAGACGTGCGCTCCGTAAACAATTAGCATGTGAGCACAGGCTGCGGGGGAGGGCGAGTGGGGGGTGATAGCTTCGTGAGTGGGAGCAGAAAGAGCGAGGCCAGCGCTCACATTCGAAAATGTCAAGTGCAGCTTTATGGAGCGAAGTGGAAAACCTCAGATAAGCAGGTTTGTGATTTCAGGAATTTCTAACAGAAATCGCCGTAAGAAGTGTCCAAAGACGGAGAACTTGGCCTCAAAGCTTCATCCCCCACAACATCCCCCACATCCAGCATCCACCTTTAAATATTGAGCACAGATTGGCATAGAAATAAACCAATAAGCAAAAAGTGGATGTGACGGCAGGAAAAGGTTGTAGTGAAATAGTAGAATGCAGTGACGGTTACTTGCCTAATTCAGGTGACCACAAATCCTCAATAGAGTGCCCTTTTATTGTGGGTTTATTGACTTTCCAAGCCTGTGAGAAGTGCTGGATCTGATTTAGGCAAATGTGTGAACAGTAGTATTTGCCAGATCCCGTCAGACCTCTGAAGCAAAGCAGGGACAGGGCCTGATTATACTGTGATGGGAGACCTCTGGGAACACCAGGTTCGTCATTGGGTCGGCTGTGGCTGTGAAGTGTCAAACTGTCATTGTTTCCTCAGAAAAGACACTAGAATGAGTCTGGTGTGTGTGTGTGTGTGAATGGTTGGGGGTGGTCAGAGGGTGCCTCGCTTCTATCGGTGTAGTTTGTCACCACCATGTATGGAGTGAATGAATAATGACATGTGAAGCGACTTTGAGTGTCCAAAAAAGCTATTTATGAAACTGTTTCATTATTGCAAACTTTTGTGTCACACATCACTCGCCATATTCCATGAAACAACAAAGTTTAAACGCATGCACTGCCACCTGGCCTAGTGGCGGAGTTTGTGTGTATGGAGCAATGTTGCACCCCTGGTAGGTTCTCCTGTAGCATGCAGGTCTTAGGTGATGAGCCAGACAAAGTGCAGTCCACATAACCTCCACGAATAGTATTATATCAAGCAGGGGCGCCACTCTGGAGCCGAGTGGGCCTTTGCTCATTAGGCCTGATCTTCTGTGGACTTACCACCAGGAGAGGGATTCATTGGGGTTGGTTGCAGAGGGGACTGGGTGGTGGTTGAAGGCAAAGGCTGTTGGGATGTAGAAGGTCACATCACTGAGACATACTACCGACCAGATGTACATGTATTAGGCCCTACCTCCACACACACTTCAGTCCATGAAACCCAACCCCTCAAGAGGCCTCCCATCTCAGTACCAACCAGACTCTGCCCTACTTAGCTTGTGAGATAGAACGGAACAAGGCCTTCCCGTGCAAGCATGGTTACATTTTGTGCACACGTTATTTTATTTTGTTTTAGAAAAACTAGTAGACTTCTTTCTTAAGTGTTACACTCTAAAAAAAAATGCATTGGCAAAACTTAATAAAATTGAGGCAGCATTTTGCATGCATCTTTTTAAGTTTTGCGAACAAGACTGTGTTTTAAGTATTCTTTGTAAGTCTTTTATCATTGGTCCAGCACAATTTTTTCAATACCACCAACTTGGATAATTGAGTTATAAAGACACTTTGTTAAGTATATTCAGCAAGTGTTTTAGCATCAGTTCAACTCAATTTTAACAATACTACCAACTTAAATAATTACATTGAAAATAAATCTTTTTGAGTATATTCAACAAGTGATTTTCAGTCAGGAATACGTAATCTTTATTCAAATACCATCTTTCAAAGATTAGATTCACAAAACGGTTCACAATTGTTAATTTTAGGCAGTAGTCTCTCACTCCACATATATATGAGAGTGGGCCAGTACAGTCACCGGTAAACATGTCCACCTTAAAGTATTTGTTCAAAATTGAAGGGTGACACAGGGAGTATAGGTACTGCTTTGGCTTGGCCCTCTCGATGGTTGATAAAAATAAATACAATTACTTATTTGGTCAAATTAGTTTATTCAGAATGTTGCTCAAGTATTTTGCTTTAGGACTTGCTTCATATTCAGTTTTAAAATTAATGCTAAAATGTAGAATTTTTAAGAAGTTTATATTTTTCGCTGCAATGCATTCTGGGTAGCGTCACTGCTTCGCCACATTTTGTTTTCAATCAACACAATATATTTATTTTGAATCAACTCAATATATTTGTTTTTTCATTAATGGGCCACCAGGCTTACAAGAGGATTTTCATGTTGAGCAAACTCAATACTTCTCCGTTGTCCAGTTATGCCAGATTATCACATTCAAATTTGTTACAAAAATGAGTTAGGATTCTTGTATTAACTTTTAATTGAGACGAGCATGTTTAAAATGAGTTGCGACCACACTAATTTAAGTAAAACTGGCAAAAATCAATTATTGAGTTTAGTTTAGTATGTATTTTGAGTTCAAAATACTAACCACCTGAATCATTTCTTTGAGTGTAGTATGGGAATTATACCTGTGTTTTTGTAAGAACACAACATGAGTGCACAAATAGCTCTGTTCAGACTGGACCAAGCAAGCAATGACACTAAATGAGGCCCATCCCCTCACCAAATGGTTTCTCTTTGTCTTCACAGTAAACACTTATAGGCATTCTATATATAGTCCCTCAGCTACAATTACAACCAAAACAATTTACCAAAATAAAGAAGTACTTTTAACAATTGAAACACATATGTTTGTCTTGTTAAGGACCAAAACCACCTTTAAAAAAAAAAAAACACTTAAGTGACCCGGAAAAATATAGATAAAATACCTAATTACTTTGGCCAGAAATAGATGTATCATTCTGGATGTGTATGTTTCCTTGAGACTTGACAGAAGTTCCCGGACAGCCTTAGGCGGTGGGAGTATAGTGGTCTAATGAGGGTAAAAGTCAGATGTGACGGTGCAAAGAGCTTTGTCCTTGATAGTGTTGTGTGTGCCCTCTACATGGAGCAACTGGTCACTGCCCCTCCCCTCTGCATTCCTCTAATCTGGGGCCCTGTCCAGAAACAACACTTGTGTCTTCAACACCTACACATGCATTTAATAAATGGGCCATTATAATGAAGGGAGCTTGCCCCCTCATTATAACATTATGACAACAACACATAAAGTTGACAATCATTCACAGGCACTTGTCCAGTTGCTCAGTGGATATGGAGAAAAATATCAACAAGAACAGTTAGCGTTCTCTTGGACAACAGTGGACAGCTTCTCCCCTGTTTCTTATATAGTTAATAGACATATAATTACAAGAGTAAAAGTCTAGTGTGGGACATCAAGTTAAACTATTACAAATATTTAATTCAGGTCAAGATGGACATGGTAGGTCTATACACCGAACTCTTTAGCATTAGGAAAACTCTCCACTTGTGTATCCTATATTTCTTGTGCTGCAAATAGAATAATCAAATTGGTTTCATTTATAGACCTAGATTACCTATTGTCTATATTGAGAAACAAATGGCAATAATATATACACTGACATGTCTATAAGCAAAATAAAATTGATAACAACGGCATTAGAAAGTTTCTATTTAAAGTATACTGATTAGTTACATAAGCCCGTGGCCATTTATGGTCATAATTTTGCAATTGGAACGCATTACAGCGGAAAATGTGGACTGGGGCGGTTCTCTGAGTAAAAGGAGCTGTTCTTGGTTGAATGGTGCTGAAAGTATTGTCGCCAGATCTTATAATGAAGGGATTTTCCTCGGGACTCCCCCGTGTCGGTGTGTCTTGATATTGACAGTGAGTGTGAATGTGTGTGTATGTGTATGTATGTGTGTGTGTGTGTGTGTGTGTGTGTGTGTGTGTGTGTGTGTGTGTGTGCGTGTGCGTGTGCGTGTGCGTGTGCGTGTGCGTGTGCGTGTGCGTGTGTGTGTGTGTGGTGCCCTCCCACAGCCCTCCCTTGGACCCCTGCTCAGGCTCGCGCACTCTCGCCCCTCAGAGTTTTCCGTCCTGTGTCAGAGTAACATCGTAACACAGACCACCACACTGTAAGACTGGACTAAATGGAAGCAGCAGAGGAAACTCTCACGTATCGAGATGACACTGGACTGCACAAGAAGCTGCTGCCGGAAGGGACAGACTGTGGGAAGGAGATCAAAGACAAGGTGGATCCGAGGAGCGAAGAATCCAACTACATGGACACAAAAACGGACAGCGCCAAAACAGTCAAAGTGTCTTTCACTGGAGAAGGAAACCAGCTGTCTGTCAGTAAATGTGACGGCTCTAAACAGGGAGTGAATGAGACGCTGATTATAGAAGAATCAGGGAACTCAAGTTCAAATCTACTTGATAAAAACTTAAAAAATGCGGACTTCGATAAATTAGGACAGGATGATGGTCACACGACGAGTGACTGCAGTGAAGTCGCACAAAGCCCCAGTGAGGAGGACATGTACCTAAACAGTAAGACAGAGGACGATGATGAGGAGGCCTGTGCGCTGCTGTCGGGCCACTATCACACCGTGGGGGACGAGTCCCACTACATCACCACGCATGAGATCCAACTCACTGAACTGGACCATGATGTGGACTACGACATGGGCAGAGGGACTCGCTGGGAGTTTGAAGACGACAACTTGGTTTACTCGTTTGTGGATTACGCCACATTGGAGAACACGAACGATGGAACTGTGATTGTGAAGGGGAAAGTACAGGATCATCTCGGAGGACGGCTTGTCAGCACGGAGCATGACGAGAGTGATATCTTCGAGTCTGATAAGTTTGCCAGCTCAGATGAAAGCTTTTGTAAACACCAAAGAGACGCTGGAAAGACTCACTTATCGTTACAGACGGCCCCGAGGGCCTTGAACGAACCGCTGCCTTTGCTCGACAGCGCTGACAGGAGCCGCTTGTCACATGTGAGCTCTGGCGCCAGAACGGGGCTTTTGACCAACAGACCCCAGTATTTCATACCGGCACCGGGCCGTCAGCACCTTGCGACCAAACTAAGACGGAAAGATATAAATGAATACTCCAGTGGGGCTTCCAGCTCCATCAGTGAGCTGGACGATGCTGATAAGGAGGTGCGTAATTTAACCGCAAAGTCTTTCCGCAGCCTGGCATGTCCATACTTTGACGCCATCAATCTTAGTACATCCAGTGAATCATCTATTTCGGAATATGGACTGAATAAATGGGCTTTTGTGGATTTGAATTACAAAAACATTTCTCGTGGTAAACAGCACAACATTGTTGCGCATAAGAATACCACACTTGAAATGAACCAAGCTGCACAGAGCAACGTAACAGGCATGGATGGTAAAGAGGCCTTCAGTTCATCAAACAGCGCCATGGCGATTGAGCCAAGGGCTCCAGTCCAGGACAAACAGCATGAAATTATGCTTAATTCCCCTTGTAATGTTGAAACAGGACTGGCTGAAAAGATCAGACGTCCTAAGTCAAGGTGTAACATGGAAAATCGCCACGCGGATGACAGAGATCCTAACAAAAAAGCAATTATTGCGTCAAGCCTCCTGAAAAACGTCATTTCTAAAAAGATGCAATTTGAAAAAGAGCGGAAAATGGAAAGGGGAGAAATCCACGACGCACGCTCTGGTGTGTCCCTGTCTTTCCCTGATGTATTAAAGGTTAGGGATCTGGGGAGGAGCTTGCAAAGACAAACATCTGAGTCAGGATCAGGAGTCACTGTAAACTCAGCAGAAGAGCTTCATTTTGAGAGCAGCAGAGCCAGTTCCTATGAGCCTGCACACCAGAGTAAAAACAGAATAGATCAGGAACCATTTCAAAGTCCCTTTCCAAATGTCAGACACATGCATCATTTGTCGGATCCGGTCAAAGAGACAGAAAAGAGTACCAACAGCACGCTCACTAAACTCCTGTTTGTACCGAGATGTCAGCTCTACACTAAGAACAAAGATTTCTCTCAAGGCATGCCCTCTCAAGCGACTAACAGCACACCTAAACCACACGAGATTAAAATATGCCTCAGAAGTGTGAAAGAAAACACAGGGTGCACATTAAATATTGCTAAACTGTTAACTCCTAAGATTAGCTACAGTGCTGTGAACACACTCAGAACTACAGGCCAGAGGAAATGTCTGCCTACTGGGTCTGCATCAGAAAAGATGCCCAGTTTTACAGTTAGAGATATCCGAGATACTAAATGCAAGTTTCAAACACCGATTTATCAAGTCAGAGATGTGCGTAAACTAGTAAAAAGTTCTTATCGTTTTGTATCATTAAACAGTAGTGAGAATAAAAACCCTGCAGTTGCTACCACAGGAGCAAATAGTGTTGAAATGAATAAGGATACAGTGAAGCAGCCCTTAACGACTCCAATTGTTATTAAGTGTCATTCAGTAAAAACAAACATGGAGAAGAAAAACTGTGAGCTGTCACCGAGAGGGTCTGCAGAAAGTATGTCTTTGTCCAACGTTCAGTCGCATATAGCATCTTCTGAGCCCAATCCTCATCCTGTAGAAGGTCAGTCAACCTCTGACAATAAACTAGTAAAACAGAGGCTAGAAAAGATTTCAGAGGAGTTTACAGATTTGAAAAATGAACCAAGAATACCCAAACAGGCTGCATTAGAGAAGCTTCAAGCTGCAGTGAAGAGTATGGAACAAATGTATGTTTTTGACAAAAATGAGTGGAAACGAAAAAATCAGGCTTTGCACTCAGTAACAAGGAGTCATGTGCAGTCTGTAATCACCAAAGAGGAGCAGGCAGAAGACAGAGATAAGACTCACCAGCTGAAAACAGATCAACCACACGCTAAAGGATATATAAACATCATGCATGTCCCATTTGATAGTGACACATTAACACAAGCCCAGCTAAAAAATGATCGCTGCAGAAGTGTACGGCACCCAGAGCACACCAGTAAATCTCACGTACGAAAAAGCCCAGTCAATAATGCAATCCCACAATGCCCTGCTTCTCTATCATCGACTAAGAAAAGTTCAAAGGCTGTGGCTCCACTTTCATTGAAATTAGATGCACCAAAATGTGGGCAGCCGGACAAAGCAAAGGTCACGTCTAATCCCACAATGGCACAGGCCATCTTGGACTCAGAAAACTATCTAACCATACCTGGACTCACTCCGGACATCAAAGCACTTAGTGGTGAGCCAGGAACTAAGCAGGACAGAATAAACAAACATGAGACATACATAACTACATGTTCAAATCAAAAAAGTTCTCCATTAATGATGCAATACCCATCTACAACTCTCTATCATCACTCCACTGTCGTACCACAGCATGTGCTCTGCTTCTCTCCCTCTGTCCCAACTGTGTCCCCCACACCTTCAGGAGGAGACACTCAGAGGAAGATGCTACTGGACCCTACTACTGGACACTATTACTTAGTGGACACACCTGTACAAGCCACAAAGAGACTTTATGATCCAGACACGGGACAGTTCGTGGATCTACCCGTGTCCCATTCTCCAGTGTCCCCCGTCACATCGGTCACCCCTGTGCCTCTCTCTGTTTCCCCACTGGCATGTGCTCCCACTTACATGATTTACCCAGGATTCATTCCTTCACCCACACTCACTGTGCAGCCATTACTGCCACAGTCTCACTGTCAGTCTGAGGAGGTAGCCCGAGAGAAGTTAAAAGTGAACAGACTCAAAGGCATGTCTTCTCCTGTCATGGCAGAGAAAGTGTACTACAGCGCCTCAGCAGAGACATCGATGAGTGAGCAGCTCCCAGAATCTGTTGGAAATGTGACCGCCCGAGGATCTGTTTCTGACAGAAAACCTGTTGTCAGTATCGCAACGCCACTAGGTCCAAGAATCATTGCCCCTTCTTCCTTTGATGGAACCACCATGAGCTTTGTCGTGGAGCATAGATGACCAAAACTTTCCTGCCCTAGACCTCAGGTAAGCAGATAAAAAAATACTTGGGTAAAGCCTCAAAATAAATAAAGTTGGCCTAGGGGGTTGCTACAGTATTCCACCGTAAGGGGTGAAATTGATCATTATCGTCTTGGTTGAATGTTTCCAAAGTACGGTTTAACTTCCTATGCTGACAGAACTATCAGATGCCCTTCCTTGCCTGTATGCATTTGGATGTATTAAGGTGGGTGACAGATGTGTTCAGTGACGTGTGAGCTGCTGGCTGTGGTGACATGCCAGTGTTAATAGACACACAGGAGGTTCATGACAGGAAACATGACTCCAGTCCACTGCTGTGCTCCCCGGGAGACTGGACTTTCAGCCATGTCCACTTTTTACAGTTCCCTTTTCTATGCATTGCTCACAGTCGGGCTATTTGAATAATGCCAGACAAGATTGTTTACATAGTTTATTTACTATTTTAGTGTATAGTGCCTCACAAGGCGGCATTTGAGTTTGTGAAACATTCAGCTGTTTTCATTGTTTATTGTTGATATTTACACATACATTTATATATATACACATATACATGTGTATATATATATATATACTGTATATATATGAAAAGCCCCAACACTTGGAAATAAACTGGTGAACAGCTACCTTCCACCCCTTAAATCAAATACATGGCTGAACACTCAAAGTGGCTGTTATAGATGTGGAAACTGTACATACTGCGACCATATTCAGCGTACTAATCACTTTATGGAAGTTCCATCTGGACAAACTTTCACCATCAAAACAATCATCAATTGCAATACTACCTTTGTAGTTTATAGACTTGCTTCTATGTAGGCCGTACAAAACGGAAACTGAAAAACAGACTGGCCGAACACAAGCAAGCTATAAGGACAAAAAACCCACAATATCCAATGGCTCTACACTACAGAGACTCCAACCATGGAAGTTGCAGTAGCCTGAAGATCTGTGGCATTGAGCATTTTCCAGAGACAATAAGAGGAGGAAATAGACTCAAGACATTACTTCAAAGAGAGTCCTACTGGATATATACTTTAAAAGCCACTCAATTCCCAGGCTTAAATGGGGAGTTGGACTATTCTCCTTTTCTTTAAGTACTTTTCAAAAAAGACCATTGATTATATTTCTTATATATTGTATTCGTTATAGGTGTGTACATAATATCATGCACTTTGTTTGGGAGTTTCAATATTTTTTCCAGATTTTAAACCTTGTGACTGTAGGCCCGCCCACTGACCATGTGACAAGCACCATTCTCTTTAAATCTGTACTGAGACACTCCTCTCGAGTATGCCCTGAAGAAGGCCAGAAGGCTGAAACGCGTAGGCGTAATTTTAACCTCTTTTTGCCATGTCAAATAAAGGCTTTTAAAGATTTTTGTAACTTTTGAGTGCCTCAGTCTTCTGTCAGAACTGTATATATGTATATATATATGTGTATATGTATGTATGTATGTATACACCAGGACCAGGATCAATCAAGAATTTCAGACAGGACCCCCTAAAAATGAATGACCATTTTTCAATGCTTGCATTTTCACCTCCCTGAAACACCGTTGCTGTGTGAACGACAGGACAATCCGATCGCCACCTCTATTGTTTTACTGTCGCAACGTCTCTGTGTAAACGGGACCTTACATAGTCACATTTGGAGACGTGCTGTATATTTCATCATGATCTGCACACAGTTCTATATTAAAGGTATAGGAGGATTCTCCAGAATTTGGGACTGTACCACCCTCTCCACTTTAAATAATAATGCAAATTTAGTAGTAGGCGTACTAAAATGTGTGCGAGACATATGCACAAGCCTAGTTCTCCTCCTTGCTTTCCAAGATGATTTATACTTTTCCCGGTATGTCAGACAATATCGACCTGGGGTCTCCAACCTTTTTCAGTCAGAAAGCTACTTTTGTACAAAAGAAGAAGCAAAGAGCTACCCCTTTTTTCAGTCGTAATAAAAACCCATCTAATAATTATGACAAACATCGAGAACGCATCTAAAATATATCATAATACTGTATAACCGAATGTTTATAATAGATATGCAATGACTGAAAATGTTTTCATTCATGTGTTAAATTCTAAATCCTTTAGGGATCTACCTGAAAGGGGCTGGTGAGCTACTGGTAGCTCCCAAGCCACAGGTTGGAGACCCCTGATATAGACATAGATAACTTTTACTGGAAGTGATTTGAAATGGATGTCTCCAAATAGAATCATGCTAAACTTTACCTGTCAAATAGAAACTTTGCCCTAACAGGGCCTAACTGCTCTTTTTTGATGAGGACGTATGACGGCCTATAGTCCCAATAGTCTTAATCAGCCACCTGGAAATAGAAAATCCATATACCTTTAATACAATGTGCAGCTCGTAGCTCTGTGGTGCGAGGAGGAGTGTGTCTCTGATCACATACACTTCCCCTCTGACTGGGCGTTACACTGGCTCAGTCGCTCATAACCAGCTACAGCCTCATCTGCGGGTCTCGTCCAGGTCTTACAAGCTTTCAGAGGCCTACGTACTACAGGCACCAAAGGTCAGAAAGGGTTAATATGGACACAAATCTAATCGGGATGCACCTCGGATCAACGATGTCAAACGCCCCCAACTGTTTAATAACAGGCATCAGTATTTCTCTACTACATAATCACATCACAGACAATACTGTTGAATAAAAAAATAAGTGGAAAAATAAAATTGAAAGCCTGCAGTGCAGATCACCCTATTGAATGTATGCCAAAGACCATAAATATAATGAAAATTATGCAAGATATATGCAGTTAAGGCAGGAAATTATTTATCCATTACAAACATAGGGAGGAAATTGTCATAACATTGTATGATGTATTTGCTAGTTTCAATATCCAGTTATACTGTAAATGTGTGTACATCTGCAATTTTAGCAGTTACTGTAAGTTCTATAGGATACATTTTAAGGGGTGCTGATATAATATGGCAGAAACAGTTATGGCATGTATATAAAATGGATGACTTGGAAACAATGCAATTGAACATTTGAATTAGCGTAGTTAAAAGGCTTCTTTAACCAATAATTGAAAGCAGTAGTGAAATATCATAAAATGTGGTAAAATATAGCGGTTTAAAATACATACTCAATATAAACCCACTAGGTCTAACAAAATCAAAACAAAGAGTTGCAACTATTGTTAAAAGCAATATAAGAAAAGATTAAATCCCTGCCCATTTGCATCTTTACAAAAGATGTCTGCCATCATCTCAGCGGCTCGACTTCCTACAGGCCTATGCATGAACACAGCTACGACTACAAAGTACTTCTACAAATGTGTGTTTCCCCCCCTCATTTATATAATGAATGAAAGTATTAGTTTCATGATAACAATTACAAACTTTATTTGATTATTAAAGTCTACCATCTCTTTATTTCATATTCCTTGCCAGTCATACATTTTCATTGTATGTTTGAATACGTAAAAGATTGATATTGAAGAACAAACACAAATATTTGACAATTGTGGGAATTGTACATTTATTTTCTCCATTAAAATGGTCAGTGTAGCACATTGCTACACAGAGTGGCCGACCATTCTCAGGCTGTGTGAGTGTGCAGTAATCCAGTGTTGGTGAGTGGGGCATGTTAGCTGGGTGCGTGGCAGACAGAGGCCTCACATGGGCTGCAGTGGTGTGAAGTGGGACAGGGGGAGGCACAAGGTGTTTGTGGTTGGGGGCGCGGGGGCATGGCTGGGATAGTGATGTGAGAGGAAAAGGTCAGGCAATGTAAAGTATTTGTTGTGCTGATGCAGGGAGAGGACAGCTGCTCAGACAGATCAGATGCAGTTCCAGCTCCAAGCGCGTCTAAGGCTGGGATGGGGTCAACTTTTTATAGCCCCCTCCCCCTACTTTTTTTCCTAAACTGGCACTGCCACCCAGAGCACTGCGCACGTATGCTACACAAACAAATCAAAAACATGATCTTACAGGAACAATGAATACTTGAAGTCTGGCTGCTTTCATGGTATCACTACAAATAAAATGTTTCACTCTTTTTTCTCTTGCAGACATCATTTTTGAGGATCTCTTCAATTTCCTTGGATGTAGAAGCAGTTTGGAGCCCTCTCATTGTACAGCACATTTAGTAGTTCTGACGGTCTCAGCTGTGACAATACCTGTTTTTGCCATAGCACTTTGTAGGTTGTCAGCCAGGGGCCAGAGCTGATACTGGACACTTTCTTTATATTCTGGCCTTATGATACTTTCCATTCATCTGCTGCTTGGATTAATAGTAGTAGAAATGTTGTTTTGTGCAATTCAAAAGGAAACAAGACACTTGTAATACCTATGTGAAATGTAACTGTTAATGTACAGTACATGGTTTGTACATTACCCAGCCTGTAAGTAAGCTAGTGCAGTTTGACTGTCTGAGAAATGTGTCTATAGAAATAATAAAAGTATTTTTGTCTAAATTAGTGCAGACCTTTGGTGGTGCAACCTTTCTTGGTTCGGTATGAACTCAAGAGCTATTCTTAGCAATTGCTTGAGCCTTCACCTATGGTCATCAGTTGTTAATTTTTCGGTAGATCAGGGGTATCAATGACTGCAACATTTTGCTGTTGAAGTCATACAAAGGGTTATGCAAAAATAACTTTGGCTTTATGAAAATCAGAATCAATACTGTACGCAGTTTTGATACCACTGGGACCATTTATTTGCACAGGTGTGGTGTTAGACGCATAGTGACACACGGTTCTCATTATGGACCTGTGTGGTTCAGTATAAGTAATCATGGTTTGTCCTCTTTTATTCCCACAACATGTTGATAATGAGGCTGCATCTGTAGCAAGTGTGATGGTGTATGTGTGTGCACACTCCTGGTATGTTAGGAGAGTTAGGAGCTGGACTCTTGAGCTATGTACTTAGATCAGTATATCTAAGTAGTAATGTGGCTAATGAGAGGCTGCCAGCTGAGACATTTAGGGGATAACTTCCTCTATTAGTGTTGGTTTAATTTACACTTTTAGTGTAATGGCACAGGAGTTGGTGCGTGTAATGTTTGAATGTATCCGTGTTTATGGCATTGAGTTATGCCAAGCATTTCAACATTCTGTGAGCGTACAACAGGGAGTCATGTTACTTACTGTGCCTACGCGGGCGACATGTGTTGCGTGTGGCTTTACATTTAGCACCATAGCAGCGTTACTGATTATGTCTAAATAATAAAACCCCTCATCTTTGCTTTGTGTGTGGCTGTAAAAGTACCCATTAACATGACTAACTCATTACTGTCATTATCTGGAGGTAATACTTGTCCCTTGTTTCCTTTTGAAGCTGCACTAAAGCACAAGTCATTTGTTTTTGACTCATTAATACCAGCGCCCATCATGGGATCTCTGTGCTGCTGTGTTAGCATGTGTCAGACTAAACACTTGAAGGTATTTGGAGCTGCAGGCCAGTCCAAATACCTTATTTATTTATGCACATGTTATTTATCTGCTGTTACAGACAACAATACACTGTTATATTGTAACAATGTAAGTCGGAGAGATGGATTAAACATACTGTAATTTACTCAATGTTGGGAGAAAAACTTGAAATTGCAACATTTAATGCATCTGAAAAAATACTACAATGTATGTAATTGAATTATTTACCATTATTTACCACCATAATTAAACCATCTCCATTACAGATGGTTTAATTATGAAACATTTTGATTCATTTACATTATCATATAATTAATAATTTTATGAAACTTTTATTTCAGTTTCCTTCAAACAAAGGAAACAGCCTTTCTAAACAGAAAAGGCACATTGACTGTATGTGCCTTAAAACTAGTAAACCTGGGCCATTGTTGTCCTGACGATCTGGTGAATTTTGGCGCAACTTTAAAAACACAAATTGTCCCATTGAAAAAAACTATTGACACCAAGGAATACTTGGATTAGAATATAAAGCTTGCAAATATTCAAAGAGTGTTAGTGAAAGTGAGATGGTCTGAGTCAAGTGCATCTGTAAGTGATTGGGAGTAGCCTTTGTGTTATGATGGAACAGTCATGGGGTAAAATCTTGAGTGTCCGGCTGCCCTTGAAAAGAGAGTAATGGGAAAGAAATGGTGTGTGCACGTCGTCACATGCTTTGAAGTAAGGGGAATGATGAATGGATGTAATGTAGACTGACAAGCCAAAAGGCTGCAATAAATGTATGATGCAAGCAACTCAATTTTCTTTTTGGTTTTATTTATCTTATAGTTCAGATGCACACAATTCTCAGATTGAATGAAAAAAGAAGACATGGTCATGTCAACAACAACAACCACAAAACAGTTAAATTCATTTCCCAACCAATTAACTTCCTTCAGCACCACATAGTTAAAAATCCATTGTGCATACAGCATGGCTCCAAGGCCAGCTTTATGCTCATACAGCATGGAACAGCAGCTCTCAACATGTTTTTCACATTAACCCTAAATTTAACAACTTTGTCTCATCTGAAAAATAAATACACAGGGCAAATGGAAATCAAACAGATATATGCCAACAGAAGTGCACATTTGGCATGTGCTAGTGTGCGAGGTTAGCTTTCTGGTGACACTGAAACACCACCCGGGCTTAAGTTTACCCTGACAGTTTGCGGCGCTGTTGACTGGGTTGCCGTGGCAGCGCGAGACTGGCAGACACTGGTTTGCCCCCAGCTGCTCTCTGTGGTTTCTGAAGAATCTGCATCGAGAGCCAGTTGTTATGTTCTGATGATGTCACAGCCACGACACAAGACCAAGTGCAGTGAGCTTAGCACTTCTACAACTATTATCACTTCCAAAACATGTCTAAAACAAAAACAATGTCCAAAAGGCAATAGCTACCAGTGAGTACTATTTTTCTTTGTCTCAGTTAGGTACATAGGGGTCTGTCTTTGGTCAAATAATCGGTGGATGGCATCCAAGTTGACCAAAATGTTTGGATGTTTTGGTCGAATGTTTATATTTATTTATTCCTCAATTGTTCTGGTGTTGACCTGCTTTATGTGAAGTGGTCAAATACCCGCTTCTTGTCATTAAGTATCAGTGAACTTTTTGTTTGAACTTGTTTACAACCATCAATGTGTAGATATTTTTGATTCATTTTTACCGAAAGTTCACTCATAAGTAACAGACGACTGTGAAGTGAAAACAAAATTATACATGTTTAGTAGGGTATGCACAAGTAATCATAGAGCAAAAATAATTTTAACTTTAACAAAAGTTAAAATTCGGTCTCATTTGACCACATGTTGAATGTTTCAACACTGACTTGCTATTTACCACTCGTCCATTAAGTGTTTGACTAGTATTTTCCCTCATGTATAGCTGTCGTGTATAGTTGATGTCTGCAGCTCCTCCAGAGTAACCACTGGCCTCTTACATCTGTGATTAGTGTTGTCCTTGTTGGAGCTTTGAGTTGGGGCAGACAGCTGGGTCTTGGTAGATTTGTAGGATTAGCTAAACATGCTTCAAACGTCTCCACAACTTCATCCCTGACCTCTCTGGTGCTGTGCTCCTTGGACTTCGAAATGAGAGCCTCACAGAATAGCCGTAATTATACTAATAATTATTTGACAGTGGTGACGAAACATAATTATGTCTAAAATACAGCCATCATGATGCATGATATGTTTTTTGAATATTGTCCCCACTTTTAGACACCTTTGTGATAAAATTATTAGATCTTAGTTGACTCGTCTTCAGGAATGTTTTAAAGGCAATTTAATGCACTCAGAAAAATGCTGAATGATTACTTGTGCAGGCCACACTTTTAACTTATTGGTTTTTGAAATGATAATTCAAATAATTCTTAATACTTTGTTATGTTTATGGTTGTAAATATGACAGAATAGGCAAAGAGGCTAGGTCTATTTGTTTTTTGAGAGGAACCTTGTTTTCTCTTCTTGTAATGTTGCTTAGTTTGGTTTAAAACATGTACATTCCTTTCCATGGATGATATTAGTACTAAAAAGACTCGTTAACAAGCTTTTTTCAATGTAAAAGGAAAGTTTAATGACAAACTGCATGATTATCCAGGGGAAACCAAAGCAAAAAGCAGGCCTGCCACCAGGACAGTTGAGGAATTAGTGGTGAAAAATACAACTTAAAACAAAGTATGGACCACATTAGCTGAAGATTTGGTATTCATTTTGGCTTTAAAGCAGGAAAACTCTTGATTCACAATTTTTAAGAGTCATTTTTTCCAGTGCTTTAGTTGTTTGCATAACTGAAATCTAGTAAGTCGATCAGCTGCATAACCATTAAAATATTTGAGAGCTTTTGTAACACCCCCCTTTTAGTTGAGCAACCGATCCACCAGGGAAGTCTTCAGTTGAGCATTTCATGGTTTCTTCCTGAGTATTTAATATCCAATTGTACGCCCATCAATAATGATACGTATACAGAATTGTAAATAATAAGTATTATTCATACAACATTTAGTTTGACTTCAGTGCACATTATTATCAGCCAGTTTCAAATTCTTTTAACATAAGCTAACAATAAAAGTTAGTAGTATTCAAATCTCTGCGAATAACAGCTAAAAAAAGAGTTCAAGAGAAATTTCTATGTCTTACATCAAAAATATTTCCTCGTTACATGGACTTGGATGTTAAGATAATGTGATTTATTTTCCTATCCCCCCAACTAAACACGGAAGGCACTGCTCACTCATAAATACACAAAACATAAAACATTGTAATAATTCCTAATAGATCCCGCCAAGAATGTAAACGTTGCTTGTGTAAAAATAAAAATAAAAACATTCACTATTTCATTGGGTGTTGAGGTGTGAGAGTTGTGGTTCAGTGGTTCTCTACCAGCCGGAGTCGAACACCTTCTTGCACATGTTTGAGTTTTCCTGATGCAAAGGGAACTCCGATCCAGGTACAATGTGCTTCTGGCTTCTCTGCATTAAAGTGTTTTTCCCTGATGGTAAACTGTCATATCTGGCCACATGCTCACTAAAAACAACAGGAAATAGGTATTAGCTAAACATTATTCAGCAATTATCACATTTTCTTTGATTGTACCTGATTGGAAACGTGGCTTTGTCCATCTGTATGCAGATCAGGAAGGGATACTCGGAAAACTGAACAGTGGTGATGAAGTCCAAAGATGCCTCTGTGTCGAAGCTGACTTCAACTCCCGTTTTTAAGAAGTCCATGTCCACAGTGACATTTCCAGACATGACCAATGCTCCCCTGAAACCACAGTTGTGTTAGAAAAAGGTTCAGCTATTGTGCCCATACAAGTGACCTGTCCTGCTCCAGCCCCAGCGGCTGCACTGCCTCTGCTGCAGTGACGTGAAGTCCTGTTTCTTATTATTACTATTACTATTCTTTTTAGAATTCTCAATTTATTGGTTTTGTTTGTGGATTGGACACCTGAATTTCTCCTACAGGGATCAATAAAGTATCTATCTATCCATCTTAAAGTTAATTTATCTTAGAAATGTCTTTTATTTAATACCACTTTGATAACATTGATTAGTCTGATCTAAAATATATATGAAATCAAACATTTTCAAATGTGTAGAAATGTGCTGTAGCCCCACTGTCTACAAGAACTGTTGTGTGTGGAGGTACAAATGCAGAAAATATCATATTTCTGTTTAAACCCAGTTTCATCACCAGATGCTTTGAGATATCTGATATCCTTAGGATGACGTGCTGCTTTTTCAGCAGCTACATTTGTGTATTCGACATAAAGGTTTAAAATAGAAGACCAGACAGGACTGATGTCATATTCACTCAAACATAGCATTGAGGGGGGCCTTAAGCGCAGGCCTGGAGTGTGTCCAGCATGCCACTGGAACAAATGAATCAGACAATACTTATAGGTCTCTGAAGTTCACATAAACCCAGCATCAACACATGTCTATTTGTGGTTGAGTGACAGACATGGAGCTGCTCTTACTTTCTACACACCGCTTTATAAGAAAACTATGAAGCATACCTCACGTTACGAAAGGAAAGCACTATATAATTATAGTGTATACTTCAGCTTGATAAAGTTAAACTCACATGGCTTTATGATGCAAGACAAATTGAGCCAGCCACAGACACAAGGATAATGAGATTTAGCAAGGGTAATAAAAAAGGGACAGCAGACACTTGAAACTGAAATTGAGCAAGTGTGAGTTCTTGCTGTGTACCTGTTGTTGACACTGGTCTTGGACTCTCTGTACCAAAGACTGACTTCCATTCCTCCAGAAATGTCAATAGACAGTCCACCCTGGAACTCTGCGCTGGCTTTCAGACCAGACTGCAGCTGGATCACCTTGCAGAGGTAAAGAACAAGATGACTTTCATTCTTTCAATCTTTCAATGCATGCTACAAATAGCGTGAGATAAGTTTATATGTAACATTTGCAGGTGACCAAACTCTCCACTAGAAAACAGTTCAGGGCACTGTAAAGCTGGGGTAGCTAACTTTCAACCTGCATAATGGGAAATATGTAATATATGCATTAGTACAGTTCCTCTCTCTTAAAAGAACTTGGCTCTATCACTTGTTTTCACATGCATGTGTGTTTGGCTTCACACATATCAGCAAAGTGAAAAGGAGAGGACAAGCCTCACTCAGCTCTCAGCCCAAAGCATCAAATAGAGACTTACATGGCTTTTTTTCAAAAGATGAAGACAACATTTAGATATTTATATAAAAGAAAAGTTATGTACCTCAGCTTTATTGTTATATTGTTTAGTCCACATACATTATCAAAAGATGATTTGTTACACACCAGCATCTAAATGATGTGTTTAATAAATGAATATCATTGTGATGTATCATATTCTGCACTTACCTCTGAGTGATCCGACAGCAGGATGAGGCCCTTGACCACACTGAGCGGATCCCCGGATAGAGAGAACATTTTGGACATGAGGTCGCTGTACCCTTTGAAGAAGTTGACCGGTCGAAGCTGCACATCGAACAGCAGTGCGGACATCCCAGAGAAGGACTCCAGGTTCTCCTCTCCCTCGTCTGGGGTCGCAGCGATCAGAGACTCCAGCCCCTGGGCTTCAATAGCCACCTGAGAAGGCCATATTATTCAACTATATTGGAATAGTTTATGTGTAGGTTTTGGTCATAATGTAGAATTCTACTTCATTTGGAGGGCAGGTGCCAAGACAACAGGAAAGAAGTAATCTTTGAGGTGATTGTAATCGCAAAACTGTCATATACTTCTTACATGCCCAACATCATGCATGATATACTGTATGTATGTTTTTTTTTTTTTTTATATATTGTCACTACTTATAGACAACTTTATGATGAAATAATTACCATTGTCCCCATAGCTGATATAAACTGACAAAGATGGGACATGCCCAGGAATGAGAGAAATTAGCTTTAAACAAAAACTAGAAGTTTTGACTTCTACCACAGTAAGATGTCCTGCCATCTTAACTATAGAATTGTTGTAATATTGTGACTGTAACTGAGATTTGATGTACATTCTTGCCATGTAAACACCAACAATATGGTGAATATTGCTGTGACAATACATTTTAAAAATTTCTATTTTATCAATGATGTTTTTACTCCACATGTTTTATGGGATAGTTTTGCTATTATCGTGGTTGATGTCTTATCCATACATCTATACTTTCACTGACGTATCTAAGACTAGTACTTTGGCCGCCTATGTACAAACACACGCTAAAATGTGACTTCCAGGAAAAGTCGTCAGTGTTCTGCCATAATAAAAGTGCACACCTGTAAGCCATGCAGAACAGCGCCTTCACTTGCACCAAACATGTTCATGTTGCTCCTTCTCAGAATTCCTGACCCAGAATACAAAATGTCCAAACTGTACGTGGAGGTGACGTCAGCGGACCCTATAGGAAATACCTTACATAGTTAACGAATACCTAAAAATGTATGTTATCTAATTGCAACAACCGTAAACAATTACTTACGTGCCATGAATCCAGAGAAAGAAGAGGATGAGCCAACTTTTGAGAAGCGATCGTAGTTGTTGACAATCATGTCCTTCATTGCCACCTGTAAGGTTTTGCTAAAAAAAAATTACACTTATTACACTTTTGCCTTTTAAAATAACAATATATCCTCATACCTGGCAGGCAACTGGAAGCGCAGAATGTCCTGGATTTTTGAGAGCATGTATTTATTCATTTCATGAGGTAGATGACCGATAGACAGCAGCAAATTTTTGACCTCCATCAATGAAGGTTTACTACTCAGGATCACATCAGCCGCCGCAGCTCTCACATTTTTCTCATAGATACGCTTGTTCTGATGAAAAACTCTGTTCACTGTATGCTTGACCTATATTTGGACACAAGGGAAAACAAAATAAAACAAAATATAGCTTTGAACATGAGGGGGAAGTATGTGTATTAGGTGTACCTCTTCTGTCATGAGTTTGCTGTCATATCTCTGCAGGGCTGTAAGCGCAATCGTGTTGAAAGCCCCAAGATCGGCCTCTGCATATTTAACAAAAATGGGAATGGCTTCTGGGAGCATGGCGTTTTTCAGAGCCAGAAGAAACATCTGGACCTGGGACTCCTCTTGAGTGCTTTCTGGACCCTTTAAAATCATGTTTTTAACTTCCACAACAGTCTGCAAACGAACAGCACAACTGAATCAAAATAACGTTTATCAAAGACACTGATGTGAGATTTTATGGGCTTTATGCTTACGGGTAAGTTACATCCACCTTTCATACACAGTTTGTTGACCAGTGCGCCCATAATGATTACAACAGACTCTTTGATGTCGTTATTGCCAATTTTTCCTTTGGAGATGTCCTTAAAAAAAGAGAGAGAGAGAGAGATGGTGATTCTCAGTGGTTATCAGTTATACAAAGTACCCTCTAAGGGACCATTATGCCCCCCAATATTTGGCCGTCCGAGTAGCAGGACATTAAACCAAGTCAAAAATAGGACGGCTCTCGGTCAAAATTGGAGGTAATCAGGTTTTAAATATAGTGACAGTAGCTCAGTTGGTAGAGCATTGGCCTTTGGGCCTGAAGGTCATGGGTTTGATTCCCCCACATGACCCACTCCAATTGCCCCCACTAATGTCTACTGCCATTGTGTCCTTGGGCAAGACACTTAACCCCACGATGCCTGAAGCCACCACTGAAAGACCAAGGCTCTGTCTTTGTTGATGCAGCAGCCATCTTCCTGTGGACTCACCACCTGCAGAGGATCAGCGAGGGACTGGTGCTATGAGCATTTGGGTTGCTGCTCTCATTGCCAACCCCCCCACCCAGAATTAAAACTAGGGGTAGAAAATGAATGAATATATGTTTTCTGCCTTGCTAACCCAACATTTCCAAACTTCAGTCCCATCAATATAAGCTTGCTGTACTTCAGTTGTACTTTGTTCAAAATAATTGACCATATAACCATGTAGTATTACTTAAAGTATTTTTCAAAAACAATATATTCATTTTAGTTCCTCTCCTTGGCATCAGCAAGATCATTCAACTAACTTCAGCTCAGTGAAGTGTGCTTCAATAGGGACATGTCATTCCTAATTTTAATGCTAATTTACATGAGCCTCAAAAGTGAAAATGAGCTTAAAGCTTTTAGATTCTTTCAGCTTTAAAATGAGCTTTAAAAGTAAAACCAAAAGGCCCTTTTACAATCAAATGTTGGCACCCCGTTGTACTGATTGATAAAAATATAGACATTCTCACTGTATAAAATAAGCCACATTGTAAGCCTGTATTTCTGTATGCCACAACTAACACAAACATTTAAAATACAAATGTAACGGAACTAACCAGCAGAGCCTTGAGCATCCTCTCATTTGGATGTGAAGCAAAGCCACACGCATAGAGAAAGCGTTCTTGAAGAACAAAAGCTTTGGCGTCTGTGAAGTTCAGAAACTCCAGCATGGCGTCCAGAGAGGCGTGTGTCTGGGAGGACGTCACAGCATCGACTACCTGCGGTCTGGACGATGAAAGAACATTAGGCAATATACTACTACTAATAATAAGACTCATGAGAAGGAAGCTTTAATGTGGGGGCACTCACAGGGCTGTCTTGCTGGCACTCTTGAGCACTTTGAGGATCTCGTCCTTGGATGCCTTTCGAATGCTCTGGATCAGGGCCAGAAAGCTGCGTGGAGCTGAGACTTTAGACAGGCTGTGCGGCTCCAGCAGACTCTGGAGGGACTGCCAGTGCTCAAACAGCTGGGGGCACAACACCAATCTCATTCTTTTCATTTTACAATTTCAATGCAAATAACAACAGGCAATTAAACTGACCATTTTATAAGTTTTAAATGAATGTTGAACATAATTGTATTCAAATGCAATTATTTGCGTTCATGTGACATCACAATATTCCAAAGGGCTTATAGTTTAAAAATGTGTTTGAGGGGAATTATGGTAAATGTCGGGGCTTATTTTACAGCATTGTGATTCCTATAATTTACACTTTGTCAGTACATATCAAGTATGGTCTAATAATTTATTGGTTACAATATTAAAAAACATATGAATGATTTTGGCCAGTAGAAAGGACTTTCAGACATAATAACAATATTTATAGTATAATTATTATTCAGCAGATTTGTGAATCTAATTACTAACAAATAATGATCTGGGAAAACATTTGCACATTTTCTTTCAGAATTCACTTCAGAGTTGTTTTGCACCTGCCCACCAATTAAAGCAGATTTTTTGTATATGAACTATTCTGCTAGTGAGCCAGCGATTGCTTTTTTGTTATAAATATGAAAAATATTATCATTGTCATTTTTGTTGTCATTAGTGATTTGTGACACTTGAGACATCCTCATTGAAATGTAACTGTTTTCATAATCCGTGATTTTAAGAAATTGTATGTGACTGTTTTTATAATATACATATAGTAAGTAAGTAAGTAAGTAAGTAAGCTTTATTTATATACCGCCTTTCACAGACCAGAGTCACAAAGCGGTTTACAATTGTTATTTTTTGGGCACTTGTCCTCTCACTCCACACAGAGATGGGAGCGGGGTCGCCGAACAGGAGGCGCATGCCAGACCTATTGTACATATTTTTAGTGGTAGGGGAAACCGGAGTACCCGGAGGAAACCTACGCAGACACGGGGAGAACATGCAAACTCCACTCAGAAAGGCCCTGGTCCGGCCGGGATTCGAACCCAGGACCTTCTTGCTGAGAGGCGGGAGTGCTATCCACTCAGCCACCGTGCCACCGTATTATACACAGAAGCTCAGTTGGTAGAGCATTGGCTTTTGGGCCTGAAGGTCGTGGGTTTGAGCCCACCATAAGACCTACTTCACGACTCCCACTGATGACTGCTGTTGTTGTGTCCTTGGGCAAGACATTTAACCCCACTTTGCCTGAAGCCCCCACGGAAAAATTCAGCTCCTGTGGACTCACCACCTGCAGGAGGATCAGTGAGGGGCTGGTGCTAAGTTTACATGGGTGCAGCTCTGACTGCCACCCCCCCGACCCAGAAATGGATTAAGGGGAAGAAAATGGATGGATGGATGTTTTTATAATATATAGTATGTAATTGTTTTATAATCTGAAATTTATGTAACTGAGTGTATGTAATTTTTGTCCAGGACTCCCTTGAAAAGGAGGTTCTTAATCTCAATGGGACTTTCCTGGTTAAATAAAGGCAAAATAAAAAATATATTTTTTTAAATGACATATTACCCTGTTGCTGGCTGGCAATAACTCCTGTAATGTAGTTTGTAAGTAAATTGTTCCCAAAACATTTAATTCTAAGTTTTTTTTTTACAGTGATGACGTCATACAACATTTGTTTGTTTTGATTTTACCCGTTTTTGAAACATTTTTCATAAATTGCTCCATAAATCGCTGTTGTATGTTATATAGCAGGTAAAACTGGAGCTATGTATTGTATGGGCCTGAGATCTGAACTCCATTAAAGGTGCTTTCTCTCCAAATAAAGTAAAAATTACAAAACCTTCCCCATGCACTTAAAAACTATACATATAGTAGTAGTAGTAGTAGTAGTAGTAGTAGTAGTATTTGGAGCCCAAATAGAATTGGGCACTTACCGTTGGACAGCCCTTGCACTGGGATTTGACCTTCTCAGCTATGATACCAACAGCTGCAAGTTTGGCATCAATGGTTTTCACAACACTCGTCACATCTTTTCCAGCGGCCTCGAGCGGTCCCTCCTCTGTTCCCACCAGACTGAACGTTTGTCTGAAGGCATAATAATCAGGTTTAAAGTCTTTAAAGCCGCTTGAAATCGTTCACTGATTTAATTACCTGGACACGACTTTAGCACCAGTGGATTTGTGGGAATTCACAGACAGGCTGTGCACTTCTTCCGCCGCAACCGAGCGAAGAAACCCGTCTTCAATGGTGAAACTTGTAACAGAACTGGCCTTCTTACTCACCCCCAGCACCTAGTCAATAGCAGCATAATGCATTTATACTGTAAGAATGCTGACATTGTGTACCAACTGAGTGCGTGTGCGTGAGTGAGTGAGTGAGTATTGTATGTACAGATTATTTATATGTTTTTGATTTCTACTGCATTATATTGTTGTAGCAGTATATTGTGTGGCCTGTAATTTGCTTCATCCAACTCTTTTTCTAACCATTTACTTATTTGTCCGTTACATTGATAAATGTGAAAATATGTGTGGAATAAATTATTAAATACAAAAAAACAACTCACTTTACTAGGAGTGGTGAATCCCGTCTCTGGAGTCTTGCATGAGTCTAGGATTTTGGTTCTTATCACTTGGTTTTTCTCTGCTTTGTACAGAACAGTGCATCTTCCGGACACATCATTCTGTAATCATTCAGAATATTATATATTTTAACCACACTAGATAATAGTTTAGTAGTTTAAATGAAAAATAATAGCCTGACTTTCTTACCTCTATAACTTTCCCAGAGTGAAGCTGCACTTGGAGAAGGCTAGCCACGCCGCGCTTTATATTCTTGATAATAGCAGGTTCGGCCCAGTAAGAGTAGAATGCCTTTGTCTGCAAGCAATATTATACATACATTTCAATAATAACACATTTAGAATGATTATTAAGAGATGTTCAATTGTCACCAGGGGGGAAATTTCAGTGTTGCATCACAAGTTATAGAACAGTAGGAATGAGGAGCATACAGCACAAGATGAATGAATGTCTCTATAATAAAATAAAATAAAATCTCTAACTCTAGCATAAAAAGAAGCAGTGTAAAATCTCTATCTTTAGCCTAATAAGGAAAGAAGTCTATATTTTCTAACTTCAGTATGATGAAGAAACAAGATTTAAGTACGAAACCCCCTGACGTTTAGCAGAAAATGAACAGTGGTCAATCATTTTACACTAAAAGCTGGGGTACCTGATGGTGTTGTTATCATTTAGAATGTCCATTGTCTTTGTCCGGACTCTGACCTTTATGAATTGGACTTAGGACAAACACAAAACATATTGCTCAAGAGATCTATCTTAAATGTAATGGTGAACCTCTGTCATATCAATACTGTTTGGATTAATGAGTCTTTGAAATGACACACATTGTCCTGTTCAAAAAGCTCTGTAAACTCATATTCTGTCTGAAAATCTATAAATTAAACCTGCAGGCCAATTTGCGCTGCCTGCGTCTCATTTTTCCGACATTGGCCCGAACATAAAGAGTCTTATTCAAGTTTTACTCTGTCAACAAATCCGACCACAACATTATTAAATAACATGTTGTCTTTTACATACTTATAAGAAAGGGCCTTGTGAGTCACTGTGGAGCACGGCTGAGAGCTGATTGGCTGAGTGAGGGAGGTACTCTCTGGTTCCACTTTTCAGTCTTAAAAGGCTGATCTAAAGATGTGATGGAGGCTGAACTGTTTTAGAGCCAGGAACTAGTTACATGACTTTTGTCATCATTCACTTTGATGTGGTTTTAAAGTTAGATATCCCATCTTTAAACTGTACATCAAGCCATAATATATATCATTATTATCACAGGTGTTTACATCATTCGACAACTTCTCTTCAACACTATGTGATTTATTCGCAGCAGCCAACCACAATATCAAATAGGACCACTGTAAATAGATTGTGCAGTGCTACTTTGTATATTTTCCTTCCTCAGCTGTCAGCATTATAAATAAATGAACAACACCAGGGAGGTATATTATTTCACACATACTTTTAGTCAGTAACTGTATCATGCTTGAATGATAAGACTAAAACTTTCCAATGCTTGAATGATGAGTCTAAAACTCTCCAAAACGAGCCCCACTGATGTGATCATCAGGTTTCAGACAACAACCTCAGCACAGTTAAAAACCTGATAGAAATACTACTACAACAGAAATGTAAGTACTGCACTGGGTCCTCCAGCTCTGCATACATAATGTACTAATGCACCATCCAACAAGAGCAGACTGTTTTTTTCCTTACCTTTCCATGTTTCAGGTGCAACAGAAATGGTTTTGTCAGAGCTGAAAATGAGCGCTTCCCAAAGAGACTTTCAGCTGTGGACCCTTCGATGATGTTTTTCCTGGTTGAACTTTGGGACACATGCTCCACTCGAACATTTGAAATCTGCTCAAAAGAAAGTTTAATGTCAAGCCATATTAGTTTAAACAGATCGAATGCAGGTTTATCATGTGCTAATAAAATCACATACTGCTAATTGTATGAGCTGATTGTCCTTGCTGCTGGGGTCTCTCCACACCAGATGTAAGTGGACGTCTGAGGAAAGTCTGTAGCCAGAGCTGCTCCGCGGGGACCCCCGGGCCCTGTCCACTCGCACCTCTGTGCTGTAGCGCCATTTATACAGCTGGTTATTATTGAGCCGAGGGCCAATGCCAGCACCTGGAGAAACAAAATCAGTGAGTTCCTATTGTGAGAAAACAATTTATATGTTTGGTGAGTGGATAATAAATAAACAAGCAATAACATGTGGGGGTCACTTTGGGCCTACACTGGAGCGCTCCAACAAACGTGTGTAACATGTAAGTGGCATATGACCTGGGTGTGTCTACAGATAAAGGGTGCACTAATGACTGGGTTTCAAATAGTGAAGAGTGACGTGTCACTTTGACTGTGATCTCATCAACATCCAATCTTATAGTTTAATTTCAATTAAACTTGAATTGTTTAATCAACATTTTTATTAATAAGAGAAATGTAATTTTAGTCATGCCTTGCTTATGGGGCAACTAAAGTCGATAACACACAGTATATGTAGTAGTAGTAGTAGTATATTTTCATGGGACATTGCAGAGGGCTATTTACCATTTAATAGAAACATCTATTTAATCCAAAACCTAAAGAATGACGTCTGAATAGACCGAATGGCGTCATTTGTAGTGATAAATCTACTGAACAGAAAACGGTTTGTGAAGTATCAACAGAGCCTGGGGAGTCATTTGGCCCCTGGACCCTGAACTCACCTGCAGCAGCTGCAGAGAGCGCGCAGAGCAAAACCATCCAAGCGAACATCATGCGTCCCCGTTGAGGCCGTGAAAACCCGGTCAAAGAGCTCCGGTCTGTGGCTCTGAAGGGCCGAACACAGGGGGAACAACAGCCGCTTTTGACAGGAGGGCAGACTCCAAACTCCACGCACAAGTACTAAGTACGAGATAATGGCAAATGATTAACCACAGCAGCACAGATTTGTCAGGAACCTTTGATGAGTCGGACAGGAGCCCTTTAAAAGCGGGGCCAAACCACGTGGTTGTCTCATCAATGATATAGGATTAACACGTTTTGATTGAATTAATCAAAAGATGTGGCTCCGGCGGGAACGTGTCATTTATTAGAACAGAAAACTGAGAAAGAAGAAAAAAGAAGGATTACCGTTTGTTAGCGCATCCCCCTCTGTGCCCTCTCCTGAGAACAGCAGCTGCTCTGTGCCTGGGCCTGGGCCTGGAGCTGGAGCTGGAGCTGCTCTTGGCCCCACATGAGGAGCCTGCGGGGTGTGTGGATCCAGAAGGCCAGTATGACCTGCTCTGACACCGAGGCGTGCAGAGCACTCACTCTTTCAGTGTCTCAATAAGAAAAGACATGTCGTGCACACTTTAATGACTTACATAATTGGTTTCTTAACTTTTGAAATCAGAAAAGCTTGATCAAATAGTTACTCATAATCTTGTTTCATGGAACATTTTGAGGACTCCTCTGAAACATGTGTACTTCCATCATACTAATGCACATGTATGAATATTTAATGGAGAAATTCTCTATTAAACTATATTTTGTGACACATTCAGTAGTTTCCAGTATAACTGTCCATCATCATTCATGACACATGCATAGTCCATTTGTATCAGAAAACATTGCAGTGATTGAAATGTGATCATATTTTATCTTTATTTTTCAATGCAATCGCAAAAAAACGTGGCTGTTGCCTTCTGAACTAAGGAACATGCTGATAACCTTCATTTCATTTTAATGAAGCATTAATACCACACCACATTATGAAGAGTCAGATGGAATCACATGGCATAAAAGAACACCATGCCCATTCTTATTTAAACTAATGGCTATGATATAACATTGTTTTTTTGTCACTGCTCAGCAACTGACGACGTTTCGCTTCATTTGGATGTGAAATCCAGATCCTGTCAAGCCTCTGAATCTAAGCAGGATCTGATTAGTACTGATGAAATATCTCTGTGGACCACAGTAAGACGGCTGTAAAGGACCAAACGTCCTGTCTTTAGGCATTGCCAAGAATGAGTCTGAAGTGTGTAAATGGTCGGAGGTGCCGATGGCACATACTGGTTGACTCCCTTCTGCCAGTATGACCCAGGGCAGCTGTGGCTACAGTAGGAGTTTATCAGAGTGAAAGAACGACATGTGAAAAGTGTCCGAAAAGTGCAATATAAAGCTGATGCATTATTAACGATAAAACAAAAATATAGACCCATTAACAAAGATGCACTTTTATTGACTCACATATTTACAACTGCTCACAATCATAATATTTATATGCATGAAAACAAAATAAATTGAAAACACTGCATTGCACAAACTGGTGATGAGAAGGATCCAGGACAAAAATGAATCATCCTAAATGGGCAAAAGCCATTGATGCTGTATGTCTGATTTGTCTTTCGAAAGCTGGTGGTAAAAGAACTGAAGCCAGCAAACTTGCTCCAGATGTGCCATTGTCTTTCAAACTGTAGGTTCTGCATATTGACAAATGTCAATATAGAAATCTAGCCAAACCTTTATGTTTGTGACGTCAGAGTACACATTGAAATACATCCATGTAGTTTTCCACATGAAAATAATAAAGTATACATCTTTAGTTAAGGGTAACAGTGACATTAATAAACACAAGTGAAAACTGTGCAAATATAACCGCAGTTACTGAAGCGACCATGGGGAAATACTCAAAGCTTTGAAACGGCTCCCTCCAGTGACGGCCTGTAGAACTATCAATGAACTAGAACTGGTCGTAAAGTGCATTTATTCATTCATTATTTATAATATTTAATACATTATAATAATGCACATCTGTTGACATTTTTTATCTAAATCTATTGTTTTGCAATATGTTACTTAATTTTAAATATATGTATAAAGAACTATTTCTTTAAAACACTAGTCCTGTTGGGATAGACCCAAGGCATGCAGTGCATCGTTAGGCCCACTATATCTGTGTACACAACCCTTACATGCAGTAATCAAAACTGCAATTGTGTCAACAAAAACATAGTTAAACATCATTACAAAATCAAGTAAAAATAAAGAATGTATCATTTGAGCAATGTAATCCCTTCAGTCAGAGAGCACAACTCTGAATCAGGGGAGGGGATATGGCACAAGACAGATTCTATAATGATCATTACAATGATCATCAATAAACCACAAGTGCAGATGAGCATTATCCACGTTTGATCAGAGAGAAGCCTCTCTCCAGATTGGCAACACAGTCATTTCACTATTTTTGATTTATTACACTATATTGCCCACCCTGACAAAAACTCTAAATAGAGGTGTACCTGTAAACATGGCTGTGTTTTGGAGACTTTCAGTCTCTTAAGTCCTTCTTTGCAAAGTTAAGCGTCCTGTGAAGAGAGACAAAACCAGGGATTAAAACAACAAATGGAAAATGAAGATTCCTCCAGTACGGACCTTGTACATCCTTCATGCCCTTGACGTCTACTGCTCCAGTGTTGTCTCAGGTAAACAAACTTGAAAAACAAACAAACAAAAAACAATTAAAATGTATACAAATTATTCAAACCTGAATTGTGTAACTTACCAACTTTCCCTGACAGCCTCAATGTCACTGACCAGGTTTTGTGCTAAACAGATCCCAAATATCTGCAGGAAAAATACAAAGATACTCAAAGTCAAGTTTTTTGCATATAGAGACGAATGTAATAATCCCTGCAGTTTAGTATTCATTTTGTTAATCACTTATTAATCATGTATTGGCCACTGACCTGCAGTAATGCAATTCCAATGAATATCCCTGCTACCACAGTCAAGTTGTCCTGAAGCCACTTCTCAAACTGAGGCACGCAGCCTTTGATGTAGATGAAGGTCCTCTGCTCCGCGTCCTGCGCACATCCACAAAGTTGTTATGAGAGTAGCTTCACTCGTGGTCCAAACGAAACCAACTCTGGTGACAGCACCAAACAACAGAACTCTGCTCCAGATTGAATGTAAAGGAGACTTTCCTTGTTAAATCAATGACAGCAACATTACATCCATTTTTAATTTAGTCTTTGGTTTTGGCTTCCAGATTCATGGAGCACTTTCCCCTCAGAAAATCAATTTTCCCATCATCCTGAGACCCAATAATTATTTTTCAAACCAATATTTTCACATAAAACACAATGAAAAAGAAACACATTTCTCAGATTATAAAGAAAACGGGCAAATATGAAGGTACAGCCCAAGTCAAATAACGAGGACTCTTGCACACATTTTAATGATCAGCTGAATTGGAATAATCTCAATATCAATTGTTTTGATGAAATGTGTAAACTTGTACAAGGTCAGGTACAAAGGACCATGCCAAACAAGCAGAGCCGTGTTTCCTCCAGTAGAAAACAAGTAGAAAACAAAATGAATGTGTCCTGACTTTAAAGGCGAGCCAGTGGCAGGCCTGAGGGTGGGTCTCAAGGCTGTGCATTGCTGCAGCATGAGTAATAACACAGCTCTGATGGGGAGCCAGCAGCTGGAGTCACAGACTGGGCTCTTCATAAACTTCAGGGTCACAAAACTGGGCACCAGGTGACCTTAGCATAAGAAGCTTGAAATGTTGGTCATGTTACTTTAGAAAAGTAATTATATAAATTAGGCCTACTTTTCTAAACGCCATCAGGGACGACCACCATATGCCTCATCCCCATCTCCTTCATAGAGTTTATCAGGTTGTAGTAGATTGTGGCCTGTGGCCTGTTGGTCCTCTGTGTGAAGCTGCTGGATATTGACAGGAACCGGAACAGGCTGTCGTATACAGCAGTCCATAGCAACCCAAACATGCTCAATAGGTGACATGCACTGTGAGTATGGAGAACGGAGATGTTTTCTGATACATTTTGTACAGAGCCTTGCATCATGGGGACTTGAGATTTCATGACACTTTGAAGCAACTGTGGTTAAAGCTGAATCCATCATTATAGCTGGGACATGGCGGTCTTTTTAATTTTTTACTTTTCTAAAATTCAATTGAGAAACATGAAGATAAACCATGCCTCTGGATCAACACCAATCAGGCCTGCTGTATGCTGCTGAGAAATCGACTATATCGTTGTCCTCTTTTGCATGGACATGATTTGGAACAATTTGGATTACACATATTAATTTGGAATTAATTGGATTGCTGAAGTGGAACACTAAAGCTGAAACGTGTGATTGAAAGACACGTCATAGAAGAATTCACGACTCGACACAAGAAATGCTGCCTGAAGAAATCAAAACAGAAAGTGTTTTCAGAGCAATATCTGAGAACAACCAAATCAACTGATGAAGTTTGGTACTTTACTGAAGATTGTTGAGGAGTTTAATGAAAGATCTGAACCTGCTTTATGCTCAAACTGCGTTTGAGTTTAAGTATTGAGTTCTGAGTACCTTTGTCCATATCATACCCACGGCCATACCATAACCCCACCACCACCTTGGGACACTCGATTCACAATGTTGAAATCAGCAAACTGCTCACTCCCATGAGGCCAAACATGAGGTCTGACAACTGCTCTCTGCTCTGAACACTGAAAACATCCCAGTCCTTGCATGGCCTCATACTCAGCGGACATAGCACCTATTGAGTGAGTTTGGGATACTCTGGATTGCTATATGCAATTTTATGCATTTTGTATAAAAGGTCACTTGTGGATTACTCTCAATGTTGAAACTGTTACTTTATGAACAGTGTATGCATTTGTGTGGCATCTTTTTATACCATAAAACAATGCATTTTTCTTCAAGCAGCAAGTTTGAATATGGAAACATTTTAGTTTTAGAGCAAACTCACCGTTTTTGCTCGAACATCATATCCACACTGAGTATTGATGACATCTTCCTGCATAGAAAATACAATTAAGTATTAAAAGATATAACAATGTTTGAAAATTAGTATTCATAAAATAACTCTTGGAACATTATTGCCCTGTTCTTTATGCAGTATTAAACAAGTTGTTCCATATTGACACTTGTCGCCTGATCACAGAGAGTGTGTCTTAAAGTAGTTTCAGTCTAGATGTATTTTGGTCAAATAGTACAAGCGTAACATGAATGAACTAACAATATAGAGACGCATACCTTCTTTTTAAAAACTCCAGTTGAGATAATTTTCTTGGGTCAATTTTATTATGTGAACTGTTGCAAGTACTTGAAGCTTCTGACGTCTTTCTTGTAGTTTTCTTATAACATGTTTTTTCTGTTATTACAGCTCTCAGCAAAACCATCTCACTGTCATTCAAGTCCAAGTTACATAAAAACTAATATAAAATACGGTTTAATGTTTTCAATGGCAGGAAAAAAGGGAAAAAAAGAACATTTGTCATTTGTCAAAGGTATATAGGAGGATTTCTACTTCCGGGTGGATCATTCTGATGATACGTGCTTGTCAAATAAGACCAGAGTTTTTTTTCAAAAAGTTAAGAGGGCGATTCTTTCCTAAAACTTGGGGAAATCCTCCTATATACCTTTAACTGTGGTTTGCATCCCCACAAACCTGACTCGTACAGTTGCTTTTGGTTGTCATCTTCCACAAAACACTTTATCTGTATATTTTAGATGTTATTTTGTGTGCCTTGAGAAATGATACAATATCACCGAATAATGTGGAATCAAAAAATAATTGGAAAATGATATACTGTACACTTGGGCGGCGCGGTGGCTGAGTGGATAGCACTCTAGCCTCTCAGCAAGAAGGTCCTGGGTTCGAATCCCAGTTGGACTAGTCTATGTGAGAAGTGAGAGACAAATGCCCAAAAAAGTAACAATTGTAAACAGCTTTGTGACTCTGGTCTGTGAAAGGCGGGATAAAAAATAAAGATTACTTACTTACTTCTTTGCACTTCTTTGATTTTCCAGATAATACACTTTGTTGAGAATGACTTTGTTTGTTATATGTTTGTATCCGTTTCAACTGGTGGTGTGCCATCTGAATGTTTTAAATGAAAAAGGTGTGCCATGGCTCAAAAAGGTTGGGGAACACTGTTTTAACAGACAAAGTTCCATAGAGTAGTTATAACTTTCTATTTCCAAGGGATCAAGCAGGCTTGTTATTCTTAAAACAAACAAGCAGTGAAAAGATGACTTCATCAGAGTAATATGCCAAGTTCAAGCTTTTTGTGACCGACGCAGCTGTTATTGCTAGTTTGTCATTTTTGTTCTTGCACAGTTATGCAGTTTCAATGTCCACTTGGGAGTACCCTCAAACATTCCAGAGACAAGGCTCTGACAGAGAAACCTCCCAAACTTCTTAAGCAACTTCTTAATAAGTGGACAGTTAGGACTGAACAAAAAAACTGCATGTGTCGTACCGCTGGATCTTTGGTGCAGCAGGAAAAAGGAACGCCACACTTCTCCCGACTCGGGTTTGAATCCGTGCAGTTGAAATAAATGTTTAAGTTCCAGTCGTCAGCCCCAAATGCTCCGCAACACTCCCACTAGCAAGATAAAACGGACAACACATTCATTAATTAAGATAATAGAAGAAAAAAAAACCTGTATATTAAAAATAGTATATCAGCGCATTGTTGCTCGATACAGAACTTACATATTCTTGTGTGAAGTCAATCAAGTTTTGCAAATCAATGTCATCTCTGTAGGCGCGAATGTTGTTGTTGATGAAAAAGTTGAGCTGATCCTTGATCCAGTCTTTGAAGACAAACGCCAGCACCCCAGCCGTCAGCTCCAGAAAGAAGATTATTCCCAGAAAGACTGAAAACTAAAAAGGATACATAATATTGGGTTTCTGTTTTTAGATAAATGCAGCAGAATTCAAGGTAGGACATACAAATTTTAACAAAAAGGAGTTTTCGCGCAGTGCTCCAATGCAGCCAGCAAATCCCAGAATGAACATCACACCTCCCACAACAAGGAACAGCCACACAGGGTCAAAGCCTCCCAGATCGGTGATGGAGGAAATGTTGGAGAGGACCCCCTTATAGAGAAAATGAGATTAGGGGAAAAAAAATGAGTATGCATTCGAATAGCAAGAGCTACTTTAGCCAAAGACTGTTCAACAACTACATGTATGTGACATGACTTTATATCAATTGGCATCCAGAAACTATTGTTCTGTGAGTCTCTCCGGAAACGAGACATCCCAATTCAAGTAGAAAAGGAAAAGCTCCACAACATTGTGTTTTATTGTACATGTAATAATGTTTTCTGTGGAGTCAGTAAGTAAAGACATCACATACCTTTTCGCTCCATGCCCACAAACCGATGGCGAGAAATGCCACTCCAAGAAACTGGAAAAAACAAGGCAAAAGCCGATAACATGACGTCCTCAGATTTGTCTTTTTTTACAAAATTACATATACATGAATATAAAAAATAAATAAATAAACAGGTTTCCACTTGGTTTCACTAGTCTGTTTTTCTTGATGGCAACTTTGGTTTATAATGTGTAAACTGGAAGAGCTACTAGGCAAATTAGAGGACTACCATTTAGTCTAATGAATTGGTTTAATTAATTTCTGGAATTCTGGAAAGGGAAGGTTTTTCTCCACCCTACAACTTCTGTACAGATGTAAAGATACTGCTGCTAACGTGTACAGATGCTAACATATAACTACACTTTACTTGCACTAGAACAGTGGTTCTCAAACTTTTTACACCAAGTACCACCTCAGAAAATACTTGCCTCTCCAAGTACCACCAAAAATGACCAACACCACACAGTAGCGTAATAAGCCTAAGTATTCATCAAAAACAAGGCAGAGGTTTCATTCCTAAAGAAGCTTTTGTATTTGCTGCTCCTTCTACATGGAATGTGTTGCAAAAAGACTGGAAATGATCTTACTGTATTTCATTGAATGATTTCAGACCCAGATTGAGAACACTTGAGACATTTTCAGTGAATTGTAACTGTTTTTATAATCAGTAATTTTATGAAATTGTATGTGACTGTTTTATAACCTGTAATTGTATGTAATTGTAGGACTCTCTTGAAAGAGGTTCTCATTGACTACCAGACATTTTTGATGACTCACAGAATATTGTGTGCTATTAAAAATATGAAACCAGAGTCTGAAAGACAGAACTGTCTACTTTCAGGTGCAAAAATAAGTTTGTTTTTAGCTTGTTTCGTTCTCCTGTGATCCAGTCGAAAAGAGGGGAGTGTGACAAAAAGCACCAGTCTTAGACAAAAAGTTGAGAAAATGAGGTGTTTATGAAAACCGACAAACCTGCAGAAAAGTGACTATAACACTATTTAGTTTAACTTTAGCATCTCCTCAAACATGTCCAGGATCTTACATGTTAGAAAACAGCAACAACAAGTTATGAGAACGTGTTTTTGATGCAAAATAATATGTTTTATGGCACACACATCCACAAAGTGTTGTTCAAACATTTCAAAATGTACCCAAGAACAGTTGAAATGTACAAATTGAAAGTAGAGCCCATGACAAACTATCCCAGAAAAAATGGCCAGTATTCATCCATTAGGTGGTGCTACAGTATATTCATGTCAAAAAGGGTAAATCAGACATAAGAAAAATTACAATGATAAACACTATAAATGACAATAAATCAAAGTGAACAGACAATATACTTATACTATAAGTATAATAGAATACTGTTGTGTGTCTTTGTGTGTTTGGGTGCGCATGCATGTGCGTTTACGCGCACGTTTGTGTGTGTTTGTGTAGTTACATCTACAGACTGAGTGTCGTTCTGTTTAGGCCAGCGAGCGCTGTGACCATAACTGGACTTTGCCGCTGGCTCCTGGTGCGGACTCAGTGATAGTTTTAGCAATGGTCCACTTTTCTGTGGCTTTTTTGAGGTACACCGCTGGTCTGCTGTCCTGACCCACATGGTCTGTGTCAGCTCTGGAGACAAATTTACTGCTCAAACTGCCTCCAAATGTAGCCTGACCATGACTATATTACTCCGTGCCTGCTTTACCTCTGTCTCTCCTGCTCAGAGTGCTCAGGCACTACTGTCTACAGCCAAACCCCAGATATATATGATACACAGACAGACAGGAAAAGAATGTTGACGTCAATTGACATCAATGAGTTAATCTCAATGTTACTTTCCTGGTTTTTTTCAGTGATACTTTGGGGTACCCCTAGGGGTACGCATACCCCACTTTGAGAACCACTGCACTAGAATACACAGTACTTTATACTTGCCTCTTATTTTGCCAAGTGTTAAATTTCTACATCTATTATTATTTTCACGATAGAGATTTTATACTTATTATCGATGCTAGAGTTGGAGATTTTGTTTTATTTTAATTAGTATAGCTATTGTTCACTTAACGTGTGCCTCCTCTTTCCTACTGTTCTATAACTTGTGATGCAACACCGAATATTGTTGATTTGCCAATAGCAGAGAAGAACAAAGGCAAAAATATACATAGATTGCGTAATTCTGTAGTATCTTGTCAAAGGCCCTTTTTATTTGTGCTCTAACTGGATGTTGCCAGTGTGCAGTGCCCTGTACTTTCAACTCAATTCAGTTCAACGATGAAGCAAAACTTAGATCCGTGAACAAAACAAAACTAGAAACTATATGACGCGACGCGAGAAAGAAAGGCAGTATATAAAACATATGGACATGATAACTGAATCAATGGAGTAAATCATAGGCCCGAGACAGCAGTAAACAAAGGGACTCTTACCCAGAAAATAATGTTGAATCCGAAAATGAAATACTTGATGCAGCAGCTGACTTCATGAGCCTTGAAATGCTTTCCTGATATCATTTTTCTGCGAGTGGAAACACCCTCTTTATTCAGGAATCAGACAGACGCTCTGTCAGTGTTGTTCCGCCATCTGTTTACGAGCTGCATCCCGCTTGTTTCCGCTTTGACCGAACACAACCGGGCCCGAGGTCTACACCCAAGAATCTAATAATGACGGATATATTCAGTGTCTCGTCAAGCCAACGCAGACTATAGAAGAATCCAGCGTGCAAGTGTTGAGAAGGAGACGGTCTTCTAGCTGCCCCGTGAGCTAGTCATGGCTGAGCGATTGACACGCGCCTCGACCAATCACAGAGTTGTATTAATGTTAAGGGGCGGAACTCCCATTATTAATTTATTTAATAACAGTATGTAAATAAATTAAACTTCACGTTTCAAGTTAGAGTTTAATAGTTCTAGTAGAAAAACAGAGCGCCTAAGTACGACCTAATTCAAATACCTGAAACCAGCCTACAAAGTGAAAGTGGGGTTCACGCAATGATCAATGTAAAGCGTAACCTTGAATACATCGCCATCTTGAGGTGATTAATGCGTGCGGACAATGACAGACAACAGGCAATAAAATAACTTGTACCATTTACCTTTATTGCCTAAAATAAATATTTTTGTACAAACATTGGCTTACAAAAATTGATAACTTATGAAAAATAAATATTTGGTGCGATTTTACAGAGATAGTCGCATAACCTTCATTAATACTACATCATTCCATTTTCCATGATAAACATTCTTCTATATCAGATACATGGCCATGATACAGATTGCAATTGATGTTGTGCTTAAACTAAAATCAAATTGAACAAGCAGTCAGAATTTAACGGTAATGTTGAGCACCACCCCATGTTGTGTACACATAACAAAATATTTTCGGTAAAGTCTGTGTGTCAGTAGTGTTGGATGAGTAAACAATATGAAATGTTTTATCAAATTATTTTACTGATCGATGTGTAACACAAATTATATTGACTGCACCTTTTAGCTCCTGCAAATTAAAAGTTCAGCCAGCCATTGAGTATTACTCGCATGAATCAACATCATGCAACATTATGAGTCACATACATAATGTATAATACTTCATATTATCCATACAAACACTAAAAACTTATCTCAAAGCAAAGTAATTCAAAATGAAAAATACAATACAAATGCTGTTCTTCCAGAATACCATGAAATTACATTTAGATCATTGATTTTTGGCAGTAGAGTTACTGTATTTGTAAGAAATGATTTGGTTCAAGGAAGCACTTTTGAAGTTCAAGTTTGTTTGACAACCTAAGCCCATCCAGAACCTTTACGCTGGTTTCGAGAGGACATTTAACATTCACAAACACCATTCAGTATTATCACTGATCAGTATTTTTCAAGCAGACTTTTCCTCGTATGAAATTTTTTACAAAGGAAAATTAAGTATGCCACCATAAATTCCTTGGAATCTATGGTAAGCACAAAAAAATTGTTTTCACATTTTATTTGTTATGACTAATAATCAAATAATACTGGATAATGGATATAGAATTACAACAAATTAGTTGATCAATTTATAGCATAGCACAATTGACTTTGAGTGCAGAAAGGAAGACATTCTTTTTTGGAAAGTAAAATTCAATCAGAACGTGCAAGTTATATATGCAAACAACATGCCGTAAAATCCATGGATTTTACAAGATAAAGTTTGAAGAATTTTGTATTTGGTTAACACTGATGAGAACAGAGATTTTATATCTACATACAAAAATATCATACCATTTAACAATTCCTTATTTAAAGTGGTGGGTAGGTCAATGAAAGCTGTGAACTACGTTCTCCAGCAAGTGCTCCTAAATTGACCCCCAAAGCATTATACTTCCACCATTTCCCACAATACTTTCCAATTAATTTTTGGCACAGTGCTTTACTACAATTAAGTAAACACTGCGGATGGCTTTGTTATTATCAGAAAGGAAAAGTAATACATTCTGTATTTACCGTTTGAATAATCAAGCTAACAATCTGCCATGTTTACTAACCATTTGCAGGAGCCCCAATATACTCAGGCTGACTGCTTTTGGCCAGATAATCATTTGGACGCAAGTTCAGCAGTACTACTTCAAGTCACCTTTACAGTCGGCTTCTTGTGGGCACAGAGTAAAGAAACATATGGCACTCCGATGAAGGCCCACTTCTCATTGGGCCAGAACATGATGACCGGGCCTCGCTCCGGAGCCTCTGTCGCCACGTCAAAGTACGCAAAACAAACACACCCCAGATAGGAAGCCAGACAAATGAGGATGTGCCTAATGACGGGAAAAGGCAAGTTTAAAATCACCATCCAAACATGTTTCTGTCCCATTACTGAGGCCTATAAATCCACTTACCAGGCACAATGTAAGTAGGGAAAGTTGACAGATGACCACATTTCACAGAATATCCAGTCACTGACCCAGCAGAGCAGAGCCAACGCCCACCAGAACCCTGAGATTAAGCCCAACTTGAACACACGCAGGTTTTCACATCTAACCAAAAGAGAACAAGGTATTACAAACTGTCACATTACTCAGATGTAATCAAACTACAAAGGGCAAAAGGCATAAGTGTTTCTTCAGCCAAGATTAATGTGATGTTTTTAATAAACATCAACTGAGACGTTCTAAACCAAAAAGAGACCGTCTCAAAGATAACACCCAGCTCCACATGTCGATGTGACTCCACACAAAGAAAATACTAGGAGTGAAAACTTCTGGCCAAGGAATACAGTGCCTTGCGAAAGCTCATCTCTTCATAAACACAATAAAACCTGTAGAGAAGCAGGTGTGAAGACCCAGCATCTGGAACAAAGTGAAGGAGACAGAGCTGAGCCTGCATCATGTGAACCCAGAGTCAGACTCTACAGGATCACACTTCAGTCTTAACCCTGTGCTGCAGCTGCTGAGCTTTACAGACCAAACACTTATTGTGGATTTGAACATCTTTACTTTGTGTCTGGAGACTCGGACACATCATGTTATTGTCTGAAAGGAAAATCTTATGGTTCCTTTAAAGCTGCATCAAGTCTAAGATTCAAACTGACATGTGATGGAGACAGAGTGGGGACGTTATTATTCTGAACTAAACTGCAGATAAAAACTATTGAAGCATATTTACAATTTCAATGTGTTTGTACAAATGTATTTGTGTTTCCAAGTGATGGGCTCTAAATGGAGAAAGAAGTTAAAAGGTGCAGCCTCCCCATGAACATACAGAGCATACAGTGCCTTGCAAAAGTATTCGGCCCCCTTGAACCTTTCAACATTTCGCCACATTTCAGGCTTCAAACATAAAGATATAAAAATTAAATTTTTTGTCAAGAATCAACAACAAGTGGGACACAATCGTGAAGTGGAACTAAATTTATTGGATAATTTAAACTTTTTTAACAAATAAAAAACTGAAAAGTGGGGCGTGCAATATTATTCGCCCCCCTTGCGCTAATACTTTGTAGCGCCACCTTTTGCTGCAATTACAGCTGCAAGTCGCTTGGGGTATGTCTCTATCAGTTTTGCACATCGAGAGACTGGAATTCTTGCCCATTCTTCCTTGCAAAACAGCTCGAGCTCAGTGAGGTTGGATGGAGAGCGTTTGTGAACAGCAGTCTTCAGCTCTTTCCACAGATTCTCGATTGGATTCAGGTCTGGACTTTGACTTGGCCATTCTAACACCTGGATACGTCTATTTGTGAACCATTCCATTGTAGATTTGGCTTTATGTTTTGGATCATTGTCCTGTTGGAAGATAAATCTCCGTCCCAGTCTCAGATCTTTTGCAGACTCCAACAGGTTTTCTTCCAGAATGGTCCTGTATTTGGCTCCATCCATCTTCCCATCAATTTTAGCCATCTTCCCTGTCCCTGCTGAAGAAAAGCAGGCCCAAACCATGATGCTGCCACCACCATGTTTGACAGTGGGGATGGTGTGTTCAGGGTGATGAGCTGTGTTGCTTTTACGCCAAACATATCGTTTTGCATTGTGGCCAAAAAGTTCGATTTTGGTTTCATCTGACCAGAGCACCTTCTTCCACATGTTTGGTATGTCTCCCAGGTGGCTTGTGGCAAATTTTAAACAAGACTTTTTATGGATATCTTTGAGAAATGGCTTTCTTCTTGCCACTCTTCCATAAAGGCCAGATTTGTGCAGTGCACGACTGATTGTTGTCCTATGGACAGACTCTCCCACCTCAGCTGTAGTTATCTGCAGTTCATCCAGAGTGATCATGGGCCTCTTGGCTGCATCTCTGATCAGTCTTCTCCTTGTTTGAGATGAAAATTTGGAGGGACGGCCGGGTCTTGGTAGATTTGCAGTGGTCTGATACTCCTTCAATTTCAATATAATTGCTTGCACAGTGCTCCTTGAGATGTTTAAAGCTTGGGAAATATTTTTGTATCCAAATCCGGCTTTAAACTTCTCCACAACAGTATCTCGGACCTGCCTGGTGTGTTCCTTTGTCTTCATGGTTCTCTCTGCGCTTTAAACAGAACCCTGAGACTATCAAAGAGCAGGTGCATTTATACGGAGACTTGATTACACACAGGTGCATTCTATTTATCATCATCAGTCATTTAGGACAACATTGGATCATTCAAAGATCCTCACTGAACTTCTGGACTGAGTTTGCTGCACTGAAAATGAAGGGGCCGAATAATATTGCACGCCCCACTTTTCAGTTTTTTATTTGTTAAAAAAGTTTAAATTATCCAATAAATTTCGTTCCACTTCACGATTGTGTCCCATTTGTTGTTGATTCATGTCAAAAAATTAAAATTTTATATATATGTTTGAAGGCTGACCCGTGGCGAAATGTTGAAAGTACTTGTTGTTGAAGTGTTGTTGTACTTTCGCAATGCTGTATCTCTTGTTTTAATGAGTTCCTAAACAGACGGATCAATATATAATTCAGAACATTTGATGTTGTTTGTATGCAAATGGAATGAAGCATTTAGTTAGTTGTCATGACATTATGTAACATTTCCAAGGAAGTAGAAAAAAATCATCAGCTACAGGAAGTGCACAACTGGGCTCTAAACACAGCTAGGCATTCCCGGTGGAAAAAGCCCAGGCAATTGCCTAGACCTACATTAATAAATGATTGGTGAACTGGCAGTAACATACAACAACATATACTTTTTTTTCTATTAAATCAGTGTTGTCACACTGTCCCCTCGCCTGAGAACCCCATCAGCCACTGCCTCAAGCGGGGTAAAATGAGGGTCCATTATTATGAATCCCAATAGACGATACAGTATTTTCAGCAGCTGATGATGATGGTGCTGGTCTACAAGGTCAGAATTGTCACCTCCTATTCTGTTCCTGTGCATTGTGTATTAATTTTGTCAAACGGAATGCCTTTTTTATTGTAATATAAATAATTGATTCTAGTGTTTTTAATGTCTCCATTAGGGATCAATAAAGTTGAATAGGTATAATCTTAAATAGGTATATAATAAAAGAAAACAACTTCAGTTATTATTATTATTTTGTGTGACACAAAAATCGCAATGAGCAAATATCCCCAAAACCAGAACTTCCAGTTAAAAGAATGCAGTCTGATACTATACGAGTTACTCATTGTAATCAGTATCACTCAAAGGCTAATGAACGATTCAGCCTGAAATATCCTAAGTAACTGCCCAAACAATGTCCGCTAATATTAATGAATGTTGACTTTTCCCGGGTCAAAAGTCCATTTCTCAGGGCCACAGGAATTTAGTGTCATACTGAAAAACAGAAAGAACAAGTCCCTTTCATAGATGACTAGTGCTTGGAATCATGTTAAGAATCCCAAACAGGTGAAACAATGGCTGAATGAAGGTTGAAAGACCACTGTGAAATAGAGTAAATATTATGGCAAAAGGAAATGGACCCCTGCATTCATGTGTCAGAGGAAAGCATTAAAAACATGCTCTCGGAAATGACCATAGATGGCTTTGTGTGTTTTCAAGAATGTTCAGTAGAAGCAATGTTGGGCCACGGAGAGGTTACAAAAGGTTACTTAGGATATTTGCAACTCTTGCTGAATTTCTGCACACACACACACACAAAATGAGAAACACAGTGTATCAGAAATATACCTTTTAAGTTCTGTAATGAGAAGTGCAGTGCAGGGAATCCCAAGAGTCATTAATGACAGTGAATTGACAACGGGCTTCACAAAGGCAAGTCCTGTGGTAATCCCGGACAAGACACCAATAACCACTTTGAACCTTGACCTACATGGAGAAGAGACACAGGGCAGATACCGAGAAGAGTTACTTTAGAATGCACAATATATGGTGTTACAATTAGTTACAGAAGCAGTTTTGGATTTGCATACAGCCTGAAGGTCACACTGGTGGAAGGAGAAGTACAGACATGTGATGTAGCATTTACCACGGTCAGCTATCTTGACAAGACCTATTATTACACAGGACAGTCATGGCAGTGGAACTAGGCAAGAGCTGGTCCCCAAAAAAAGACTGTCAATTTTTAGAACCTACCGATTTCGTCTGAACATCTTGGGCAGATAGCGCTTAGGGAACCACATGCCTATGGCACACATGAGGACCCATAATATGGCTAACTCATCCAGCATTTGGCCCAGGAAGCTGAGGGTGGCATGGAAGTACGTTGAACCAATGCCTAAAAAAAAGAATATAAAACAATGAATGCAAATTAATGATTGAATTGTGGCAGTTTCAAAATAGCCAGTGTAATTGTGTTGTTGTGGAAAAACTATTATAGAAACACAATATTAAGTTAAAAACGAAACATATCATGTGTGCATTACTTTTGAATGAAAAGTCTGTATTGTGGGATAAACAAGATCTACGAGTTTGTACTTTTGGAATTTCATGTACAACAAATAAATTATAAAAGAACTCTGTCCATTTAAAACAGATGCATTTGGGCAGTTGTACTGTTAATGAAAGTGTCAATGGATCAGACAAACTCTTATCAACGTCCTGCAGACTTTTCACTTTCCTCAGTTATCTGTTTTCACAGAAGCATCATGGATGACTTCCTTAAGTACAGACTTTTACACAAGGCTTTATGCTGTTTAGTATCATGCAATAGAATCCTCTTAGACACGATGAATGAGACCATACATGAGCTGGGTTAAACCATCCTCCGTAATGTTTTTATACTGAAACCTATAAACTTCAAGGAGCACAAAGAGGGCATTAATCCTCTGTACAGGCATTACCATTTAAAAAGAAGAATGTCTGTATTTTATGATTCAAATGGTCAAACATGTACTTAATGGGATGCAATGTTACATCTATTTACAGTGGAAAGCAGAGGCTTACATAGGCCGTGTAAAACTGTTCGAAATTAAACTTCTTCATTGAAAGTGATTTAAGAATTACTCTTCAACATTGTGGCATTGAGAAAATAGAAAAAATCTTAATAATTGACCTAAGTATAATTGTATATTAATATCATAGTATTTTACACATGTACAGTTTGTGTATCTGCTACAAAATTACTGAAACTTCACCACGCTATGAGAAAGGCAAAAAAAGTTTATTGCACTCATGACAGAGTATGGCCTTTATGTTTTCCAAGTCATCTAGTATCTGTAGCAGAAGTGTCTGGTTATCTGAACTGACACACTGAAAAACCGTCACAGACAAAAGCCCCACACGGACGCATATGATTAATCTTTGACGGACATAGAAATGTGATCCTGGGACAAAACTCAATGACAAACTGTGGACAACAGGACATGTAAGGACATGTTCACATCTTTTCTTCTGCCCTACATGATATAACAGATGTAACACTGTCCCACAAAAAATGTGTTAATCATCCAAAGTACATAGAACATCACAAACATGTGGTGGTCAAATGAAATTGCCAAATGAACACAAGCATGGAGTATAAAAAGTCATGCAACTTACCAACAACAACAAGCAGAATCCATATGAGGTAGATCCCACTGTTGAAATGTGTTGCATATTGGCGGAACAAGCACATTAATATGGGAGGCAAAACAAAAAACAGTATGTTGCTGATCTGAAATGATAAAGAAAAGCAGCTGTGAGCACTTATGCCTCTAAACAGGTGAGTGCCATGCTTGTGTTTAGATCATGTAATGTTTTAAAATAAGTAAGCTAGGAAAATAATGCATAAAGAAGAACTAAGAATTGAAATATTGTGTAACTTATAAAACAAACAACTAGACTCATGAATCATACAGTTGAGCAGAACAGCAGCAGCGCAAGGAGTAAGTAAACAAAAAAGATACAAAACAGAGGAAAACAAACCGTGTTATAAAACTCTGCGATGCTCGGGTAAATAAGGTAATTTCCTTCACACCAGTCCACATCGGAGCTGCCAGCCTGCATCTGGTCCCAAAAAATCAGCCTTGCGTCACTCATCTCTTGGATAACTGAGTGTTGCTGGACAAAGCAACACGGTAAACAGCTTCAGAGAGCAAGTGAGCAAAACAGGGTCTGAGCCTACTATGTTGTACTGTTGTCTTTGTAGCTCAGAAACAAGCATCAGTAATGACACTGATTCTGACACGGACTTGTTGACTATGATCTGGCTGCATTTTCACTCCTCTCTTCTTGCGCCCTGACAGCTGCTAGGTTTGCGCAGGCGCAGTTCAATCACCCCTTACATCCGATCCGAATACTACAAAACAATACTTCCTTAATACATGTCGCTCTTTTGACTTTAATACAAAATTATTTGCAGTATTCAAGCGGTCAGATATCTTTACCAAAAGTACAATTAGAGTATATCTCTTTAAAAGACCATATTTTTGATAATCAACGCATAAACAAACTACTCAAATGCAATTTCTTTCATACTTTTGATAGACATGTTAAAATATATAATACAGATGGCAGTATAAGAGCTAAAAGATGTATTAAATTCATGAAGTGGCCGATACCTCCTAAAGTCAAAGAAATGCATTTTAAGATTATTAACAATTATGATGTAATGATGTCTCAAAATATTTGAGTTGTAACTTGTATGTATGTTGTATGTTGTAACTTGTTTTACTAAACGTATGCCTTACTGAATGTGTTTTGTTTTCTGTTTGCTTTTTTTTATTGTTGTAATAATTGGAACAAAATTGTTGTCTCTAACGAGAGTTTTGTATACTGGTATGTATATTGTAAATAAAAAATGTAATTGTAATTTTGACCTCAGTGGCAGAAAACCATATAAGAAATGGGTTACGTCTCACTTGATTGATCTTGGAAGTACCCTGTTTCAAATAAGCTACATGTTACAGCATAAGGAAGAACGAAATAAGTATTTTTTCTGAATTCGAATGAAATCATAAGATCTTCAGTGGGTCAAGTGTTTATATCTATGGTCGATGGCTAATATGTTGAACTTGTTATTTATTATTTTGTTTGTCTGCACAAATGTAATGTTTACACATTGTTGTTTTAATGTAATTCTGAATGGGTTCTTGTGAAGGTGGTCTGCTGGATGTGTAGCTCCTCATTATGTGCTCGTGTATTTAGTTGTGTTGTGATTTAAAAATAATAATAATTGTGTTTATCCAAATCAACGCTAAACAGTTATCACGCATCATACAGCTCTCGCGATGATATATAAGCTTTTCTGAGACTTCACAGCGGATATCCGGTCTCTTTCCCGTGGCGGACCATCGTAGGGTCGGCTCAACAAAATGAAGGTATCTGTTTTTACACCAAAGGTTGCATTTTTGATATTAATTGTATCAAAATATCCCCCCGTGGTTGAAGGCACAAATATTATAGTCTCCTCAAGATACAATGGTGTGCGTTTTGTGGCTCCATGGCGTAGGATGAGCTTTGATTGTACTGGGTGCTAACCATGGTAGCTACTCAGCGCACTGGGGCTGTGGAAACATGGCTGCGTCCATGGGAAATGTGGCTGAGACGCTTAATATTTATACTTTGAATATAAAGTGCCGCTTAATGGATAGTGTTCTGCCATGTGCTTGATTTCTACAACCGTACCTTGAGATTCCCGGCTTTTCTAAACTGCCGAAACAATTGATGTGGTTCACATGCCGGCCAAATGAGGCCTTGCGTGTATTTTGACTGGGGCATTTCATATTAATAAACACAACTCTGGATTGTAGCCGTGAGCTGATTACTTTCGTTGAAACGCTCACAAACGTGTTCGTTCGTTCCCCCTGATGTGTTTCGTCCCAGGGTGAACATACAAACTTAAAGGCCATGTTTAGTCCATGGACAGAACCCGGGTTCTTTTGGCTGGGCTGCTCAAATAATTAGAATTTGTCATGTACACTTAATCTCTTTACATTGCTTCAACATGTCGCAGGATATACTCCGTATTAAGTACTACCCAGGCTCTCACTATCTTTTGGTGTCTGTTAACGGTCTAAGTGATGCCTCTGATAAAATGTGAATATGACTTAGAAAATGATGTGCTGTGACTTCTTTTTGCAGCTGAACATCTCGTTTCCCGCTACTGGCTGCCAGAAGCTGCTTGAGGTCGATGATGAGCGCAAGCTTCGAATTTTCTATGAAAAGCGCATGGCTACTGAAGTGGGCGCTGACCCTCTGGGTGATGAGTGGAAGGTGTGTAGACCTGTTTGGCTCGAGTTCTATAGATGGCACACTAGTATACCCTTTTTGATCTGAATGTGATTACTAAGGGGGGACAGAGTGTGCCAAAGTGATCAAAGCTGCTCACCAGATGCACACAGACTATGGGACCATGTCTGTTTGAAACGGCAAATCTTTGACACTTATGTAGAACATATTGATCTGCGTCTTTTTAAATGTTGTGCACTCTGACTTTTCCCTCATTATTCAATGTGATTCTGATGTGCAGGGGTATGTGGTGCGTATCAGCGGAGGCAATGACAGGCAAGGATTCCCAATGAAGCAGGGTGTGCTGACCCATGGCCGTGTGCGTCTGCTGCTCAGCAAGGGTCACTCCTGCTACCGCCCCCGCAGGACTGGCGAACGCAAGCGCAAGTCTGTCCGTGGCTGCATCGTTGATGCCAATCTCAGCGTTCTCAACTTGGTTATTGTCAAAAAAGGTAATTGTTCACCAATAAAAACCCTGTCGGAAAAGCGTACAAGCTTATTCCTTACTCAATTAATGCTATTTTCCTAGAAGTTGGTTTTGACATGGAAGATGTTTTGGAAAACCTGTCTACACTTAAGTATTTTTCAAATGCAGTTTTTTATCTTTTTGTAATGAGCTACTGGCTTAATGGAAGAACAAGATTGCTATGGCTTCATTTAAAAAAAAAGGCTCAATCTGTTGTGTATGGGACTCGCAGACCGGTAAACCCTTTCTGACTGCACAGTAGTGGAAAAGGGGGGACAGGTGTTGCAAAAGAAACTGTAGAGCTGCTTACCAGGTGTAACCAAGCTGCTCAGTGCTTGGTTGAACTGCATTGCTCTCCCATTTGAATTATGTCGGCATGTATCTTGCTTAATTGTTCTAACTGCCACATGGTGGTAATTGCATTTGGATTTTTGCCTCTGCCAAGGGGATGTTTACATTTGGTTTATGCTAAATGACCCTAATGCGTTCAACATAGGGCTGGGCGATATGGCAAAGAAGTAAAATCTCGATTTTATTTCCTGCTTTGGACGATTTCGATTTTTAATCGATTTTTATTAGTCACCGAAGACAGACTTTGCCCTTAAAAATATGGTTTGATCTTTCTGCTCAATATTCAACTTTCAAAACTATTTCTAATTTGTTTCCCTCAATACATATTATAAAAGTCTTGTACAGACTGTGCTGATATTGCAAATATGATTAATGTGCTGCTGGAACTCTCACAATATCCTTCATTCGATTTCACGATTTTAACACTTTTTACAAATTTGATTTTTTCAAAAGCCGATTAATTGCCAAAATTCGATTTATTGCCCAGCCCTAGTTCAACAGCAATGAACCAAGTGTAACTGTAACCTATTGTCAAATCACACTTGTGTACAAGACTAGTCTCAATTAAAACTCTATAGACCATCTGATGTCCAGGCTTTGATTCCAGCTAATAAAACAAGTTAACATGCATGATCTAAACTGGAAATATAATGGCTTTACAATTAAATGTTTAGAGCCGTGACATTATAAAATTATCCATTCAGATTTTTGAAAAGGCTCTCATAATGAAGCTCAATCGTCTTCTAAATGAAATGTTAAAATAAACCAGGTGTAAATGATGAGGACATGCATTATAATGTGCTATAAAGATTTTGTATCAGATTTATAAACTAACAGGCCCAAGATGGCTTTGTTTTTGAAAGCTTTTAAATGTGTCGATTAGGGTCTTAGTTTGCGTTGCTTCAGATGAACCCATGTCATTCTCTGGTCTAAATGACCCAGAATTGGTCAAGGAAAAATCCTGACAATTAAGCTCAAATGTTTTTCTAGTACACTTGTTTTTTTTTCTTTTTAATAAATCACTGGCGGCTCAATTTGACCCAAGGATGGCACGAGTTGGATTTTTCGGAAACTTTAGTTTCAAGGCTGTTCAATCTGATTTAAATCATGTGACGTAAGATGGTGTATGTGGCTTTTATTTTTTTATTTTTTAGGTGAGAAGGACATTCCAGGGCTGACCGACAGCACTGTCCCCCGCCGTCTTGGTCCTAAAAGGGCAAGCAAGATCCGCAAACTCTTCAACTTGGCAAAGGAAGATGATGTTAGGCAGTATGTTGTGAGACGACCTCTGACTAAAGAAGGTGAGATTCTTAGTTAAGATGTGACTAGTTGTGTCCCTGATGCTAAAGTCCAAGGTTCTACAGGGTAAACTTGTTTACTTTCTTTTTACGAAAAAAAAAAACGTTTTCTCCATGACAAATCCACTTATTAAATAGCTTAAACTGTTGGCATGTATGGGACTCGCAGACCGGTAAACCCTTTCTGACTGCACAGTAGTGGAAAAGGGGGGACAGGTGTTGCAAAAGAAACTGTAGAGCTGCTTACCAGGTGTAACCAAGCTGCTCAGTGCTTGGTTGAACTGCATTGCTCTCCCATTTGAATTATGTCAGAATGTGTTTTGCTTAATTATGCTTTAATAGCTGGAGAGTGGAGAGATCCTTATGTTTATTTGGTACACTGCTGTAGCGTTGCATGTACATTTACAGAAATCAGAAATGGAAATGTTAAGTTCCCCTGCACGCCTCAGTAAGGCTGGGAAAGTGTAGAGTCTTAAGATCTTGCATTTGACCTGACAACTTGGAGCTACTCTGTAAAATAGAGGACTCTGTTGATGCTTTGAATCTTATTAAATTTGAACCTTTTTTTGTTTTAGGCAAGAAGCCCAGAACCAAGGCTCCCAGGATTCAGAGACTGGTGACTCCACGAGTGCTGCAGCACAAGCGTCGCCGCATCTCCCTCAAGAGGCAGCGCACTCTGAAGAACAAGGAGGAGGCCTCAGAGTATGCCAAGCTGCTGGCCAAGAGGATGAAGGTACGTCCGTCTGGCTTTTCACATGATCATAATGAATTTAATTGACTTAACATTTTTATTCATACAACAGGAGGCAAAAGAGAAGCGCCAGGAACAGATCGCCAAGAGGCGCCGCCTTTCATCTCTGAGAGCATCCACATCCAAATCTGAGTCCAGCCAAAAGTAAAAGTTGAAATAAAGACATTTTGATGAACTGTTTGCAAAGTGGTCATTCATAGTTTCAGAGTTCGGTTTTCCTTTGGGGAAAAAGGATGCCTCGTGAGCTCCCCTCCCTAAAAGTATCCTAAGACAGGTGTTCCTTGACTCCAATTAATGTGTACAATTTATTCTTAAATCTCCCTTGTGATTTAGGGATATACAAGTTTTTTTGCGTCTGAACCATTAAGAGCAAATGTATTGGTCAATAGGGGAGTTGACACATGTCCATGTATGAACAAGTAGAATACAATTCCAGACTAAAGGCTGCTTATAAACTGCATGAGTACTTTAATTGTATAACTTTTTTTTTTTTTTTAATGAAACATGTCAATAGCTTTGATTTTTATGGAGCAGTTTGGAATGTATAACCAAAATTAGTGTCCTCATATTGACTGGTTTCACTTTCCTATGTAAAACTCTACAGGAACTTTGCTTAACTCAGATTAACCTTACTTGAACAGTCAAATTTGAGGCCTGCAGGTCAAATTATCTTGGCCCCTGGGATTTGATTCGTAGAGCTGGTCCACACAGACCCATTAGAAAATCATTTAATGTTCAGGACATTTGAGCTTAACCTTATAAGGATCCCCCTCCCTGTACAGGGAAGATTCAGATATTTTTAATTTAACAGCATCAGTATTACAATTGACTTGTCATTAGTCAAGCTATCTCTTGAAAGTTTATTCCCACTTCTAAACGCGTATTATGTTCAAATAAACATTAAATATCACAAAGTAAGGAGTCGAACTGTATATATAAAATATATAGTCCTTTCTTACCTTTTCATGCTAATATTCTGGGGCAAATCACGTCTAATCCACACATGTGTGCATTCGTCTTGTTCTTGAAGGTCCAATTATATCCAGTTTTTTCTTCAATGTCATCCTTTATAGTAGATATCCACTTGTAACAACACATTTGAGTATTGAAAGTTGCGCAAACAAATAAAACCTGTTCTTTGCGCACTGTATGAAGTAGGCATGTTACTATTTACCAAGCGTCACTGGGTATGTTCGTCTTCCTCTCAGTCTTCCCTTCAAAACAAGCCCATTCCCGGACTTTTCAGTGCTATGGTTTGGGAGGTAGATCAAGTTGACTAAAACAAGCGCACCTAACTTTACCGCTCCAGTCATATAGATATCTGTGCGTCACACGAGCATTGTCTTGACTACCATTGGCCGATTTGGCTTTCTATCAAATCATCTTGTAGCCAATAATCTCGGGTTCCAGGCGATGTGTCGGACTTCTAGCTTCCTCCCACTGGAAGACGAGCATTTTCACGGAGAGCACGCGCTATATCTATATAAATAATTACTTTTCTGCAAACATTTCAATATCTGGAAAAAATCCTATTTATAGCTAGATTAATAGCCAACCAAAAAATTATATAATTTGATTTTTGGTGTAATAACATTGATCATTTGCATGTAAAACACTTTGGCACAATTGGCACAAAAATGGACCACTTGTGCCGAATGTGCCCATTAGTCACAAAAACCCCAGCATCAAAATGGTTTCACCTAAAGCTCTAAAATTTCATTAAGTTGTTGCCAAGACCACAGACATCTGCTCTGGTGAGTTTGAACAACATACCATAAAGTATGTTTTCAGGAGATTCTTTTGAAATTGCCTTTTTTAGACAAAAAAAAAAAACTTTGACTCATGTTTGAGAAGGTGCAGTGCAGACTGGGTCCTTAGTCCTTCCTAACAAACTAACATACATTTCCAGAAACTAGGTGTTACCTTTCAAATGAGGCATCATAACACAAAATCAGACACAAGATGTCCACACAATAAACATTTCCCTTTAGGTATCATTCAAGAAGGAGCAGGCGAAATTAGGTGATCCTTAAAGGGTTAATGTTTTCACTTAAAATTGACAGCCATACAAATATTGATTTGATCATTAATTATGGTGCACAGGTTATGCTATCATTTTTAATGTTTTTAAACATTGCTCAAGTCAATTTGCCCTCTAATGTATTTGACATCCCTGCTCCAACACATGTTAAGATTTAGACCAGTCATTTAGGAATGGGCAAACTATGACCTGATATTTCAATATCGCTGAGATGCTTGCTTGCTTCCGTGGTGAATTCCCATCTACAGATTGTTTCACGTCACCCACGTTCATTAGTTGAGTTTAGCTATTTCTAACACTGCTCTTAACATCTATATCTTAAAACCCAAATTAGTGTAACCAGTTAATCCTATTTAGAATATAAGGCCCTTTTAGGGATCTCACCAAGAGGCAACATTTCAAATAGATTCTGTTCACACGTCACACTTAAACTGAGCAGTTTATTTCAATATTCCTTTTCCTGTCATTTTTGCTCTGGGACTTTGCAAATTGGAGGACAGTTGTCAACATTACATCAACTATGTTCTCATGCAGCAGTGGTCCTTGCACCCGCAGTCAGACTGGGGCAGCCTCAGTCTCCAGGTGGGAGACTCCTGCCACTGAACCACAGCGAGCTGATCCTTGTGAGGGGAGGTGGTCGTCAAAATGCTGTATTCAGTACCAGTCTGCTGAGGGAACGGGCAACTTAAGGAGTACATATGTGCTACAAACAAGATCATGGTTGCCATCTGTTGCTGGAGGCAGTGGGGGAGCATCATTATGAAGGATGATAAATGAGTTTGAAGTTCTTGAGTCAAACTTGTCTGAGACAATCTCTCGATGACCTGTTGAAAATAATGAACAGAATTTATTTAAATGGTATAATTTTCAAAAACGCATTAAATGCCATTCAATGATTTCCATTGGATGATTGTGTACCTTATTGTATCCTCTATAAAGGTTGGTGCACAGTGACTGCAGTCTCTCAGTCTGTGCAGAAGTGGAATCAAACCCCTCCACTGAGTTGGCCTCTTCTGTGAAGGCAATACAACAATGTTAAACAACTATTACATTTGATTACTTACTACTGTGAAAGACACAGCAGTCATTGATGCCACAAATATTGAACCAAGGGCTATAATATTGTGCTCACAGCGGATATCCAATATCAATGGTTTTAAAATAAAAAGGTGAAACTTGGAATATAAACTTACAATGTGAAACTAATAAATGACAGACTCATACAAGCAAACATTTCATATTATGTTGTTGATAATGATATGAAATGATAAAAGGCTTGACATGTCACTTTGCATGTAATGAGTCATAAGTTTAAGTAGTCTTAAACTTTAGTCTTAGAAATAAATTAACTTTTAATTTTCCGTATTTCACCTGTATACGCACTAATGACTAGATTAACATCAGTTCTGCCAGAATAGTTTTTGTTAATAATCCCCGTTACATCACAGAGAAGAAAAGTCTAAGCTGTAACTGTGTATAGAATAGTTAATCAGAGGTCTCTTTACAGCTGACCACATACCTCCTCCAACAGCAGAGGGGGACACACTGTCGACCAGAGGCACATGCGGTGCATGGTCTAGTCCTGCCCCAGCCGCAGCTCTGTCGGAGAATGAGCTGGAATGCTCTTGGTTCACAGGATGCTCCAGTGTGCGCTGTAAGCAGCTTTTACTCCGTGTTGCAACTGCATTCATCATTTCTTTGGCTTCATGGATCTTGTCTTTAGCAACAGCAACAATCTGCAATGGAACGTTTTTTATGATTCACCATCATGTAACAAACAAGCAACTGAATACGTTTCTATACTTTTCCTCATCATCATACCTAATCATACCTAATCATTTGTACAATTCTGTGAAATGGGTGGAGTTGCATGATTAAATCATCTAACCCCTCTTAGTGGTCCAAAATGTGCTTGGCCCTGACCCTAACCTTCTTTACTAACGGGTCCCATGGGTGTTAGCCAGAGTTTGCACAAGAAAGGCCCACAGGAGCACACTGCGCCACCTACAGGCGAGTGAGTGACCCTGTATTAGGCCTCATGAATGTGACTGTGGACAAGGTTAGGGACAATCAAAGGAACTCTGTTCAAAATTTCTTAATTTTTTGGTCAGTTTAAAAAGCTTATAAAAGGCCTCTAAAACTTGATACTTCTAGTGACAATTCTTTAACCATTCGAGTCACATGCCCAAGCAAATTCTCACATCTCTGTTCTAATCCAGTTTTCACTATCCTCCCCAACTTTGACAAGCATTGTGGCATTCTAAAATTATAATGAAAGCAAAGGTAAAACTACTGGCAGACATGATCAGTTCATGTGGGTCCAGTCTATATGTAGGTAAGTAATGTAAGTAAAGTAAAAAGATTTACAAAATGTTAAGGAATCAATACATATTTCAAGGCCACTGCTGTGCAGATGCAGGGACACTGCTGGTCTGGGTTTTAACAGTTTGCACAGTTTGATCTCAAAGCAAAATTGTCTCATACAAACAATTAAAAGGAAAACATTGCGTAAACAATGTATCGAAGCCAGTTAAACTGAAACTTGTTTATGAACACAGCCATTATTAACCAGCCAAGTTATATGTGAACGTAAAAATGATTTTCTGTCAAGTGACCTCAGTCAGTAAAAGTAAGAATCTCGGCCCAAATTAAGGTAGTTGCTGGTAGTAACAAACAACATCTGTGTTTCACACTGAATTGCCCCTTTGGACATTTCAAATGTAAAAACAATGGAAGCTTTACCTGCCTTATGGCTGCTACATTACTTGAATGACAGGGAGATCTCACTACTTGCTTATTATTACAGGAAAGTGGAGAAGAAGCACTCATTATCAGGGGTATTTTTTGCTTCAGTGGAACAATGGAGCTTCAGAAGGTACAGGGGCAACGAGCAGCAGTCTTGTCCTGTTCTCAATGCCCCAGAGAAAGGATCTTTTCAGAGGAATAACATCCCTCTTTCCAACCAATGCCTTGATCTAAAACAATTAAGATATATGATAGGTGGTAAAGGAAGTTTACAAAACTGACAGCTAATTTGACATGTTTAGTTCCATGTTATGGATTCGTTTCAGCCTTCCTGCCAGAAAGTGCCTTTTTCAATCTGGAGCCTTATGTGTGCCACTTGAACTCACTTCTTCTGTTGGTGCCTGAAGCAACGGGAATGCAGACTCCAGCCAATCCAAACTTTTACAGGCAAACTCATTGGCGATGGATACTGCAAGAATACGCTCAAATGAAACTGATTCTTCATTGTAAAATGTTCCTGTACTCACTTTGAGGCTCCAGTACCACCACCACTGGAGACACGGTGTCTGATGCCAATGTGCAAAGATGTACTGCGCGGTGCTCCAAGGCCTCGCAGAAGAGCCTGACGTTGGGACGGGAGCGTTTGGCCCCAGTGTACAGGACAGTCAGCCGGGACCAAGCAGAGCGTAAGACGGGGAGCCGAGCCACCCTAACAGCGGCATTGTCCGCCTGCATCATCTACAGATAATACAATACAAATTACAATACATCCATGACAGAAACTGAGAAGACCGAGGACACAGGCTGACGACTACTGGCAGCTTTCAATTCATCATTACACACACCTGGTTGTTGTTCATCCTTTCTGCATAAACTCACGACAAACACTGATCACTGGGCACTAAATGTATTAAAGTGGCCTAATCAATCGATACGCGTGGTATGGGGCGTTGAAAATAAAATGCAACACGTGTCTTTTCTGTCCATAGGATTGTAATCTCGCGATCTTTACCTGCGCGACTGATGCGGCCTTGTGCTGATCACAGACTGTATGTGCTGAATGAACAGTGACTGAGTTAGTTGGGTGAATATTGCAATTAATTCAGTCATATTTGAAACGTGTAAGCCTGCATGTATAGCCCCAAATTCAGTGACAGTTTTAAAATGTGGAAGAAGTCTAGAGCACGTTTGTCGTGAAATGTCTCCAGGATTAGTGACGTGGTTTTAGAGAAATGGTTTGTATGAAGGTGTTACACTAGCAGAATAACAAGTATTTTCATGATCTAATATATGGACTGTGTGGCCTGTGGGGGCGTGTGGTCGTGGTCTGCGTGCGTGCCTGTACATCCATGGTGTGCACATAGGAGCACGCTGAGACCCACGAGCAACGCGTGGTGCTGATGCTGCTGATGCGGCGGCAAATGCCGCAGCATCCTGGGGTCTCCTCCTCCTCCCATCAGGGGGCCACTAAATGTTTCTGTATAACGGTCTGCGTCAGAGAGGAGGTGTCCTCCAGCCGTCTGGCAGACGATGGAACAGAAGCCGCACGTGGAGTGGGCGGTTCCCCAAACATGCTCTTCACGTGGCTCAAGCGCGTTGTGTTCTGATCCAAGCGCCTCTGTCAGTGCGCAACACCTACTGCACAGAGCAGCAGCAACAGCAGCAGTAACAACAAGAATACGAATGGCCGTAGAGATGGAGCCCTCTGAGTAAGTGATCTACAAGTTTCACTGCATGTTTGTATTTGCTGTAACGTGCTTCAATGATTTGTTAACTAGTCACCTGTCTGTTGTTGTGTGTGCATTTATCTGGCATTTATTTCATTATAAATTGTATTAAAACATAATTTCTGTATCCATGTGTTTGTAATGATACAGTGAATTATACCTACAAAGTCATCAGATTTAGCTTTGATTTGGTGTTTTTCCCTTTTGTGAACGTCTAAAATATTCCATGCCCTTTTTTATTATCTTATGTCCTAGAGCTGTGCAGGTGGTGTTTCCTAATTTAAACTGAACAGCAGGTGGCCCTGAAGTGGGGCAATAGTCTTCTTCTAACATGAATGTATGGCACTCTCGTGTATCTATCTTTAACTACTCTTTTCTTTAGATTTTATGTGTAATAATTACTTTTACAGCAGGGTTACATTGCTCTTCATTGCTACCAGATAGCCTTTTACATTGCCTGAGCTTTTTTTGGTTTGGCAGTGATGAATAAATCCTCTTTAGTAAGTACATCATACAGTGTGCACTTGTTCTTTCCTCTCCAGTGTGATCCGCCTTATAATGCAGTACCTCAAAGAGAACAACCTCCATCGAACTCTGAACACGTTACAAGAAGAAACTACGGTGTCTCTAAACACAGTGGTCAGCATTGACAGCTTTGTGGCCGACATAAACAGTGGCCACTGGGACTCGGTTCTGCTTGCCATTGAATCTCTCAAACTGCCAGACAACACTCTCATTGATCTGTATGAGCAGGTAAGGCACTGATAGTTTGAGCTTTGATATAATGATGCATCTTCAGCAAAAAAAATACATTACATTCAAATCAGTTTGAGTAATCCTGTATATGCAAGGATTAATATAAAATGTATTTCAATTGAAGTAAAAATGTGCAACTCCAATATCTGCAACAGGTTGTGATGGAGTTGATTGAGATGAGAGAAATTGGGGCTGCCCGCTCGCTCCTCAAACAGACCGACCCCATGATTATGCTCAAACAAACACAACCAGACAGATACAAACATTTGGAAAGCCTCCTAACGTGCACCTACTTTGACCCCAGAGAGGTTAGGAGATAAGTAAATAAAATAATAATAATAATTCATAATATCAGACAATAAAGGGTAACTGAATTGAATGTTTAAACCACAGGCCTATCCAAAGGGATGCAGCAAGGAGAAGCGGAGGAGAGCGATTGCTGAGGCTATGGTGAAGGAGGTGTGTGTGGTGCCTCCGTCACGCCTGATTGGATTGCTCGAACAAGTTGGTGTGAGTATGGGTTTTCCCTGTAGAAAAATAACATGTTTGAATAACATTTTGTTGAACTTCTATCTAGACTCAGAGGGTCCGCCACTACCAGGGACATCTCTCTCCAGACATGGGCTTTCACTCACCTAACAATGATCCAGTGGAAGAGGAGAGCTACCCAACACAATTGTACCGGCACATCAAAGTAAGACCCGACACCGTTCTGGTTTAAAAGAAAAAAAGTAAATTAAACATGACCCCAGTAATAAACTAAATGATTGCAGTTTGGGAGGAGGTCTCATGTAGAATGTGCCCGCTTCTCCCCGGATGGCAAATATCTGGTCACAGGATCAGTGGATGGCTTTGTAGAAGTTTGGAACTACATCACAGCGAATATTAGCAAAGTACGTTTTCCATTTTTTATTTGTAATCTGTAACTGAAATATGTTTCACATTTTACTAAATTCACTTTTGTCCCTTTTGATGTAATATCAAGGACCTGAAATACCAAGCACAAGACAGTTTCATGATGATGGATGAAGCAGTACTGTGCATGTGCTTCAGTCCAGATGGAGACATACTGGCCACAGGAGCCCAGAATGGAAAGATCAAGGTTAAATATAATATATATATATTATATATAATATAATAAAACAAAATATTTTGTTTACATCAGACCTAGTTTTAAATGATATTGTTTTGTCTTTTTTTTCTGAATAAAGATTTGGAAGATGCTGAGTGGTTTGTGTGTGCGGAGATTTGAACATGCGCACAGCAAAGGTGTCACTTGTTTGAGTTTTTCCAAGGACAGCAACCACATCCTCAGTGCCTCATTTGACCAGAGCATCAGGTACACGTGCAGCATTCTTACCTATGCACTTGGGAGCTCTGTTACATCCAACAGCTTTCATTTGTTTGTTCTTCTGTGGGCGGAAGAAATGTTGATGACTCTCTCAAGGCATCTTTCATTTCAGATCTCCCATTTGTCCCCACAGCCCACATAAAAAAAAAACAACCACATTCACAAATCGCAAACGTAAAAAACATTTAATCATGCATATTTCGAGGTGAAATCAAACCCAGGACCTTCTTGCTGTGAAGCCCAAGCACTAATTACTGCGCCACTATGCAGCCATTGTTATAAGGAAATGTGAAAATAGTGACTTTCTGTCAGGTGTTGGAAGATGGCTTGTATCTTGTCTGGACATTGCGTTACATAATAGCCAATGTAAAGGCGTACCGAAGTCAATACAGCCGAGGGAGTGTTTTGGGGGGGTTGGGTTGGATATGGGAGGCACATGTGCTGTGTGGGTGCAGACGAGATGCCATGTGCGCGGGTACAACGATACAACGTGTTCCAGACTGAGGAGAATTGTTTACATATGCAAAATGATCCTGAGACAGAACATCAGAGATTTGTCGCGCTTTCTCGAGTCTGTGCTCAGCGAAGTCTAAAAGCTGCAGCTAAATATAGCACAGTCGCCAGCGCAGCAACAGATTTCTCATATTTTCAAGGAGAGAGCTCGTGGACAGGAGCTTGTGCGTCATGTATGAACTTGGTGATCTCTTAATGCTGAATGTTGTTTACAGAATCCATGAGCTGAGGTCAGGAAAGACGCTGAAGGAGTTGACCGGACACACTTCCTTTGTTAACGATGCATGTTTCACACAAGATGGATTTCACATCATCAGTGCTTCATCAGATGGCACTGTCAAGGTAAACACATTGGCATAGTGGGAATTTAAAAAACAATTGTGGCGCCTTTATTTTCAATTCAAGGAGCATTTGGATTTTAGAAGAGCCCCTCAGGAATTTTTCTCTCTTAGTGTAGGTTTTTGTGGCAGGCTGCTCACATCTCGGGGGAACTTCATTCTTGGTAATAACTTATGGCAGCTTCAGGCAGGCGTTTAAAAAAATATGTACTTATCTTATATAGCCTACCTTTTAACTTGCAGCACTAGCAATTACAGGATGTTATAGATAGATAGATAGATAGACAGATAGATACTTTTCTCATCCCCATAGGAGAACTTCAGGTGTCCAGTAGCAGCAGAAACACAACATCCACACAAACAAAACACACACATTTATCATTCTAAAAAGTTATCATAATAATAAGAAATAGCACACATTATTGCTACCATGGCATGGCGTGTGTAGATAATTTTGAAGCTATTCACTTCAGATGAAAACAACCATCACATTGGACCCAAATATTTATTTTAATTAAAAATATACATTCTCTTCAATACTCAGCTGTATTTATTTTTCAGTTTTGGTTCTATTCATACATACATGTACTAATAGTGTTCAGGGAAATCTACCAGAAAAGAATGTCCAAATGTTATATAAAACTAAATATTTGGACAAATAACTTAAAAATATCAATAAAGAACAATGACCAATGACCACCACAAGAAAAGATTGAAATACACTTTTCTCAAAGAAAACAATGGATTCCTTGGTACAAAAGTATTATCTACAAAAAGGTTGTGGCCCTCAATAAGTTTTTTAGCTCGGCCCCAGACCAAATTTTTTTTTTGACACTCCTGCTACAGAAGGATTCAAGGACCAACTTCCCTCAGAACTGAAAGCCACTTTTTTCATGTGGTGACTTAATACTATATTGTACACTGATAAGATCATTTGTTGTATGCTTGCTTCAATGAGGAAGAAGTTTCATTTTTTACAGGATTGATATTTTTCCCTCTCTTCACTTTCAGGTCTGGAATACAAAAACATCTGATTGCGTCCACACATATAAATCCTTGACGTCTGAAGTCCCGATCAACAATGTGATTCCTCTGCCGCAAAAGCCGGACGAGTTTGTGGTCTGCAATCACTCCAACACCGTCGTCATCATGAACCTGCGCGGCCAAGTGAATACTCCAAAAAACATACGCTCAATTCCAACTTATGATGATTTCTCTTGTAACTTTCTCCACTCTTTTACCAATTCCTGAAGACGATCAAAAGTTTCAGTGCGAGCAGAAAGGAAAGCACAGGGTTTGTCTGCTGCGCGGTGTCGCCTCGTGGAGAGTGGATCTATTGTGTGGGAGAAGACATGGTGCTGTACTGCTTCAGCTACACCTCTGGACGCCTGGAGAAAACTCTGACCGTGAGCTCGCCTTCATGCTATCGATCATTCATTGGTTTCTTTAATTCAACTTACTGTGTGAAAAAGAAAGTTATGATATAGACCAGGCATGTCAAACTCATTTTTCAGACAATTTTTAGTCCCCCCTAAAAGCATTCTCAATTGTTATTATTATTATTATTATTATTAACATTATAACGGCATTGATGGTTATGGGCTACCAAGTAATGTTATTTTGGGTTTTCAAACATTTTAACCCAACAGATCATTAGAAGTAAAATGGTTGAATATAAAACAATGTGTTTAACTTTATATTTGGTCTAGTTTTGGTTAAATCTAAACAATAAACACATTTTGTTTTCAGAAAAATCAACCAGAAAGTAATAGTGAAACTCATGTCACGTAAAAGTCATGTCAAAATACCTTCCTGATGTAAAAATAATTTATAAGAAAAGGAAATCCCCTCTATTCTTTCGGCCCCAGACCAGTTCCTGTTTTTGACACCCCTGATATAAACTAATCAAATGCAAAGTGACACATGCTGGGCCTTTGATCCCTATAATTGTGACAATTATGGTTCAAAGTCTGTTTTTTTAGGAGTTTTTCCAAGCTGCGAACCTTTATTGCATGTAATGAGGACTTTTGAACAATATTCTAATTTTTCTGAATAATAGTTTTCTCTGGCCATTATCTATCATTAGTCTTGTAAATTGATCTGCGGATTTGCAATAATGTTCTTCTTTATACCTGCAGGTGCATGAGAAGGATGTAATTGGCATCGCTCACCACCCACACGACAGTCTGATTGCTACATTTAGTGAGGACGGCCTCCTAAGGCTGTGGAAACCTTGAATTTGTATCTATAAGGGTGGACTATGTACGTGTCCAGCTAAGATACAAAAAACGCCTTGTCCGATCATTTTTACGGTATTTGTGGGAAAATGTCATGTTCTTCCTTTCTACAAACTGCCAATAGCAAAGCAGTTCACCGTGCTGAAGTCCCTTTTTCATATGGTACAGTCTGTGACCGCTGACGTGAAGAACATTGCACCTACTGGCATCTCCAAAACAGCCATTCTTGAGGGTTGTCGTGATGTTAAAATACTTTTGTACCTTTGATGTGTTTTTTTGCATGCTACCTCAGTGCAGTGACCTAACTTGTGGCTCTACACACATTTTCTACTGATTATGAAAATGCATGACAACATACCTCATCTGTGAAGTCAGCTGTTAATCAATGTGCATAATAATAAACCACTTCATCCTTTGGAATTGTGTTGAAGACCTGTTTGATTGATGATGTCAGCGGAGTAGCCAGAACCGACTCCTTGCATTTTCGATCGACCATTTCTAAGGTAAATTATGAAAACTGGGACAAATAGACTCCATAATGTTGAATGCTGATGATACATTATAGAATGCCAAAGACCAGTAAAGCTCAGGTCAGGTGTGAAAAGAGGACCAGGCAAATTTCCCAGACCAGTGCATGAAGGAGTGGGCTGGCCTGTTTTGCCAGCTTTTAGTAGATAGATACTTTATTGATCCCCGTAGGAGAAATTCAGGTGTCCAGTAACAGCAAAAAAAAAATTGATCATTCTAAATACATAATAGTAATAATCAGCAACAACCCTTTAGGTCACAGCAGCAGAGGTGGAGTAGCCTGTGGGTGGAGCAGGACAGGTCAAAAGGTTGAGTACCCGCTTGATTCGGACCATTTTCTCTGCTCTGGTCCAAATTAAAATGCTAAATTAGCTTTTAACAAATTAATGTGTGAATGGCAGCCTGATTGGTTCAGTTCATGTTCTATTTCAGTAGGAGAAAAGGTGACTATAGTAGTTAAGTATTGGTCATAGACAATGCAACTCTGTGGGAAAGAAGCAATTTTTGCAATGTTTTCCCTTATCATTCTTATCTCTGAAAGTAATTCGACAATAATTTTTGTATCATTATGATTGACCCAGAAATTAGTTCTAAACTAATCAAGTTATTTACCAACAAAGAATTTTAAGCCTCCGTCCACCACAGAACTAAAGGCTCTTTGTAATGCTGTGATGTCACATGATCATAACCAATAGGCTAATTCTGTATGTTAGGGGATGACAACATTCAGTGAAAATGTGATTTTACAGACTGAGAAAACTATACAATGGCAAATTTATTGTTTGTAGGTGTTCAATTACAAATACATTTGTTGCATAAAGGTAATCATGTGACAGCCTGACATGAAAACAATGCTTTATAACAAGACGCTGGTGGTCCCAGAGCGACGCTTATTTGGCTGCTGGGGCAAGAAATGTTGGACACTCAGTTTTCATGCCATTATTAAAAATTTGAATTATTTTGGGGCAAAACATTACCACAATATTTACCATAATAAACATGATAGAAACATTATAGTAGCTTGACATAAATGTTGACTAAGCACAAATGTTGAATGTGAAAAATTTTAAAACAAGGCACCAAGTAAACACTATTTTTCATAATTACACAGATGAAAGTTTTGGTCCTGGTCTGAAAAAGGTGACCCAAAAAGGGTCTGCAATATTTTCACATTACTTTCAAGATGCATTGCTGGAATAAATAATTAGGCAAAAACAGTATAGACAGCTGAACAGAAGACATACAATAGTTGGATTCTACCCCACAGAGCTTTAACTCGATTGTTGTAAGTTTGAAGTTGTTTAAAAAACAGCCCTATAAATGACTGATAATCCTTGAGAAGCTTGTACCACCTGAAAACAGAACCCTTACATCAAGTTGCTTTGTATTAACAATTGTTATTGATATTCTACAATAATTTAAACATTAATATTTGCATACTTTATATGCAACATTGGATCAAAATATAACAAAGCAACAGCCCTGCTTTGCTGAAGTCTCTCCATCATAGACTTTGATCACAGTGTAAAAAGCAAAACTAAAACTACACTAAACCTAATTTAGATTTAAGAATAGTGTTTAGAATATAATGCTTTCTTCTCGCATAGAATAATTACAACGGTATTCATAACATTCAACTGTTATGACAATGGTTTTTAGATCTGGCAAAAGAAAACATTGATAATCTTCACTATGTGGAGAGGTGCTTTTGTCAACAATTACCATTCAATAAAAACGTTCATAAATTCAATGAATTAAATTCTTTAAGAAGTGTGACACTGAACCCCTCCAGCACTTGCATAGTCGTCATCATCCACATAGTAGTAATGACTTCCACGTCTTCTTCTGTTCTCAAAGTCGCACTCCTCCAAGTCAGCGTAAATGTACAAGTCGTCATCCATGCTCTCAGGCTCCTCCACCTCCGTCTTTGCAGGAAAGTAACGTTCCAGCTCCTTCAGTTTTTGTTGCGGGAGGAAATTTGCTGGAGGAAACACAACCTAAAATACACACGAAAATGTTACTTCAGTAAAACATAACATATTTTCAAAGTGTGAAATACTTACCGAAAAGCTGATAATAAGACGTCCCTTTTCAAAAGGTCTACGGTGGAGAGGCATGCCTTCATTCACGACGCATTTTGTGTCCCCAGGTTTAATCAGCTCTCCTGTGGAAAGTATCCAAGCTCAATACATGACACTTTTGCAGATAAAGCAGGCCCTTGTCCTAGTGTACCTGGATGAGTGGTGATCAGAAGTGTTCTATCGTCAAGTGTTTGAACAGGTTTCTGAAAACCACATAAAGCCTCCACCAGCTGCAGCTCCATGGACATTACCAGGTCCTGTCCCTTTCTGAAAAAAGTCAAAATAATCAAAAGGACATCTGTTTGTAAGCATAGCAATGAAGTCATAAAAAGACTCTTACCTGGTGAATCGAGAATGCTCCTGCTGGTCCAGAACAAAGATGATATCACCAGGCTCAATACCAGGTTCTTGGTCGCCTTCTCCATGGAATACTACTTTTTGTCCATCTCTCATTCCTGTTGCAGAAATACATTCATGGTCACCTTGTATTAGCTACCCAAACTGTGAAACATATATTCTTGCTTCAACCCTCACCTTTGTCAATATGAACCTCCAGGATCTTCTTCTGTCGCACTATCTTCCGACCCGCACATGCTTTACAGCGATCCTTATGACTGATTCTTTGGCCACGGCCCTCACAGTGGGGACACATAGTGGAGACCTGCTGGACCATACCGGGCAGAAGCTGGTGGACACGAACTTGCATGCCTGTACCCTGACATGACATACATGTCTGTGCTGCTCCTTTGCGGCTCCCACGACCTTACAAATACAAAATATACATAGCCATTTGGAATTCTAATTTTGACACAGTTGTAGTTAAAAAGTCATTAAGCTCTTAATTTACTAGAAATGGACGAGATAGACATGGGGCACTCAGACAATGGAGAAGTCTCTCATTTTAAAAACTATTCCAACATTATTTGTTCTCATGATCATAGTTTAGCCTCAAAACTAAAATAAACGTGAATAAAATGTAATGCTCAACCACTTGTCTCTTTCTCACAACTTTCTTAAACTTTCAAGAAATCACATCCATAAAAATCTACATTTAACACTATTTCAGTAAATAAGCAACGGTTTTGTGTAGCAAATATGCAAAACACTTCTCACCTTCACACTTTTCACACAGCATATTCTTCTGGACAGCCAGTTTTCTTGTTGCACCGTTGTAAAGGTCCTCCAAGGATACACTTATTTGATGGACAATATTTTTTCCTGTATTAAAACATACATCAAAATGTGAATTAAATACAAGTACATTTGAACATTAATGGTCGCTAATATTTCAGTTGCAGTTTTGTGTCATCTGACCTTTTCGTTCTCTGTGCATTCGGCTGCCTCCTCCAAAGAACATATCAAAAATGTCCATGGGAGATGCGAAGTTCCCACCTCCCCCAGTGCCACCTTCTTTGATCGCCTTTTCACCTCCTCGGTCATACAAGTCTCTTTTTTTAGCATCTGACAACACTTCATACGCCTGTGAAATCTGCTTGAACTATGAGATAGTAAATGAAATCCTGTTAGTTACATAGAAGTAGTTTTTGACCCAACACAAGTTCAACTTACCTTCTCTCCCTCGGTGGGGTTTTTGTCCGGATGGTATTTCAAAGCCAGTTTGCGGTACGCCTTTTTCAGCTCATCTGGAGTTGCAGTGGGATTTACTCCCAATATGTCATAAAAAATAGTTTCTTTCACCATGACTGAGTTGTATGACGCTATTGGGATGAAAACAAGGATAGATAAGCGGACAAGCAACATTTGTCAAACTTTGTGCTGATGTTACATATACAATTTCGACAAGTTTAGATAGATTATCTATGTGAGAATGCTCAGTACTGATGAAAAAAGGCTCCTGTAAAAGTGTTATACATATACAAAATTATAGTGTTGTCAAGCCTGAAAAAACCCCGTTTCCGTCTATGATTAATATAGAGCTAGCATTGACAAAAAAGAGCTAGCATTAACGTTACATTTTAAACCAAAACCTTCATCTGTGGAAGAGCAACTACCAACACGATGTTCTTAATACACAACTACGAACATCAATAAACATCACCATTCATAATTACAGCGTTGCATAGTATTATTAAGCCTATTACGACCTTTAATAACAATGTACCCACGTGAGCTAACAAGGCAAATAAGAGCTATCGATAGCCCAACAACGTTTTACCAAATACACGCAAATAAAATCTCACCAAGCCACAAATACGCGTGTTGTCTCCCGTTGACTCGTCGTTATGGCAAAACTCAAGCTTAATGATAAAAGGTTCGATGTACAGATGCAATCCTTTACAGTACGGAAACCTTTGAGGGCTGTTTAGCAATGAGAAGGCGGCCCGCTGACGTCATCACCCTGCGCCGACACGTCACAAATGCTTGGCCAGCGTGTTTCAATTGCAAAATGAACGTTTGCTGGCTTATAAGCGAAGAGCGACTTCACAAACCAATCAAGCTGCTTCACTGGCATGCAGTTGTCCTGGGTCGAGGACCTGAAACCAAAATTAAAGACAAAAAATGTTCCCGTCGCCAAGGTACGCGGGTGATAGTTGCACCCATGGATCTGTAATAATAACGGTTGCACCAAGACTCCGTGTTATCACCTGCTTGTCAGGAGTGTTCGGCATAGAAAGACATCGTTATTACGTAAAGGTGCACTGTGACATGACAAAGTTTATGATACAAAAAACACCGCTTGGTTGTGTTGCTTATTAAATTGTTTTTCTTGGAATATTCTAAAGTGGCATCATTGAGGAAGCGGTAACAGTTTGATCAGGTCCACGCGTCGCCACTAAAATACATGGCAATGTGATATCATCATGCTAACTTACAGGTCATATGCGGAGATGAGCCAAGCCAATGTACGAATTCAGATTTTGAGCACTAATGCTTACGTCTAAAGTGCCGGTAATTCAAACGTATCTGAATGTTACTTAACAACATATCCGTGGCAACGGACGGGCAGCAGACCACGTGTATTTGTTATGAATTGGCTGCATTCATTAATTCTGTTTTTTCTTTTTCTTCAGTTGAACTGAAAGCAGACTACAACAAAGGTTATGCCAAAGTCAAACAGGTGGGAAAACATTAAAATAGTACTTGCATATTACGGATTATCACTGATATAACCTTTTTTTTATTTCAAAGCTGGGCTTTAATCCAACATCAATGGATTCAACAGTTATTGGAAAGGGGAATGAGGTGAAGATGAAGCCTGGACAGCTGTTGCACATTGTCAATGAGCTTTACCCCTATACTATACAGTTCAAAGAAGAAAGTAGTGGTGAGCAGCGTGGAGTCAAACGACCACGCGAGCCTATTCCTGTGGCCAATGAAACTTCTGGACATGCTTCCAGCCAAGCTACTACTAAGAACAATGAAAAGGAAAAGTCTACTCAGTCAGAGAGTCATCCTAACCAAGCCTCAAAGAACGTTGTAAGCATAGAGCCGTTGCAATATTGAATGAATGTTTGACAGTTACTATTAGGCACAGATATAAATATAAATGTCTTGTATACTTTTTGTTGCAGGGAGGGATTGGGCTTTGGAACCAAGGTCTGAAAGTATCAATGCAAGACCCCAAAATGCAGGTTGGTCATATAGGATACAATTTATTAATTGTTTATAATATTTATGATTAACATTATGCTATTACATAATAATGATTAACATTATGCTATTCATTGATTGTTTTATATTGTGATTGTAGCTTTACAAAGATGAGAAAGTGGTAGTTATTAAAGACAAATACCCCAAGGCTCGCTACCACTGGCTAGTACTTCCATGGCAGTCTATTCCCAATCTGAAGGCACTACGAAAAGAGCATTGTGACCTAGTGAGGCACATGCACAAAGTTGGAGAGCAGATGGTTTGCCAATGCCCAGACTCTGACTCCTTGCGTTTTCGCCTTGGCTACCATGCCATCCCCAGTATGAGGTTAGTATGAGGTATATGTGCCACTATTTATGTATACCTGAACTAAGCATGATATGACATACTGCGGATTAGAACAAGATTAGATTACTGACTTCTATACCTTTTGCAGCCATGTTCACCTTCATGTGATAAGCCAGGACTTTGACTCCCCATGCTTAAAGAACAAGAAACACTGGAATTCATTTACCACAGATTATTTTATTGAATCAAAGGGTGAGAAATAGGCTTTGTAATTTGTATATATTTCTGTATTACATTTGAATTTATAATGTGGTTATTGCAGATGTTCTTCAAATGCTCGAATCAGAAGGAAGAGTTGGTGTTGAAGAAGGCACAAGTGAATTGCTGAAAATACCTCTTCGCTGTCACATGTGTGCCAAAGAGCTTGCAACTATACCTGCGCTTAAGGAACATCTCAAAATACACTTCTAAAGAGATTACCTAACGTATTCCCCATCACAAATATTACATTGTTTTGTCCCAACTGAACCAATCATTCATCAATCTATCATTCATCAATCTAAACCATTAGAAAGAGCTGTAAGGGGATTTTCCAAGTTTGATTTCTATTAAAAACATTTTTTTGTTATTGAATTATGTTGTGTTATGTTTTAACTTTACTCAAGATTGAGCTCATAGCTTTGTCACCACCTAGTGGAAGCTTTCATAAACTACAGCGATTTGGTAAATACGAAGAATCCATTCGTACTCTAAACACAAGTTTGTAACTGATGTCATGTTTTAAATGTATGTAACATTTACATTTCAACCTTGACCAAAAATTAAAAAGACAGTGGCCCGTACGGGGATCGAACCCGCGACCTTGGCGTTATTAGCACCACGCTCTAACCAACTGAGCTAACCGGCCACTTGCGCAGAATCATTAAATATACGTATATCAAACAATTCTACTGTACAGAGCCTGTCAGACAACTCATCCGTCCATTTTTTACATAAATATTTGCACAATTTGCTAATAAAATTGAAAGTCGCACATTAGACAATTGCAGAGCGATTTGAAGACGCTTTGAAGTTTACAAGTCGACTCAGTTCATAGTAACAATTGAGTAATGTTATCTTCTGAGGCTTAGCTCCCGTTCATCCTCATCAGGCACCATCATGTTGTCAAAAGAATAATTTGCGTCATCTCCAATGTCCTGGAAGAAGTACTCTTCACTCTCGCAGCTCTGGGTGCCGTTCACGCACTGCGTAATGTTGCGTACCTCTGCGCTGGTGTTGCTGCTGTTGCTGTTTTCGTCACTTTGCGAGCTGTGCGAGCTTTCACTGGACTCGGAGGAGGAGGAGGAAGTCTCATTGCTCTCGCTGCTCTCGCTACTATCAGCAGTGACGGTAATGAGGCCCGTGGTCCTGGGGATCTCTGCGCTCTCGCTGCTGGAGGAACTCACTCCGGTGGTCTTACTTTCTAGCAGTGACAACACCTTCTGTTTCATCGTCTTCGCAGTAGGGGCTGAGATGGGCTGCTTTTCTGATAATTTGACGAGAAGCTCTGGCTGCTTCACTTCAGTGCTGTTGTCCTCTACGCTGTTGTTTTGTGCAACTGTCGAATAGACTTGAACAAAGCTCTATAAAAACAAAACAAGAACATAGTTATAGTGAGTTGTCTGTACGTGAGAGGAGCCAATTAAGTGAACGGTACCTTTCTAATGTTCTCTTCACTGCCCATGCTGTCATCTCTTGTTTCAGCCAGCATCTCCAAGTTCTAGAGAAAAGTGTACTCAATTATATTGAGAAGCCCACAATGATAATACAAAATATCGACATACCTCATTTGATTCAAGTGAGTCACTTTCTTCTGATGTCTGTAAATTACAGAGACACATGAATGCATAGATTAGTTACTTTTTTACTTACTAAACAAGAATGAATGCATTGTTGGTTTACAACTCACATTGTCACTAGATGCTGATTCTACAGATTCTGAAGATTCTGACTCAGAACTCTAGAAAAATATAAAAACAAAAGGAATTAATCAATAAAGACCAAGTGACAAAACTTAAAATAGCAACAAGAAGTATTGCATTCAAGTACAGTAGACTTTACCTGAATGCCAGAGGTCTCATTTCCAGATGATTGTGCAATGAACAAGGTCTCTGTCTGAAAAGACAGAAATATACAGTCACCCAGAATGTAATTATACTCTATAGCTGCAACAGAACAATTAAGATTCATCTCCACAATCATTCTGTAATTTATAAGAACAGAATCCATTCATTCAAAAGTTACCCATTATTGCAAAACGGCCCAGACGAAGTAAACCTCAGGTGTGGGATAAAAGTAAATACACTCTTCAGAATCTCAATCTTTTTTATTGCCGTTGTGAGTGACACAAAGTCACATTAACACAGTTATGTCTTCTATCAGTATCATTACTTACCGAGTTCGTATTTATCTCTGAGGAATCCAAATTGATTTTGATGGTAATCTATAAGAGAACACAATTAATTTTTAATCAGTTTCATTTACCGAATTACAAAATGCAATGATTACAATATGATAAATAAATTATTACAATTGTACAGAATCATAGTATTACAAAAGTGAATACAAAAATTGTGACTACCTTTGCATGTAATTGATGTGAAGCAATTTGGATAAGATATGTTACTAAATAGAATTATCAATAACATAGAGGGCTTTCATAGCCATTTTGTAATAGCAATAGTATTTTTGCATTAAATTAACATGACTTCACAATATAATACACCAAATGAATCGTGCAACAAACTGCATGTGCTCTGTTTTACGCAAGTTAAAGTACAATTTACTTACTGGATTTGCAACGATTGCACAGAAGAGACAAGCAAATATCACAATAACCTTCATTCTGAAAAAATAGAATAAAAATTACAATCACTTCCATGAATGAACCATTGAAATCTAAACCATGCGTTACCTCGTCTTTGTCTTAAGGGCCCAAGGCTTTGGTGAATTCTTGAGATGAAAGTGCTCTCGGAGAGGTACCAGTCAATCAGCGGCTGTCTGTGGATGTGATGCTGATGAGACCCAGCTCCACTGTATATAAGTAATGCCCATTAAGACACTTGCATCACTTCCTTCCGGGTCTGAGTCCTCCCAACATCAAAAATGTTTTTTCTCTGAGACGGAGCTGGAGACACACAAAATAGAAAGCAGACGATAATTGGACTTGCAAAAACACCCTGGGCTGGTTCATTCAGACACTACATTCTCTCCTCCCCCTGTCAGTCTTAAATTTGAAATATAGTTTAGCATCGTCAACCATAGGGTTCGTGGCCTGGTGAAAAAACACACTCGCCCACTCAGGGAGGAAAGAGCCAGGTCGGGTCATGCTTGTTTCCGGTCAAATTTAGACAGCATCTGCCTTTTACAAGTTGAGTCAGCTACTGATGTTTGAATACATTTATTTTACATTTTCCATCACTGCCATATGTCTGTGCGTCATTATACAGAATACAGAATTTACATCCAATCATCTATTTTTAGGCTGTAGAGTTGGGTTGTCCTTACAAGGAGGTACAGTAACATCCGTATAAAGAAAAATACCATGAACATCATAATTGCTTCCTGGAAATCCATATATGGCCAAGCTTATAATAAGGTTTCAGAATTCCTTGTTTAACCTCACAGTGGATTTCCAGCCTGCTAAAGAGACATGTAATTAGAGTGTGTATCCACCAGTCTGGAGCTGTTTGCCCAAACCACAGCTGCCAGCGCTGGAGGGGCACTGTTTTACCCAGAGGCGGAGGCTGAGAGACGGATGCTTGTGTTTGTGGCAGTTTTTATATTGTTATCCACATGTGTTGCTAAATCTTATCTGAAAGAAAAGATTTAAAAGCAGTTGCAGTAAACAACCTGTTGTTACAAACATAATGTTACAAAACTACAGAGGCACAATGCATTCCTGAGAGCCAAGTTTTTGTTACAAATTGAAGAAAATGTCTAGTGATGTCGAAATGGTGTCTTGGCAGAAGACACAGCGTGAATTTGACCATTGAAATCCACAATCTACAGACTGTGTTTTGATATACAAGTGAAAAAAACCTAAAAAAAAATCATGTCTCAGGTTTTTAGTCCTAGTGCAAGTGACACTAGGACTAAAAACTTGCACTGCTATTGCCACTGTTTCTTTAATTACCACTTTTTATTGTACATAAAAAATCCTGCACAGACTATATTTTTTTCCTTTAACATGTTTGCACACTTCTGTCTTGTCTTATCTTATCTCTTTTCGTTATAAGAAATATACTCAGGTGATCAGGTCACAGCAATTTGCATCTATTCAATTCAATTCAATTTATTCTTGTACAGCCCTAAATCACAACAGTAGTTATCTCAGACTCAACAAACCCGACACAGATGAGAAAATCAAACAGTTAAAAAAAATAGATAAATATAGAACACATAAGTATTGGTCCATAATGTAAGTAAGTAAGTAAGTAAGTCATGTTTATTTATATACTGCCTTTCACCGACCAGAGTCACAAAGCGGTTTACAATTGTTATTATTTTGGGCATTTGTCTCTCACTCCACACAGAGATGGGAGCGGGGTCGCCAGTACAGGAAGCACATGCCAGACCTATTGGACATATTTTTAGTGGTAGGGGAAACCGGAGTACCCGGAGGAAACCTACGCAGACACAGGGAGAACATGCAAACTCCACTCAGAAAGGCCCTGGTCCAACCGGGATTCGAACCCAGGACCTTTATGGACCATTCATAGACATTTATCAATGTCCATGAATGTTGATAAATGTCCATGTTTGGATTTGAACACCAGGCTGCGACACAGATTTTCCTCTATAACGCACGCCCTCTTTTGATTTCATCTGAAGTATAATGGAGAGTATTGACATGTTCTTAATGTGTTTGGTGTCGATTGTCTGCAACTTTCTCTTATCTACATGTCCGGGCTGCTCACTGCAATGGCAAAAAAAAAATCAAAATGAGTATTCTCATCGCAGTAAAAGCAGGGCAGTTTTGCAGCAGAGACATAAACACAATGAAAAGCAGAAGACAAACTAAACACAACTCACTCTCATTTCCAAATGTGTGCCCAACCAGGGAAGAGTGAGGTCTGTGTAAAAATGGTCGTAGAACGGTCCGTGTACTTTTGCGTTCAATACATTTTTTATTTTTGAAGGAAAATTGAAAATCGAAAAAAGACTATTTTGCATTTTCAGGCACACAACAATATACAAAAATGACCATTTAGGTTTTTTTCATTGCTTATAAGACATATATATATACATATATATATATATATATATTTAGGTTTTTTTCATTGCTTATAAGACATATATATATACATATATATATATTATAATAACTGGATTTGGGAACTAGAAAATGCAATAATTAACCTTTTTAATGTGTATTTAATTAATATATTTCGGTGTCAATCAATTACCCGGAAGTGAAACAAGTTTGTTTACTTCAGCCCTATTCGTTCTAATTAGTATAATTTATTACGCAAATGACCTCCTGTATTTGTCCAAACACAGACGTCCTCTGATAATATTAATCCCGTGAGAATCTACATGTCAGTGATTGTAATCGCTATTGCTGCTTTCTCTTGCCACTCTTGCGTTGTTTTGTCAATGAGCAGAGGAGTCGCGGATCGCGGCTGTGTACACAGCTGCAGAGCATAGACTGTAAAAATTAATGGACAGAGTCACGCCTATCTCTGCCGTTCTAACTAATGGGCCAAAAAATGTGCTCTACTGGAGCTATCCAAAATGGCCGCGAGTGTCCCGCCCATAAGAAAATTGTGAAAAAACACATCTGCGCATGCGTCAGCCGGCGAGAGCTCCATTCATTTGAACGAGAGACTTAAAAAATTCACAGCAAGTAAACTAGAGTGGACCAAATAAATCCACCCCCCTCAGCATTGACACACATGTGGAACGGAGCTTTGGGCCAAGAGCCAACTTTTGGTCCATCCTGTAAAGACGTTTTCGAGAGATGCTATATGTTAGCATTGGCTAATTCTTCTTCTGGGTCTACCCCCATCGGCCCGGGGTGGTATTGCAAGCATGTCAGCGGACGTCATTTTGGCCACTTTTGAGCCGAAACCCGCCCCCACTGGTCGTAATACTAATCCCGTGCGAGTAAACAAACTTGTTTCACTTCGGGTAATCGATTGACGCTGAAATGTATTAAATACATAATAAAAAAAGGTTAATTATTGCATTTGCATTATTGCATCCGGTTAAGCAATGAAAAAACCAAAAGGGTAATTTTTTTATATTGCTTTGTGCCTGAAAATGCAAAATAGCCTTTTTTCGATTTTCTATTTCCCTTCAAAAATAGAAAATGTATTGAACGCAAAAGTACACGGATCTAGAACAATGGACATTAGTCAATTTATTTCTAACAGTAAATCCTGATAAAACAACAATTAGTGTTGACTTTGTGAATAAACCAAAATGTAAAGCTCTTTGTTCTTGTCTACAAACTAATATATATTGCATTATTGTGGTGGGGTGGTCAAAGGTTTTTAAAAATATCAGCTACTTATTCTAAAACCAGTATCAAAACTTCTCTAATTTGAATAAGCACTGAGTAGAAAACACAGGACCTGGACAAATGTGGATTCTGTCAGACGGTGACAGAGGATTTAGATCATTTATTTTTCTCTTGTGAATCTGTCCAGTTATTCTGGTTTGACTTTCAACAAGGGATACGGATCGAAGGAATTTTACTGCCAAGTTTAGCTATTCATGATGTAATGTTTGGTATTTCCTCTACTAATAGTTTAACTGAATATGGTGTTAATAATCTTATATTGTTAGCTAAACATTACATTCACAAGTGCCGTTTTTTTAATTCATTGTTTCCGTTTTTTTAATTCATTGGAGGAATGAGTTCAAACTATTCTATACTTCACTCAATCTCATAAAATCTAAGAATGCTACTAAACTTTTATCATTTATTGACACATGCCCTTTACATTTACAGATGACAACAAACGTATGCCCTGGTTTTTGTTTTATTTTTTAGTTTGTCTTTTTTGTATTTGTATATCATGATTGTTATCTGTATTTTGAGGCATCTGTTTTGTTTGTATTATGTTTAAATATATAATAAAAAATAAAATAAAAAATAAAACACAGGACCATTTCCTGTAAACTAATAGTGTAGTGCAGTATTGTGCCACAGTGACATCTAGAGGCCAAAACTATGAACAAGAATCAAACGAAAACTAATTGAAGAAAATCTTATTCAACATTCCAACATCAATTTGTGTCTTCAGTGAAATAACATATATGCAACTGTTTTAAACCAATCCCATTATTTGATTATATTGAATAATAAAGAAATGGTATAATGTAGGTCTGGTTAGTCTAAGTTATACTAGAGCTCACACATTTGTTTGTGTAATTATAGAACCACTGGGCTCTGGGACTGTTTACACATAATAAGAATGTTAACTCAGAATCAAAAACATCTGTGTTTTTTTTAACCTATTTTGAAAGTGATCATTTTGCATAAATAAAGTTAGTTTGTCAAGGAATGGAAACATTGGTTGAGAGCAGTGTTTGAGCAGTTGACTGGTGAGATGGGTTGGGAACAGTTAAGATTCTGCTTCATCCAACCTGTTTTTACCTTAAACACGTGTGAAATTGTGTTCTGCAGGTTTGAAATAAATTAAACTAACTAGAGCTGATAACACCACCCTAGGTATAGACAGAACTCCCAATAAAAACAAAACAAATGGCCGACCTTGATACTGGCTTCCCGTTATTTTTGTATCATATTGTACGCATATACCTGTCATTGGCAATTTACGTTTTCTATTTTGTTCCAGCCGTAACAGGCACAGTAGTAGATCACACTGACTTATATGGAATCAATGAATACTTCAGAACTATTGACTTCGGTTTGCAGACTCTGAAGGGACCACTGTGATGTCACGTGTGGCAGGACCCCTCTGCTGTTGTGGTGTGGCGGAGGGGGGCTTCTGTGTGATGCATGTGCGCCGCTGAGGACGGTGGTCTGCAGACAGGTGCGTCACATCCGTGTGTGAGGTTTGCGTCTGCTTCAGCCTCAGGTAAAGTCTCTCTTCATTTAACTTTTGCAATTTTTTTTTGTATCTTTTAGAACGTAAGTCAGATGCAAACCACATGTATATTTCCTGATTTAAATTAATCGTTGTTATTCAGCAAACCTTTAGATGTCATGGTGCTCGATGTTGCTAATTATTTTTGTGTGATGAAGAATTTTTTTAGAATTTAGTTACAAAATTCTTAAAACTTGCATTTATTTGTATTTTGTACGAATACATGATTCTTAACACGAGAATATTTTCAAGTGGATTTGAATTAATTTAGAAGTAATATTGACTCCTCATGAATAACAATGTTTTAAGCTTAAATCAGCGGTTAGAGCTTGTGCTTCACAGCAAGTAGGTCCTGGGTTCAGTTCCATCTCCAGGCCTGTCTGTGTGGAGTTTGCATGTTCTCCCCATGTCTGCGTAGGTTTCTTCCAGGTGCTCCGGTTTCCTCTACAACTAAAAACACACACAATGAGTCTTAAGTGAATAGATGATAGGTTGGAGGCTTTGATGCCAGTGTTTTGGGAGTCTCGCTTTCGCTCACATCACCGTGTGTGGAGTGAATGGAAAAATATCTGAACTCTGAACATTGTAAAGCACTTTGGTGACAATGGTCTGTAAAAAGTCTGCTAGATAAATAAAATAAAGATTACTTACTTACTTAGGTTATATGGTTCTATTAGAGTTCTGTTTTATTGAATTCTTGAAATACTGTCTTGCTCAATTGCATAGTATAACAAATCAAATGCACCACTAGAATGTGGTAAATATGCAAAGAATATGCATTTATGTTTTGGGTAAAGAAAGTAGAGATAGATTATGTGCGCTATGTTATTATAGATCCATGCGAACGCTACTCAACTTTCCTGGTAACGGGTCCATCTAGGTCAGTGGTGGGCAAACCCCGGCCCGTGGGCCAGATGCGGCCCTTTGGATGCTTCTATCAGGCCCCTGAGCCCTCCTCAATTTATATAGATTAAGATTAAGATCAAGAGAGATTAGGATTAAGAACATTTATTCATCCCACAGTGGCGTAATTTCAGTTTAAACATCATACCCCTCTGTGCTGTGTGCAGAACTTTTTTCCTTTAAACCAAACATTAATGTTTAAATTGAAGCTTGAAAAAAAACATTGGAATATCAGACGCTGTCGGGATCCGGACCGAAATTCCAATGTGGCCCTCAGGAGGAAAAGTTTGCCCATGTCTGATCTAGGTCCATCTTGGGCCCAAAGAGGTGGACTCTCCACTGTGAGCTAAATACACTTCTGATAGCACCACACAAGAGCACCCTTGTTTTACTTTGTTTGAATCCATTCACTTGTGAAGTGAGTGTTTAGACAGGAATGTTCCACAGTATGACATTTGACTTTGGAGAAACTGAACTGAAGTTACTTCTGTTGTTTTCCATATTGCGCATCAGCTTTCGCTATAAGCACCATGAGGCTACTGTTTGTCTATGTGTTCTGTATCTGTCCCCACTCAAAATAAACCAAATAGTAATAATAATAACAGTGAAATAGGTTCCATCAGAAAAAGTGTTGCTGTTGCTGAAGCAACCATCGGAGAGCACAGTATTCTACTACAAATAGACAAAATAATTCCAGCTGCGTTCTCAGAGATGGTTAGCTCTGCTGCTCCAGTGAACCCTGAGCTTTTCTGTCTCTGGTTCATGGGCTGATAATGTCAGCTTTGTTTTCAGCCAGTGGAACAAAAACCTTGTAGACTTAGTCACATTTCTTCCAGTCTGGTGACTTGCAGTTGCTCACACAACAGTAGCTATGACGACAGGATGATGGACATACCGTAAAATGCAAATATACTTCATTTAAATTCCCAAAGTTTGATTGGTGGAAGAATAGAAAATGAATTTTTTTCATTTAATGTACACTGTATTTCAGATATGAAGACCTGCTTGATTTTCATTTGCTTTCTGACAGCTACATTCAGGGTAAGAAATAAAAAAACAAAAAAATCTTAATCTTGCTTGACTGTGAAAAAGTATTTTATCATGTTGTATTGGGTATCTGCCCAATTGAAGGTAAAAGGGACACCACATGTTAAACATCATGGGGCACACAAAAGTTCCCATAGTGACAACACAAAGGTAATGCTTTAGATTCATGTTTGCACTTCTACAAACATGTGTCTTATTTCATTCTCTTTTTCCTTGATCAAGGCTGGTCCCACAGAGAAGCTCCTTCAGGCTGCAGTGACCTCACACGAGGACATTAGACCGGAGAAAGATGAAGGAGTAACAGAGGTGATGGATTCAGTCTCTGAGGACCGTGCTGTGCTGATGAGTGAGGAGGACCTGGAGACTCTCGTGAAGACACACGATCGTGAAGAAGATGAAAGCACTGAGAATAAACCAGAAATGAAGGCGGCAGACCAAGTGAAGGAAATCATTGACAAAACTGGGCCCAAACATGAAAAAATGCTTGAATTGGTTGAAAGCAGCGCTGACTCAGAAATTCCTGTTGATTTGGACTACGCCAGCGACAGCACCAGCTTCCACCCCATCAATATCGTACAAGTCAAAGAGATGGATGAAAAACCCCTGCCCGATGTGGACGAAGTAAACAGCCAAGCGGTTCAAAAGAATGAGGCCAAATCTAAAGAAAAAGAACATGATAAATTCAATATTGACAAACACGAGATCAAAGATGAGGAACATGACGCTGCAGAGATTCAGAATGACATGCCGGTGGGAGAGGTGGAGGAGGGGAAGAACGACAGCAACGTTCAAGGCAGCAAGAAGCAAAGGAAGCAGAAGAAGAAGCAGCGATCCAAGAAGCAGTCTCCTCAAAAAGACGAGCCCCAGGTTGGAGTAGAGGCGACCACGCAAGAACCGGTCAAGTCCGAGGGAAATAGCACCGACACTGCAGCACACAAGACCAAGAGGAGGAGGGCCGGCAAATGGGTACGGGGAAAGTAGAGTGTAACATGACAGAGAAACAACTGTTGGAGAAAAGTACAAGGTTTTTAACTTAGTCTCATTGAAATCCAAATCTATCATGGAGTTTAGCAGCAGTAAATCTTAAAGTGGCTCATCTCAATCTCATGTGAAAAGGCTGAACATGAGATCAATACTCTGTAGACTTATATCAGCTGAAACAGGCAATTTTCTTCTGATATTGTAAAAAAAAAAAATTGTCAAAGCAGCATTTAACTAATTATAATCACATCACACAGATTATACAGAGTGACTCCATGGTTTTTATGCAATAAGGGGGAATAAAGGAAGCTTGCCGGTTCCTTTCCTTACTGTTCCTTGGTCAATTCAATCGTCACGGCGGTCAGAACACCAGGCACAATTACGATATTCTGATGAAGGGCAGGTCTCCCATCAGAGTACTAACCAGGCCCTGACCTCTCACTCTGACAGGATCGGGTTTTCACATGCAGGTAGCGCAGAAGTATTCATTCTTGTTTTTGTGTCCGACCACTGGATGGTTGCATGATTTAATTTCCACAAGATCATGTGCAGAACACTTTAGTGAGCGCTGATAAGTTAGCCATTTCCTGTAGAGACAGCAAACAGATAAAAGAAAATACACAAAACGATAAGACCAAATCTGTATTTCACAATTAATTTATATTAAGATAAAATTATTCTCGTGAACCCGATATTTTCTTGTGCTGTCTTGTTTTTGTGTGTGTTTTTGTACTTTGTATTCTGTGCAGCACTTTTGAAACTTTGCGTTGGTAAAATGTGGAATACAAATGAAGTTGGATTGGATTGTCGCATGGTAATTGTATCTGGTGCCAGCTGTCCTGAGTGATAACACTAAAAATCTAAAAAACATCCATGCCAATACATCTGTCAGCTAAAGACAACAAATTTGATGAAAATAAAGAAATAAAAGTGACTTACTAGTTTATAACAACTATTTATTTAGAAAAGACTGCTCTTACTAATTACAATCCAAACCTTGTTGCAAAGGTCCTATCTACAAGTTCACCACACACGCCTCGTCCTCCAGCTCTTTAGGCATTGTAACATAAATAATATGCCCATAATTCTATTTTCAATTAAGAATAAATCCAGATTAGAATGTACACATTGACCTTGGTTTTGGGGACACAGATAAATATGGAGTTGTAATTTGCGAAAATTGCCCTTTCAAACTAAATGCTGTCCCATCTTCATTGATTTCTAAATATAAATAGCCTTGCGGGTCTCACTTTGACGCTTTGGGCTGAGTGAAGGTGGTCTTTTCTATTTCTGAAAAAGCTGAACTAAAGAAGTGACAGAAACAGTTTTATTTTATTATATAGTAGCTAGGTACCCTAGCTTTAAAACAGATATATATAATCTGGTTTGTGCTTCACTTCACAGGGGCCTTTGATTGGAGTGAACCCTGTGCAGATCCGCGCCACTGTGGACCTCTACCCCGGCTCCAGGGCCGCTCTGGCTGGAGTCACACATGACCTCGAAACCTCCGGTCAGTTTGTTTCAGCCCCATACGCCCACACAACGCACTATCCCAACAATCTCAGGCCAGAATCTGCTGACCTGGACGTCCCACGCCAACTTCCACATGACAGTAACAGTCTGATCTGCGGCCACTGCCATAACACAACCTGGGCCGGCTTAGCTCTAATCACAGACCAAACACGAACGGCTGTGGAATGTGTGGGACGTAAAAAAGTGACCATAACATTCTGGTTTGATAAAACTATACAAATAAAGGAACTTCTATGTTTATCACGCAATATTCTCTTTTTGTGAAACAGATCCCTGCGACAACTTCCGCTGTAAACGTGGGAAAACGTGCAAACTGAGTGATGACAATAAGCCGGGCTGTGTGTGCCAAGTGGCTTCAGAGTGTCCTCCCAGTCTCAGCGAGCTGGATCGTGTAAGTGGCCACTGTGGGTGATAAGCCGATTGTAAAACATGATCAAGCCTTTTTCGTAATAATGTTAATTGAAGTTGAAATCGCTAAATAAATTAACTTTTGGATGATATTCTAATTTCTAACTTGTTATTAGCTCCACCAGAGGGTAATGTCAGTTAAAAAAAATAAAAATAAACTGAAACTTTTCAACAAGGAGCTATGTATTGATCTCAAATTATTAGATTTTGGAGGCGACCCGGATCACAGTCTGGCTCCAGGTATTTTTTAAAAAGGAATTAAACTGTCCCTCTAGGTCTGCACCTTACCTGTGCTTTTCTAGTTATTATTATTTGATTTTTTTAGCTTTATTTGATTTTGCATAGTAACATACATACAACGAACAAACAAACAAACAAGAATATGTGGAAAGATACATATTTTAAGGGATACAACAGATAATGTGTGTGTGTGTGTGCGCGGAACAGTACATTGTGCAACATTATTATTAATATGTATAATATAATTTTAGAAAATAATAATAATAATAATGATAATAAAGACAGATAATAATTATAATATGGATAAATAATGGTAAGTTTTAACCCATAGGTAGATACGCTTTTCTAGTTATTAATTATCTTATTCCTGCAGGTTTGTGGCACTGACAACCAAACATATGACACTTCCTGTCAACTGTTCGCCATGAAATGTAACCTTGAGGGCACTAAGAAAGGACACCGGCTTCATCTGGACTACACTGGACCATGCAAATGTACCTAAGTAGTACATAAACAGCTGAAATGGTTTGTGTTAGCACCGTTCTTACATTCTTTCTGTCTGCCTGCAGTGATCCCCCCATGCCTTGACCCAGAACTCACCCAGTTTCCTTTGCGGATGAGAGACTGGCTGAAAAACGTATTGCTCCAGCTATACGATCATGACACCACCTCGCCGGGCTTTCTGACTCCCAAACAACGGTTTAGAGTAAAGTGTCATAATAACATTCTTACGTATGATGCATCTCAAACAATTTAGCAACCAGCAATACATTGAACTGTGTATTTAGGTGAAAAAAATCTTTGAGAGCGAGAGGCGCCTTCGTGCCGGTGATCACCCGGTGGAGCTGCTTGAACAAGACTTTGATAAGAACTACCACATGTACATCTACCCCGTGCACTGGCAGTTCGCACAGCTGGACCAACACCCTTCTGACCGGTACAGAGAGTTGCTTTAAGTGAGAGGAAGTCATATAACACAGCACAGACATGACCGGCTCACCTTCTGTGTCCTTTACAGACAGCTGTCCCACTCAGAGCTGGCTCCTCTGAGGGTGCCGTTGGTTCCCATGGAGCACTGCACCTCCCTCTTCTTCCAGGAGTGTGACTCGGACAAAGACAAGCAGGTGTCATTCAAAGAGTGGACCTCCTGTTTTGGCATCAAAGAAGGTGCGCTCAGAACACACAATTTATTATTCATGTTCAAAAATGACAATGCTAAACTCTATGGTTTTTACTCCTTTACAGAGGATATGGACACCAGCTTGTTGTTCTGAGCGTCACAGAGCTCATGCAATGTCAAATGTACAAATTCACTTTTAACCGTTTAGAGACAGTTATGTACGTACTGTTTCATGTTGTCCTGGAAATACAATATACAATGAGATGAGATGAGCATTCTCAACTGGGGGCAAGTTTATAAAAGTAAACGCTGTAGTTGACTTTATCTAATAATGTAGACCTGTTTTGTGTCATTATGGATGTAGATCTTTTTGAGCTATTGCTTAATTGAGTATCAAATATGTTATGTTTTAGACAAACACACACTATTTTAGGCCATAATCTTGTAAAGAAATGAAAAAGTTTGGCCTTTAAAGTAAAAAAAAGAAAGAAAGAAAAAAACAATAAATACATTTGAAAACTTGCTGGAAATATTTGAGATAGATGACCTCTAGGATTTGTGTTCAGTAGGGCTGTAGGCGAAAAGAGAAATGCTTGATTGGTCGATTGGGTGACTTAAAAGGGGTCATGATAAGAGCTTTTAAAACTGCTAAGGTTCCACTGATCTAGATTAATCTAATGCAAAATTACTGAAGCAACTAGAACATTATGTTGCTAATAATAAAAACATGCTTGAAGTGAATGCTTTTCTGCCTTAAATCAAAGAAAAATAAACACATATCTGGGAAATTTGTTCCATATGTTTTCATTATTGCAGAGTTTAAAAATGTATCCTTATAATAATATATGTTACAAATTTGGTTGGCTATACATATTTTGGTTGACGAGGATGCCAATTAACTAAATAATCAATGACCGAATCACCAAAAGCTAACCATTGAATCCATTGTTAAAGTTAGGCATAACAAGTTCAAACAAATCTGAATGAAATCAATCATTAAAGCTGGAGAACTTAACTTTTGTTTCATACACATACAACAGAAAGTAACACTGCTTGAACAAATCAGACCACAACAATCTGTCTTTCTCTTATCAGAAGACATTTGATCATTTACATACCGAGGGCTGCGTAGGGGTGGTTCTCCCTTTTTCACTTTCTTATCAGAGAAGAAGAGGCCAAAATTCATGCATATGAAAACTGGGGATAGTTTTGAGAACTATAAAACCAGCTACCGGTTCATGTGTTTCAAGATTATCAATACATTCTCCTTAAATGTATTGTGCTTTGCTTTTGTGCTTTAAACCTGTGTACAATGACAGCAGAAAACACTAATTCTTAGGTTAGGACAGCCGCAAATTCCAAAATGACCATCTCTCTCGTCAACAAAGCAGAAATAGCCACGGTGCACAGTCACGGTGACGACTGCGTTTGTCTCAAGGTAATGCACTGGACTCTGATTGGCTGTTTCTTGGCGTTCTAGAATAAAAGCAGGGAAAGTGTTCGCTCAGGTCAACATTTGCAACTCACTGGTTAAAAATGTTGTGCATATTATGGCTGACCATTCTGAGCCTGTCTGTCCCGGTGAAGGGCGGCCTGATCTCTGCGAGCGCTGAGGCCCTCGCCAAAGCAGGAGGCAAGAATGTTGGGGCAGCAGCAGGCAACAACATAAACGCAGCTGCTCAAAATGGGGTGAATGGTCAAGCTGTAGTGGCCCATATAGTTCCTTTCGGAGGAACGTTTTTTCTGCAGCAAGCTGGGAACCAAGTAGGCCAGCCTCCAGTACAGCAGCTCATACCTCTCTCAGCTGTTCAGCAAGGAGGCCAGTTTGTGGTGGGGCAACCAGGGCAGCCAGGACCAGGCTCTCCCATCACGCTGTTCACCATACTTCCACAAGGGGGCGGCATTGGAACCCCACAGAATACAGTTTTGACTCAAGGCCAGGTGCAGCTCATCTCTGCGGCCGGAGTCAGCAGCCAGGCCGCCCCGGGGAACGCTGGGGGAATACCAGGCGGACTCCGCTTTGTGCGATCGGCCGCGACTCGCCTCCGGAGAACGAAAGTGTCTGGGACCAAAGCGATGGCGTCGGAGGAAGAGGAGGAAGAGGAGGAGGAAGAGGAAGGCTCCGGGATGGATAGAAAAAGAAATAATTAAAACTAAGAATGCTACTTTAATCACGTTATCCATAAAAACCTGATGCTGTCTGACGTCACACTTGTAAATCTCATAATTCACTGACTGAAACCAATAAAGATGATTTAAATACACATATGTGCGGTGGTTATTATAGACAAGATATTAGATATAGACAAGATATTAGATGTTTGTACATTCCTAAAGAAGGATATGTCTATGCGTCAAAATGCATTACATTCATATGCATTCTTTTCTTCTAAAACTTTTTTCTTTTGTGTAAAAAATGCATCCTGTATTTGAAGCACACAAAGATAACACAAAGCTAAGTTTGATTCACATAAGTAATGTCGCTATAAATAAAGGTATGCAAGTATGATGTCATAGTTTAAGGACATGTTTTTGAGCAGCTTGTGCAGGAAGAGCTTTTCCTCCTTTCAAGCTGATGACAGAGTGTAATTTAAGAGGATCAGCAGACTTGTTTACCTGCATGTGGATCCTGCCGCATCAGCAGGTTCCCAGACAGCCTCAAAATGTGACAACATCCCTGCAAAACACACAGAACGCCCCAGGGGAATTCAAATTAGACATTATAGGTCAGCACATGGTCAATGTTATGCACAATGTAATCTATAAGTTAAAAATAATCACAAAGTCGCTTCCGTAGCATTGACCCTTGAAGCTCTCTATAGTGTGTAAATAGTTGTATGTTTTTACTAACTTGTGTTGTAACACCAGCCTGCCAGGGGGTCTGCAGATGGAAATTAGCCTAAGGCTATAATCTGACATATTTGCATTTGTGAAAATGTTCATCAATATGTAAATAGAAACATAGAAAAATAAGATGGAGTATAATTTTTGTAGTTGTTTGTCCCAATTGAAAGGGACTTCTTAAAGTCTCATTTTGGGAAGATGTGTCAGAGGTCAAAAATATATGCATGTGAGAACGAGGCCTAGTTATTGTACATGGTTTCAAAGTAAAATAATCTCTCAGTATTATAATATTGATATGAATAATAATAATAATAAAATAAGCTAATCTTTGTATTAGGATGAGATAAAAGAGCTGATATGTTCCTCTCATGGGACATAATTTTGTTGAAATACATGAATTATTATTATTATTATTACTATAGTTTCTATTATTCATATTATTATTATTCTTTCTCTGATTATCTGTGTTTACTTGTTTTGTGATTTTAATATTTCCTTTGCATTTTGCGCTGTCTGTGAATTGTACTACAAACTTTTTGAATCACATATGCAAAAAACAACATTGAAGCGACAGAAATAGTATGTATGATCTTTGTAAAATCATTGAATCCTTGGCTAACTCGACTGTAACACTGCCAGAGGAATGTAAGTGGAATGATTCATTCCCAAATTAAATATAGTTTTTAAACTTAAACTGATATTGCTGTTCCCTATATGTATCATATATATATATATTGATCTCGATAACAAACGCACACACACAGGTTACTTTAAAGTTTAGTGTCACCTAAAACTTGATGATGCATCTGTTTGTCCTGTCTCTGCCCACAGTCCTCTGGTTTAGGGCTAATGCCCTGAAGGCATTCGCTTCACGTCTGTGAATCACTGTTGTTTTCTGTGGTCCCTTGTCTGAGAACAAAAAAGAGATTAAAACTGACTTTTTAAACCAATATTTTAGTCCTGAAAAGAGTCTAAAGGTGAACCACAGTGGACTGAAATAGTGCATGAATAACGGAGTCTCCCCAGTCTAATTGGTCGCTAATAATCTCTGCAACTGATAAAAGGTGTATCTGGTCACTCATGGTCACTCCTCACTGCTGCAGTCCGCCTGGCACATAACATCCACAAGATAAATCTTACGGTATGTTACAACCTGACAGCACAGACAGGTGTAAGTAGGATCTGACTAACTATAGACTGTTGTTTAATCTGCAGTCAAAATGAAGCTCTTGTTCTTCACAACACTGTTAGTTACCATCGCATATGTGAGTAATCATTCTCTTTCCTCAAAGTTCCACAGATTTGCCTCATCGTTATAGTACGCATCGTTTCTCACTGTTGTCTTTTTTGTATTTACAGGTCAGTGGAGGCAAAGTAAGGAACAACATGTTATATTTGTTACTTGTTATTAGAATGATTGTTATATTTCATATCAGGATAAGGGTGTAATTATTAAGTTTCTCTCTGTATCTACAAAATAGACTGCAAGGTTGTTGGCAGCTATGAATGCTATGAATGCCATGGGGATGGGAGTGAACCCAGCGGCTGCGGGCCTGTTGGCCGGAGGCTTGGTGCCCCCACCCCTGGTGCGTCCCATTGTAATTCCTGGAGGTGCAGGGTTCATTGGACAGCCCCAGTTTCCTCAGGTCAGTGTAACGTGTGTCTCTTCCATGTCTGAGCTAATGTTGGGTTTAACAACTTAATGAATGATCCTTTAGTTCGTGCCCGCTGTCCCGGCCTTCGGTGTCCCACGGGCCCCCATGCCAAACATGTTCCCTGCCCCTGCTGTCAATCAGGTTTGCAACACAAATGCTCTGACAATGACAAATATATACATTTTGACCATGATGTTTTTCCTGTGTTAGTTTCCTTACATGGGGGTTGCTCAGATGGGACCAGTCAACCCTGCACAGCCTCTTCCACAGCAACAAGTCATGGTAGGATGTTTTGGCATGACATGATCATGAATATGTCTATGAATATTATATTTGTGCAGGGCGGTTTCCCAATGGCCAATATGCAGCAGCAACAACAACAGCCGTTCCCAGTTCAGCCTGATACACTCCAACGCTTCAGGGTACACATTTATTTAAAATTTTGATTAATGGGCCTGAACTAAACTAAAACTCAACAAGTAACCCTAACCCTATTTATCAGCGACAGGTGATGGTCCCAGACAATACAGCCACCACTGTGGACACTCAGGTAACTATAATTATCTATAATGTATTTATTTATCCATGATAATTTTCTTTGGAATTTTCTTTAGATTCCACCTCCTACTGAGGATTCTCGTCCTTGTCAAAACAACGTTGGGCAGAATTCCAGCTTGTCATTGTGATGATTGTCATGATTCTCTACATTTTAATTATTAATGTCTCTTATGTCATTTACAATAAAATTACATCTTGATTCACCCAGTAGTCTGTCTGTGTATGCTCTATGCAGTCATTTGACTCCAACGTCAAGTAAACCTTTGCTGCCACCCATTGGCCAAATAAACAAACGTCAACACAATGGTCCATAGACCTCACTATTGATATTATTATTATTATTATATTATTATAACATAACCCTAATTCAAGAATAATTTACAGTGCAAAATATCATGACTAGCAGTAACATTAATTAAAATTCATTAAAATACAAGCATAACAATGAAAACACTTTGCAGTGCGTTATTCAAGCCCACAGCTGCCTTAGGGCAGACTGACAGAAACAACACTGCCAATCCGGACCTCAGACCCAGTCACTCTTTTCATAAAGGATATTTCCCCCTGGTCCAGACATGCAGCATTGGTCTTGATATCCTTTTAGTCAAGGGCCAAATTGTTATTAAACATGAATAAAAATATGCTATGAAAAAAACAAAACCTCACCGTATATAAACCCAAGGACCCAGTGGTGGGGGCTTACCGACACAAACATATTCATTGTCAACAAAAACTAGAATCATTTCATGGCATATGGTGCAAACAAGTTTTATAAAAGCATTCATAAGAAAGGTTATAAAAAAATCAAATATATAAATACACACAATAGACATTAAACAGTGCAGATGGTCAACGAGTGTACACATTATTATAAAGTGACAATTGTAATGAGCTGCGATCTAGGTGATGCGTTAGGAAGAGTTCATTACTCCAACTGCAGAGGGGAAGAAAGTGTCCTCATGAGAGAGGTTCTGGCAGGATCATAGTCTCCATTTGTACTTTTATTATTTTATTACTGTATGCTAAAATGTAAGTTAGTAACCTGCACTTTTAATTTGAACTGTATATTATTATGCCGGTTATATGATTGTATTGTCAAGAATTAAAGGTGGAAAGAAGCATGGTGCTAAATCTGGTGCAGTTATGTTTTTAATGCAACGGCACATAAATAATGTAAATGCACTTAATAAATCAAACTTCAAACCAGCCAGAGAAGTGGTTTGAATAGACCATGTGCAGAGTGAGAAGGGCCAGCAGTGATCCGACTTGCACAGCCTCTGGTTCGGAGGATGTACACCTCAGCAGAGCGTTCAATGCGCTGTAGTCTCTGCTTGATCCTGTTGGTTGCTCCACACAATGATGGAAGAGGTGAGGATGGACTTGACGACGGCCGTGTAAAACTGCACCAACAGGAGGCAGGAGGCCTGTAGTCTTTAGGACTCTGGAATGATCTCCCTGAAGATGTGAGACAGGCCTCCTCTCCGACAATGTTTAAAACCAGGTTAAAAACAATTCTGTTTAGCTGTGCATACAACTGAGGGATTTTATATTTTTATCTTCCTTTTTAATGTTCTGTGATTATTTATGATTTTAATGCTTTCTTATTTTGTTCAGCACTTTGAGTTGCCTTGTGTATGAATTGTGCTATACAAATAAACTTGCCTTGCCTTGCCTATGAAGTCCACAATCATCTCTTCCGATCCACGTTGTTACCACTGTCCATCTCCCTCCTGTAGGCGCTGTCAGAGATGAGACCAATGAGGGAGGTGTCGCTTGCAAACTTGATCATCTTCACAGAGTTGTGGCTGGAGGTGCAGTGGTTGGTGTACCAGGAGAAAGAACACAGCCCTGAGGAACTCCTGTGTTCATAATCTGAACGTCCGAGACATTCTTCCCCAGGCACAAGTGAAGCCACTTGACAACATCCTAGATTTTATGTAAAAGTTTTATAAATATATACATTCACCCAATTCCTGATTCTTTCTTGTGTGTGTAATTACTGGCCAATTTGAAGCTTTGGGCACACAAACACACGTGCCCACAAAATAAAGTTTGTATACAGATATTGTGTATGTATAGTGACGTTGATAATTAAAAAACTTGACTACTTTAAGTGTTACGGACCTAAAATAAAGAATGCATCACAGGATGTTCTTCATTAACATTCTTCATTGCTTTACTGTTTTGAGGAATCACCAGCATCATGATGATAATGATCAGTGATTGCTGAAGGCTTGTTTCCCTGGATGAACAAAGTAGATCTTACTCAGTGTCTACGTACAGCTCTCCACAGATCTCACCAGTAATCTGCATTTATCTGTAGATAAGTTATGCAATTCCCTGGAATGTTCTTGACAATGCAATAACACCTCCATTGATGTTATTAAGACAAAATACATTCAAGATTTTTAATTAAAAATAGCTTGAAAAGAAAAAAAGTTATGAAAAGTAAAAGTTGCAGACGAGGCACTGCTCTCATAAATCCACTATATTTCATCACTGTCAACTCTTGGCCAAAGATCTTGGCATAAGTCTAAACACGATTGAGACATGTCGTTATGATTATAGACCTTTTGCCAATGCTGTTCTTTTTTCCCATGACAAGTGAAATTCTTGTTGATTTAGAGCCTGTAATTACCCCAGTTAAACATGTCGACAGGATTTCTCCTAAAGTCAGGCCCCCCACCTCACAGCGAGCACAATATGCACTTAAAAGATGCCAACGTCATGGTACTTTTGCAATAAATGATTGAATAAATGAAAGTGAAAGATTAGTTGACACTATCCAAACTTGTCATGGTATTTAGAGACATGACCTACTCATAATGACACACTTAAGTGATGAGGAGCGTCTGTTACTGACCACACATGGCTCGTCTGGGCAGGCGCTGGACTGGTCTCCTGCAGTGATGTATAAAGGATGGGACCAAGGTGAAGCATTCAGAAAGAGAAAGCAAAGACAAACAGTAAGTGCATTTGTAGAGGACTCAACATTTCTATATAAAAGGTTTGTTTTATTCCATACTGATGGCCGCCATGAATCCTCATGTTGCCGTTCTGTTGGTCTGTCTTTTGAGGACAAGTCTTGGAATCCCAGTATGTAACAGATTTAAATGCTTACACTTCAAAAATATATATGTTTGAAGATATCATCCAAGGTATGTGTGGTCTTTTAACAGGTGCAGATTGGTATTCTCGCGAGTAACAGTAATGAGGTAAAAACATAACTGTTACTTCTTTTCTTTGTCAAAAATGTTTCTTAAGACAGCACACTTGGAGCGACTGCTTATTTGCTTGTTACAACACTAACTCTGTTTTCAATTTGATGTCTAGATTTTGAGGCTGAATGGCCTGAATGGCCTCACTGGCCTGACTGGGTTCACTGGGCTGACTGGACTGAATGGACTAACACTCGCCACTCTGGGCCAAGCGCAGGTAAAACACAGACACATAACCACCTGGAGTTTCAGGAGCTCATATGTGACTGTCCCCAGGGCTCTTCACTGCTGCCTCCATTTGTGCTGCAGCAGCAGCCCGATGTGCTGCTCACGCCTCAGATGGTAAACTTCAACCCGCAGATGGCCGGACCCTTCGGGCCCCAGGGGCCTCAGATGATGTTCCCCTCTCAGGGAAACCAGCTCACCCCTGTCATCCTCCCCACGGGACAAGAGCAGCCTGGAGCACAGGACCCTAATGCTCCCACTGTCCCACAGCAGGCACAGAACCCTGTCCAGGTCAGAGCAGAATATGATTCAATTATCAATATCCCAATCAATGTAAACGACTGATGCTGCATACTTTACAAATAATCTTGGCTTATTTTGAGTGGGTCTAATGTAGAAACAAAATAACTACATATGAAAATAGAATTTTTGTAAATTGCTTATTTTATGCATCGTATTAAAAGATGAATAAGCTTTCTAATCTGAAACTCGCTTTTCAGATGTATCCCCAGTTCCAGTATCCCGCCTTTGGCTACCCACAACTCAACAGACAGCAGGTACAGCGCGAACACGCAGTATAAACGAGAGAATGAAACGCTAACATTGTATTGTGATTGTGCAGCCGGGCTACCCCTACTTTTTCCCTCGGTATGGCTTCCCTCAGCAGAGGAACAGCGCGGCCCTCCAGCCCGTCAGTGGGACGGGACAGCAGCAGCTGCCCACCTCCACCCTGGACCGCAGCACACAGAGGCCACAGCTGCCCCTGCAGGTCAGAGCGCCTCACTAATGCCCACTGTAAATACTATAATGCATTGATTTACTGTACACGTTAGCATCATATATTACAGTCGGTTCATGTCACAACAGAGGATCAACACGTGGGGCTGGTAAACTCAGGCCATAAGTGCAATAATAAAAGCTTTGCTGCTGTTGTGTCATGGTTGTGGGGATGTGGTGAGCTGTGATGCAATGACCAGTGTCTGAGTCTGGCCACAAACAGCTGTGAGAATCTGTCAGAGAATAAACATCTCATCTCCCAGACTAAACAGCAAACAGACTAATTGTTAATCACTGGTTATTATTGTAATTTGATTTTTAATCAGGAGCATTGGCCTTAAGCCCAGAAGGTCGTGGGTTCAATTCCCACCTCTGCACCTTCTCCACCAACTCCCACTGATGACTGCTGTCGTTGTGTCCTTGGGCAAGACACTTAACCCCACTTTGCCCAAAGCCCCCACTGAAAGATCAAGGCTATACTCACACTTAGAGAGCAGCCGTCCTCCTGTGGACTCACCACCTGCAGAGGGTCAGTGAGGGGCTGGTGCTATGAGATTTGGGTGGCATCTCTGACTGTCACCCCCCTGACCCAGAAATGGATTAAAGGGTAGAAAATGGATGGATTTTTACTCATGATGCTTTAAATCTTTATATAACATACTAATATTATGTTTATTGCAGAATGTTCTACTTTCATACATGTGCTGAAATAATGGAATTAATGGCCATCTCTCTTTAATGCAAGCAATCATGTTGTTTCATGTGTGATAATATTTATTTTTTTTGCAGCAAGGATCTCAACCAAAAATACCTGATTCTGTAAGTTAACAAAACTATTATGATTTGCACTTGGCAGAAACCATTTGTTATTCTTTTAAGTGACATGTTGATACAAAACCTTCACATTGTCTGAACAAGGTTGCATTAATCCTTGTATTATTCTAATGAATAACCTTTTTGAATTCCTTCTACCACAGACATGGCCACTGGGGCCAAACAAAGAGTCCACCACAATTACCCCGGAGCTGCGTGGTGACGCCTCTGGCCCTGGTGTTGATGAGGTACGCTTCATGTAATCACAAACTAATATCATATTGTTTAATTAAATTATTTTCTCACTGTTGCTCATTTCTCTAGGGTCATTCAAACTTCCCCTTCCTTTTTGAGCCTTGAACTTCTTCAGATTTCATCCATACCTTTTTCTGCAAATAGCATTCTCCTTGTTGTATATTCATGTCATTTCAAACACTTTTGTCAAATAAAGATTTGTGACAAAATGGCGTGGAATGGTTTCTGTTTATTTTGGTGCTTAACTTGTCAAGAAATACATACTTAATGCTCAATATATCCAATTAAATATATCAGTGTTTTTCTTCCAGATGCATCCATTTTGTAGAACCAAAGGTCTTCCTGCGTAAGCGAAAATTGAAAATGAATATATTAATTGATTAACATGAAATACAACTCAAAGCCTTACTTTCGAGCCATCTTGTTTGGTCAACATACGATTATTTAGGCTCTATTTATCTGTGGAATACAATTTATACATTATTATTATGGTATTACAGTCATGCTCTGAAATATTCTTGATAAAACATGTCTACTCACTACATGCTGTAGTGCCGTACTCAAAGGAGACGCTCTGAGGAAAGGAGAAACAGTAACGTGGTGTGTTTAAGATGAGGAAACTGTTAAAGTAATAAAACTCACAGGTCCAGCCGTACTGTTGTAGAAGAGCTTCACATACTGCCCCTGGAAAACACATCACAAACAGGAAGTCTGCTGCAGCCACATATTCAGAGTAAAGCAGACGTCACTATAAATGTTGTTAAAACATCCCTTCCTCTGTGACAGATATGGTGAAGATTAAAACAATAAGTTAAATGCACACACACACACACACACACACACACACAGGTTGTCTATAGGTACAACTGTATAACTTGTTTTTAATTATTTTAGCGATGTACCTTTGGGCAAAGAAAAGTGGTGTTGCTCCCCTGTCGAATAAAAAAGATAGACTTATGCAAAAAACCAAAACTGTACACAAACGTAAAAATATAGACGCTGCTTACGTTCTTCAGTGGGATCGCTGTGATGTTCTGTAGTTACATGTAAATATGATTATATATTCATCTTTGAAATGATTAAAATATGTTTTGAAATACAATTACCTGAATTGTCAAATCATTGATCTGAGAAAGAAAATGAATACATCAACGTTGTGTCATTTTTACTCCCAAAAATAAATTGTTATAACTGTCTTGTTTTTTTACCTTGAAAATTGGAGAAAACTCAATCTGACCCTGAAGCACAATATTGACATGTAATGCATTAGATATTTTTGTAGTATTAGTATTTGACAAACACATTCATCTTGCTGAAATCCTTTGACACATGAGGAGTGCAGTGAGATGTTGTCACCTTGGGACATGGTCTGGTCCATCCTGGGCGTCTGTTCTCCATCGTTCGGAAAGCAGAAGTCTATAGTGAGACAGGAGCAAATTAAAAACATAAACACTTATGTCATAGGTTAGTATTTATCAAATATTTAGTTTAAGTTTATTTATATAGCACTTTCACAGATGACGTGGAGAAACTTACTGGTCTTGGCCGAGGTCCTTTTCCAGGACGCCACGTCTTTATCAAAACAACAGTTAATTGCAGGCGGTGATAGCTGTATTTCTAATATTTCTCCTTTGACAAACGAGCACCTACCTGCACTGGAGGTCCAGAGTGTGCAGAGTCTGAAGCAGAGGGGTCACCAGTCTGAAACATAAACATACGATGGTTGTCATGTTATCAGAAGAAATACTGTTATAGTTTTTAACTCTGCAACTGAGTTAACAGATGTGTATAAAATCATTTTTGTATAAAATTTAACGTGTCTTTCCAATTTAAAGATGGACTTGGGTGAAGTGTATCATACCGTGTGCCATGGAGCATGAGACGGTCTCTCTCCTCCGTTGCCGGGGGTTCCTGTTCCTGATCCTTCAGTGTCCCATGAATGCCACGGATGCTCACTCGTCTTTAACAAAATGACACATATCAATATTCAGGCAGATAACTTATATTCATGTTTCCCCTTTGGTGAACAGACCTCAACTGGAACACAACTTTCCAAATTTAAACAGTCAGAATGGTGTTTCTTTCAGTTTGTAAGATAGAAAGAACAGGGGCCTAATGTATAGGCTTTGCATAGAGGCCTGAATATGAAATTACAAACAAACAAAACACAAACTTCCAATAAGATGTCTCGGACAATTTGTCTTTCACATGATTTAAACGTGGTGCCCTGTGAATTGGGTGCAGCTCTGATTGTCAGCCCCCCCCATAATTTTCTAAAGGCAAGAGAATAGCCTTTGTTCTGACATGTTCACAAAATGTTACTTTTCTGCGGAGATAAACATCAGTTATGAACAAACACAGTTATGCCAGGTTTAGGAGTTTAGGAGTTGATTAATAATAATTTAGACTTGTGTTATTGAGAAAAGTAAAACAAATCAGTCCTTTGCTGAATGGACATACCTCATCTGGATATCCAGAGTATGCATAGTCTGGACCACCAGTCTCCATGGGGTCACCAGTCTAAAACATAATAATATTGTCAGTATTTTTAAGCTAAGAACCACCAACAAATACGCATGTAGAAGGGAATGAGTCTTTCCAATTTTAAGATGTCAATGAATAGTGTGTTTCAGTTTGTAAAGAACAGGTACTTTTTATGAACGAATATTCATAAACATGTTGCATTGTTCAGTTTACATGAATGGGAAAAGTACAAAACCAAACTCAAAACATTCAGTCAGGCCACATGAAGTGTATCACACCGTGTGCCATGGAGCATGAGACGGTCTCTCTCCACCGGGGCCGGAGGTTCCTGTTCCTGACCCTTCAGTGTTCGATGGATACGCACTCGTCTTTATCAAAAAAACAATCACAAACAGACAGTTTACGTCACATTCATGTTTCTCCTTTGGTGAACGGGCATACCTCGTCTGGGTGTACAGTGTATCCAGTGTCTCCAGTGTATCCAGGCTCTCCAGTGTATCCAGGCTCTCCAGTGTATCCAGGCTCTCCAGTGTATCCAGGCTCTCCAGTGTATCCAGGCTCTCCAGTGTATCCAGTCTCTCCAGTGTATCCAGTCTCTCCAGTGTATCCAGGCTCTCCAGTGTATCCAGGCTCTCCAGTGTATCCAGTCTCTCCAGGAGTATCCGTCCACTGGGGAGTACCAGTCTAAAACCCATAACAACATGTGAATCAGTCCCTACGGTTGATTAAAATATGCAGATTGTCCGTTAATATACTTACTTGTGCAGCAGCAACAGCCACAAAGAGAGCAACAATTGAAAATAACTTCATCGTTGCAACTAAAGGTTTGTGTCCCTGTGTGTCCAGGCTCTGGCTGCTTGTTCTCATATATCGCATGAGTGATTGAGAAACCGCCGTCACAAGTTATTGATGGACCAACAAATGTTTCTTCACAGACAGGTAAATATTTTCATCAGTGACACTACAACTACTGGAATAAGTTTGGCAATGCTGAAATATGCAATACAGTAGGAGTACAACAAATGATTGGTTGGAAACAGTGGTTCTGCAGAATGGCTTTCTTATGACGGTAGAAGCTACACTGCAAAAAGTGATGAAAAATAAGTCAAAAACTGCTCAAAGTTGGCAAAATATGTCTGTATTTTATCACATTATGACTTCCTTAACGCAAGATTGGCCAATGGGACAAGCAAAATGATTTTGTTTTGAAAAAGATGCAATAATAAGACTGAAAACCTCTCAATTAAAGTAATTACTACCTCATATTGTATCATTTTTTTCCCCCGTATGCCTATTGTTTTAGAGTATACTTTATTTTCTCTGCATTTGACCCATATTTCAATGCCACTATGGGGAACTTGGAGTAGTGGTTCGAGGCTTTGCTGAGAACTGTCAGATACGGAGGATGGTGCATGTTTTGAGCCTTCTTGTTATGAAGCACTCAACCATCTGTTCCCTATTAATAATGACAATAAAATAAAAAAATGTCACAAATATTTTGTTTTGTTTATGACTGAGCCCATAAACACACTAAATGACTACTGAAAACGGAATATTTGAACAGATGTGTAGCCGGTCAGCTTTATCTTCAATAACATATGGCTCTTCAAAGCAGATATAAAACACTGGACAGGAACTAACCAATGTTTTTGTGTCAAGTCCAAACCAAAGGTACATTCCAACAGTGGTTTTGGTCCAGTCACCACACCTGGATGCCTGTATAGTTTCCCAATAGTTGCGCATACTAATGAGATAAAGTGTATATAAGAAAATCTCCCCTGTTTTTCAACACATTACAACATCTGCTCTGAAGACTTAACGGTAATACCTTTATCTTTCTTACAAACAAGCGTGGTTTTTATGATTGTATTGTCCAACAGTCGGACACCATGTTGAAAGTGACTCTTCTCCTGGGGTGCCTCCTGAGCTTGGCCTTTGTTCAAGTATGTTTTTACCGTGTTTTATTCAATTGTGCTGACAGGTCAAAATAAAATATTATTTTTTTGAACAGGGGAACTTGCTCCGCCGCGCTCGCTCCTATTCCAGCTCCAGCTCCGGCTCCAGTTCTGAGGAGGTGAATAAATGCTTTTGATATCACATGCACAGGGAGTAATTTTTTATTTTTTTTATTTGTCCATGGCGTATAACATACTTACATCATGTATATTCCCTTTACATTTGTGCAACTTAAACAAATAGGAACAGAAGGAAGACACAAAGCCTTCGTTTAGCTGGTTGCAAAGACATTTTAACATTTTCACCCCTGAAGCATTTTTCCTTTCTATTCAATAACAACAAACATACCACACACTTAAATATTTTCATTTTCTTCACCTTCAGTCATCATTTTAATTATTTTGATAAGTTGCAAAAAATGTAAGGGGTTCCGACAGATTTGAACTGTTTTTTTTGGTCAACTTTTTCCTCATTAATCAAAACTATTCTTCAATGATCTTCAAAACCAATTCAGCTGCGCCTTTGTCAAACATTTGAGACTGCGATATTGTTTACTGATCAAGCAAACCTTCCGTTTTAATCCATTAATTGATTATATTTGTTATAATTCATTTTTCAGAAAGTACTAAACTTTTCCAGGACCTATGATTTTAGCTTTACAATGAGTTTATGGCTGTATGTTGCAGTCTGTACATTCTTGTGCTGTGAATGCTAACTGACAGAAACCCCTGTAATGTGAAAAATTATTTTGTTTATGTGTGTGTTCAGGGAGGAAATGCAGCTTCAACTATTCCTCCTTGGGCTCAGAAACTTTTCGCCATGTTACTGACGGCTACTACTCCTACTACCACCACCACAGTTTCTACAACCCCTGCTAATGCAACCACTAAATAAAAGAAATCTGTTCAGTGTAATAATAATAATCGTCCATGTTTAAGAGAGACATAATCTGAATCTTGCATATCCAACACTAGTAACAACAGAGAACAGTTATAGATGCTGCTCAATGACGTGAAGTGACAAATAAAATAAAATGGCTCCATGGAAAACGTTGTCTTTTTTATAGCTTCATATACATCACAATGACAAAGCCGTGTTACAATTTACAGTGTGTATTTAAGAACATTGGGGGCATTGGAGTATTATTGACAGAATGAACTGCTTAAAATATATGTGGAGCATTTCTACAGCTGAATTCAGAAAAGTGTCCTGATAAAATGTCATACAAAATAGTGTTATTGTGTAAACAGGTGACACTCAGACAATTCAAATTGGGGTGGCACGGTTATCATAATAGATCCATGGCACGGTGGCTGAGTGGCAAGCACTCCCGATGTTCGAATCCGGGTCGGAACAGGGCCTTTCTGAGTGGAGTTTGCATGTTCTCCCTGTGTCGGCGTAGGTTTCCTCCAGGTACTCCGGTTTCCCCCTAACACTCAAAAATAGGCTTAATAGGTAAAGGTCCTACAGCTACGATAGTCCTGACGTAAGCCTTGGTGGCATCAGGATGGGTCAAGAGGGTGCAGAGGACAAATTTCTCTACGGGGACAATAAAGTGCACATTGACATTAACATTTTACATTTAAATAGAAGTCTTTTTACTTCTAAAATTCAAAATGAAGCCAAAATGATAGTAAGGCTTGGAAATATCAGACTCAATTTCAACTCAGACATAAGACAGAGCTTTGTAATTCAACCATGAAAGATAAATTTGATCTTATTTTTGAATTGGATGGTTTGTAGTTAACCTTGTTCCGCAAACAGCTGAAGGAAACTGCAGCGGAAAAGAGACGTTTGAAAAGATTTACCTTGAAAATTAATCAAATATTGTGTGATTTTTTGTCAATGTACATGAGATCATCAAGTCAAGGATAACATTAAACTGCTCCATCTACCCCTGCAGAGTACAGACCATCTTAAGTTCAAGTTCCAATGCTTTTATTTGGAATGTTTTTTTTCTGTACAATTTTTGTCATCCTGGACCTGTGTGCGTGTGTGCGTGTGTGTTTGTGTGGTATATGTGTTCTCTGTTATTTTTCTTCTGCTTGTTGAAAAAATAATACAAACTTCTTTTCGTATCGGTTGATATAGATACCATGTCAGATATCTATATATATAAAAAAAAAAACAATTGCAAATAAGTGAAGAGATGAGGTAAGTCACTCTTTAACATTGTGATTTTATGATGTAAATGTAAATCCAAAACCAGATATACCAGTCAGTGTTTTGACAATAAAAGCATGCCAAATTTTCCAAGTTTCCATATATGGCCTTAATTCTAATCAGTATGTGTACAGCATGTAGCCTTTAGTAAAGCAACTACAGTACATGATGAATCATTAAATTGCCTATTGCCACTTTAAGTCTGTTGCTAAAAGCTCCGACAACCACAGTCGTTATTGCGGAAGCACAGATTTACGACTCTTTCCTAATTGATGCTGTTTGTGTATATATATGAAGCTGACCTGAGCGTCCTCACAAGCATCCTCTTGTCTTCTCTTCTCTGTCGTACAATCGAGAAAAGGTGAATATTTTTGTCCATCTTTGCCATCGCCGATAAGTGTTTGTTTTAACACAGTTTTTTCCTCCCACAGTTGTGACCATGCTGAAGGTCAGCCTTATCCTGGGATGCCTTCTGAGCTTGACTGTGGCTGTTCCAGTGAGTCAGCCTACGTTACCATTATCTATTGTATTTTCAAACATGAGTGAGTTTAAATATTATGTTTTTTAATATAGTTACAGAAAACAATGGAGCACAAGCGCCTCGCCCGCTCTTCAAGTGAGGTAAGGCAGACTTTTTAAACCGTCTCTCAATTTATTTAAAGATGTTCTTGATTTTAAGCTTGCAAAATGTCTGATATTGTTGTAAATTGTCTCATTGTTTTGTCCTTCATTAATTTTTTGTTTGTTTTTTTGCAGGGGTCTCTGCTGGGGTCGAACAGTATTAATCCGTCACTGCTATTCCTCCTCAGTTTCCTGTTCACAACAACTCCCACTACCACAACAACTACCACAACTACCACAACTACAACCACTGCTGCCCCCGGTGGTGGTTAGATGCTCTCTACACCTGCAAGCTCATGTTTCTATGCACTTGTTTGTGGAATAACGCAAAATAAAATATCAATCTGACAGATCTGAGTCCATATCTATGTTATTACAATACAATACCATTTATTCTTGTATAGCCCTAGGTCACAACAGAAGTCATCTCAGAGGACTTAACAAAACCATTGAAATCACCAACACAGGTCAGAGAATCAACAGTTAAAACACATGAAAAATATAAAGCACACACAGAAGAAAATGTCCATACATGTTGTAGAATGCTAAAGTGTCCTGATCATCACCAATCCTTTCTGTTGGACACTGACTGTCCAACAAGACCCTCCTGCATCGACAAGGAAAAACTCTTAAAAAACCCAGTGGGAAAAACTGAGAAACCTTGGGGAGAACTAGGGAAACCCACAGGGAGGGAGACCCATATGAGAAAGGGATCCGCTCCTCCGGATGGACAGGCTAATGATCTAGGACCTAAGCTAGCTACAGAACGTGGACCAGTGGCCGCTGAACGTGGACAGGTCCGGTGCAGGACTAAAGCACTCCCAGGCGGGTCGGGCGGGGCAGTCCGCAGGTGTAGATGGAAGAGGCCAGGCTCAGAGATCCCGTCATCGTACCATGAAACAGACAATGGGACAACGGGTGAATAGCAATGAACAAACTACTGTCAAAATCCTAATAATGCTAAACAGATAAAGTAGGAAGGAGGAGAGGATAGTGCTCAAGTTACCATACTTCTCCCAGCAAACTGACTCCCTATGCAGCTTGACTGACAGTCTAAGGAGTTTAACCTTCTCCGAGTCTTACCTTCCTAGCCATATGCTAAACTAAAGAGGACTGTTTTAAACCTAGCCTTGAATAAAGAGAGCGTATCTGAAAGGAGGTGAGACAGCAGCAGCAGCCACGGCTAGGCTAGCCTAGGTTACAGTAACACATTTTCCATACAACAATCAAAGGAAAAAAGCCGCCACATTTACCCAGGGTCTACATTAAGGCAGCGTTCCTCCAGGAAATATCATGTGAAACAGACAAAAGGTGAAGCCATGGAACTTTGCAGGAGATAATAATCATTAACAATACAAAAACAGATGACACAAGAACAAATGTAGGGGCATGTTCCTGAGAAGCCTGCGGTACAGATTCAGGAGCTCATGTAATTCATGTAATTAATTCATGATAAATTTTCAAGAACAAAATGACTTTTTAAATTACCTTGGTTTTTAATTACGATCAGTGAGGGCTGTGGTGCTATTTTAAGGAATATTCAATCATTTATTTTCATTAAAACATTTTGTTCCAACATAAAGAGACATTGGCCTATGAGTCAGAGGGCCGGGGGTTTGAGCCCGACCTTCACCATCGACTCCCACTGTCTGCTGTCGTTGTGTCCTTGGCAAGACACTTCACTCCCATTGCCTAGAGTGAGTCTGGTGTATGTGTGAATGGTTGGTGGTGGTCGGAGGGGCCGATGGCAGAGACTAGTTGCCTCGCTTCTGTCAGTGTGCCCCAGGGCAGCTGTGGCTACAGTAGTAGTTTATCACCACCGTGTATGGAGTGAAAGAATAATGACATGTGAAGCATCTTTGAGTGTCTAAAAAAAGCGCTATATAAAACCAATGCATTATTATTATTATTAACTCCCAGAGCAGTCAATTACTTACTACTTACTATACAGTAAGTAGTAAGTAGTGCTAGAGCATTGTACATGTTTTCAGTGGTAGGGGAAAACGGAGCAGGGGAGAACATGCAAACTCCACCCCCTGGAGGTGGAATTGAACCCAAGACCCTCTTGCTGTGAAGTGCTAACCACGGCTCTACTGTGCTACCTGTAAACTATTTGTATTTTGATTAAATTATCTTTTGTTTTTGAAATGTGAGTAGTTCGATCTTTCACTCCCAGAGCAGTAATTTGGACTTGTCCGCTTGGTAACCAACTTTCTACGGTCGTTGAAGCCCTTCTGCTGTTATTCTCACTGTGTCCTGCTGCTGCAGTCGGAGCGTCGCTGTGAACATGACAGAACCACAGCTTAATGCACGGTGTGCCTTATTATGAGGGCGTAAATAAGCAACTCTCTCCAAGTGCAATTGTAACTATCGTTCCATGTGCATAAAAGACAAATATTCACAGGCATAATGCTTTTTATTATTATTAATTTATTATGGTAAATTAAAGGTTCTTAGATGTTATCAATATCACACAACAGTACAATAAATGAGCTCCTGAAACCTGGCTGTAAACTGTAGTGCTCCTTCATCTCCTCTGTTTCACAAACAAATACAGGGCCTGAAGAGTTAGGATAAAAAGTTCCAGCATTAAAATATGTTTTTCACGGTCCAAACTGTTGGTTGTTTTGTGTCATGTGTGTAAACTGTTGTTTCACTCATGTGAGTGTGAAATCATTTAAAATGTATTGAGAAATGATCAAATCAAGTTTATTCAGACAATGTAAAACTTTCTTTGTAGCGGTTTTGGTTTGTAACATTGTCCTTGTATGTGCAAGAGGAACACGACTGAAACTAGCGTGAGGGAGAAAGGGACAATTCAATGTAACGAGCCTTTTCTACCATGAAATAGAAAATATTACGATGGACAAGAAATGTTACAAAATCTTTCATAAACAGGTGCTCATCAAAGTCTTTGTAAATAATGAAGAAGAGCATTTGCAATGAAAATACTGTACATAAATATAATTGCTTTTTCTTTCCACATTAAAGATCACGTCATATCTTCATCAGTGCCTCTGTGTCAAATAAAAAGTCCTGTGTCACATTATATAAACGATGTCCTCTTAAACCACAAGGGATAGTGTGAAATCATAATTTTCCAGGCAAAGAAAAATGCTGTAAACATCAGCATTTGACAAATTTGTTTGCATAATTATGATTTATAATCCCAGTCGGTCACTCATTTATCATACACACTTTAAATGTTCCTGCTTGTGAGACTGTTGCTAAAGCTTGTGTTTCCCAATGGCTGTTGTGTGCACATCTCTCAGCTCGCTCTGTATATAAGCAGAACTGAGTGCGCTCTATCAAAACAATCCACGCTAATTGTTCATTTTACATGTGTTTTTAGTCCATGTCTTCAAGAGATATTTGATTTAATTGTTCTAAATAAGTTCATCAGGTGTAACCATGCTGAAGGGCGCTGTCATCCTGTGTCTGCTGAGCCTGACTGTGGCCGGTCCAGTAAGTCCCTACACATAGAGATATTACTTTAAAGCTGGGGTACCTGGGGTATAGATAAGAGTTTTTCTCGTAACAGAAAGAGTCCTATTTAAAAAAAAAAAACATGTCATTGTCTGAAAAAGCTGATATAAAAGGGAAAAAATACATGCATATAAAAAACCAGAACCAATTAATTTATTTTGTGTTTTTAAAGGTATATCTCAGTTTTAATACGTATATACAGTACATACAGAGGCATTTTGCACATATTTGTAACTAATGTAATCTACATGTTTTATATATGGCTTGAATTTACTGGGCTTGATATAATTGACTGATTTGAAACTTGTTTTTGCAGCTACACAGAGCTGAAGAGCACAGGTGCCTTTCTCGCTCTGATTCAGCGTTACAAAAGGTAAATAATCTTCGATTTATTTATTTTTTTAACCGTTGATTTTATTTGAATGTGTTTCTGTTTTGCAGGGAGGTTTCTTAACTTCCACTTTCTCCTTATTGAATCCATATTTTCTTCAGCTTTTTATGAGTCTGTTCACGACAACCACTGCTATAACTATGGCCACCCCCAACGCAGCGTCTGGATAGACCACTGTTCAACTCAAACTGAAATAAAGTTGATCCAAGGTGTTTTAATCTTTCATTGCACAATTACTGGGAATCTTACACAGAGAGATACTGTATATATTTAAAGAGAGAAAACAGCATATTTCTTTAAACATGCACATGTCTTTATCAGCTTCTATTACATGGAGCTGTCACATGCATCTGAAACCTGATAGTTAAATATTCGTAATTTTTCATAATTATGAGCCACTTTGGGTGATATGTTATTCAATGGGTTGTTGGTTTGATTAATTCATTTGATCATTGGCTTTGGGTAATGACCGAAAGTGTCATTACCAAAACAGAGAGAGCAGATAAGCAGTCGAGTTTTCTAATGAATCTAATAGATGGGATGAGGAGCTTAGTCCCACGGGAAGAGCTCGGACTAGAGCCACTGCTTCTTTGACATCAAGAGAAGCAATATGAGGATGTTTCCAGGACACGTTGGAGGGACTATATCTCTCAGTTTGGTTTGGGAACAACTCAGGATCCCCCGGATGAGCTGGAGGAAGTGTGTGTGGACAGGGAAGTCTGTGCGTCTCGGCTCAGACTGCTGCTCTCATAACTCGGCAACAGATAAAGCATAAAAAAAATTGATAGATGGTTTTTGATATTTAATTAATAATAACATGTTTTTAAACATTTTTCCCCATTAATGAACATAAACAAAAACATCAGTACATTTTTATTTGATACTATTTTTATCAAATTTGTTTTTATTTCCACCCCAATATTTAAAGAATGATAACAATTAAGGAGCATTATCACATAATTGTATATTCCAGATGAAAAGGTTGCTATAAACACTGTTTTAAAATGTTAAATGTTATTAAGTAAGAAAGTAATCTTATACAGTGATACTTTAGTACAAATGACACTGACAAAATGAACTTGATAATTGCTTTGGGAATTTACCTCAGTGTTTTTACATAATGATTAATAAATTATATTATTATTATTATTATTATTATCATTATTATTATTATCATTATTATTATTATTATTATTATTATTATTATGATTATTATATGATTATTAACTACTACTGTAACATGAGATTTACATAAAGGCTTTAGCTGCAGACAGACAGACGCCACACCTGGGGAAACAAAGGATTTCCGATGGAATAAATTGCTCAATAGCGTCTTTAGGGTGGGCTTCAACTGCTATATAAGACAGAAAACTCAACATTCACAGAATAGTTTCACAGTTTCCTGTCACTCCAAGACTCTCAGGTACTGAACATTAACATTTATTTGAAAATCCAAATGACCTGTGCTGTTAATATGTATGCTAACATGTTTCATTTCCTTCCAGTTGTGTGAATCATGTTGAAAGCAGCTCTTATCCTGGGATGTCTTCTGAGTCTCACCCTTGCTTCTCCGGTAAGTGTAAAACCCATTTAATTGATTTTATATCAGAATCACTCTTGTTTATAACTTCACAACTCACGTTTTCAGTTGAAGGAGCGGCAGGAGCGGAGGCGTCTTGCTCGCTCTGACTCTGATTCATATGAGGTATGACTCGCATTCCCATTATTTTATTATGACAAATGTAAAACTAAACATGTATTGTTTTACAGAGACTGTCGATTAATCCGTTACTGCTCCAAATTCTGATCAACCTGCTCACCACAACTACCACTGCTACTACTACCCCAACTACTACTACGACCACCCCCGTTCCACAAACAGCTGGATGAAACTGCTATGGATGATAAATGATGTTTTAAATGAGAAGTTTGACAACATTTACCCAGAGAACATGCACTGAAAATGAATGAGTATTAATAAAAAAAACTATTTGTTGTATGTAATTATGAAGTCTGTCAGTATTTTTCTCAATCTGAGACAAACATATGAGTGATTCTTTTTCATTATCGACCGATATCTGCCATATTACATACTCATTCTAAATATTTTACCCAAATAGAGCTAGGAGCAATTACTCTTTAACAGCGTGATTGTACAAAGTGGCTGTAAATCCAAATCAAAGCTTCAATAGATAAAAGGAAGAAAGTCTGTAGTTTTTAAGATTAAGATCAAGAGAAGTTATAGAACAGTAGGAAAGAGGAGCACACGGCATAAGATAAGTGAACAATAGCTTTACTAATTAAAATAAAACAAAATCTCTAACTCTAGCATCAATAACAAGTATAAAATCTCTATCTTGAAAATAATAATAAAAGAAGAAAAGAAGATTTGGCAAAATAAGAGGCAAGTATAAAGTACTGTGTATGTTAGTGCAAGCAATAGATATATGTTTACATCTGTACATTAGCAGCAGTATGTTTACATCTGTACATTAGCAGCAGTATGTTTACATCTGTACATTAGCAGCAGTATGTTTACATCTGTACATTAGCAGCAGTATGTTTAATCTGTACATTAGCAGCATGAGGCTCTGAGACACAGGGACTCAGTAAAGTGACAGTGATATGTGGTTATTACACATTCTGATATAAGTTAAGGAGTAGTATAAAATTATTCAGTTGTAATTTCATGTTCATGTTACAAACAAAATATCTATAAAAATAAGTAATAATAATATTTCAATGATAACATCTTACTGAAAAACCACAACAAGGAACAAACACATCTGATACACGATACACCGAATGATATGTGTGAAAAAAATAAAGAAAATCAAAACCTGAAAAGTGGGGTTTGCAAAAGTAACCATCCAACATGAGTAAATGCTGTGGAATCCACAGATAATGTCCTATATTTTGCTCCACCCAAAGCCCATCAACTCTGACATTCTTCCCTGTTCCTGCTGAAGAAAAGCATCCCTATAACATGACACTGCCACCCCCTTTTCTTATCCATATGTTGTATGTGTCCCCCGCTGAGCCTCTTGTAGCTTTTTTTCTATTTGATGCTTTGAGCTAAGGCTCAGGGACGGTGGTCCAAAAAAGGTGAAAAATATTCATAAAACTTAATACACACTTCCCATTGTAAAGCATCTTTGAGTGTCAAAAAACACCCATAAAAGTACAATGTATTAATGTTTAAGAGTAATCTTATGTGGCCTGAAAGTTACTCACAGCTCATTTACCCACGAGAAGCTGCCCAAAGCTTTGAGCAATGTCAGAGCCCCATTGCCTCAAGAACAATTTGTAATTATGAAATATGTACCACAAGTTTGACACAGGACTTGTTTCTTAACTTTGGCGATTAACACTAGACTTTTACACGGACAGTGGAATTTAGGATCATCATCAAATTGCAACATTTCCATGTGTTTTTGAAGCAAAAGACCAAAAAGCGTCAAATCCCAGCCACCTGATTGGTGAACAGGTGAAAGACACTGCTTTATAAGGTGACCACCCACCACCGTCCCACAGTGGAAAACTGCTCTTTTCAACGGTATGTTTTTACTCATCTCAAATCCTTTTATAACATTCTCATAAATACCTGAACATGTAAATCTGTTTTCTGCAGCAACAATGAAATTCTTTTCAGTGGCAATTTTGCTGGTTCTTTTTGGACTCACTCTTGCTAGTCCTGTAAGTTGCATTTTCTCATAGATTCTTAATTATTGATTACAGTTACTTTAAATGTGTTAATCTCATGTGTTTTCAGGTTCCAGAAGACACCAGAGTCAAACGCTCCAACAGTAATGAAGTCAGTAAGATCCCAACAGGAGCAGGGCTGTAATGGTTTTAATGATGATCACTTATATCCTTAATTAAGATGATTAGGAAGTGGTTGCATGATTTTATCGACATATCAACAAAACAGAAGTGAAGTCACTGGAGGACATTGTAATTTCGATATTTCCAGACAAGACAAATTGATTTTGTGATCACTGCTCAGTTTGAGTTCTAATTTCACATCTTTAAGCACATACATGTGTTGGGGTCTGTATAAAGTCAAAATCCTCCATTCATATTTTAACCGCTACAGCCCTAAATGGAAGTTAATAGGAAGACATTCTATCATCTGTTAAAACAATATATCTAATGTAAGTGTCTTTATCTTTCAGCGAAATAACAACAACCTCCTGAACAACAACCTCCTGAACAACAACCTCCTGAACAACAACCTCTTGAACCAAAACAGCCTGAACAATAACCAGCTGCTCCAGCTGCTGCTGCCGCTGCTCATCTCTCAGCTCCAGTCCAACCCCACGGCGCTGGCAACACTCCTGACCCTTCTGAGCACTCGTGGATGACCACAGACTCCAATAAGTCCTACTGTACTGTTTTTACGACTTTTCTGTTAAACATTATACAACGATTAAAGAAATAACATTCATAATCAGAAACTTGGTGTGAGGTGTGGTGGATTATCTGAAAGAAGAAGTCCTCATTTGGACCTTAGTTATTGAGTTAAGTTGTAATGCAAAGATAAAACATAAAACAAATGACAATTAACCTGAAGGTGCACTTGTTAAAGAGGTCAGAGATATTTTGTCAACAAATTAGATTCAGATTAAGATTATCTGCCATTTGCAGTAAAACCACATTGGAATCACTGTGCAAGAGTACGCTAGTGTGCACCAAGACCACACCAAAGCTCTTGCCGTGGGCGCCATGTCTTGATGCCACTCCAGCTGGAACGGAAAGGAAACTGAAAGCCACTTTCTAAGATGCGTATCCCTCGCAGAAGATAAATAGTGAATCCAAAATCTGTAAGCTCTTTAATTAAACTGTGTTGAACTGTATTTGCGGCATGACAGTATGGTTTACTTTGTGATATATACTGCATTCACATAAACTTCATGGTGTTTGCAATGATCGAAAGAAAAGTGTCAAGGCCATAGCAATCAAACTAGATCTTGTGAAAACATAGTCTGCGACATGGTGGTTCATCAGTTATTCTGAACTGTTGGCTGTCAAGAGCCTCCCCCTCCCATTCCTTTTGCCACTTGTTAGTCAGATGGTCTTTACAGATTCTTACCGAACATTCCTGCTTTGACAATGCAAGATTTTACTCATTCATACAGTAACTTATAGCTTCTTTAGCTGTAAATGTCCTGGGATCCAAACAAACAACTTTTGACTTCATAGATTGAATTAATTTGAGACAGTACAAGATCTCCAAAATGAAATTAATCCGAGCCTCAGATGACTTATTGCTAAGGGCGCAGAATGTCACAGTGGTGTCAGAGCAAATTATAAATGCTACCCAGTGTAAGCCAGGTAAAATGCAAGCTGAGGACACGGAAAGGTCTTGAACAAGTGTGGGAGAACAGACTAATACAGAACAAAAATAATAATAAATGAATTCTACAATGAAGCTCAATAGATGATTAGCATTAATGGACATCTGTTTTTTAAATTGTTTTTGTTAATATCATATTATTTCATTAAAAGACCTCGGGGGTAGGCTCATTATACTTCCACAAATGTAGGAGGTTACATCCAAAATTTGCAATTTTGTCCTTCAAGATGTACCTTTTATGAAACAAGGTGACCACAGGTTGTGTCGAAGGAAATATGATTTAAAATGTTAAAGATTGATTTGCTGAAACCAGCGCAGGTGGTTCTTTTTTTTAGACCAGAGCTTAGACACAGGTGTAGTGCCATCTGCTGGCTCTTTTTATTACTGCATAACACGATGTTTAGCCGCTGCAGTGAGCCGTGGAGCAAAATGCCATACAAAATCGTAATAGATTAAGATCAAGTTATATCTAATGTGCCCTGCGTTAAAGCCTTTAAAACATATAAATGTCACTGGAAACGGAGTTTGAATATGTGTGAGTAAAAACATTGGCTTTTATATCCAACATCCTGTCCTTCTACAACACAAATACTGGTTAGTCTGTTTTTGACTTGGAGTTAAGGAGTGTCTGTCAATCTAATGTCAATATATTCATATAACCAGACACTGTTTTTGGGTTGTATAAATGCCCTCCACATCCTCACAAACCCTCTCTCTCCAGACGCACAAGATCAAGGTAGAGTTAGATGGCAAACTGATCAACAGTCGCACTGCAACGTTGAGTAAACACAGTGATTACAACATTTAGATGTAGAAAGATATTGAGCAAGTCTGTTAATTTGCATCTATAGCTTTAGGCATAGACCTCACTGGACTCTGACAGTATGGAGTCCTCCTGCCGATGATTTTGTAACAGCCGAGTAATAGGACAACTATTTGAAAATCATTACCACTATTTCCACGAATGGATGTGTCATGGCACCTCAGACTAGTTAGTTATCAACCTAATAATATTTGGCGTCTCACACTACCACAGCACAGACCACACATGAGACATAGTACCACACCTTGACAGCCAGATGCAATGAGGACACACAACTGCTTAAAAGCTAATAGACCCACAACCAGTCACATATACCAAGACTTACCCTATTCACCTGAGCACAACTTCAACATAGGAGATAATAATATTTATTACCACTCTGCCACAATGAAGCCTGGGAAGCTTTTCCTCCTGGTCATCTTCTGTCTGATTCAATCACCAAGTGTTGTAAGTACTGCCTCATTTTTAATCACAGCAATGCATTTGAGAAATAGTAATTTAAAAAACCTAAAATTGTGCAAAACCCAAAAGCCCAATCCCATTATTTGTGTTTGTCTTGGAACTCATGCAGGTTGAATGTGAATCATGTAGGGACCTCTTCAAACAGATAAGCTCATTCTAATTCTAACCTTTACAGAGAAGTGATCGCCACCACCGCAGTGACTCCAGTAGTGAAGAGGTAAGACTGAAATTTCACCAGTATAGCAGCAGTGAGTCGAGCAGTCATGAGGTAATATCATCCAAAGCTCTAAGTATATTGTTTATGCATCAATATCTGACGTAACCGTTTTTTTTTTTTTCGCCCCCAGGGTTTTTTGTCTTTTTGGCAGCTCTGGCCTTTGCTGTGGCCATCTCTCATTCTCCCAACAACTACGACTACGACTGCTACTACGGCTCCGACCACCACCCCTGCACAGACGACAACAACGGGGCGTGGAGACAGTGGATAGCCTTGTACCTTTGTCATTTATTCATTTCAAGGTGCTTTATACTGTGCCAGTCAACATTTTGAAGACATTAGCCACTTAACTTGCACATAATATTATAGGTTGTGATTTTAACATGTATGCATCTACACATGACATTGTAAAGGATGAATTCATATTTATTGTATTTTGAAAGTAACCTCTAAAAAAAATGTATTCGTCATTGACACATTTACAACTGGTTCAGTTTCCAGAGTCTTTCCTCTGTACTAGAATATCTTATTGGAATAACTCATATCATATTCTTACTCATATTGTGTTGAGTTAAAAATGTATATCCCAAGCTTAGGTGCCTAATTATGTTGGACTTAATAAATACTGTCACAACAGGAAAGTGTTGTTAACGTAAAATGTTGTGAACAAATCAGACCACAATATGCTGTCTTCATCTTATAATTAGAAATTGTATTAATTTTTGCATGTAAGACAAAACTATTTAAATTGTTTTGCTGAGAGCTGATTGCCTGAGAGAGGGTGGTCTTTCCTTTTTCATCTTTTCTGTCTGATGCAGTCTGAAGCTGATGCAAAGATGACTTCATTTGTACCCATGGGTAGATTCTGTTTGCAGTTAAAAAGAGAGAGACTTGGCATTGACACAAAAATATTCATAAAAATAACATGTAAGCAAATAACAATAAAAACACAATAGATAAGGGTAAAAGTGGTCGAAAGGTGCTTAGTGACACGGTGACAGTGAGGCCAACCAAAAATTCCCCATGAAAACATGAAAAAGCAACAGTTTTTAGAGCAAATGGACTTCATTACATAGTGAAATATTTGTGGTTTGAATGTACCCCAGCTTAATCATCATAAAACCAACAGAGAATTGGCAAATACATAGATAACATAGTGCTGTAACATGTGTGCCTTCATGTGGCCTGTACAGTTGATGCTACATTGTAATTCTGATATAAATGACATATGGTCGTACCGTCTCTCCTCTGGTTAAATCTGACCTAAGACCAGAGTGGAGACAGCAGTGGGAGGCGGCTGACAACACTTAGGTGTAATCTTCACTCTGCAGCTCTCCCTGGATCAGTGCTGAGCCTCTAATGCCAGGTCTGTCCATCACCCACTTGTCCCCGCAGGCCACGCCACGCCTTTGTGCACACGTGATATCTGTGAATGTGTCCGTACATGTGCATCATCTGTCTTGCGCACTGATAATAATGCATCTCATGAATTTTATAGCAGTTTTGTAGCACTGCGGAGTCTTCACCATGAAACTCCACCAATGAGAAAACTCGGAGAACTAATGTGACTTAATTTTTTTGATTTTCGCGTTGACTAATGATCGAAGAAATAACAATGAAGGGTATAGGGTTTTGTTTGAGCTCTGATAAATCAATCAATCATTCCATTCCATTGCATTCCATCTTCTTCCGCTTCGTCTGTTTCCGGGTCGCGGGGGCAGCAGTCTAAGCAGAGACGCCCAGACTTCCCTATCCACACACACTTCCTCCAACTCGTCCCGGGGAACCCTAAGGCATTCCCAGGCCAGCTGGGAGACATAGTCCCTCCAGCGTGTCCTGGGTCTTCCCCGGGGCCTCCTCCCGATGGGATGTGCAATCAATCAATTTTATTTATAGAGCCCTTTACAACACTCAAGGCGACCAAAGTGATAGTCGCCTTGAGTGTTGTAGCTTGAGCTGATGACTGATAGAAAGCATCAGAGCAACTTCAAACTGATAATTCAGAATGATAAAACAAAAATTAAAAACACAAGACAATAATTGATTAAACATCTGCACATTGTCAAACCTGTATTCTTGTATAACCCTGAATCACATCAACAATATCTCTGAGGTGCTCAAGAAAACCGTTGAATTCGCCAACGCAGATCACAGAATCAAACAGTTCAAACACAAGAAATACAGAGATAAAATAAAACACACACACAGAGACATTGGTTAAAATAATAATAAGGAGGAATAGAGCTTCAAGAGCGTATTGAATGAGAATGGGAGTGAATGCCATCATGTTTTGTATTGCTGTGTCTAGTCTAGATTAAAACATAAAAACCATAAAAATAAATTGAAAATAACCAATAAAAAAATAGAAGAACTGGAACAGCGGAGCCCCTCTACAATATACATACTGTAAACTGTGAGTAGTGGGTCCAGTTGGAAATGTTTTGTTTTTGTTTATCAATGTTTGTAGACTGTTTTCTGTGTTTGATTTGATAAAAGAAGAAAAGGGAAAAAAAAGGGAAGTACAGTCCAGGTCCAATAAATGAGTAAAAGTATTCAATATGGAAGCTTTGTGTGTAGTGAAAAAATACATCTCCAGAACAGGAGTGCATTTCTGATGAATACCAGATAGAAGGTCATAATACATTATTTTTATGAAGTCATTATTTAAACAGAAAGTAGATATGAAATGATGTTTAAACACTATTTGAACTATTACTGATAAATAAAATATTCACTCAAATAATCATATCAAAGCTACTACTGTCTTGATTTTTGAGACAGATTGAAGAATATGTTCTTTCACTGCATTGATACACCCCCCCTACCTCGCTCTTAAAATACATGGTAAACAAAACAAACAAAAAGTCCTTTAAGTCTAGACGAGTATCCCTCCTCGTCTGTACTACCCACATCCATTTCTTCTTCTTATTATTTTCACAATTAGGCAAGGCAAGTTTTTTTGTATAGCACAATTCATACACAAGGCAACTAAAAAAAAAAAAAAAACAGGCATTAAAATCATAAATAATCACAGTACATTGAAAAGAAAGATAAAAATTATAAAATCCCTCAGTTGTATGCACATGTCCCTACTACTATTACTGTAACTACTACTGTATCTGCTGCACACAGTTGCTCTGCAAGAGTTAATTGCAAAGTATTCTATTCTTAAGCATAGTTTTTGCCTGACCCACTGACATTGCAACAGCGAAATGTGAACATCTCCGTTTATAGCACAAGATTGTGACATTCCTGTCCTCTGTCTGCCCCAGGGTGGGTTTCCTGAATAGAAAAACAAGTGTAAGCACGGTCAGGGCAGTCTGTCTGTAATGTCACTGAACAAGCTTGAAATTATCCTGTGTTGCCAAATGAGCAAATGGTCCGTTTGCCCTTTCTTCAAAATCTTGCTATAAGTTGCATAAAACAAATGTGGCTATAATTATAACACGAATTAGCTGACGGAGGCGCTGTGAGTAACATGAAAGCTCTTGTCCTGGCCTCAGTGTGCTGTTCGCAGACATGACACCATCATAATGGCCCCGAAACAGGCACTTTGGACAACCTGCTGCATCTTTATGTTCTATTGCTTCATTTGCACTAAAAACGAGATTGCCCTTTCTGTCCGTTGATTGGTTGCTTCAAGTGGTGGACAGTGCATAAGTCAGTGTCCCTCTAAAAGTGGTTCAGTAGGCTCAGAAACGCTTATATATACACACACCGCAAGGCTTTACGCTATAACATTTTGGTTAGCATAAATATTCAGTCAAAATGATTGTATTTATTTTCTTATTGTGCGTCTGCCACGTGGGATCGTCTGTGCCCGTAAGTAACGAGCACTATTTTTATTCACTCATATTTGAATTATTGTATTTGTGTAGCAGTCCACATATAATAATAACAATAGTAAAAATGAAATCAATAATAATGATATTATTTCAAACTTATAGCGCTTTTTTGGACAGTCAAGACACATGCGCAATATACTGTAGCTGCACTATTAATCGCATTCAAATGAAAGAACTATTTATGTGGACACAGAGAAAAGCAAAGAATCACTTGGATTTTTGTGTATTAGAAAGACCAATGGAACAAGTGCTGTGTCTTTCATTGTCATCTAATCTTTTTCATAATATGTATAAACTGTCAACTTATTGCACAACTCAGGCCTGACTTAGAAAAGATGAAAACTATTTAAAAAAAAGTGCTATAGGCTAGAAAAAAAGGTACGCAAAGGATGTAAATGTTAAATTTTGAGTATATTTTCTAGTTATGTACCCTCAATGTGTCAAATTTGTGTGAGAATACTTGTGTATAAGATAAATGCTTAATTTGCCTTTTCAAATGTATTGCTCTTGAAGTTGTTATTTTTACACTGAACAAAATCGATTGAAAACTGTGTTACAGTCATGATAGCAATGTTGATCATATATATCGCTATCAAATAATTTACCAAAATCCTAATGTCCAACTGAACAATGACTTTCATCTGCAGCTCATTTGGATTTTTTGTATTAAATCAAATCTGTTTTAGCTAAATGCCAAGCCTGCCCCTCCGTTGGAATCACCTCACCTATCCCCTCGGGCCCCTGCTGCCCCTGCAGAGCCATCTCAGGGACAAGCACAGGCGTCTCTGGCTCCTATTGTGGAGCAGCCTCAGCCGTCCTCACAGCCAATGCCCAGTCCCCAGCTCCTGCCTCCAATGCAACAATACCCCTGGTCTTCACTAGGGGGCGCACCACTGATTTTCCCTCTACATCCTAACATGGTTGGACCTCAGCCAGCTGCAAATCAACCTGGAATGCCCATGCAGCCGATGGTATGCACAGACACTTAAGCCGTCATAGACTAATAAGATGTTGTTTTTAATATGTATAATGTGTTGCTCCATTCTAGGTCTTCCCACCATTTGGATACCTGCCAATGTTCCCTCCATATACCAACCAGATGGTGAGATCATAATTTTCCTACTACACATGTTACTGTGTTTTATATAGACCCCATTTTCTAAAACACAGTAAAGTCTTTGCACAGTTTTAGCCTGAGGGTGAAGCGAATGTTCTCTCTTAATGTAGTGTTTAAATGTGTGGAAGGGAAACTGTTGTGAAAATACAGTGCTGAGTGAACTGTACAGTATGTGATTTATAACTGTGGCAGAGATTTTACTTGGCAAGAACGCACTGACACGTTACTGCAATACATACATCTGGAAGTAAACACGCATTGAAATTGTACTTACACCTTATGAAGGCCAGATGTGTGTTGCCAGCTCTCTCCATACAGGCTCCATGAAGCCCCTCTCCCACAAGCACCAGCCAATCCGGCGCCTAATGCATTACCTGCTCAAACGGCCCTCACAGCGGCCCCCTTAGGAGAAGTGCTGCAGACGCAACAACAACAACAACAAATACTGCAACCACAGCAGCAGCAGCAGCAGCAGGTGCTTCAGTGGGACCGCAGACTGTAACATTTCAGTGTACAAACATGTGTATTATTACCCATATTTTTCACCGCAGAATCCTCAAGTTATCTACATGATGCAGCAGCCAATGGTAAATAGATATACTTTTATGCTAAAAAACAATATTGTACACATTCTACAACAGCCAGTGATGCCTAGTTTCATTTTGTGGCATTACTTTCATAATGAAAATGAATCATCCAAAAATGTAAAATGTGTCAGAAAATGATGGAAGAGGATGCAATAGTTAGAGAGACGTATGAGGTCTGGTGTATCCAGGGGGTGCTAAATGAAACACACCTCTGACTTATGGAGATGTAGAAAGTTATGTATCACTTGATGACTTGTCAACTATTTGATGGGTTGTCATTTATTAACTGCACATCTGTGAGGCCTGTAACATGCACAAATAATGAATTAATGAACAAATAGATTAAACAGAAATCCCCTGTGGCGGTTGATGTAACTACAGTCCACCTTTGCCAAATGATTGAACCCTGTGACTTGGGGCTTGCTGCAGTAAAGTGCAAGGCAAAGCAAGTTTTTTTGTTTAGCACAGTTCATACACAAGGTGATTTAAAATGCTGTATACAACAACATAAATAAACAAGTTGCATACAAAAGTGTGCAGATTAAACACTTCAGTTGTATGTACAGCTGAAGTGAACAGGTCCAGTCTGGATTTGAACAAAACCAGATTAAAAGAAACCTGGAAAAGTCTGAAAACACTTTTCCATTACTAAAAACCCCATGTTGCTGATTTGGAAGCTAAATAGCTAAATGCAATGTATATAGCGTATGTATTGGCAAAACACTGGATACTATGTTTTTGAATTCAGCAGAACTGCTTTGTGTTATCTAACTTGAACTCTCTTTCTCCAACAGAACACACAACTTGGCGGCCTTAGCTCGGAGGAGCTCCAGGTAAAACCACTGCCAACAATTTATGTGTTTCATTATGCGCCTGTTCTAACCCAAGTGAACTCAATGATCCCACAGACAATCCAATATCTGTCATCTCCCACTGTTTGTGTTGCAGATCGCTGCTAAAATGAGCCAGCTGGGCATGTACACTGTTGTGAATACCGCTGGTGCAGGGGTGCAGCCTCTGACTCAGGCAGCAGGCACTGGCCCCCAGGTGAGAGCAGACCTGGGGGTCATGCCTGCAGGTGTCCAGAAGATGCAGGGACCCAGAGGCTCTGGAGGAACGCCCTGCTCAAACAACCCGCAGTCCACAGGTTCACAGAGAGCTGCAGCAGAGCCTGCTGCTGACATCGACTGACCAATGGAACGTCCACGAGTGCTACCACTTTTGCATTAGGGTCAATAGCTAATAATGGAAATATCACATGTAGTGTTTACCTTTTTTATTATTTTCAACTTCACCTTTACAATCCAATAAATGTAAATACAATAAAACCTATAATTTCATGGTGTTATTTCCCTTCACGTACCCACATGCATCCGAAGCTTCTGTCATCAAACTTCAAGATGAAATATGGCGTATATGTCAAAGTGCATATTAAGTGAAGCACTCAGTTACGCCTAAAGTCAATTTTGTCACGCACCACATAGAGCACCTCTAAGTGCGCCCGTTGGTTCAGGGCCGGGGTAGCTTGGGATGCAAATATTTGGTTATCCATAATGATAAGTTAGATTTACAAAAATGTTCTTTTTCTCTAAACCTAAATACTATGGTATATATTTCATGTGTAATTATAAGGTAAAAAGAATACCAAAATTGCACATACTGTACTTCTAAAAACTGAAGTCAAGAGGTCACTGTGTAAATTGCAGACATGTGCGTGTGCAGAAATAGAACATGTAAACGTTCTCTTATGAATACATCTTCATGTAGAAGCCACATACAGGCTTCATTGTTTACTGTTATTGGGGAGTGCAGCTGCAACACATTATCTGATCATTAAACTGTAGAGTGTTGTTCCGCAATTTGTTGCCAATTGTAATTGAACAAAGACTTTACTTGTAATTCAGAATACCTGGCCATGAAACACAAAGTTAACAAGCTGTTTGATACGTGATGTCTTATGTTATGCATGTCCATTGATGTGCAATGTCCAGTTTTATTATTTCTATTACTCTTTACACACAAGACATTTTTTTGCAATTTGAAATATTGCACCAATTTTTTGCATTTTGAAATGAATGTATTTGCAATTCTGTCTAATCCACCAAAATAAACACAGCTAAGGATCACGTGCAGTCACATTTATATCCTTGAACTTGTTGCAAGGGGCCTCCTCATAAAAAAACACAACCTTATGCAATAAAATGTGATGAACGAATGTTTTAGGCCAGTTTTTTTTTTGTCTGTGATTTCTCCCTGAGCTGCTGCTGCCAATTTGCAAAGCATAAAACAAATACCATTGGCTTGAAACCAAAGGCTGTCAAAATTCACCCCAGATCCGTTTTTGGGAGCAAATAAATAGGAGTAGAGCTCGCCCTCCACTTCTCACACTTCTCCTCTGCAAGCCATCTGTGCTCCAGCGCTCGCCAAGGAACGGTAGGACAACTTCATCAACTTGTTCTCTTTATTTACTTTGAGAATAATAATAATAGTTTTTGTTTTTAGGTCAAAATGAAGCCCATCCTTGTGGTCATTTTATTTCTTGGAACAGTCTTTTGTTTCCCAGTAAGAACACTTTGGATCTTAATAATTACTGTTCAATCATTTGTTTTCTGTTTCTGAATGACTTTCTGCTCTTTTTTCAGCTTGATATGTATGTGGAATATGACATTCACCATGCTCCTGCTGAGGTACAGTGTTTATATTGACACATTATTTATAAAACTTTTTGCAACTTAACTTGATGCAAAAGTTTAGAGTGCCTAACTTTGGTCATCAATCGTTGCAGGCGGCAGCAGCCATCCCTGCAGGGGTACCCGCTGGCAGTCTGGAAGTGGTAAGAGGGTGCAGAATGTTTTCCTCAACTTAAAACATCTCTCTGTATAACCATGTGAATGTGAATGTCTTGGGTTTGCAGCTCCTGCCTTTGAATGCTCCGGCTGGAGCTCCAGTAAGTGGAATGACTCCAACACAATATTGTTTTTATGTGACCAATCAAAAGACGTGTGCTTTTGTGTGTGCTTTAAAGGTACGTGGCTTCATTAAACAGGACATCCCACAGCCAAATGGAAAAGATAAAGAGGTGGTAAGTGCCACTTTCTGCCCGACTGAAGCTGGCCTGATGGGAGCCACCAGTTTGGATGGATTCCCAGAGTGAACTAATGATCTGTCCCCTGCCCTAGTTCTATCCATTTGGATTTGATGCTCCAGCTCCTGCTGCAGCTGCAGCAGCTGCTCCTGTTGCTGCTGCCCCTGCTGCTCCTGTTGCTCCAGCACCTGCTGCCCCTGCTGCTCCTGCTGCTCCTGCTGCCCCAGCACCTGTTGCTCCTGCTGCCCCAGCACCTGCTGCTCCAGCTGCCCCAGTAGTTGCAGCTGCTCCAGCAGTAAGTATTAAATGTTTTTTGGAACAACACTGGGGTCAGTGAGTCCATAGATGAAGGGTTCGTGTGTTCTGAGCTGGAAACACATGCACGGACTGAAACTTCAATACTTTTTAAGAGTAACTCTCTGTGGTTTCAGGCAAAGAGAAGTGATGAAGAGGAGGAGGAGGAAGAAGATTAAACCCCTCATCAGAACAGGTGCACGTTGTCACAAAATACAGTATGTAATGTCCACTTTATCTCCTCTCAAATTTTAACAATGATCTTGTTTTTATAGGAATAAAAAGGAAAACATTAAAGAAAATATTGGACCATTCCCTCAGAAGCCGTTGATAAATGACATGGTGCTATTTTTATGTGTAAAGGATGTGTCCTCTGCATTTGGTGCATTTGATGTGTTTGTGTGAGTGTTTTGTACTGTTTGTCTACAATGTGTCTCACTGTGTTGCTTCAAAATAAAAGTCAATACTTTTTTTGAATTACATGTTTCTATATTCTGCACAAAATGAGAACAGATCTAGTCTTCGAACTCTAAATGCCATGTTGGGATACACAGACAACATTTGGACATGTTTACCGCAAACATGTGGGGTATGGGTTCTGGGGCTTCCAAAGTGCTTCCAAATGTGTGACGAAAAGAAAAAGTCATCTGTGCTGCATTAGAAGCTAAACATAAAGTGTGATAACTATTGTGCCTGTTTGCTATCGGCAGAGTGTGAGAGATGGCGTCATGAGTTGCTCCATGTAAAGGTGGTGAGTGATCAAACCTAGGGGCATCTCTTTCCTTCTGGTTCATAAGCACCCCTGCCCATAGATACATGAATGGACATCTCTGAATGAGAAATACAATGGGGTTTTCATTTACATTTACAATTACAATACATTTCCTACATTTGAATGTGTGAAGTTTGGTTCGGTCACTTGAACATTTTACACATTGTCACAGGACAGTAAATTACAGCAGAAAGAAAGACCAAAAAGGAGTAGGCTGGAGCTAATGCTAATTTAGCCTATCGTTTTTACAAGTGTCATTAGTATAAGTGAACGTAAACAATAACATTTGTTTGCATCAGCTGTTTTACTTGATGTTCATAATTTACTCAACAGCGATTCTGAAAGTGTCATGTGCAGAAAAATGTGAACCAGGTCCATTCACATTTTAGATAAGTTAAGAAATCCTTAAACGAGTCTGTAGTCACAATGGGGCCTATGTATAGACAGTACCCAAAGAGGCAGTGCAGATGGGGATGTTACAAGCACGCACATACATGTACATGTACTCACATACATGCACACACACATATACATGCACACACACGCACAAACACACACACACACACACACACACACACATTCACACATCAATGGGAGATGAATAATGTTGGTGGTATAAAACATCCTTCCTTTCATAGTCAATGTCACATTGTACAATGTCCCTGTTCAAAAAAATAAATCATTCAAGTTGATTTGTTCCAGAGATTTGTACTGAGTTTGTCTTGGTTTGGCTCCAACTTTATTTTTTGTATTGTTCATCAATGATCAATATCAACTATCGGTCGAAATCCCTGGTTCAAAACAGGGATTTACAGGCCACGTTAAAGGGTTGACTGTGAGACTCTGCTGACTCCTCCAACACTGATGCATCACTGCAGCTCATTTTAGAAAGTCCTCTTTCAGGCTGTGCTCAATACACTCTATAATGTGGGGACTGAAGAGCAATCCAAACTAATCAGCAATGTTTTTCAAATCAGACATTGACATTAGGTATTGAACTGTCTTCTAAAAAGCGTCTAAGAGCACATGCACATGGGACTGTGGATCTCAGACGATCTCAAGTTCAACAAACTGATTGACTGCATTTGTGTGACAGTAGCAACACACTCTGTTGCTTCCATTTACTTTTACAAACCCCCATCTTAAAGGTAAAGGTGCACTTTATTGATCCCCGTAGGGCAATTCATCCTCTGCATTTGACCCATCCTGATGCTGCTAAGGCTTACGTCAGGAGCAGCAGTCGCCGTAGTAACAGCGCCGGGGAACCCATCTCCAGATGTTGATGCTCGGCTTGGTCAGGACCAGAGCTGGAGGATATACGTAACCTTGAGTGCATGTTTTTAGTCTTCTTTAGTCATTTTTGAGTATTCAAATATGATTGTCTACAGAGGACCAAAACTGTCAAAATTAAAAATAAATAAACAAACAAATAAATGCCACAATCTGCCAAAAATCCTTGAAGCTGCACTAACTGACTTTGTGACCTTTTCGAATGTGAGCGCTGAACTCGCTCTTTCTGCTCGCCCTCCCCGCACTCACAGAGCTTTCACCCCTGACTCCCCCCTCCCCCTCAGCATGTGCTCACATGCTAATTGTTTACGGAGCTCACATCTCACAATATGTATCGCACATTTGAACGAATGATAGAACCGGGAAGCGCAGAGGAACAGGATCCCCGTTCTTTTGGATGGCTGTTTTTCTGTGTAAGCAGACACCGGTAACGAAGACACGGGAAGTTTCAGGTTAGCCTCAGCCGCTTGTTTACCTCAGCTGTCTGTGCTAACAAGAGACCTGTGGCTTTTCTCAAGAGAGTGGGGGCCAGTGGTCCACTGTGATTGGTCACAATCTGGACCCGAAACAAATTATCTTCCTTGTTGCACAAAAACTCGATCTAAAATATAATGTCACGTCAGCACACATATATCCTAATGCACTGCATAGATATGGATTGAATTTTCATAATGAATACAAAAATAAAGTGAGGTAATGCAGGTTTAAGATACCACTTTTAATTTACTGTTATATATATATATTATTATTACGCAACATTTTCTTGTTCAAAACAAAATAATACATCTTTATAATTTTCTTTCTACATATATTCATTTCCTTGTTCATTCAAAAGTTAAGATTGAAAAAAACAATATAATTATTTTTCGTAAAATAAATCCTTGTTTTCATTCTGCATTTATTTATTTCCTTCATATCTTCACTTATTTACTTTTTGATGTATTTTTGTTTAAATATTTTAGCCTTTCAGCATTATTCTTTATTTGATTTCTTTGACCAAATGCCAATGAAGGGGGCGGGCCACAGATCACGAGACGAAAGCAATCGCCACATGGCTCTCCCTGGTTCGTTACAGTCTACGGTACTAATAATGCAGTGGTTTTATATTGCACTTTTCAGGACATTCAAAGACACTTCACATGTTACTACTGCAGCCACAGCTGCAGTGGATTCTCTCGTTTCTCTTGCTGAAAAGTGAGTGCCAGGACCTTCCTGGGTTTGAATCCCAGTCGCCACAGGATCTTTCTGAGTGGAGTTGGCATGTTCTCCCCGTACCATGGGTTTCCTCCGGTTGCTCCAGCTTCCCTTACCGTTAAAAACATGCACACTAGGTAAAACCCTCCAGCTCTGGTCCTGACCAAGCCGAGCACCAACATCTGGAGATGGGTTCCCAGGCGCTGTTACTACACCTTTACCTTCACGGCTGCGCTGGGGCACACTGACAGAAGCGAGGCAACCAATATGTCCGCCCATCCGTTCAAACACACACACCAGATTCTTTCGACGCAATGTTGGTTCACTTTGTGTTTATGGCTTTTGTTCATGTTTACCATAGACATTATAGTATTCCACAATCAGATTATCAATGTTAGGGCTTTGTAAAAGGTGTCCTAACCAGATCCATGACGTCACTTCACTCATATACACACCTCAGACCTGGAGAAAACATGTACCTTATCTGCTTCAGACTTCACTCTTGGATTATGAACTTGATAAAATGCAGGCATAAGACGTTTGTTTATAAACTCTGTATCCGCCATGATGAAAGCCGATCTATGATGATACGACTGCTTTGGTCTTACTCTCTGTAGCTCCGCCCCTTTCATTTGCATTCAGTCAAAGTAATCATCAAAATATAAATTGTAGGCTGAAAAAAGACAGAAAATCTATAAAAATGAATTAAATGAAAACATTACGGAAATAGATCAATAAAAATAGTTTTTTTGGGCACAAAACTTAATACAAAATAATACAATGTTTTATAAATCTTAACCTTTTTTCATTACAAGACAATAAATGAATGGTCCGTGTACTTTTGCGTTCAATACATTTTCTATTTTTGAATGGAAATCGAAAAAAGGCTATTTTGTATTTTCAGGCACACAGCAATATACAAAAATAACCATTTTGGTTTTTTTCATTGCTTATAAGACATATAGATATTATAATAACCGGATTTGGGAACTAGAAAATGCAATAATTAACCTTTTTTAATGTGTATTTTATACATTTCGGCGTCAATCAATTACCCGGAAGTGAAACAAGTTTGTTTACTTCAGCCCTATGGGCTATATGCACGGGGAGTCGTGACGTAATTTCCGGTTAACAAAGGACAGCCCTTTTACTTCCTGCCTATGCTATTCTATGGCTTTTAGGTGGGTTTTAGTGACGTTTTTTAGTAATTAGATTGATACATTCAGCTGTGAGACTGACCCAAAAGTGTCACTGTGCTTTCTCTCCAAGGTAGAGCTTCGACTGTGGCCACTCAGAGCGATTTGTAAACTTTATAAAAACACAATGACAGCACAATCAAAGAGCACTTTTGTGTCCCAAAATGCCCAGTATCCTCACAGTATAATTTCCGTTTGAGCATTATTTGGGAAACTCGTGTAAACCACTGCTGAACTCCAGTGAAACTCAAGCCATTTCCCGCGAACCGGAAGTGAGGTGGGGCTTTAGCTAAAACGCGGAAGTGGTGCGTGCATAGAGCCCATTCGCTCTAATTAGTATAATTTAATACGCAAATGACCTCCTGTATTTGTCCAAACACAGACGTCCTGTAATCTGCATGTCAGTGATTGTGATCGCTATTGCCGCTTTTGTTTTACTCTCTGCATTGTTTTTGTCAATGAGCAGAAGAGTTGCGTTATCGTGGCTGTGAACTCAGCTGCAGAGTCGCTGCTGCTGTCTCTGTGAGGTCTATGGAGAAGTGTAGAGGACAGTGTAATGTGTTACTGACACTAAATGATCAGACCGATGGGTTGTGTTTGTACGTTTACTTTGGCAAGGCAAGGCAAGGCAAGGCAAGTTTATTTATATAGCACAATTCATACACAAGGCAATTCAAAGTGCTGAACAAAACAAGAAAGCATTAAAATCATAAATTATCACAGAACATTAAAAAGAAAGATACAAATATAAAATCCCTCAGTTGTATGCACAGTTAAACAGAACTGTCTTTAACCTGGTTTTAAACATTGTCAGAGAGGAGGCCTGTCTCACATCTTCAGGAAGACTGTTCCAGATTTTGCAGCATGAATCTGAAAAGC